TTGTTTTAACCCTTGTTGGTGATCAATCAATGTCTCAAAGTGTGTAAACTAATAAATTACTCCAAATCTATGGCAAATCCTGCTTTCGGCATTGTTTCTATTTCACCTGTATCCAGTCATCTCTCATATGTTATAAAAATCAAAACTATACACTTGTATAATTACTAAACACTTACAGGTAATAAATATATGTCTAAAACATGTCATAGGATAATTTCAAGCTTAAAAAATATTTCACACGCTTCAATGTTCTAATCGCTCTTAATGTATGTGATGAAGTAAGAATTTCTTTCCAAATTTAGGCAAAAAATCTCATAAAGATAATATCTGGTAGTTAGTCTTCGTTTTTATGAGATAGTCTCAGATTTAAAACATTTCGCATATAATAATACATCATTATTTCTCTCCTATTATTTCTATGGTTACTAAAACATAATTAATTCTTTTAAGCAAATATTTATTTCAACACCAAGAAAATTATCATATATATCAAATTATAAATATATAATTTTCGACCGTAGAAACATAACTTCTAAGCTATTAAAATTAATTAAACTTGGAAATTTAAATTCAAGTGGCTACAATAGAAAATGTATTACTGAAAATAGAGAACTACTGCTTTTCAATCACTTTAACTATAACGAAAAAGTTATAGAATACCATAGCGAGGTAAAGTAAAATTTGGTCCGAAAATTGGTGGGTAAATAACAATGAAGTTAGGTAAAATGTCTGAAAGAGGAATATGAAACCCACGAAGATTACTAGAAAAATCATAATGTATAAGAGAAAAATACGATGATAGGAGGAACCACTAAAATAGATAAAGAGGTTGTAGATATGTTTCAAATCGATATACTGACTTCACTCTGGCATACACATATAGTACATGAATAAAATAGTTATTCAAACAAACCTACTTCTCACTACAAATCCTTCGAAAATATGGGAACAACAACCATCAATAACAACTACATAAACCATTTTACCGTCAACATTTTGCGGGACGTACAACGTTTCCGTCATTATAAACTCACTTTATTGCTTATATTAAAATAAAAGAAATTCAAATCTGAATATTATCTGTTACTGTTTAACCTTAAGCCTTAAGCTGTTCCTTTCTTTACAAATGTTTTAAGTAATGTATTGTCATGTCGACATCGTGTCACACACCAGACATGTGACCCTGACATTTATGTTTCTTGTATACAGTTTGATTCCATGTTAAAAAAAAGATAGTTCCTTGTTCCTTCCTAAGTCTGTTATCAGTGAAGGCTTGAGCACTGTATCGATACTAATTACTTGTTTACTATTTGAAGTAATTAAAAGCAACAAGAAAAAGATCACAATGTAGCAAAATGTTCTACTTCCTTAACATATATAGTGATGATTTATTTCCTTTTTTTATTGAATTCAATTATTTTTTAAACTTTTATGGTCACTAAGATATATCACGGTGTTGTTCGTCTTATTACAAATTACTTATAAAAAGATCAATATCTCGGACGATAGAAAGGAAAATTTTCACTCGTCTAGTAGAAGCTTATAAGGCAATCTTTGTTTTCCTGCAATTCAAGATATTTGTGAGAAACTAGTTAATACTCACTGAAAAGTTACTCATTAATTTCTATTGAAGATTTCCAGAAAATACACAAGGAATAAAACATTCCTGTATGAAGCTACGGGAAGTAGTTAGTATGACTTATAAAATACGTACGCTTTTCCCGAGGGGCTTTATTTTTCATATTCTATAGTAAGATTTATTGATATGAAAGCAACCAATATCGCAAAATAAAATCATAAACGTTTTAGATCACTCGCAAATAAGAAAGTATTTAATATTAGAAGAATTGTTTGTGATAGAAGTCATATTTAGGGTCTAGAAGGCTGTAAAATTGATTGTAATTCTATAATAATTATTTTTTTGAATAGAGGGAACGATATATTTTACATATAGCGTGGGTATCACGGAAAACATCTTGTAAGGAAACTCGCGTGACTGAATCACATACGATTTCTTCAATCTTTGTTAACATCGTGCACGTCATCTCTCAATCCGTATCGCTCTCTTTTTAATCGAATGTAATCGTTGCTTATACAATATAATAATTTCTTTTATATAATTTAAATATCATATGAAGTTCATTTAATTTCAAACAATCTTTATTAATATTATAACCATATATAGGTCAATTAAAAATTTGCAAACCATTCGTAATAAGGGATTAAAAATCACATATTACATAAAACGCTCTGATTATCAGAAAGTTGATTGCTATTGACCATAAGTGTAAGGTAAACCGAAACGTCATTGCGATAGTGGACCTTGCATGCATATTTCTCGTAACTCGAATATCCGGAAACACTTTTAAATTGCACTCATTACTAAGTAATTACGACCTTATTTTAACAGCATATTGTATTAGTGCTGTACCAAAATATTAAAGAAATTAAAAAAGTGAAAGTAGCGTTAATGTGTTGCTACCTTAAGAGATGTGATACTATAAATAAGAATCAAATCTATTAACAGGTATTTTAAGATGAAAGAATTTAATTTAGAAATAAAAAAACAATAATATATAAAGTGCATAGAATTGCTCTCAACTTTATCCTATGCTGTAAAATATCAGAACATATAGATTTTACAATTAAAATCTTACTTATGTGTTTAAAATTGTAGAGATTGTATTAGAATTGTACATATTTAATTATTTAAGAATATATAAACATATTTATAAAATGAGTAGACCATAGTTTGCTTCGTAAGAACGTATACCTACTGACTGAAAAGAGTTATCATTAGTATTTTTCAAATCGAGGAGTATGGAAAAACCTTCTATCAAAAAAAGCTTTGATTTACTATAGAACACGTTCTTTATGTCGTTGAATTTTACAGGTAACTAGCAGATACCGTGTATTAGAATTATAAAAAAAGGAATGATATTGTTTCTTATATAAAAAAAATAATTGTAGGAATGACAAAATTCAAAGTTACATCTCATTTTTATTCAATACGTGACATTAATTCAATCGTTCTTTCAAATTTTTTTGACAACATTATTTTAGAGAATTATTTTCTCGACCTTAAAGACTTAAACTATGCTATACTACGGAATATAATATTAAAAAAAGTTTGTATCGCATGTCGTATATATTTTTATTATATAAAAAAAATATACGACATAAATGTAAATCTTTTAAATCTCTCCGAAGGAAGAAATCATACTTCCCACTTTAGGCATAAAAGGCAATAACATCGGCTTATCCAAAAATACTGAGAGTATGTATTGGATTTGATTACCTGAATAATAATTAAGGAAATGATTTTTTAATATATATTATTGTCATAAAAACATATTTTTATTCCCTTTAAAATTTCTAGATGGATTTAATATAGTTATCAAGCATATTATTCTGTATTTAATTGAAGTTCATTACAATTAGATAACAAGTAGCCTGTGGTAGAGAAAGTATAAGAAAAACAAAAAAAAAACTATAAAAGTAGCTCTATTATTTTCCTGTATGTTATAAAATTGATATTATTAAATATTTCTGATAGATATCAATAAATTCCAAGGACCTCTTTTCTGTTTCATTTATAAAACTGAATATTTGTCTATTTCTGTTTATGGATTATTTACAATCGAACATGAAAGAATTAGTTCTTAAGTTAATTCCATTTTTTTTATATGTTCTTATGGAGGGAAAAAATATTTTAAACACGAACACACGTAAAATGTATTAACCTCACAACATTTTAATACTTCATTCAATGAAACCAAGTTTCAAGGATTCAAATCAATCGATTACTCATTAATTTAAACTTTATGTTTTAAGCTGATAGTTTATTACAAATATCATAGGTATGGCGCTAAGTATATATTCTGAGACTTGTATTTGTTGAAAACCTCGATATATGAATATATTACGTCAGGAAGGTCTTCCTTTTACCATGATATTCATATCATTTAAAATGGAGCAAAGAATAAATTTATTAATCAAAACAAAACAAATATCACTTGTTCCGTTCCTATACTTCATTAATACTCCACGTCTTATTTAAAACTACAATCGAATCAGATAAGCTCTAACAATACCGCTTGCTATCAATTGGTGTTTTACATTTGTTCTCTACAAGTTATGTAATTATAAAAATCGCCGAAGTCTTATAATTAAGCCGCAACTATGACGTGTACAAATAAAGCAAACGTCCACACAGTAAATTTCCAACTTAGACATTGATATGATTAAGGAATTATATTCAACGATAATTCTTTCGACGAAAAATCATGACTAAAATAATACTACTTTTGATTCTCAGCTTAATAGTACCAAAGTATTAAAAAAATTGCATTGCATACACCTTATCACTAAACGTTTAATCCAACAATTTCTTAACATTAGTTTTCCATGAGAAAAGAAAAGGTTTTAAGCAAGACATTTAATACACAAGTATTAAGAAATCATATTAAAATATTAGTAATGTAAATGAAATAAAATGTTAATGTTACCGCATAAGTACATAATTTATTAATATACTATTAATAAGTGATATCAAAAGCAAGCAATATAATATAATGCACTTAAACAAGAAACAAAGCATCACTTATTTTATTGCAAATTATATAAAGAAATATAGAGTACATGCAACCAAATCGTATGATAAATAATATGAAAATGAGATATGGTCAAAGAGACAGCCACATATCAGTACCACACAAAGTAACGCCCAAAAAATATCTGCCATTGAATTTCGTACTTATGATATTCGCCTATTATCAATGGTATGTCCCAATACTTTCACGCGCTAACCGCGGCCACCCCCTCTGCGCTTGCGCTGAAGTATAAAAGCAGGCTCCCGCCCTCATTACAATCAGACGCAAGTTGCACTTCAACATAGCGATTCCTGGAAGATAACAGTCTTTCAGCAGCGCTATTAAAAAAATAATATAAACTCTTTATAACTCTTTTTTATCACTTCTGTGCTTTACTTCCATTTCAAAATGAAATCCATGGTAAGTACCTTTTCTGCTTTCTCTTTCTTTTCTATAACTTTTTTTATATTGGTTTAAATATATTAACTGATTTGTAGCTTTTTAATAACATCAGAAATGTCACTTAGGTAAATATTATTCTTAACAACGATTAATGTTCTTTCATACAAAATCTGCAACGCAATTTATTAATCATTATTCAGTTATAGTTTGTTCTAACAGCCTTGCCTAATCTTAAAACTACAGGATATGACCTCCGCCCAGCTTGTAACAAGTCACTAGCCTAATTTTATGACAGCCAAACAAGCTGTTTCTTTCACAACCAATAGCTTATACATTATCGTTAACAGCGTCAAAGTAAACAATTAGATTCAATATTATCGACTTAATCACGAACCAATCAATAGTTTCATTTTATTTGCTATAAAAAACTTAACATTAAAGTTTTTCTTATTAAAAGAATCGTTCTTCATAAATCCGCACATAAAAAGTTTCGAATGGCAAATAAAAGTTCATATTTAAAAGCAACACTTTCATAATTTGCTCCATTAAAATAAAAAAAATCCCTTTCTCAGTAGCCAAAAAGAAATTGGAACGGCTTAAAAAACAGGTAATAAGTAAAGTTGTTGCAATGATTTCGAAACTTAAAAAGTTATCGGATCTATGGTCATGCGCCGGCACAGCACGCGACTGTCGGTTCATTGTCACTGTTATATTTTTTATTTGTTTCGCTCCACTTGCCCTCAGTTTCCTCATGTGCATATAGCACGATTATGATTAGCCAAACTTTTTCGCAAAAGTCTTGAATCATAATTTTACATAATCCCCGCAAATATTAAAATTTGTAACGCGCTCTAATTTTAACACGTACATATATACAGACATTTTTAATCATTCAATTGGTTGTAACTAAAATTGGTTCCTTTTCCATTTATATATGAGTTTCAATATGCAATGAAATTGTTATTACAAAAAAAACTACGCACTAAAACTATACGTCATTACAAAAGTATTTTCTAAAAAAATCAAAACGTAGCCCCCACGCTTTCCTATCTTGTGTTTTATGTCATTGAAAATAGACAAACGAAATCAAATACCTTTTCCACTTTTTGTGCAAGGTTCTTGGCGTTGCTTATCAGAGCACAAATAGAACTTGAATTACGAAGCCACCCTATTTCCAATGACATTGAAAATTACATAGCAATTGTACAAGTGCGAGAAGTATGTTGTTCTGGTTTTTTTATATTGTTATTTTAATTAACAAAATATATTACAAATCAGTCAAAATGTTGTCCATAAAATACTACTAATGAAAAGACTTAGCGAAAAATTTGTTTAAAAAATCTCCATTGTCTGTAATACTCAAAGTATATATCTTCCATTTTTTCTTTATAAACATAGTTCTCATTACATAAAGACAGTTATAAAGTAAATATAAATTGAAGAAAGACAAAGTAACTGATCATTATATATGCTTTGCGAATAAAAATACTAATAAATCTTTCCACATAAATTTCCTTTTATAAATATGCATGCGAAAAAAAATTATCAAGATCGTGCCCACGCATTACTTCCAAATACAGTAAGGTCACTTCATACTGCTATCACCCTCAACTCGTCCTGTTCATAGTCCATGTATGATTACAATGTCATCTAGTACACCGAATGTCACTCATTCACTTTGTATATCAATTTCGTTGCAATAAGGTTGAGGTTTTACACCTGACTTGACGTACATCGAGCCCTTATTATGTTACTACCTTATCGAGATATCTAAAATGACAAATTGCTTGTTTAATCAGCTCTAACCTTTTATGTTCCACTTCTTGAGCGTGCGTTAATTGTTTACCTAGCAGAAAATTATGAAAAAATCTACCAATTTACTCGTTAAACCCTCGTTTCTTGAGAAGGCACACCCAACAGACAGTTGTCGCTCGCCTCGCCACTCACCAGCTTTTTGTCTGCATTCCATCGCGCGCTCATTTAGAAGGGCAAACCTACGCAAACCATATCGATATTATAATAATTACATACAATTAGAACGCCCCCTCCGTTCAGATATAGTTCATATCAATAATAACTAAAAGAATCAAAAAATCAATTCATTACCATCCACAGGAGTAGATTTCTAGTCACCTAATACCTATGATTAACAATTAGATACATATCCATAGTCATTTTGAATATGAATTAAAAGATATATAGCAAAGATTTGTTAAAGGATCATAAGAAAAATCTGAAAATATCATGCGACAAGAAACCTGTCCGTAATATGTCGTTAACTGGCCCGGAAGGCTGGCTTCCTGCTCCGTGACCTTGTTAGCCTTCAGACCTTGGTGCCTCTCACTCAGCACTCTACTTTTATTTGTCACAAACTATCGATAACACCGTAGGGCTTTGGTTTTTATTTCACGTTGAACAAAAAACATTCAACTGGCATTTATCGACTTGATATTGTTATTTAAATTGAGAACAAAAGTATGATATTTTTTTTGTAACTTAATGGTATATTGTACAAAACAAATTTGACAGTGACTAAATCTCTTGTAATTTTGTAATCTCTTACTTGTTTTAATCACAGATATCTGTAGAGGTTTTTACTGTCATATAATTTTTATTTTTACTTCTATTTTCATATACTAATTATAATGTGTACTTATTGATTAACATGTGTAGGTTGACACTGATTAAGTAATTAGATTATTTCGGTTAAACGAATCGGACATAACCGCAAGCCCCTGACATTATTTCGTGATTCTGAACTTAACTTCGCCTCAAAATTCCTTAGAATATCCTAACATTATTAAGACTGTTTATTAACAGAGTTTAAGTTTGTTAATTTTAGAAACATACACTTGAAAAGTATAAGTAAGCATTTTATATATCCTAACATCCAAATTTTTTTAGTAAATATAGCACACATTTAACATTATTTAAAAGTTTATTAATACTTTTAAATTTATTTCCTTCCCGTAACCGTAACCACGATGTTTTACCAATGAATTTGATTATTTATTATTATTTTTTTTATGCACAGATCGCAGTTGCTTGCTTGGCCCTGGCGTGTGGAGCTCACGCTTCCGGATGGGTTGGCCCACCAGCCAACATCGCCCTGTCTCAGGACGGACGGAATATCTTGGACACCCCCGAGGTAGCTCAAGCCCGTGCCGCTCACCTTGCCGCTCTTAACCAAGCTGCGCAATCCAACCCCAACCCCAACGACGACGGATCATACGACCCCAGGTGGGACAACGAAGAGTACTGGCAAAACAACGACCAGAGCGGAAAATGGAACGGTGGTGCCAACCAGTGGAACGGAGCTCAGGCTAACCAGTGGAACGGTGCCCCCGCCGCCCAGTGGAACGCTGCCCCCGCTCACCAATGGAATGCTGGCCCAGCTCCCGTTGCTGAAACCCCTGAAGTTGCTCAAGCTCGTGCTGCTCACCTCGCCGCCTTGAACAGTGCCAACGCTGCTCCCGCTCACAACCAGTGGAACGCCCCCGCTCACAATCAGTGGAACGCTCCCGCTCAAAACCAATGGAACGGTGCTCCCTCATGGCAAGGACCCCCCGCCCAAATCCGTCTCGCCCAGAACGGTGCTGGAATCCTTGAGACCCCTGAAGTAGCTGCTGCTCGCGCTGCCCACTTAGCCGCCCACGCTCAGGTCCAACACGCTGCCCCAGCTCACCCCCAACAACACTGGTGAAAACCTTTATCCCTATCCCTTCTTTTCTGGTAGACTAGACTTCTCTAGACTATCACTTGAATTCTCTTATTGAGAGTCAGATGATATTCTATAGATATGTCTTGATACCTTCTTCTTTTCGATCTCCTTTCTTTAGGTATATTTTTCAAGTGTTAGTGCGTCTATATCTTCTTCTTCTGTAGCTTTTTGTTACCTTTCACTAAGAAAATTCTATTTACGATCATTTTTGTACATAATAAATAATTATATGTATGCATAAATGAAATATATTAAACAAAAACAAATATATATTATTCGTTTAATTTGAACACTACTCCTCCTGACCATAGAGACATTAAATAGCCAATAAATTATATTAGTAGATAACATTCAACAACATTCTGTTATTAATTGTACCGATGAATTATTATTTATCATTGTTAAAAACCGACCACCTTATAGTCACATTCACAATAGCGTGATGTGTTACCGATGTAAATGGAAGATAGCTTGATCAATGGTCAGTATAACAATACAATTATAAACGTCATAAAAATAAATTTATTATAAAACGTCCATTAATATCATACTATTCAGTTTTATCATTGCATTAATGCACACGCAATGAGAATCGAAGGTAAATATTTAAGTCGATCAATAAGGCAGAGACCAATCATTACACGGATAAGGTCAGAAAGACAGAAACACAAACTGTAAAATGTGTAATTTGCCATCGAAAGTAAACTAATGTAGAACAAGGACAATTTGTCATGTGCGGTGTAATCATCTAAATAGAACAAACATTGACTATGTTAAATGAGGTTGGATAGTGGAAATTCGTAGCATTGTTAGCTTAAAGTTTTTGTAAATCACTTCCAGCTTTCACCCGCGATGAACGATGGTCAGCAATATCAAAATGAACAATACAAAATCAGTTTTAAATAAGGTGAGTATTAAAAGGAAAAAAACTTTAAACATTAATGATTTCATTAAATACGATTTAATGGAATTTATTCTTATTGGTATCTAAAATGTTCTTCAGCTTAAAACTTAACTTAATAAAATTGCGTTTAATATGCAGCAAACCTACTGGACAACGCAATCAACCTACCCATGGTATGACTGGAGCACAAACAAACAGACCGGCCGCAGTAAGAGCGAGGTCAGTGAGTTACTTAATCTAATGCTTTTATTAAAACGCATTCCATAAACAAAGAAATCGTGTTCTTGTAATCTAATTATCATATTAGAGTGTTAAGCAACTATGATTTAATATAATTGTTTATATTAAATGTTTTTTTTTTCAGTATATCTGACTTTTTATGCCTTTATGAATTTTGTTTTCGCAGAAAGTACTGAGCAGTTATAAGTAAATGTGTCTAATGAATTGACAAAAGTTCGTTATAACAAAACTGTTTAAACAATAGCACAAATATATATGTATATTCTTTTGCGATATTTTTAAGCATTCTTTTCTTTTGTTATTTTTTATGTTAGCAATTTGTTACTTTTAGCACCTTTTGCGAATTATATCATTAACACAAATGTAAGCAAAGATTACCAAGTTATATGTCAACTTTATGAACCGTTTAACATTTTTTTGTTTTATTTATTGTATATCATAAAAACGTTCATTGTATTTCAATTTAGTAATCATGCGAATAAGATTTTCATAACATTGTGCTTGGTCTTTTCAAGACAATTAGCTTACCCCAAGTTTCCATCGTCACATTACATATGGAAAGTTAACAGTTTTTTAATACTTTGCTGCACATTATTGTATAAAAGCTGATTTTATACAATAATGTGCAGCGATGTTTAAAGATTTGAGAGAGGTCGGATATAGCGGGATTGATCTTACTCAAGTTGGAGAAGAACAACGAGGCTAAAGTGGCTTAAACTTCCGCCTTATAGAATATTGCATACAAATGAAGCTGCTCTCATGTTGTGTTCTGAATCGTGATTCTGTTATAAATATGGTATCCACTGTTCCAGCCCTAGTTAAGTCGGTCCTATAGTAGCTCGAATTAAAAAGGACTTCAAGATTTCAGTTATTAAACGAAAATTAATTGCAGCCTCAAAATCTAGTAATTAAATAGCCACCAGAGCTAAGTTCTATTTCGAGGGTTCTGCCGAGGGTAATTTTGCTCAGTCGTCTATACCACCATTATGTATGGCCGATTCTAGTCTGTTCCACAGCGTTAAAGAGAAAGCCTATATCTACAGGTTATTTTCTTTTTGCTTGCAACTCGATTTTGACGACGATTGTAGCAACGCACCGCCAATCTCCCCATACTTTGGACATACTATTCCTGCAATCTACATGACGGAGCCATACCTGAAGAAGCAGGCCAATATGACTTTCGCTACGGTTCTATTGTGGTTCTGTTCTTCTCACTGACTGCTGGGCTTCTGCCATTAATTCAAACTCAAACTCAAACTCAAACAACTTTATTCAATATAGAAGTATTACACTTTCTTATTGATGGTCATTTGAGACTACCACCGGTTCGGAAAAGAAAATACCCTGACCTGAGAAGAACCGGCGAAAGAAACTCAGCGGTTTTTTTTTATATATATATATATATATATTTCTCTCATATATTACAATATACACAATTTAATATGAGATGAAATAGCCAGGAGGCGAGCGTTTCATTCCCAAGGTGTGCTATCGTTCATAAACTCCTTAATTGTATAGTAACCTTTTGCACACAAGCGTTCCTTAATAATTTTTTTAAATTTAGCAATAGAGGCATTTTGAACGCTTTCTGTGATCCTGTTTTAAAACCGTATACATTGCCCCACAAAGGAGTTACTGACTCTATGTAGTCGAGTAACAGGAGTAACAAGTTTATGTTTGTTCCTTGTACCAATGCTATGAGTATCACATTTTCTCATGAAATCATTAATATTTTTTCGTACATACATAACATTGCAGAATATATATTGAGAAGCAACAGTCAATATCTTGATTTCTTTAAATTTATTCCTTAACGATTCTTTAGCTCCTAGGTTATAGATTGCGCGAATAGCCCTCTTCTGTAGCACAAATATAGTATGGATAGCGGCTGCGTTGCCCCACAGCATAATACCGTATGACATTATACTGTGAAAGTAACTGAAATATACTAAGCGAGCCGTATCAACATCGGTACATAATCTAATTTTTTTGACCGCGAATGCCGCAGAACTCAGTCTACTCGCCAATCCGCTAATTGGCAACCAACCTTAAAATAGGGAAATAATTCGATCACGTATAACGCCGAAGCATTCCAAAACTCTGACTATGGAATAAACTCCATGCTGAGGATTTTCCAAGGAATTTAAGTATAGAGTACTTCATAAAATCGGTGTTTGAAGAATATGAAACACGCAAATAATACCCCTAGTATTTCAGGCGGAATTCTTTAGCCGATCGTGGTCGTGATCAGATCATCCTGACTTAAGTGTTACATAGTAATAGTTAAAGTGATGTATGTATATTTAAAAACTCAGAGAGTATTTGGCTTTAAAATATTGGTGAAAAACTTTGAAAAAATCTGGATCAGTAGACAATTATTGAAATGTACCTCCATGTTCACGAATGTTTTTTGTTTAGCAAGTTTTTTCTTTTTTTTTGTAATACTCTCTATTTGTTTGCGCACACTGTATTTTAATTATAACTGATTTGTTAAGTTTGTTTATTTCTCCTCGAAGTGATTATATCTTGAGAAATAAAGTGATTTTGAAACCGTATTTACGTGAAAAACTTTATATCCAGATTGTGTACCCCCTAATGTAAAGTAAAATTGGTTACCCCTAATGTCTGATTGTGCTTTGAATATCTTTTATATTCGTCCGATATTTTCCCATCGTCCCCTATTTTTAGGTCATTGTTATAATTTTTGATACAAGTTGTCTAATTACTTAAATATGTACTTCTTTCTTTTAATCACCTAATGGGCAATTTTTTCTTCAAGACTGACTACTTTTCTTTATTTAGTCGTGTTAAAAATAGTTCTTGGATTTAAAAAAACCAGTTAATTCTTTTTTTAGGTGACTTTTTAGATCGTGAACAACGAGTGAAAAAGTAGGAACTATGTTTACACTTAACAAATTGTATCAGGTTTTAATTAGATAAAAGTCTCTTTCCCCGTGACTCCTTAAACTTTTTCAGCCTCGTTGATGACGTAGTTAAAGTATCATCTGTTATAATTATCGGTGATCAAAGGTGGCCTCCACGGAGGAGATACCAAAGCATTAGCAACAATATCAAAACACAAGAGGTAGCGGTCGCCCTGGTTGGCGAACTCGCTACTAACGCTACAGCCTTACGACGGGCGTGCCGTAGGTACATCTGGTTTCCAACATCGTGATATAAGAAAAAAACAACAGAAATGGCAAACGAATCGTATGTACTGTAACGATGAAAACATGTGCTAATTTTACAGGTTATGTTGCGAAAGGCCGCATAATTCATATATCAATACATACATATTACATTAATTGAGACTAGTTATTTTTTTACTATTTAATTATTTTATAAACTCGTTGGATTTAGATATTAGCTAGATAAAAAGACCGACAAGAAAATATTGCATTTTTTTTTCATACATATCGACTGTCGTGTGTACAGTCATGTACCTACATTTAGTAAAACCGGTTAATTTAATGTTACCTTCAAAGAGCCATTCATTTTATTTCTTTATATAAATATTGATTTTAAAAAAGACATAATTTCAAACATAAACTTTGATTTAATAAATCACTTCACTTCTTCAAGAAACATAATAAACATCAGACCTTATTGAAAATAATATTGTTGTTGAACATATTATTAAATTATAAATTTATTATTTTGAAACTTTCAATAATCCAAATTCATAAAATGTATGTAGCAAAAACCAGCACGTCAGTTGAGCTACTTCGAAAGCTTCGTTCAAGACTTTCGTGAATATTTGCTTACTTCTACTCTTCATGGACTTCGTTACGTCGGTGAAAAAAAACTCACCTGGTTTGAAAGGTAAAGTATTTTATAAATAATTTCAATGAAAATAAAATGAAATTTTGATTTTTTATTACGTAATTGTAGTGTCTTTGGGTAAGATAAATGACAATAATTCGTTGTAGATTATTATAATTAATAATAATTTAAGAATTAATTTAAATATTTTGTTATATTTCAAGGTTCTTCTGGCTAGCCGCATTCTGTAGTGCTATTGTTTGTGCTGCATTCTTCATCTTAAACGTATACGCAAAATGGAAATTGTCTCCAATGATAGTCAGCATAAATCCCGAAAATATCCAATTGAATAAACTTCCGTTCCCTGCGATTACCATTTGCAACGTAAACCAAGCGAAGAAATCTGTAGCTGAACGGTACAAAAACGACGGGTAAAAACATTTGGCACCTATTTATAGACCTATTTTATAGTCTTGATTAAATTATTGTAAACTCAATAGCTTGTCCTTCACTCGCTTCTTATACAAACCTAAATACAATGAACCCGAAGACAGAATTGTTATAAAATACATACATAGTTAAATGAAAAATAATTAATGTAAATAATTAAAGCAACAGATCAATTGCAAAGAGTTTACAATACCTTTTTACGTACATTCGATTAGATTCCTATACTTATTTAGAAAAAAGAAATCCTACAGCCAGGTGCTTAGTAGGTTGAACCTGCCACCCATTGCTAAATTTGTTACAAAATGTTAATTTACATCTTCTAAGATTCTAAAAAGTATCGTACAATTGTTTATAAAATCAATAAATTTACACTAAATGTTTAACTAGAATTATTTTAAGTAGCCGATTAAAATTTTTATTTCTGTTAAAGTGCTAGAGCCTACTTTCACATTTAATATGACATCCATTCAAAAGTATGTATAACCAATTCTTTGAGAAAAAAAATCATAACTTATTCTCGTGTTGATTTATAAAAAATACATTTCATACCGATAATTTAATTCTTTATTTCTAATGATTATATCATAGTTAGGAAAATCTGTTTTCGAATCTTCAAAACCCATCCATGAAGACTTATGACAATCCCTTAAAATTTGAAACTTAAAACATATAATTTTTAACGCAGGGGACTGATAGACAAAAAGTTGTTAGAAAGTTTGTGCTTGTCGACACCGGATGCAGATATCTTTGAAAACGAATTATCTGAAAAAGCTGACTGGGAACATACACGGTCCTTTCTTATAAACGTAAGTTAGACGATATAATGGAAATAAAATAACAGAACCTTTTTTAAATCTGCTGTTTCATTTTTAAGATAACTCAACCGTGCAACGAGATGTTGGCGATGTGTATTTGGGACTCCATCAGAATGAGTTGTCAGGACTTATTCAACGCTCAACTAACCGATGAAGGTCTTTGCTGCACGTTCAACGTCGTTCACAGGGAGAAAATGTTCAGGAATCCGTAAGTTATCCTACTTTCCAGGAGATTTATCTTTCATTGGTAGTTAATAATATCGTTGAGGTAATAATATAATCATACACCTGGCACTTTGTGTATCCTTTTATTTTTTCTGCTAATAATAACTAGTCGATTAAAATAAAAATATCCATTTAAGGAGAGAGTTAAACGATATGAACATAACTTTTCCAAACCCATCCGTGGAATGGACCCCTGAAAGCGGTTTTCCTGATGATGCTCCTCCCGACGGATTTCCCTGGAGGCCTCAAGGTAATTATTGCAAATTACACAAAAATATCTCCTATCTTATTATTTATTTTACATCAATGATATCTAAGTTTTTAAAATAATTAACATCAAAAGCGTTTAACATCAGAGGCAGCATCACTTTGTATTGAAGACTTAAGTTATGGAGTTTCGTAAACAAAAAGAAGAATTTAATTACAAAAAATAAATACTAAGTCTACATGAGATAAATTTAATTCATTAATTATAACTTGTATCTTCGTTTCAATCTTTTAGTATTTAGTAATTTTTTTATTAATTAAAAATAATCATTACAACTTTTTAGTGTCAAAACATTATTTCTATAACTTGCTTTACAACACACAATGTAGGAACACTATTTACTAAATATAGCAAAAATCAAGATAACCATAGTTAAATGTTTAAGAGGAACTTTATTAAAATGGTCACAATTTCTTTCATTCAGGAATTGGCACCGACCATGGTTTGACATTACTACTTGATGCTAATGTGGCTGAATATTACTGTTCTTCAACAAAAACAACTGGATTTAAGGCAAGCAAACCTTATAAGTAAAACAAAAGATCTCACTCATATCTTTTTCACAAACAATTTAATCTTCACGTTTTTGCCGTGTGACATTGTTAATCTTATGAGATTCTGAGTTCACTGTACTATAATTTACTAGTTACATAATTTTCTTACATAACAAAAAATCTCTGTCCATACTAAGTTTATAAATATAAGACCTATTTAATTTTATATCTAATTTCCAAATATCTCATATACATGAACTTCAAAATATATATTATACATTTTTTCTGTTTCCTCTAATACAATCGTTTATTTTTACAGGTCCTTTTACACAATCCGATTGAAACTCCCAACATAGCAAAGTTAGGAGAGGTATATGGGCCGGGAATTGAAGTGAGAGTTGCTATTGAACCAAAAATTCTGGATGCAAATCCATCATTGAAACATATTGATATCAACAAAAGGCTTTGCTTATTCTCAAGTGAAAAAGAATTATTTTTCTATAGGTAACAAGAATTTTTTGACTTTCTTTTTGTAATTTTGACTTATACATCTACATTATATCTGCTTATTGCAGTTATAGAATTGGAACGTCAATTAATTATTTGCAATGTCTTACATTAAAATTCTTTGCAAACAGTTTTGTCCCTGACAAAGCATGTCTTTTATGTTGCTTATGCAGAGTCGTGCCAAACACAGATCGCAATGTCGATATTGAGTTATTTCGCTATCACTCCATCAAAAATCTTATAACTATACTCTGAAATATAGATGAAAATTAAACATTCACTTTCATTTTCAGAACATACTCGTTAAGAAATTGCGAAATGGAATGTGAGGCTCGCGCAATGTTGGATGTTTGTAAATGTGTCTTGTACTATATGCCCAGTAAGAAAAAATATATTGGAATTTTATTTGACGTACAAGATTCTCTTTTTGAATATATAAACATTCTAAAATGTTTTTCAAAACATAATTACTAAGACAAAAAAATGCCATATTTTAAACAACCAACCAAAACAAATTAAGTGTTTTTTTTTTTTCAGAAAATAAAACTACACGCGTATGTGGTACGGAAGATGCTAAATGCTACAGCGATATGAGAAAATATGTTCTTAATGGTATCAATAGAATTTTACTAAAAGATTAATCAATAAGAAAATTTGTTCATTATGTGACAATCACAAAAAGGAATTCGCATGATTCGCTCGATATATATTCGCTCAATATATAATATAAGTTTTTTACATTTTCAACTTAATCTATTTACTTCTTATGTATGGTCATTTTATATGTTTGTTAATTTTCAGGACGTACCCATAATTGTGATGAGTGTCTGCCAGCTTGTACTGAAATCTCATACACCGAACGCCCAAGCTCAGCACCACTCAATAAAGAACTAATAAAAAATTACATCAACTCCCTAAACCTGGCAGCAAACCGATCTCCAGAATATTTCATGTATATTTTATTGTTAAATCAAAATGAAATTAAGAAGAATAAATTTCACCCATCCTTACAATACGTCTATCATGACGTCATCCTAATTCTTGCAACGAACAATTTTATTTTCTAATTCATACTATCGCTTCTTGAACACAAATATACACAGTCAAACAAAGCAGTAATAAAAACTTTAATCTACTTTTATTTCAGAAGTAACATGTTAATCGTACATTTTTATTTCGAAAACAATTCGTTTATGAGATTTACGAAAGAAGAAGTCTTTGGGCTAACAGAGTTCTTATGTAAGTGATTAAGTCTTTACTACCGTGTTATCAGTTACATTGATGGCTTCATTCTAATCCATTACTATTAAGTATTCTGTATTTCTAAGTATGTCTCGGATCGTCAAACAACAAGTGTTAACAGATTTCCATTCATACATTTTCACACGTAATTGAATGAGAAGCGGGAAACGCTGAGAATGACGTTGCAACTTGTATATTTGTACATTGGGATATATACATACATAAAAGCTAAAACAACTATTGTATGCTTTGACACGAGTTGCGTCTCATGCTTTTAACATCTTTTATGTGTAGGCTACAAGTATTGACAGTGGAAAAGAAAAAAGAAAAAATATAATAAAAAAATAGGAAGATAGATACAAAGATATAATATCATTGATCTTGTTATTTTCTGTTTTATCTCACAGCAAACACTGGTGGCTTACTGGGGCTATGCTTGGGCTTCAGCATGATGAGCGTCGTCGAACTCCTCTACTACTTAACACTACGAGCACTCTGTGTGGCTCGGAAGAATAAGTCTGTTAGACCTTTTGTAAGATAGATAATAATAAATTAAGTAATTGAGTATAGACGATTTGTATGTATACTTATTTAGTTTTTCATCGCTTTTGTATTAATGTATATGAACAAAATTTAAAAAATAAGTAACATTGACATGTTTTATCGTGTTAGAGGCAAAAGGTGTGATGATTTAAACTATAGTTAAAGATAATAATTCATCGAAGATGGAAACGACCATTAACCTATCAGAATGGATGAAATATCATATTCGATGCAATTTCTGTCAGACAAAGTACTCAAGGTAATCTTTAGGTATACTAGCCCAAATAGCGGATACGCTGTTATCTGTATCGAATATAAACTGCTGACAGAGTTTGTCAAGCATTTCACCCTGAAAGAATCTTTGTAACAAGAATAAAATTTGCTTTTAAGCTTTTCGAAATAAAGAAATATCAAAATTCTCTGATTTTTCCTTCCTGATATTCAGTGGCGGCGTAAGGCGTGGGCGACGTGGGCCACCGCCTACGGCCTCGCGGTACAAGGGGCCTCGCGGCTGAGGCTCATTTTAAAGGGAGATTCAAAAAATATATTTATAAATAAATGTTGTTTTTAAACGTATTTTCTTAGACTGGCAACATTTGCCACCGACCAGAGTGCGGGGAATCCCTGGTTTTATTTGCTTACGTTCTTTACTTGGAAGCCAACCAATCAAATTACGCAACGCAGTCACAGGCACATACCAAAAGAAACGCATAATTTAATAGTTATTTAATATTGTTTACTTTTATGACTGTACTTACCTATTTTGATAAGAATAGTGTGTTCAACGTTTTAATAATATTTAGCGAATAAATAGATAGTGTTTAAGTACATTGGTTGCTCCTGAAAACAGTGACGTTTTTTGTTTTTGTATTCTTTGTGATTTGTAATACCTACACCGGTACATACATAAAGTAAGAAATATTAAATTGAGAATAAGTATGTAACGCAGTAATTACTTGTATATGTATAAAATACGCTTTATAATATCTTTTGAAGGAAACCAAAGCTTTAAGGGTTAAAGTTTTTAAAACTAGCAGGTAGTAAGAGGTTCAGGTTGCCATAGAACAGGGCCTCGCGAAATCTGTCTTGCCCACATCAAATTTAGTTCTTGCCCCGCCACTGCGGGTGGAAACCCCTACCAGGCACCGCTAAATTATAAGCGCGAGCGCGAGGAACATATATCTGAGCGAGTGCGAGTAAGATAGTGCGCTGGGTCTATTGCGAGCTTCTATTGCGCATCAGCTGTCATTTAGCAATGTATTCTGTGTGAACTATTTTATAATTTAACAAAAAAAAATCTTACATAAAATTATTGAAGAAAGAAAATTTAATTTTAGACAAATTATGCAGAAAAATAGTCTTTTCAATAAGTTATTACATCAAAAATCTAACAGTTTAATCAAAACTGCTTTAAAAATTTCTAAACTTCATTTCAATATTTATTCAAATTAGAATCACAATTTTAAAAAAAAATTATTATGGGAGGGCATAAGTATATATTTTATGGAAATATGTTCTAACTGCAGAAACAAATTATGAGACAGGTAAAAGAACCATCGAAACTGCCTGACTACTGATCAAATATAATTTAATACTTTCCTCAGTAACATATGTAAAAATCAGCTTATAAATGTACTATAACGAAAGTACAAATAAAATTACTTATAATTTAGGGGTTGCCACCCGACTAAGTGCCTGGCAATGGACAGAGTGATTTCTAAGATTCTTACGATGAAAAAATATCAAAACTGAATTTTGTACTAGGAGGAAAGTGAAAGACAATTTTATACACTTTCAAAACTTTCTTTGAAAAACTTTCAGCTTCTATGTATTAGGCCTGGCTGGCCCTGGCTCTTGCTCTATTTAATTAATTTACTATAAAATATTTTGTGACAGCTTTATTCACATATGTATTATAAATAGGAATAAGTATGATAAGAACCGTATATTTGTTCAAATCAAAAACCTCTCCAGTAATATTGAAATGTTAGATTAATGATTTGATGTCTGAAAATAAGTAATAACAAATCTAAAAAGGATTGATTTATTTGTACTCAGTAATTTAGCTTCTATTAATTGTAAGAGTAATTTGACAGATCAAAAAGCTACCTTATTTAAGGTGTATTATATTTAACATCACAATATTTCCTCTTCTTCTATCATGGTCACAGACATTGTTATTCTCATATGTTTTTGTCAAGCACACACATAGGTAATGACTTTACATGCAACCAATAAAAAGATATTTTAAAAAAGTCTATATTTACACTTATCAATTAAACACATGAAAATTTCAGTCTCAAAGTATCATTAAAGAATATTTACTTTGAACATTATAAAATATTTGTTACATTCAAGACCACAGAGAAACTTATAGTCCCAGATAATATTAAACTTCTCTTTAACAGCATTGACCAAGTTATTAAATCACTTCATACTAAGTGTTATATATATAGTTGACGATGGTCAATCTGTAATATTTTCTTCTCAAGACTGCTGTCTTGCCGGTGGATGGGGCGGAGCTCCCGCTGCGGGCGGCGCTGGTGTATCCGGGGGCTGTAGAGTACGCGTTCGTCGCCGAGTATAATGTTGCCACAACAGAATAGCTTGGTCATCCATAAACTTGCACACCTGGAATGTAATGATTGGCATTAATTAATAGAATAACACTTAAGAGGATTCCCTACACTTGATTAACATATTTACTTTGGACAACAGATAATAATTCAAAAAACATTATCAATATATGTTTACCACATACTTTAAAAGTCAGAAGAAAAGACAGAAGTCTAGAATAGTATAAAAAATATCTATAAAATGATATAAACTACATGTGTAGCATAATAGAATCCGATATAACTATGAAATCTTAGAATGTGTTGTACAAGGACACGAAAAGACAGAAAAATAGAAGTACACTATTCAAAAAGGTGAACAATAACCATACAACAAAAATGTACTTGAAAATGTATTAATAGCAAACCCCTTTTTTGATTGGTCGGTTGTTTTAAATGTGACCTTCATCCATGCAACGGATATTCATAGATATTATTAATAAGTTATTGCTATAAATTGTTATTTGCTAATGCTCAATAAAAACAGTGTCCTATCACTATGGGAGTCACAATACAAGTTTCTTATATTATTTTCTAAACTATTTTTTGACTTCCAAAAGTTAATAATGCGAAATAACATATAATCATAGCATAAATCTTTTAAAACAGAAGAAATCTTATGTTTTTAGTTATAATGTCTATATATTTTAAAAATATACAAAGATGTATGAAGTACTAATAATGTACCCTTTTCATTTATATCATTATTTTCTACAAGGAAAATGAATAGGCAAACCTGAGCCGATACACATTCCCGTCGGAAGGCTTCATGCTGCAATAGTTCTAGGAAGTGTAGGCACATAGGGTACTTAAGATAGCGGGCATATTCTGGATCGCGCCAATACTGTAGATACTTTAAGTAATTTATGAATGGTTGTTCTTTAAGATAGCCCCTCTGTGCTAAAACTGAAATACATTCTAATGAATCACTCAGTAATAAATGTTTTATTATACTTCTTCAGTACAACACCTTTTTCACTCATTAAATAATTTATTCGTAGGACCTTAAACTTGTTTGTCATAAAATGAGTTATTCAAAATTTACTTACAATGAATGTAATTAGGGTTTGCTAAGCATTGAACGAACTCTAGTTCTACTTGAAACCTTATTCTATTCTGTTCGTCCGTCTCCATTACTATAAAAAAACAATCGTTTAAGAACGAGTCGTGGAAAATAGAGAGAAATATTATCAAACTGTCATAGTGCACCTTTTCCGGCCATCATTTTGAAAGGCCGTACTTGTTAACCGCTCTTATTATAGGTGTTACTATTTTAACATTAAACAATTCGACAACAATAATATGTGGCAAAAATGCATGCAACTTTGTAGCTATGTAACGAGAATGGAATTAGTGTCATAAATGTGAATATTTGAATTTGACATGATCACAGACCAGATAAAGCTATACAATATTGATACTCTGAAATTGTATAAAATATTTGTTATTGGTAACGTATTTTGAAACTATATAAGAATTATTCAAACGCAGATTTAACAGTTTTACTTGGCAAGTTAAATTCATAATAATTAATTTAAATTAAACAAACAGAGAGAGTGTTTATCTGTGTATTATTGTCAAAATGACCAATGAATGACATTTAAAAAATTATATGGGTATTCTAGAATCTGTGAATTATTAACAAAGAGGGCGAAACACTTCCTCAATTCAAAGTTATAAATTTGATACTCCTATAGATATATTCACTTGAATAATTTGTTAGTGTTGTTTTTTATTTTATATTAAAATTTAAAAGTGTATACGTGTCAGTATTAAAGATGTCAGGACATAGGTACATCAGCAACTCTAATAATCTTTTTGAGGACGACGATGTAGACGATGACACCTTTGTCAACAGCTACAGACCAAGAGTACCACCCCCAGCGCCAAAAGCATCTCCTTATTACGCAGATTTGGAAAGACAGAAACAGGCCTATTTGGAGAAGCAAAAAGAAATTCATGAAAGAACTGTCGAATCTTCTTTCAGGAGCATAGGTCTATTGCGTGATTCTGAAAATATAGGAATCGCTACTGCTGAAGAACTTGCTCGTCAACGTGAAGCTCTCGAAAATACTAGCAGGCGGTTGGACGATATTAATACCAACTTAACTACAAGTCAAAAACACTTGAATGGAATAAAATCAGTTTTTTACGGCTTTAAGAACTATTTATCTGGTAAAACTGAACAAACTCCTCCCAAAAGCACCGCATCCCCTAGCTCTAGAAGCTGGAAAGCAGGCACTAGTAGTAGGGTAGAAGAAGCAACAAGTAGTGGAAGTGAACCAGATAATTTTAGATCTCATCCAACCACCCGATTAAGAGGTCTAGATGTTCAAACGCCCTCTGAACCAATGTCAGATACTCAAAACTTGAATAAAATACTTGACGCCAACCTTGATGAAATGGTCACCCATATAACAAGACTTAAAGGTCTAGGAATGGCTCTGGGTGAAGAAATTGAAACCCAAAACAACCTCATTGATGAAATCCATGACAAAGCTGATATTGCAGACATTAAAATTGGTCAACAAAATAAACAAATGAATAAGCTTCTAGGCAAATAAAGGGTACAATGTTAATATATTATAAATAAAGGAAATCTATATTGTTATAGAGGATAAAAATGCATGTAAATTGTAGATATAATAGTCACTTGATAAGCTATCTTGTCATGAAGTATATGAAACTTGTTTAACATGTTTAATAAAATTTGTTGAGATGTTCAATTTATACATATAAGCACATTTGGTTATTTTGTTGGTCTAGGAACAATATCAATATGTTATCTCTAAATTTATTATGTGTATTATGATAACAGTTTTATCAATAAGTACACTAACAATATGTATGTTTTATATAAATATTTTAATTAATGGTAACCATAATATATACTTTTCTATACAATGTTTTTTCAATATTTTGTAAGAGAAAGGAAATTAAGAAAAAAGAAGAGTACTAAGAAAGTTCATTTATGTAATGTTATTTATATATTAGTAATATCAAGTGTTATACTGTACATATATGTTATTAAACTTCAAGTGTATTCATTGATTCATTACTTCTAACATTCTTCAATTTTCAATAAGGAAAATTCCAATAACTACTGTAAACCATATAGTCCAAAAAAGTTTAGGCTTATATCCTTAGTATTATTTTATAAAAGAAATAAGCAATCATCATTACAATAATAATTTCGTTTTAGTACATATCTGCACATCTTAGTAGTTAGTATAGTTTAAAATTAGTTCCATGATTGTATTTAATTAAGACTACAAATGTATTTCCAAGCTTTTATGTATTATAAATAAAACAAACATACACGGTTACATCTTTATTTTAAACTTAAATTTCCTTAAAATTTACGAAAACAAAGCTTGTGATATTCTAATAATTCTATTTAAATGATTGATACTGGTGAGCAAAAATCAACTACATGCTCTGAAATAACATTGCTCTGGGCATTATGGGCCCTTACATGCTTCTGCAATACTCTCTTGTTAGCCAACTTCTTCCCACAAATACTGCATGAAACCTCTCTGTTGGAATGAGATTCTTTATGGATTTTCAGACCAGATGATGTAGCAAATCCTTTATAACACACATCACACTTATGAGGTCTCTCACTAGTGTGTGTATGTGCAATATGCACTACTAAAGAATGTTTAGTAGCAAAACTCCTGTCACAATGTGTGTACAGGCATGCAAATGGCCTGGGTTTCTGTTGACCCAAGTGAGTCAGTCTATGAGCTCTCAAATAAGTAGCCCTCGTGTATGTTTTAGGACAATCAGGACAAGCAAATTCTTTTAAGCCTTCGTGAATCTTGATATGCATCATCAATGTAGATTTTGCTGTGAATCTCTTGTCACATGTAACACAAGCAAACAATTTGCGATTACTGGAATGGGCAACCCTAAAATGTTCTTTAAGAGATTGCCTTGATTTGTAAGTTTTGTTGCAGAAACCACATTTAAACTGATTGATGTCAATGTGGGACACTAAATGCTGCCTTAGGCCACTGGATGTGTGGAATGTTTTACCACATCTTGGGCAAAGATATTTGCGGAAATCAGTATGTTTCGCCATGTGATATCTCAGACTGTAGATCCTGGTAAATGACTTTGCACATATAGTACATGAATAGCGTTTCTCAGCCTCTTTACGCTGAAGTCGCTCTGTGGATGTTATTTCAGTCACAGGAGGTAGAGGTGTTAGTTCCTTATTTTCAGGTATTTCTGGTGCAAAATCAATAGCTGGGTGACTATTAAAGAGAGGAACATCATATTCATGGTCCTGATAAACAACATTTATATCAATGGAATTTAAATCAGCACTCTGCAAATTATTTGGTGTAGATTGTATGGCGAAAATTTGCGATAGTGTAACATTGGCTTTTAAGCAATTTAACTTAAAGTTATAAGCCAGCAATGCAGTAGAAACACAAGAAGCACACATTCCTTGGGGCCAGTTTTCTTCATCATTATTCTACAACAAGTTAAACAGAAAAATTATTAAACGTAATCTAAAAAAAAATTATATATATAATAAATAAATTAATACATACTTCCAGACAATTCAGAAAGACTAAGATGTCTATAAGCTTTATTTTATTCATTTCATGTTCAATCAAATCTTGAATATTCCTATACATAGTTGGATCACAAGCATCAAATTCTAATAAACAGGTTCGACATATGTTTTTTGTTGCAGGTATTATTATGCTTGTGTACTCCATCTTTTCTTCTTCAATTGCGATTCATAGTAATACCATATCATGATCATAAGAGCGTGGAAATCCGATGAACAAATACGCTTGGAAACACTCCGAGCAACGCGATCGGAAATTAAAACAGAAAGTCAGATTTTAGAATCAAAAACCCTTTTTTCTTCCATTGTTCATGACATACAAGCAGGCTACAGTAGTAGCCATAATGCTCTACTAGTATTGAATCTATACCATAGTAAACGGACAAATTGATTTTCATAAACTAAATTAAAAAAATAAATGAAAGTATAAAATATTTTTATACAGTTTTCAGTAATATACTTAGCACTTGTCTTTTAGCGATTGATGTCGGAATATTATATTAATTATATAAAACAGTTATTTCTTCCGGAATTCTGGCAACGTTTGCTGAGAATTGACGATAGCTTAACGTCAATCCTAAATCCTGCCTTTTTGACGTACAGCGTGCGTCGTGGGCAAATATTGAACCTGTTTTAATTTTACAATTAATCAAATTTTTTACGGAAAACCGTGTTTCTTTTGAAAGTAAGTACATCAAAACTAAATATAAGAACCCATAGTTTCAATTTAAGATGCATTAAAACAAATACTAATAGACTAACCTCTACTATGTCCTACTACTTAGACATCTTGTAACCTACCATTGCTAAAACAACTAAAAAATAATAATATTTTACAGAGTAATAAAATCTAATTAAAATGAGTCGGTTCTTCGCAACTGGAACTGACTCCGAGTCTGAAAGTTCATCTGAAGAGGAGCAGGTAGTAAGAGCACCGGCGCCCGTTTACACGGTGAGTCTGTTACCTAATTATTCAAGTAACATTATTGGTGACAAAGATCCTGTTAATACACAAAATGTATAGTTTCATACTGATCTTAACGAGAGTGGACTAAAATTAAGATTTACTTTTAATGAACTTGTTTAGTTTTATAAGATCAACACCCAAAAATTATCATTCTACTTTAGATAAATAGTGTTAGATAATTTAGTAAACCTTAGGTGGGATTTCTTACCAAAGGCTCATATTTGAATAATGAAAATTTTTATATTAATTTAAATGGGAGTATTTAACTTTCACAAATCTATAATCAACCTTATCTATCTACTTTAACCACATATATATCACTTAACTAAATGAAATGAAGCTTGAACTAAAAGAGCTAGATTTTATTTAAAGAGTATGACTCCTTTCAAAACCATGTTTTAGTGTGTAGTACTAAAATGCTTTTTATACCTAATTTGTATTAGAGTATCTTATAAATGTCATTTACAATCGGAATTTACTGATAGAATTACTAATGACAAGAGTATAAGTTTAGCCTGCTAATTTGTCTTAAATATGAGTTAATATTACATCCCCCTATAACTAGCGTTGCCAGGCGTCTGGATAAAGCCGGAAATAGTTCGGCTTTATGATTACATGTCCGGCCAAAATAAACGGTGTCCGTCTTGTCCGGCTTTTGTTAGGCTTTTTACATTTCGCAAACAAGCGAGCAATACCGCCGCGCCGCTGAGCGCAGGCGACGAGAGTCGACTACCGAACCGAAATGCCGCCCGTCGTATAAGCGTATTAGCGCATAAGAAATGGGTCTTCTTCTTCTTCTAAGTCAATACGTTCTTGGCAGAACGGTCGTGGTCATCATGATGTGCGGTGGCACGCTTCACAACACGTCGCCACACGTCTAAGTTGTTGATAACTTTCTTGGGAATATAGTGCAGTGGTTTCCTCTTGCCTTCTGCACCAGACATTTTAGGAGCTATTTAAACTCTAAGGTCGCTGTAGCCTCTTCCTACTGAAGATGACGTAGATACTTTAGTAGGGCGTATGGTTATACCGCCATTGCTCGGTCGCCATTGCCTCGTCCGTTATCTAGGAGTACTCCTGTACAGGAAACCGGACCAGGTTTCAAAGCGTTGGCTATAGCCTCTACTCTGGTTGGAGATTTAGCTCGAGTGTTTATTGTAGTCATGGTAGTCAGTCAGTCAAGAAATGGGTAGCCTATTTTAAATCGCTGGTAAGTCGAGATCGCTTTTCAGAATTCCTAACTATTTGTCAGCATTACTTTACTTTCCCAGGACATAATGCAAACGTTGAAAGAGTTTTTTCCTTGATAGGATAGCAATGGACAAAAGAACGCAACAGATTACATGTTGATACTGTTTCCAAAATGTTGTTTGTAGAATTTAATTTAAAACATTTGACATGTAAGGTTCTATACAACTACATTTTGAAAGAAACTGAGCTCTTAAAGCAGGTTTCGACAAACCAAAAATATTAATAATTATTTTTATAGTGTAACTCAAAGAGAAAAAGTATTTTTTTTGTTTTATAATTTAACTTAAAAAGAACTTATTATTTTTTTTTAGTTAAATATGTCTTATTTGTTCAAAAATGTTTAGTTATCTAGAATTTATTTTTATTGTGTAGCTCAAAGAGAATTTTTTTTTATTTGTTTTATTTTTTTAACTTAAAGAGAAGTTATTGATTTTTTTTAAAATAAAATAGTATAATTTGTGCCTTTCTTATTATTTAAGAAAAATTCAAATCTGTTGATAAATGCTTAAGTATATACATAGAATTTAATTTTGACTGATGACTATTTGACTGATTTGGCATTCAATTTTATTTCTTATTTCACTAGAAATTAACAAGATTTATGATAATAATCAAAAAGACTTGATTTTACATTAAAAAAAATTGTCGTACCTATTAATATTAAGACAAAATCCTCAATAATATAGGTTGTCCGTCTTCTTCAACCAAATGTCCGGAAAACTGGCTTGTCTGTCCGGCTAATAGGTTTGGCGACCTGGCAACGCTAGCTGTAACCATGGTAGTTTAAAGTAATCCATTAAGTAGACGAATTTATTTTTGTATTATATATAGGTATATATGTACAATATATTAATTGAGGCGCGGCATTTCCTGGATCCATTTCTACTAAATTTTCAAAGCTATATCCATGGACTTTACTGTATCTCTAAAAATAATTTCTTAAGTTTATTATTACAAAGTAATATAGATTTTTTTTTAATGATTTGTATATGCTAAAGCAATTGTAATTATTTTTATATGTACTGATATTTGTTTCTTTGTATAATGTTTAAAATATTATATCAAACAATGTTTATAAAGTAGTATATAACATTTTGCTCATATTAATGTTCATTCATAGTCTTATTTAATATTATTTATTAATATAAATATTATATACTTTAGTTAAATGATTTATCAGCGAATAAATATAGTAGATTAATGTTTTAGGCAATGAAACTAGTGTTAGTTCAACACTCTTCAATAGAATTTATCAAATAAAAAAATATGAGTTATATAAAGTATAAACCATTTCTAGAATTTAATAATAATAAAGGTTTATTAGCGGATGCAATATTTAATTAATAGTATGAAAGAAAATGAACAATCGTTCATTCTATTCTGTCTAATTAACTATTCTGTCTAATCAGACATACATCCAATTACATAATATAGTTTTAAATAAAGATCAATCTACACAGACCTCTCCATTTTTTATATTCTATCAAAGTACCTATAAATGTTTTTGATTTTATTAAATTATAGCCATTAATTATTTATTTCAACTCTTTTTTTAATATTATGCAATAATCGAATCCACTCTCACCTCTTGCTTTCTTAATTTAAACTAGACTGGAAACACTCTTAAATTATTTTTTATTATTGAAGTATACATTTTAAGTTTTGTCTCACAGTTCAGTGATGATGAAGAAGAAACTAAACGTGTTGTACGTTCTATGAAAGAGAAGAGATATGAAGAATTGGAAGGAATAATTCATTCAATTCGTAACCATCGTAAGATCAAGGACTTCGCGTCTGCTTTAGCTTCATTTGAAGAGCTCCAAAAGGCTTACACTCGAGCAGCACCTGTTGTCGCTAAGGAGGAGAACGGTGTTGCTCCACGGTTCTTTATTAGAGCATTGACAGAATTAGATGATTGGGTCTCGGGAGCATGGAATGACCGAGACAATAGGAAAGCTCTTTCAAAGGGTAACAGTAAAGCACTAACGTCCTTGAGACAAAAACTTCGGAAGTACATTAAGGAGTTTGATGCCGAAATATCCAAATTCCGTGAGAATCCAGACTTACCCGATGACGACGACGAGCGGAAAGGTTAGTCAGTTATAGTTTATTATATCAGGTTAATAGAAGTTATTCAATGTGTCTAATAAATTAATATATTATGTCCAGACACGTCTTCATCTGACGAATCCGAAGATGAAGAAAAGGTTAAAGAGAAGCCAAGAGTTCGCCGTTCACCGGAGCCCCAGCGTGGGCCGCCGCCTCAAGATGATGACTCATCGGACACATTCGACTGGGGTTCTAGTTCATCTGATTCGAGCTCAAGTTCCGACGATGAGACCAGGGCTGCAACAATACGAGAGAAGTTCTTGAAGAAGACCACGGAAAGGGATGACGATGAGGAGAGAGACAGGCGCCGTGCTAGGCGTGAGAGACGAGAGAGGGTTGGCAAAATTAGTAAGAAGGATCAAGCTGATGACGGTGGAGAATGGGAGACAGTGAGGAAGGGCGCCGCGACATCAGATAAACCGAAAATGTTCGCTAAGGTAATAGTTCTAAAATAATAATTACAAGGGAACTTTCAACTGTTACATAAATAAATTTTCTTTGTGACCCGAACCAGATAACACAGATGAATCTCACAAATTATTAATAAAACTAATTATTAATAAAACTATTATTTGTACAGGATAGCGACATTGATGCAGCGTTAGTAGTGAAGAAACTGGGTGAGATCAGTGCAGCTCGTGGTCGGAAAAGAACAGACCGTAGGGCACAACTGGAACTACTTCATGAACTCCGAACTGTGGCACAACAACACAACCTCGGTGATGCTCTTCAGCTCAAACTGCGCGCTGCAACTGTTGCGTCACTATTCGATTACAACCCCAAGGTCTCTGATGCCATGAAACCCGAATACTGGTCGCGCCTTGTAGAGAATGTGGATCAAATGGTCACCCTCCTCCTAGCCCATGAGGATATGATGCTAAGTGAGACGATCACTGAGGAAAATGAACAGCTGGTTACTCCACCATACAAAGTCAGAGGCTGCTTGCTGACAGCACTGGAGAGACTTGACGATGAGTTCATTAAGCTGCTTAAAGAATGCGACCCACATTCCAACGACTATGTAGAGAGATTGAAGGATGAAGTCAGGGTGTCCGCTCTTATTGATCGCGTCTGCCAAGTCGTAGAACGGGATGGAAGCCCGCAGGAAATCTGTCGCGCATATTTGCGTAAAATTGATCATCTTTATTACAAATTCGATCCTCGTGCTATCAAGAAAGATCTGCCACCAGGTGAAGAAACAACTATTAAAAAGATGGAACGTCTGTGCAAGTATATTTATGCTAACGATGATTCCGACCGTCTGAGAACTCGTGCGATACTATCGCATATATACCATCACGCCCTGCACGATAACTGGTTCCAGGCAAGGGATCTTCTACTTATGTCCCATCTTCAAGAGAACGTTCAACATTCCGATCCCAGCACTCAAATATTGTACAACCGTACGATGGCTAATCTTGGGTTATGTGCTTTCCGTCGGGGTAATGTCAAGGAAGCCCATGGTTGTTTGGCCGAACTAATGATGACGGGCAAACCGAAAGAGTTACTCGCTCAGGGCTTGCTGCCACAGCGTCAACACGAGCGGTCTAAGGAACAGGAGAAAATAGAGAAGCAGCGCCAAATGCCGTTCCATATGCACATTAATTTGGAACTCTTGGAGTGCGTGTACTTAGTATCGGCTATGCTGATTGAAATTCCATACATGGCTGCTCATGAATTTGATGCCCGTCGTCGTATGATAAGTAAGACATTCTATCAGAACTTGCGTGCGAGTGAAAGGCAGGCTTTGGTTGGTCCACCGGAGTCAATGCGTGAACATGCTGTGGCAGCCGCGAGGGCAATGAGGAGAGGAGACTGGCGCGCCTGTCTTAACTTTATTGTTAACGAAAAAATGAACGCAAAGGTAACTATCATATATCATAAATCGAATCACTAAATTTCGTTGTTAAAAAGAGGTCTGATTAATTATTATCTTTGTCTGTACAATTGGTGATGTCAATAAACACTAATCCAATTTCACAGTCTCTTATAATGTAATAGCAACTGCATATCTTTCTGATAAGTGATATAAACGATTGTGATTATAAAACGAGCGAGTAGATATATAACAAAATTATTTTAATTTATCATACTTGATTAAAAAATCGACATCCATGACGTATAAGGTTAATTATTATTATAGAAATTTATCTTTTCATAGGTCTGGGATTTGATGGTCGGAGCTGAGAATGTACGTGCTATGCTCGGTAGACTGATAAGGGAGGAGTCACTGAGAACCTATTTGTTTACGTATGCACATGTGTACGCATCGCTATCATTGCATTCGCTGGCTGACATGTTCGAACTACCAAGACAACGCGTTCATTCTCTCGTGTCTAAAATGATCATTAACGAGGAACTGCTGGCGTCACTTGACGATCCGAGCGAATGCGCTATACTCCATCGCTCTGAGCCAACCAGAATGCAAGCGCTGGCGCTGCAACTCGCTGATAAGGTTAAATATATTAAAAGTTATATTTTTTTATCCAGGCATATATAAAAAACTCTATACAGTTCATATATTCAGTCATTATAATGTGATTTTCTCAATCTCTATTTTCCTTATACAATGTGTAACTGATCTCATATACTAACCTAACTAACCATACCATTTCCACCAGGTGGGTAACCTGGTAGACTCCAACGAGCGTATCTTCGAGAAGCAAGGCTCGTTCTTCCAGCGCGGTGGAGCGCCGCGGGGGGAAGGCAGGCAGCGGGACAGACCGCGCGAGGGCTGGGGCCGCAGGCAGCGCAACAGGCGTCGAGACGACGAGCGCGCTCACGAAGACTAAACCCGGCCACGCCTTACATGAGCAACAGCTGTTGGCGCATACGCAGGAAGAGAACACTCGACCCGAACAACCAGGATACTCGCATGATTAAGAAGAGGAAAAAACACCACATCGGCACTGTTGAGCACATTTTTACATGTTGCAATTATAAGGCTCAAGAACAGAGGAAGACGAAAAATCAAGACAATGAACTTAATCAATCTTCTTCAGATCAAAAATCTTTGCATGTTTATAATATTTTAAATACTCCTTTATTGTGCCAGTTATTTTGGTATAACATCATGTGTCCAATTGTCCGCGATTGTAAGGAAATCCATAAGTACTACTTTTTTCTAACAAATATTTTCATTACTGAATTCTAGCGCTCTTCTATACTATTCGTTTTTTAATGTTTTCTTTGATCATACACATCAAACAACGTCAACATCTATGTCAACATTGGACTTGTAGTATAGAAGAGCGCTAAAAAACAATAATTATGACAATTACTTCATATTTCACTCTTATACTTCGGTTTATATGTATGCATGCAATAAACATATTTATCATTAGTATTCTTTTATTTATAAATCTATACACAGTCGACCTAAGAGCTAAACTAATTTCGGAGATTTTTCTGTAATTGAAAATTAAGACATAATAGTCGCTTTGTAAATATGTGTTGAATTTTAAGGAACAATTTTTTTTCTTTGAAATATTGAGTAGATAAAAGATATTAGAAATCACTTTTAATGTATTTTTGTTTAAATGTGTCAGTTTAAAACATAAGTAGTTTTTATGAGCTGCATCTTTACTGGTATATCAGCTAAAATACTGTAGTGTGTACGAAAGTGCGTGAAACTCATTTTGGAAAGATTGCAAGGAAATCAACAATTTTAATCTCACTTTTCCGAAATTACTGTAATCATAGATAACAAGTATTTTCTTAATAATACAGTACACGTCTACACTCAGTATGGAAGATTCGGTAAGAGCGGCTTGTGGATAAATTAATCAAATATTAGATGACTAATTTTAAAGAAACTCCGAACCATATAATTTTTCACTACTCCATACTTAATACCTCTCCTATAAGAAAATAAACTTTTTATTTGACATTTTTTTAATGTTATCGTATTTTTATTTAAATTTTATATATAATCTAAGGAATTTTTAACAAGATTTATCAAATCTTAAATTAAAAAAAAGTACCCAGTCATCACACATGAAAAAGCTATATATTATTACGGTTAACGGAACGGAGTGTAATGGCGGACATCGAATTTGCAGCGGGGAGGTGAATATATCACTGACATATTACTGAGTCATAATTTCGGTGTTACGAACTACTATGTTTTTTATGTGGATCTCTGTATAACGTAGTGCTTTAAATCATACAATAATTATAAATCCGTATTAGACACATCGCAATCTTATATTTTTACAATGGCTGCAACACGAAGACTTCAAAAGGTATGAGGCCGATTAAATTATTTCTGTACATTTACAAATAAGAAACCATTCAAAATGGAATAATTATTAAAATGAGATGTGTTTTATAAAATTATAGCATTTCATAATGTTTTGAAATCCTTATTTATGTAATTGCTTGATAATATGGGGTACAAGGAAAAATCTACTAAAGAATATTCTTTCAGGAACTAAACGATATCAGACAATCAGGACTGAAATCTTTTAGAGATATCCAAGTTGATGAGTCGAATATTCTTACATGGCAAGGGTTAATTGTTCCTGTGAGTATATAACAGGAAAATCATTTACATTATTGATAATTTATAATGTATGTCATGATGAATACTGTCTAAAATATATTTCATCTATTTTTAGGACAATCCCCCTTACAACAAAGGTGCATTTCGTATTGAAATAAACTTTCCAGCTGAATACCCATTTAAACCCCCTAAGATAAGTTTCAAAACAAGAATTTATCATCCTAATATAGATGAAAAAGGCCAAGTTTGCCTTCCCATCATTAGTGCAGAAAATTGGAAACCAGCTACAAAGACTGATCAAGGTAATAGATAAGACATTTATTATTTGTCAATGTGGATAATAACTGTGGTAAAAATATACAAGCATATTTATTTATGAAGCTGATTAAATATTTATATTTTCATATAAATTTCAGTGATTCAAGCTCTAGTAGCTCTTGTAAATGATCCTGAACCTGAACATCCATTGCGGGCTGAGCTAGCCGAAGAATTCCTTAAAGATAGGAAAAAGTTTACAAAAAATGCTGAAGAATTTACTAAGAAACATAGTGAAAAGCGGCCTACTGATTAACAATAATATGTATTATGAATTTACAGCACACTTTGCCACTTCATACTAGATTACTTGTATTCACTTATGTGATTTCTGACTTTTTGAATTTCCCTTTTAAATTAGATAGTAGATTTTTAAAGATACAATTATTTAAATATGCTAATCTTATCATTCAAGTAAGTACCACACTATCCTAATATTTCTTTTTCTTGTATTCATTTTTGTTTTTAAACTGAGTGATAAATACAAGTTTTCTAGAATTTCATTCAATTTAAAAAATGATGCTGTATATTCAAAATGACTGCAACCAGATAGTTTTTTTTTTCAGACTTCCACAATGCTTGCAAAATTTGAGCACTAAGTATATGAACAAAAAATAAAAAGTAATTAGTATAAAATAGTATATGCTACTTTTTTATAATTGGTCAAACTTTAACTAATAAGTTTTGTTTAAATCATATGCATAGTTAAGTCTCTGCTTCTTAATATTTATTTACATTCTAAAGTCAACATTTTTCATATTAAATACCATTTTGTTTCTGTAGACCTACAGCTATTATTTTGATTTCTTGGCACTGAATCTAAAATCAATATTTGCTTTTATTTACAAATTTAGAAATTGTGAAAATTTTTCAAAGGCTGTCTAGCTTTGTGGGGGCCTATTTTAATGTGGTACATTGAAAAATTATTCCACACAGTGCCTTTCTACAATTAATTGTAAGCTTTTGGTACCTCTCAATACGTCCACAATTTTAATAGGCTCCTAATGCAATCTGTAAATAAATGCTGACTTTTGTTTCAAATAAAAATAAATACCTTATGCTTCTCTATTGAACTTTTTTTATTTTACTATTATGTATTCTTTATTTCAACTATCCTCTACCGAAATTTAGTGTAATAATGAGAGCTTTATAATGTTTTTGTTACAAAAGCAACTACAATTGTTATAAGGAATAGGATTTATACCAACGTAAATGTGAAAGATAATTGTTTTTAAATTTTATTCATTAAATTCATAAACATCACATGTTTCTACAGTCTTGTTTTCTGGGTCAACATTTTTACTGTCATTCCTTTTAGAATTATTGCCCCAATCCAGTTTCCTCTTTCTCTGTAACACATCACTTAATCCATATTCTCCTAGGTATTTGTTTAAATTATCTGTAAAATTGTTAGTTTTAATTTTAATTATTAATCTTTGTGGTAGAATGAAAATGTTTGAAATACCTTTTATAACAGCTATAATATTCTCTATGTACTGTGGAGTATTCAAATCTTTAGCTAGAAGTGGTTCCACTGTCAAGGTGTAACCAGGTCCATATTCAGGCCAATATGTATGTTCTGGAATGTTCTCCTCCAATGTAACATCTGCTACATGAGCTGTTATAGCTGTCCAAAGTTTAGCAGCATTTGCATGATTATATCCACCTTAAAACAATACTTATATCAAAATCAACTTAATGTTTTACCTAATATAAGAGTTATTTAACCCACCTCCTCCTAGTAGTAGTGTAGGTTTTTTTGTCTGCAATATTCTATGTATACATGTACAGTAACCTTTTATTGTAAGCCCTGCACCTCCATGGGGATCCAGAGACAAAGCATCAGCTCCACACTGTACTACTATCACATCAGGTTTAAAATGAGAATAGACCTCAGAAAAAATACTAAAAACATAAACATTTAACTTTAGAACACAAAATTATACAAGATGCTTATAAAAATGAAGATAAAGGCTATTAACATAATTGAGATAATCTCATAAGCTTAAGAATTGAAGGATTTATTCAGAATTTTATTTGATGACATAAAATTTATATAACTCAAATGCATGACTGTTTACTTACTTATTAAAAGCATGTATGAATGTTTTATCACAGTATGATGCATGTAATGGAAAGTTGCAAGAGTAACCTCGTGCTTTGCATGAGATATCTGTTACAGAACCAGTTCCGGGAAAGAAACCCGGTTCATATTTATGGAATGAGAGAGTAAATACAGATTTATTTGAATCATAGGCATCTTGAACTCCATTGCCTGAAGAACAATATATGTAGGACATTTTATTAGTTGCACTTCACATAAATATTATAATTTCTTATTTTAACAATTTTAATTTATTTTGCGAACATCAAAATGGATAGTTTTGTATAAAATTATATTTAAGATGCCCAAGCTGTGATTTGAATAAAATTATAAAAACTAATACCAACCATGATGCACATCAAGATCTATATAAAGAACTTTTGAAAATTTCTTTCTCAGTTTCTCAATAGCGATCACAATATCATTTACATAACAGAAACCTTCAGCTTTTGATCTAGAAGCAATTCATTTATTTTACATGTTATATCTTTTGGTTCTAAAAATTAGCAGTCAGATGAAATTCCCTTTACTTGTGAGCATGATGCCAACCACCACACCAATTTATAGACACATCAGCAATGCCGAGAAGAAGGCATGCTGCTGCAGTTATGGAAGCTCCAGCAATATTCGATATTATATCATACATGGCTGATACTGGTGTGCAATCGTAGCCTGAAGACGCGAGAAATTATAAAAATATACAATTTAACTAATTTGTTAAGTGTTACTAAGACATGACATTTGCATGATATACCAAAACCATATTCTTCGTCTTTCTTTGTCGGCATATAATCCTCGTCAACATCGGTAAAAGTTTTTACATGTTCTAGATAATTTTCAGAATGAAATAGTTTAAGGTCTTCGTAAGAAGCAGGTTTGGAACGAACTACTTTTATTTGATTCAATAAATTGTAAGTGGCAATAAGGCCATGCACCATTGAAGCCTGCGAATAATTAATTTCTGATGATTCAACGCTTTTTAAATTTTATATGACCATAATCTAATCATTTATAGAAATTTACGAAAAATACTTACACGACCCAGTACAGCGGGTAACCTATCACAATATTCAATTAGTTTGTCGTCCCATATATAACTTATTTTACTTTTGTCCATTTTATCTGCTGTTAAAAGATATCGTATATTTATAATAAGACTTAAAAAAATAAACAATGTCGATAAACAAAACTTTATACATTTAAGTATCTTAAATTTGGCGGCAAAAGTTTTCATAAATAGTTAAGATAATGTAATCGGTTTATAGAGTAACATTTTCATATTTGAAATTAATAAAGCTTAAAAATATGCTTTTTATTATTCATGATTTTGATTAAGGAATATTTACAGTACTTTCTTGTAAAAAACCTAGTAAGCAAATAACTCTAACTAAATTAAATCACAGTAATATACATAGATCTTTAACAACATATATTGAATAAAAAAAATCTTGACATAAAAAATGGTTTTAATAACTACATTTATGTTGAAGAAAAAAAATCGTAGTTTTTTAGTGCCATATAAAACATATCTAGAGAATCTGTGCCGAAAAACAAATTGATCCATAGACATTTTAGAGCGTCCATTTTCTAAAAAGATTTGTTAAGTTTGACATGTTAGAAAGCAATGTTTTACCGAATTATATTTATATTGTTGAGTGAAAAATAAATCGATTGCCACAAAAATAACTGAGGTTGTCCTGTAACGTTAAAATTAACATGTGTATATAGCTGACCGCGTCCTATAATTTCGTCATTATAGATTCATCTAATATGACAAGGTCTATTACAAAACATTCGTAATTCAATTTTATGTGATCTGTCTAGTTTTGTTTGTGTAGGGCTGCGAGTCCCCGTTCGATGGTGTTCTCTGTTCTTATAACAGTGATTATCAAGTTCAAGAAGAAATGGTTCGAGGTTAGCATATTTATTTATAAAAATAACGTACAAAGCCATGATTTGTCTAAATTTGCTTTGTTCATAAATGTGATCGTGTAGATATTTAAAAAAAACAATTTGGCGTCATGATTCCTGCATTGTATAAAGTGTTGAAATAATAATTACCCTCAAAGGTAAAAAAATAAAATACGAAAATGCAGGTTTTTTTTAAATTAAATAGACTAGATTCATTTTATTGTCATAAGCTCATTGGCTTTTAATATATATTTTAATTATTATTGATACTTTATAACTATATGTAACCTCACATGTTTTTTCAATAACAACACTTTTAATTTTATCTTTGAAACATGTGGTTAGATTCATAGTAGTTAAATTTATGTCACATAAATGATTATTAAAGCTTTTAGTCAATTATTAGAATTCAATATATACTAAAATTTTATGTGTAATGCAATCATTTTATTATATTATGTGATCACATTTTCCTTTACAATACTATATTTAATACTTCTCAGTTGGGTTTATTTAAATATAGTTATTAAGAGAAACAATGAAGCATACAGGATATTTTTTTGCAAGCTCATTATCCTGCTAAGTCAATGACCACTGGAACTAAGTCTATTGTTTAATCAAGCACGATATCAATTTGCATTTCATTGCATTACAACATTTTTTTATCACACAAACACTACTCGAGCTTTTCTAAAACACAAACTTATATATATCAATACATTTGGCTCTATATTATATATACAGCAAAATATTTTCTACTATTATTAATTTTAGTTTTTTTACCTTATTTCCATGTATACCATGAATTAGTCTAATTTATTAGTGTAATGAACTTTATACTGTGTGGGTTTAAATATATTTTTTCTATTTTTAAATGTCACTGGTTTTCTCTAAAAGGATTTTTCCTGTCATAATATTTGTCTCTTGACCATACTGCATGATGAAATGTGTAATATATAATTTTCCTTATATATGTATTTTATATATTAATCTTATTAGTCCCATGTACATAATAATACCTTTGTATGTGGGACTTATAATTCTTCCTAAATTTAAATTATTAAAATATGTGTATATATGTATCTGTGTATTTACAGTCAATTCCGTAACATCAACCCAAGAGGGTATAAAAACACCACACCGCATTGAGTTGTGTGAAGAAAAACAAGTTAAGCCAACAAGAAATTATAGAAAACGCAGGTAAACTCAACTAGAAATTGTGAGATTACTATACAACATTATCACTAAGAATTTAGTGTGTAAGTAATTATATGAAAACAAATTTAACAAAGATAAAAAATTGTCTACAGAATCATTTCATCAGTTTCAATAAAGACTGAAAATGAGTTGGACGAACCTCAGCTGAAGAAGACTGAAGTGAATTCAAAACCATTGAAAGCTTCTAACGGCTGCATCATGACGAATGGTACGGCATCAAGATCGAGGGCGTCTCGAGCAGCCGCGCGCTCCGCTGACAGTCACAAACTGACTGAATACTTCAAGGAGGAACTCAAGAACACTAAAGTTGAACCTCAACCATCACCGGTAGAGAAAATAACCAAGGATGAGGTCAAAGTTAACGGGAATACTAACCACAAGCTGACAGAATACTTCCCAGTCAGAAGGAGTGTAAGGAAGACCTCGAAATGTGTTATGGCAGAAAAGATGAGGGACTTTGAGCGAGCTATACGAGAACAAAGAGAGGATGGTTTACAGGTAAGTTTGACACCACTCATATAAAAAAATAGAATAATTCAGGCAATTTCTATATATACATTTATTGTATAATCAATTTCTATAAATATGTTTTATCAATAATAAATGTATGTTGCTATTCTGCATGTTCATAATTAGATTATATAATGGGACTCAAGAGCAAATGTTAACACTCAAGGTTAGTGATGTAGGTCAAACAGAGGCTGTGTTGGTATAGTAACTGTTTTGATAGATTTAAATATTAAAAAAATAGACAAATAAATATTTTCTCACTAGAACTAAAGGATTAGAATTTAATTATAATAGAATTTCTTAATTGATATATAATTATAGCAATTGATTATTAAAAAGTGAGTTAGGCTAAACAGGGAAATATACACAAATACAGACTAAATGATCTCGCGTTATAATTAAGACTTAATAACTGAGTCACTGAAAATTTTAAGATGGAATTTGTAGCTCTCCTAATGCTATCTTTTTGTAATATAAGTGTAAAATTGCATGACTAAGGCTATTACTTTTGAGCAGGAAATTCTAAGTTTTTGACGAAATAGTAATAAGTAGATTTATCACATAAAATAGATGCATATAATTTTTTTAACTCAATAATCTATATTGGAAGCTTGCAGTGAGGAGATTTAAAAATATATCGTATTTGCATGTATGCTTCAGATTATCAGTGTAACGTAGTGTACAGAATAACATATATATTTCTTTATAACTTAAACTATCGTTAGTTATAAAATTAATAATAATTCAACAGGTGGCGTACTTCAAGGACAAGGGTCGTGGCGTGGTAGCAACTAAGGCGTTCCAGAGGGGTGAGTTCGTGGTGGAATACGCGGGAGAACTCGTGGGCGTCGCTGAAGCCAGGGAGAGGGAAAGACTGTACGCTCAGGACCCCACAAAGGGATGCTACATGTACTACTTCAGATTGCAAGACCAACAGTACTGGTAAGGATAAAACACTCATTTAATGTCACAATAGTTTCAAAGTGAATAATTTCTTCACAAGTCATATGATTCACCCACACCCACCTTGTTTCTGTTGAGAAACATCAATGACTAAGTGCCGACAAAATCGTCATCATACTTATCCCAAGTTTACATAGTCACAATACATGAGGAGCGTTAAGAGTTTATCATTGAAAAATATATGAAGGGTTTCGTATGTAGCGAAAAGGTGAAAACTTGTCCTAAGCATACATGAGTGACTATGAGTACAAAATTATTCTACATTATAAACTGACATCGTACCTACATCTATAATATATTTTTCTTTTGGATTTAAATTAAATAAATGTATAGTAAATTTGTGACTCATATCAATAATTTTCAGTATCGACGCTACATCGGAGTCAGGTCGCCTGGGTCGTTTGGTGAATCACTCTAGAACTGGTAATCTAGTGACCAAGGCGTTGTGGGTGGACGGTCCACGTCTCGTACTAGTAGCAGGCACTGACGTTCAGCCCGGGGACGAACTCACATATGACTACGGAGATCGCTCCAGGGAATCTCTGAGACATCATCCCTGGCTTGCGCTATGACCTGGGTAAGAAATATACTCTTACTATAAATACAGTATAAACCAACATCCACACTGTCATATATTTGTAATGACAAATAATAAAAGCATTTAATGCAGTTTGATGAAGCAAATATTTTGTTTGGATACTGTAGTTCTATAAATCCATAATTCTCTAACATTCTATCCAAGTTATATTTTCTATATGCTAATTATACAGAATTAACAGGCTTATCAAGTTGACTGAACTTAGTTGAATTATTTTATTTGTTATTTTTTTTATATAAATAACACATTACATTTCAATTAGTGTGAACATACTATTATTAAAATACAATTAAATATATAGGTTAAATCTCAACTACAGTTTCTAACTCATTTAATGAAATATAACTAAGTTTACTTAAAGTACATAAATATGAAAGAATAATTATTATATTCATTTTCAGCACTGTCACCAGAAATCTCCTTTGGACTTACTAACAACTATTTATTAATCTTAGCATAGTTTTTTTTTTAAATAGTATTGTTTAAAATTTAACGCTCTGTGCTAGGTATGAGACAAGTGGCCTAACTCTTGTTACGACAGTATGAAAGTTTCGTATAGATATTTATGCCTTGCTGTACTGACAAAGTATCACGCTGATACTTCAATGTTAAACTTAAAGTTGCTGATGTTATATTGTATGCAGCAATTTATCTACAACTAGCAGTCCCCATATTAACATTATGTAACATTTTATGTTATGTAATCTCATATTAGACTGGATATATTTTAAGTCTCACATATTTTTTTTTTTTTGTAATTTTATTCTTATTTTTATATGAACCGAAATTGTTCATAATAGGTCTTAGTAAATGAGAAACTGATTGGTAGGGTACAAATAGAATATCATTCAACAAACATAATTAAATTATCCTTAATAAAAAAATAGTTGAATTAAAACTACTACATGAATTATGTAAATCTATGTATCCATAACTTACTTAATTTTACTTACATTGTATGTTATTTTTAATAATTTGTTTTGTGGTATTATAATATAACTTTTTTTTATGTTTTAGACTCTTGAATTGTGACTTAAATGTGGTCTAGACACAAACTCGAATAGTTTATGTATTTTTGCTTAGAATTATGTAATGTGAAATATGTGGTTGTAAGCTTGCTCTGACTCATTACACACGAGACTTCACACATGTGTCATGAAATAAAATATCCACTTGACAAGAAAACATCAGTTTTTATCTCAAAATTTACCAACTGTTGCCAAAGTAGGATAACAAGGGCCGGTTTGTATACTTAAAGTACCAAATATAAAAGATTGTTTTCTTTTTGTTCATATTTATCGACACAAAGTTACGGGGTCCTAAAGTCGATGTGTACCATTATGTTTCCATTAACGCACAGTTACTTAATATTTCGCAGCACATTCAACTTACAACAATAACACTTACTCTGGCTTTTTCCTAACATAGTATAAAACAATAACGTCCATAGTAATATAATATATTGTTGGAAGTGCTATTACATTTCCTAGCATTTTGACATAAAACTCAATGGATAAAATCTATTGACGACATTGCGTTTTATTATAAGCATATGTGTGATAGAGACATGTGGAAACACAAGGCTTTCCCAGACTATGAATATGTTAGTGTATCGATATAATAATGTTTTTTATTAATAATATAAATTAATATAAAAAAATGTGTATTCTGATGCCAGGCAATCATAGTTTATAGACTGGGAAAGTTTTCAACTAGGAGAATTCTTACAAAATTTGTTTATGTATTAAGATATGTAGGAGATGCTGTTGCTGCCTAATAAGCACTAAATGTATGTATTCTAAGTGTTGATATTATATTAATATGTTTGAAGTTGATTATAAAACTGATGTTACAACAGAGGACAAGTGATTATAAAATATTGATTGGGTTCATTTAATAGAATGTTCCGTATATTTAAAGACCTTAATGACTGATAGAATGTATAGCTAGACATCATGTACCAAATATGTACTTGACTTAACAATGTATTCTAAATTAATATAAATGCTGCTGGATTATAAGAATGTTTGTAAGTTGATGCATGCACAAAGAATATTAAAAAAAACCATGAAATTATATTGATAATCGAAATCCAGTTTGGTTGTAGCTGTTGAATATTGCTTTTTGTAGTTCCTATTCCAAATTTAAAATTTAGACGGTATTTTTCCTCATCTTGAAACTGTTGTGTGACATGATGATTATTTTTTTTTTGTGTGTGTGTTAGTTCTAGGGTATGAACTATGAAATTGTTAAATTCATAAATAATGTATCACATTAAACTTATAAGATAATATAAATAAATAGGATAATATATTTTGGAAATCATTGTTTTGCATTTTTTTTTATCATCACTTTTGTAGTTTTAAGAGTGTTGTTTTCATTGTAGCTTACAGACCGGATAATATATAGAAATTAGGGACTTATATTGTATACTTTAATAATCTTAGTATCTTTATAACTTACTTGTAGACATTTCCTTATTCACCTTTCTTTAGAAAAAAATATTTTGTATAAATAATTTTTGATATTGAAAATTGTTATGAATTACAATGATTTTCATAAATCTTGCTGCTCTGTCGCTGTTATAATTTCAGTTAATTTTCTTTTTAAAGAACTTTTCTATTCTGTCAATATCCTTAACTGTCTGATTGGTAATTTATTATCTGCTAACTAATTATAATATAATTTTTTATCTAAACCAAGATATATTTTTATAGTTAAACAAATAAGTAGTTGCCACCTGAATCAATGTCAATGAGAATAATGTTATGTTAAAAAATTTTGATATTTTCATAAGTGACAGTTTTATAGTGTTGTTTTCTAAAGGGCTGTTTTTAAAGCACTGCCCTGTGAATATAATATACAGTAGTGTATTGAATTAATAAAACATTACATACTAACTTTTGTGTCATTTCATTGTGTTTTTTTTGGTTATATTGTAGTAAATGCCATTCTTAATGCTTGTATGAACATTGTACATTCATGAAAATGTACTAAAATTTATCTGAGCAAAGACGTTCGACTTTTGTTGCCCCAACGACGTCACGAGAGTCATTTTAATATGTTTTTTTATTACCTGTTTATTTAAAAACAGTAATGGTAGTTTTTTTATTCTATCAAAAGCCAAAATTGTAAGCGAAAATATAATAAATTAATTACAATTGAATATCACTAAGATGTCCAGTCGAAATACTAACAATGATAATAAATACGAGATATTTGGGGTAAAGTAGGAAATGGTTGATATAGTTTTTCTTCCATAAGACGATATTCAATTGTATGTACCTATGTAATCATGCTTTCTGGTATTTTCCCATTCATTTATGTAAATTATATTTCCATCAAAGATCCACTACTACATAAAAGCCTATTACAAAATTTTAGTACCCTTTAAGTAAGATGTTCAAATCGAAAAACTCTTATTCTAGAATGCCGTCATCGTGAAATGTCGAAATATATATTATGTTGAGCATCTTAATATTAAGTTGGCGACTTGTTTGTGTTATTTTATGTAATTTACGAGATTGAGAGGTAAAAATTGAAGTCGATCTAATTAGTTCTAGAATCTAAGTAAAGAAAGATTTTATTTAACGTCGTTAAAAAAATAACAATTAAAATAGATTTTGAAAGGCGGTTTTATTTCCTGATCGCGATTTCTACTAGACAGCACGTTTGATCCACTTTTACTTTTAACTTATATTTAAATGAGCGTCTGTTTGTAGATATAGGTATATGTTTTATTATGCACAGTTACATCAGTTACTGATGGTATAGCGTAAATTGGCTTAGTGAGAAAAGATGTAGGTCAAGTTTCACGCTTCAGTGACGTCGAGTAACATTTATACAATAAACCAAGAAGTATTAGGTTTTACTACAAAAATTGCGTGTAGTTGGGCTTAGACAATAATAATTAAACAATTAAGAAAAATGACAATCAGTGTAATTTGGAATTGTTACCCTTTAGTATATTTATACAAATAAGTAATAACAATAAAACCATTTAAGTACTCAATATTATAATTCGTCCAACAAATAAAAACTTTGACATTGGCAAAATATTTTACAATTCCAATGCGAATGAAGCCATAGCATTAAAAAAATGTAATATACATATGTACTATACAGCAAAGCTGACTTTATTCCTCCTTACTGTTATATATTATATCTATATTTAAGAAAGGTATTCAATACCAAACGATTTTCTACAACAAAATTTTAGTATCAACTAAATGTATTTTTGAATTTATTTCGATATCACTAACTTTTAATTTTATTGGTTCAGGATCAGATCATTATCAATTCGATCTTTTTTTATTCATGCTTATGAATAGGGGAGTAATAGTAAGTTACGTGTAGAGAAAATAAAAACAATCAATAATTTATAAAGCCTTTATTTTAAGTATGGAGATTATAGTTTAAATACAGTTAGAGTAGAGATATAAATATTAATTTTACATAACATCGGCGTTATGATACATCCTTAAGTAGTACATCTGAGCCTGTGCTTCTAATTCCTTCAACGACCGCACCACTGGCGCCATCTGACTGACATGATCCTTAAAACAAAAAATATCTATGAAACATCTTACAGTTAAATTAATTATTCGTGAAATAACTTAGTATAATAAAAATTTCTCAAATAATTTTATATATTTATGACTATGTCAAATGGAATAATTATTTTTATATATATCAGAGTAAAATAGTTATAGGTATATATAAATAAATTACTATCTACTGAGCTAATAATTTATTATGAAAAGTGATTTTAATATGAATAATTAAATAGACATATACCTGATACCCTGAGCCCATCTGTTTCCTCTTCTGGCCATATATTACCTTCCCATCAAACTCATTGCACGGAACCTTCATGTCAGTCTCAATTTGTTGTATGGTAACATTCAAGTGGTCCTCAATGTCAGCTAAATACTAAAAGACAGTAAACAACTTAATCAATAACTACAATAAACACTATATACTAACTAAGATATTTGTATTAAGTATTCATATATTTTTTGATGTTATAGGTGCTTGTAAAAATATAACAAATCTTCATTAAAAAAAAAGTCTGCATTCCATTCGACAAACTCCTCCGTGTATTATAATTATATATATTTTTGATATTCTATTACCATACTGCAAAAAATTTTATCTCAAAACCAAAAATATCAATATATTAGGAGAGGTAAGTAACTTTGCAAATTAGGTGTATATTTATATATTATACCTGCGGCTCCTGGTACCACATACAGCATCCTCTCGGCCGTTCGTCCGTCAGGTTTGTGTTCCAACAGTTCCGGCCGCGGGAGGAACACCACTCGCCGTGATACCACACCTACAACAACCAAATAGACATATTACAGAATACTTCTCTAATAGGTAGTTTTCGTTAAATGCGCTCAGACAAATATTGTTAATGTACACACAAATAAATGCAAAAAGTTATAAATTATATACAAAGTACTTTCTCGTGAATCACGCTATCGAGTGGTGAAAGCTATTTGATAATCGGTGCAGTAGTTTACCGTCTATCGCGAACAGACAGACACATTGAAGGACTTTATTTTATATTACGTATTGATATATATTTATATACTAACTTTCCGCCCGCGTGGAGTTCGGTTATATCACGTTTCCAAGAGAACCTTTAAAAAGTCTGGAGTAAAAACTATCCTAGGTTCTTTCTCAAGGTCAACTCTATCTCTGTACCAAATTTCATCAAAATCAGTTCAGTGCTTTAGGCGTGAAAGCGTTACAGATAGACAGACAGAGTTACTTTCTCATTTATAATATTAGTAGGGATAAAACTGCGTACCTTTTCTGGTACAGTGGCGACCAGGCTAATGGCCAGACCCATACGATCAGCTCTACCAACACGACCAATACGATGAACGTAATTCGACTTCTCATCAGGTAGAGTTATGTTTATCACTAGAAACGAATTATACATATACTTAAGTATAACACGAACAGTTATTTATTCCAAATTCCTTTTTACTTTCTTTATACTTACTGAACGGCAATCCTGATATATCGATTCCTCTAGCCGCTACGTCGGTACATATGAGAAACTTGACGCGTTTCTGTTTGAACATCTCAAGGTTGTCTTTTCTCTCCTTGGGTTTTCTATCACCGTGGAGACATACACAGGAGAAGTCCTCACCGAAAGACCTCAAGAACTTCTCCATGTTATCACAGTCGAGTTTCGTACGACAGAAGATTATTGCTCTGGATAATGATGTATGAAGATATATATGAAAGAAGAAAAATACTCAGACATTACATCTAATTACTATGATGATTAAAAAAATAGTAATGATAAGTGTTTTCATCGGGTATAGACAGTTAACTATAGCTATGATCTGTGATTAAGGATAAATATTAAACGCATTGTAGTACTAGCTGTTGTATGAGACTTTACCCCCATATTAAACCTCCTTTGAGATACCATATTTGAGGTATATCCGAATTATTGAGTTCTGGTGACAAATGAACTACTCAAGACCCAGTTTACTTAAATAAAATAATTTTGTGAATAGTTCTATAGTTTAAGGAGTTAATACGATTTAAATTATATGCTAATGCATAACAAACATATTTTAGTGGGATTGAAGATTTTCTCATTTTTGAAGCTGTTTAAAAAGTGAAATTTATCAAATTCTGCTAATCGTTTCAGACATTAATCGGAACAAAAGACAGACTTAAAAAAAAATTATAAAACTATATTCCTGTTGTAGGTAACTTTTATATAAGGGGGTTTATCGAAAAGCTTTCCACTTGGAATTACAGACCGACTATATAGATTATCTGGTTTCCTATACTAACGAGTTCAAATATATTTGTCATACAAACCTGTCCATCTTATGTTCCCTGATAGCTCGTACACAGTAGGTTCCTTTAAGTACCTTCACAGCCTCAGACAAAGTCTCCGGGGACATATTGTCTATGTTGTCTCTGGCATGAACACCATCGGTTGGTATTTTTCTGTATAGAAAATTAGACAAAAATGAAATATTTTAAATATATAAACACTCTTATTATAATTTAAGGGAGTAAAAAAATATTATTTTATTTTAATCTTCTAAACCAAACTTCTTTTTATGTGAAAATTATATACTATTATTTATTATTAAGTATTATGATCTAAAGGAATTAAAATCATAGTTTTTTTTATTAAATTGAGATTAAATGTTAGCAATAATAACAAACTTCTGTGCTGTTTCCCAGGACTTGTCTTCCTGTGGATCAACATTGACAACGACGTGATGTACTGTCTCCGGCACTGAATCTTCGCCTTTCAGATCTACCCATGTGGGGAAATGCATTAGTTTTTCCTGAAGGATAAAACAAATTTTTAGAATATTTCATATATTCTTGTACGTGTGTATAAAATTTCTTGTACGATTTTGTGAAAAATTAGACTGCTGATATTATTACGTAATATTTTGACTTCATATATTTTAATTTTCATTTGGTTTAAATAGTTCGAATTAAGCCAATAAATAAAATATAATTGACAAGAATCACAATGCATTTTGAATAAAGCATGTATTACGTACAGATACTCAACTCTGACTTGTGAGTTATGCGTTAGTTGACGAGCTAAAGTTCTTCACTTCCTAAGTCGTAATAAGCAACAGATATGACATACCGCCATCTTCTTAACTTCGAAAGCGTGTAATGTGGCAGAGCAGACAACCATCTGGAGTCGTCTCCCGTCTGAGGTGACCTTAGGTATCTGTCTGTGCAGACGTTCGATCATTTCGCCGCAACCAGATTTTAGCAACCCATCAGCCTCATCCAACACAAAGAACCGACAATGGGTTAGCGCCAAGTAGCCTACATAACATACTTTTACATTAAATCATCAAAATCATCTGGTATTAACGCAAATTACGTGGTATTTTTCTTATACGAAAATGAATTTACTTATGATTTGACTTTATTTTAATATCACTGAATACTTAAAAATTTGTATTGAAAATTAGTACAAATATATTATTAATAAATTTAATGTTGAATAAATAAATGTTAAAAATATATTTTGTTTAAGTTTGGCAATGTCTAGGAATATTAAGTTTTTCCTTTTTGTTATCAAATTTAATGAATAATTTTATGATGTGTGTGTGAAAACCTTTAATTTGTGTAATTAAAGGAAAAAGAATAAGAATACATAAAATTAAGCATATTGTGACAATGACCATCCTCATTTTAGATTTTGATTCAAACAAATCTATACCTAGCATGAGTTATTTACAGGTTTTGAAAATAATATGTGATCTTTATTATAGATTTCAGACTTTAGATATAAATTAATTAAAATATCAATTTATAAAATCGCAAGTAATGTTAAATTACAATTGACATGTGACATGAGGAGTGGTGATTTTAAATAAATGCTACCTTCAATGAATTTTATCAAATAAACTAAACAGTGGGTAATATTATTGAAAAGATATCTAACCTCCTTGTATGAGATCTTCAATCCTGCCGGGTGTTCCAACAACAATGTCAACACCTGCATTGAGTGTACTTATTTGATCCTTAACATTTATACCACCGGCAACTAAAAGCTCTCTAATTTTTGGATTATCCAGATACTTCTTGAACAGTGTAATCTGATTGCATGTTTGTTCTGCTAACTCTCGAGACGGCTGAAATTTAACATATTTTTTTAAATAATAAATAAATAGATATAGTATATACATATATAGGAAGTCTAGTAATATTGTTACCTCAATTATAATAGCTTGGGGTGCATTATTGACTTGTTTCGCTCCATCAGATGCTACAGCAGAAACTGTGTTATTTTTAACATATTCCCTTGGTGCATTTGCTACAGCAATATGTTCACAGTTAGGTGGAAACTAAAACATTATTGATTATTAATAGACAACTGACATATAAATTAAAACATACAGTTTTGACTATAGAAAAATATTTTATACAGAATTAATTAATTTATTACTAGATATTTATAACAAACCAAAGATTGAACACAATTTTATAGTAAATATATTGCAGGTACCAAAAATTACTAGTACCTTAAATGGTGTGGTGCCGAAATTAAAACTTATTTCTGCATTCTTCAGCACGACTGCTGGGAAATAACAGTCTGATTTACGAGACTGATCCAGTTTAAATGCAACCCCCAAATCTTGACCGTTCTTGTAAAAACGTATATCACCATTGTTTAAATTAAGTAGACAACCTGCATTTAAAAATATTTCTATATTAAAAAAAGCTTATATATATTTACATAATTAAAATAAAAGGAATATAAACAAGTAAAACTGGATTTATTTCAGTATAAAATTTTAAAATGTTTTTTTCTACTTACCAATTACATCATTTTTGCCATAAGCCTCTCCATAGTCATCAAATTGTTTACAATTTGATTTTTTCCCAGTGCCACCAAATCCGAAACCGAGCCTGTCTGTCCCAAGATCCAGTCTAGCCTGTTGTAATAAATAAATTTTATAATGAATATAAAATATGTATTCACTACAATTAAAAAATTGCACAACATATGTTCATTTTAAGAAATATATTAAAAAGACAATGATGTAATTTAAAATAAAGCCATTTATTAATTATAATCGAATGTAATATATACTCACGCCTTGTGCTGACCAGCCAACACGGCACAGTCCTTCATCGGTGACAGTAGCTTCATAATAATAGACACCTTTGGTATGTACACCTTTGGTAGCTCTGCATCCATGCCATGCATTAAAATCTCTAGACTGACATCGCAATCCATCTGGAGTAACAGCTAGAGCGTCAGTACGATCAAAGAAAGACATTGTACACTCTGACGATACGGCCTGTATTACTCTACTAGTTTTCCCGTCTTGAATATCTTTTAATGTTTCCCAAACTATCTGCAATATTGGCAGACAAAAAGCGCCGGTTTTACCACTACCAGTCTCGGCTGCCATAAGGACGTCTCCACCACCAAGAATAAGAGGAATTGCTTCAGCTTGTACGTCGGTAGGAAGGGTCCATTCCATTTCGTCTATCGCCTTCCCAAGTTCGGGAAGTACTCCAAATTCCTCAAATGCCGTCATTATTATAAATAAATATTTTTCAGATCTCAAATTCTTATTGGTTGGTTGGTTGTTTAAAATATGGCTCAAATTCTTATTTCTCGTCCGGCGAAAATTATTGTGTCACTTATGTCACTAATCCACATGAAAAACTCTATGTAAAGGACATTGAGGTCTGACGACAAGTTTAGAAATATTAAAATACTATTTTGCTTGTATTTGTTGTAGTTGTTGTTCTATGAATAAAGCCTCCAAAACAAATATGAAAAAGCATATATTAAGGTAATTAATTATTTAACAGTTCCAAAGCGGGAGAATTCTTTTATAATTTTTAATAGCATTTGCTTTAACTTCAGAAAGTATCCCCTATCATATTTGAAGCGATTCTTTGGCTGTTGGGTTTATTTAAATGACAGGGACGATGAATATAAATAAAATAATAGTATACATTTTCGACTATTATATTACTTAAATTAAATTTCCTTTTATATTATTTTAATTATATAATATTATATTAGTTGTGTATTTTCCCTGTCTATCGACGTCAATCATCAATGTGTTCACAAATCACTGACACCTCCTAGAATGACATTTAATGTCATCTGACTCTTTGACAATCTTCGTTTTCTCAATTTCTCATTTGGTACCTACCATGGATTAAAAATAGTATTTGTAAACCTAGTTATCATTACATAAAATGGATATTGAACTTGAAATTGCAAAAAACACAGAATATAAAAGATTAAGTAAATTATCACCAGTAGGAAAAGTTTTAATTTATGGTACAGGTGGATTAGCGATCGGAGTAAGTGTTATATGTATACCGTTCGTGTCGCCGGCCTTTAGAAAATTTTGTTTACCTTATGTACCAGCCACCACAGAACAATTGTTGGGTGTATGTCATGCCCTAAAAGGTCGTAGTGGAAGACTCTTGGATGTGGGTTCTGGTGATGGTAGAATAGTGTTCACAGCAGCAAAATTAGGTTTCAAGGCTGTTGGAGTTGAGTTGAATCCAATTTTGGTACTTTACTCCAGAATATCAGCTCTTTTAAACAAACAATATAATGAGACTAGATTCTACAGAAAGAATCTATGGACTTTCAATTTGTTACCCTACAACAACATAGTGATTTTTGGTGTTGAGCAAATGATGATGGAATTTGAGAAAAAGTTATTGCAAGAAGCTAGTGACGGTACAGTTGTGGTGGCTTGTAGATTTCCGTTACCAAATATGGTGCCTATAGAGACTATAGGACATGGTGTGGACACAGTGTGGAAATATGAAATTAAAAAATAAATAAAATATGTATATAAGTTTATTGTATGTTAGTTCTTAATAAATAGTAACAAATCAGAATCTTCCACTTCTTTTCCTTCCAGTGTATTTAGTATCAGGTTTAGTCTCCTTTCCCTGTTTCCTCCTCCTTTCCTTTTTCTCTAGTAACCAAGCTTTAGTATTCTTTAAAGGTTTTCCTCTTGCAGCTTTCATGGCTTCCCTTCTAGCATATTTAACTTGTAATGAATTATTACTTTCATCTGTACCTGTAAACGAATATGTTTTTTAAACAATTGAGATAGAAGTGTTATAGGCCTAAGACTTATACAAGTATTTACTTAAATGAAAGTAATATTATATGGATTACTATGCATATTTTATTATTTTAAAACTACATACTCCCGTACCATTACTCCCTATGTTTAGTAGACTGAAAAAGGTAGTATCAAAATAATAAAATATGTATAGTCGTCCAAAAAAATAAGTTTCATTTCAATGTTTTATGATAATGTAATACTCATATTAATTTACCAAGAGCTTGAGGCAAAGGTGCTGCACCACCCGTCATTAATACTAAGAAGAATTTCTTAGCCTTAGCCGAGTTGGGATAATCAACAACGACTCCTCCATAGAAACCTGCCTTCATGGCTTGTGATGTTAACAGATCTAATTGACTCTCATTTTCAGGGTAAAATTGAAACACTGCTCTTGCTGACCTTGACTAAAAAAGAAAAATATTACACTAATTACAAAAAAGTAGGAACAATGTGTTTAAAATATATGCATAAAAGGCTTAAAACAATTGTTCAGTTATATTCTTATGTCTATAAGAAAAACAAGGTGAAAATTACATAATTTGTGTGTTAGAATTCAACATATAATCCCTACTAAAATTATAAATGCGAAAGTAACTCTGTCTGTCTGTTACGCTTTCACGCCTAAACCACTGAACTGGTTTTAATGAAATTTGGTACAGACAGAGTTGACTTTGAGAAAGAACAGGATAATTTTTATCCCAGACTTTTAAAAGATTCTTTTTGATTTTGCGATATAACTGAACTCGACGCGGGCGAAGCTGCGGCCGGAAAGCCAGTGTGTTATAATAAACATAGTGTCATACATAGTAAAACTAAGACCATACCAATGAAGCATATAAAGAACTGAAGAAATTATACAGCCTCTTGACTGGATTATGTGATTTTTTGTCTGCGTTAAACAGCCACTGTATAGCTGACACAGAGATTGCACCGTCGAAGCTGCCAGCTTTAAATGGCACTCCTTGACCCATGTCCGCAAGAATGAGGTCACCCTCGGTTTCCCTCTCTAGAGCTACATCTATTGAAAAAAATTTAAGATTAATATTGAATTTGCAACAACGTAGAACCATTTAATTTAAGAGGAATACAGATATAAGTCAAAATACCTAACATGGCAGGCGAAATGTCTAATCCAATCCACATGTGTCCATTTTCTTCTAATACAGTTCCGGATAAGCCTGATCCACATCCAATATCCAACAACAAACACGGGGTGTCTTCAGGAAGTATCAATAATTCAATGCATCTTTCAGTCATCTGCCCCTGAATGTCTATTATCCTGGTGCTGCAAGGAGGAAATAGGAATGTGTTTAAATTGAAAAGATATGTATTAAAGAATATAAGGACTTTTTAAAGGTGTCAGCTTACTTTTGTGTATACTTTCTTGCTTCATCTTCATTGTAAAACTAAAATAAAAAAATAATTTTAATGTTGAAAAATTAATATAAACATTACAATAAAAATGTTCAGATACTTACAATTTCGGGTGGTGCTTGATGTTCTGGTCTTCGAGCCATTTTGATACCGTAGTTTTTATGTAAACAGCATTAAATTTTTACAAATAAAACCCTGGTTTCAATGACTGATAACCTCAAATATAAAATATAAACACATTTCAATATATCAAAACCTGTCAAGTTACTATTGTCAATGGCAGAATTTTAATAATAAAATAGAGACTTCGAATAATCAAAATAATAAAAATTTTACACAAACGACTTCAAAAAGTAGAATAAGTATTAATAGTTTGTTTAGAAAAATATATTTATTGTGCTGAATAGTAAAAGTATTATTTATAGAAATAAGTCTATGCTACAGAAATTATCTAAAATATGAACATCAAGCGTGACAGCGCGGGAATAAAACAAAAGTTGATAAAAAATATTTTAAGAAATCGATACTTACATGTTAATAATACATCATAAATAAATATAATTAATAATATGCAAGAAAGTTCGAGCTCAAAAAAGGTCTAGAATATACTTTAATATTATATAAAATTCGATTATTATATAAAATTCGTAGAATAATCTTTATTAAATTTTTTTGCCAATTTTAGAAATCAGCTTCAAATAAGCAGCAGACAATCCTTCAATTCTTTGGAAATGCCTCAGATCTTACTAGAACACGTAATCAGGAATCCTGTTCAGAAGGCAAATCAAAGTCACTTAAAAGAAAAGCCCTTTCACCCTCAAAAGTGCACTTACACTCTTTATCTAATAAAGTGACAGGGAAGTTAAGTTCCGAAAATAATACTACTAAAAAGTTGAGAATGGACACAAATACCTTAAACAATTTGGAAGGCAAACAAATAGAACATGATGCTACAAAAGTGAAGTCACCTAAGAAGAAAAATATTTTAAGCTGCAAAAGTGGCTTAAGTTTAAATAAGGAAGGTAACATGGAAACTATAACAAAGCACTGTGAGAGTGAATCAATGAATCAAAAGGAAAATATATGTAAAGGAAAAATAGAAATATCTTGTAATTCAACTGGTAATATTAAAACCTTTAATAACACTTCTATTACTTAATAAATATTCAAGCAATATTGATTAAAACTACCATAAATTAATCTTTTTTTTTAATTTCTTATTACAGCTTTGTCAAATGACCCAAATATATCTCTAAATGATTTTAACTCACAGCCATCACAAGGTGCTTCAAGCTCAAATGAACATAGGATTAGTTGTGCAGAAATCGATGATATATTCATAGATGACTTTGATTTAGAGGTTTATTATATTTTAAATTAATATAATGATTTTATGGGTTTCTCTAAAAAATCTTATATTCATTTCCATATTGTATATATTCTTTATTATTTTAAGGATATCAAAGATGATTTGGATTTGACAACCATGCAGAGGTGTAAGATACTTGATATCATAAAACATCCGCAGTCATTGGAAATCTTACTGAAAAATAATACAAATAATAGAGGAACTGTTTTCATAGAGGGAAATTGGTAAATATTACTATAATATATGATTAACCAAGAAACTTAAAACAAGTTATCACAGTATAAATTAATAAGGTTTTTAATATTGATAAGAATTCTTTACTATTAATAAATATTTACAAATATTTCAGGTTGAACACACACCTGCAAATTGGGGATGTAATTAGCATTCTGGCATCTCGAGACTCGTCTGGTCAATTTAGAATTAATAATACTCAAGGTCTCCTTGTGTTGAGGCCAGACCATTTAATATCTTCGACAAGTGTTGTCGCTGGTGTTTTCTGTAGAAGGAAAGCTGTGTTACAGGAAAGATGGAAGGGAATTGATTCTGCATCAGTAACTGTATGTAACATCATTTAATATGTTTATTAAACAAAACAGTTAAAATATTCTCTTTAAAAGCTAAAAGTATAATGTTGCTTTGTAAGAGTTAATTAGTTTTATAATTAAAAAATTATTGGTTGAGGAAATATATACTGCAATATTATTTATTGCATAATATTAGAAAAGTAATGGTTATAATAAAATTGTTACTGAAACTAAATATTCTCTTGGTTAACTGTAGTAAGTAGTACTTTACTGTTGTAGTATAAATGTAATAATAATAAAAGTAATATGGTATTTTAACTACAAAAATATTTTTTTGATAGTCTTTTTATATGATTAAATTAAATGAATACTTTTCAGATGACAATTGGTACTTTGGTTCATGAATTGGTACAGAGAGCTTTAACTCAAAACATATCAAAAGTCGCAGATATTAAAGTTTTATGTGAGAATATAATTAAGGAATCCATTGAGATGTTGTATGATGCTGAGATTACAGAGACAGATGTAAGAACGAACATGCAAGTGTATATAGAACCACTGGCGGAATTTATGCATACATATGTGGTTAATGAAAAAATGGTACATATGTAACTTTTTTAATATACACATACGTAAATATGTATTATATAGTTACTTTTATTAATAAAGATTTTTCCAGATTGACTCAAAGAAAAATCAGTGGAAAGGTAAAGTAGAGAAGGTTTTAGACATAGAAGAGAATGTTTGCTGTCCTCAGATGGGTTTGAAAGGTAAAATTGATGCAACGCTCGAAGTCACGATCCACAATAGAAAAGGTGTTTATTTATTTTTCTACTTTAATTAATAAAAAAAATAAAAATTATGGAATGCCAGTAATTATTTTAATAGAATTTACTGTGTGATATAGTCAATATGCTCAATATTCTATTTTTGAAGTACATATAATACGGTTTCAATGCATGTATTTTCATCAGACAAAACCACAATAGTGCCGTTGGAGTTAAAGAGTGGTCGAGCAAGTGTTTCCGCAGAGCATACAGGACAGTTAGTGTTATATGGCATGATGATGAGTGTGCTCGAAGGGAAAGATCCGGCCAGGGGAGAACAGAGGGGCCTCTTGTTGTATCTAAAGTTAGTCCTGTAAACACAATTACATATGTACATACATATACACACACATACATTTCTTTATTTCATAATATGTTCACCTAAACAGCTTCATTATATATTTAACTCTATTCAAAGAATCTTGTATTGGATAACATTGGATAGTAATTTAAATTAATGCTTATATATTTGATTTATCTGAACATGATTTTAACTTGACCGCTTGTCTGCTTGCATGTTCATACCTGATAGTTGATAATAATTTTAAGTTATGCAATATTTCAGGGACAAGATAAACATCACTGAAGTTAATTGTGATTATCCGGAGAGACGAGACCTGGTTATGCTTCGTAATGAGCTCGTCCAACATCTAGCACCAGGACCTAATGATATGTCCCAAGGTTTCTACCAAAACTATAATTATTTATATATAGAAATCTATAATGTTTTTCGCTGTTTTAAATTATATATATGATTCCTCAGATGAGTTAACAGACATTGAAGATTTGGGAAACTACCACCAAAGTTTGCCAGAACCTGTAAATCATCACTCTGCCTGCTCTAAATGCGCATATCTCACTCTGTGTTCATTACATTTGTGGTAAGTTATTTATTTACTTATTATATTTAATATTCTCAAATACATAGATCTAAGATAAATTAGAGAAGCCAATGAAATAAAACATATGCATCACGAAGTCAACACCTGATCCCTGCTAATATTATAAATGTGAAAGTAACTCTGTCTGTCTGTCTTTTACTCTTTCACGCCTAAACCACTGAACTGATTTTAATGCAATTTGGCACAGACATAGAGTTGACCTTGAGAAAGAATGTAGGATAGTTTTTATCCCAGACTTTTGAAAGGTTCTTTTGGAATCGCGATATAACCGAACTCCACGCGGGCGATGCTGCGGGCGGAAAGCTAGTTGATAATAATATATAGGTCTAATTCTATTTAATTTTTTACAGGCATACAAATGGACCTACAGTATCAAGTGGCCATCCTTTAAGTAAACTCAAAGGTACAGCCTTGGGTCACCTTTCCTCTGAACATATAGAGTACTTCCTTAAATGGGCGAGCCTACTTCGTTTAGAAGAGAAAAATCAGCTGATGACGTCACCAATACACGCCTTGTGGACCGATAGCACTGAAATACGGTTCGTATGTAAATAATTACTAAGTCATAAACAAATTCTTATGTTATATGGTTGATGAAATTAATAAGGAAATCTCCTTAAATTTATTTTGACCACTAATTGATGACCCTTGTAAATGTTAAGACGAAACTAACTTTGTTATTGATTCAAAAATATTTAATACAAAGCTTATAATTTTATGCATAATATTATATACCTTACTTCTGAACATTTGGGACTTAATCGTAAAAAAATGTATATATTACAGATCTAAACGTGGAAGTTGCGCGCCGAATTTAACTCTGAGTCGTGTATCAAGTTCAAATGGCAGATACTTACATGTGTTCATTAGAAACGGAATAAATATAGGTGTTACATCTTTATATATTATTTATTAATATTTCTAATATCAATTTAAATACTAGATTTCACTATATGATTTTCCTGTATATTTGAAGTATATTATCGAAATTTTTAATTATTTATATTTAAAAGACAGGCAGTAATCACTATCTCGTCTCTATGAAATCTATATATATGTATACCTTAAAAATGAGTTGGATAGTTATTTCGTAACTGAATAACATACACACAAATAATCTATTAATGTAATTTGAAGTATCTTTATATTTGTGGTTGTTTCCAGAGACGCTCAGTGATACGAAATATATTAAAGGACCTCAAGCAGGTGATTTTTCTATAGTGAGCATAGATAACAGACCCTGGCTTGCAGCCGGAGTGGTTACATTAAGTGATTCCAAAGAATTGCAAATATTGTTAGAGAGGTAAAACTTACTTAATATACATATACTAAAAGGCAAAAGAACGTAAAATATTTCTTTAAATTTAAATAAGAATATTTTTAAATGTTTAATATGTATTTGTGAAAGATTTAAAAAATAATTAAGCTTGATTTAATAAAATATATATACAGTAAAATATTTTTCAGAGATCTATCATTTCGTCTGCCAAAGAACACTAAATACCACATCGACATCTATGAATCTTACGCTACTACCGTACAAAACCTAACTAACCTCGGTCTGCTTATGGAAGATACCCACCAAGCATCGAAATTAAGAAAGTAATATATATTTATTTATACTAAATTTCATCGATATTCAGTTTATTCGGAGAACAGAGTTGCCTGTACAAAAATAATATAATATGTTTTGAAAGTCAATAATTTATCAAAAATATTGTTTCAATGATATATGTAAACTCATAAAAACAAAGCTTGGACTCAGCTTTTACTTCTATCATTTTAATACTTAATAGTAAGTAGATAAATACTCAACCATTATATTAAATAGTATTATATACATATGATATTTTAGGTTAATAATAGACAAAGAAGCCCCAACATTCACACAGAAGCTGCCACCTCGTGTACACGAGATGAGTAAGGAGTTACTCATCACACTGAACAAGGAACAACAAGCGGCAGTACTGAGAGTGTTGGAGAGCGATGATTATGTTCTGTTGCAAGGGCTACCTGGCACTGGTAATACATAGATTTTCTATGGGAATATACTAAAAAATATTGTCGTATAAAATAACAAAATTAGGACGTCCTGTCATCATTTAAGTCATATCAGTAAAGTTGTTAATATAAAAAGAAGCCATTAATATGAAACAGTAATTTCATTTTTCGGAGTAAAAAAATCTAAAATAAATATTTTTAGGGAAAAGTTTATATATACATACAAGAAGACCCGGCGAATTTTGTATCGCCCTATAATCAAGAAATATCTGTTACGTTTTTTATTTATATTTTTGGAGTTTACCTATTAAAGCCATAAATCTCCGTGTTTTGAAGTGCGACAGAACGATTGACATGTTAGTAAGTTGTCAAATTTAATGTCAAAAAAAAAAAACGTTTGTACCAACAACTACTAATAAATTAAAAATACATTGTCCAGCGGACAAAATTGTGAATCTAAACCATTCCCAGATCCTCTTGAACACACACAAAAAATTTCATCAAAATCGGTCCAGGCGTTTGAGAGAAGTTCAGTGACATACACACTCACAGAAAAATTATATATACATATAAAGATATCAGTACTCAATGTCGTAAAGTCATGTTCAATCATAATTGTGTAACAAACATGTAAACTATCATATTTAACATGTTTCCAGGAAAGACTCAAACCCTGTGTGTGTTGATTCAACTCCTGTGTTCATTGGGCATGCGTGTATTGGTCACAGCTCACACACATTCAGCCGTCGATACACTTCTTAACAGGTATGAAATTAACATAAATATATATCAATGAATCACAACTACCATAACTATTACGAAATAACCAATAAATACTTCCAACGTGATTAATCTCTTTAATTACATAACTCATGTCAAGAATATATATATATATATATACCTATGTAACACACACAGTCAGTGGTGGCCTAGTGGTTAAAAGTCCCGCCTCTTATGCATTAGGGTGCGGGTTAGATCTTGGCAAGTACAAATGTGATTTTTCCGAGTCATATGTACTTTCCAAAAATATTTAGACATCACTGATTAATGCATTCCTAAATGAGGGTTGATGTCAGACAGGCGGCCGGTCGTAAAAACAATTAGCCAAAACTATTCACTACGTGTAAGGCAGACCCTGGCTAAAGCTGGAAATTGCCATGTAGAAGTATATACCTATGTAATACAAACATGAGATTTTGGATTCGATTACAAATATTGTATGAAAGTCACATTGGTCTAGCCACCACAATAACCAGCTTAAATTATATTTATAAGAACAATTATATTCAATAATATAATAATGAATCAATTACATATTTATGTCATCCAGAATTAATTATTTAATATTAATTTCAGACTACCGTCATCTCTAAGAGTACTACGTGTCGGTACTTCGTCTCGAGTGGCAGTTTCTACGGCGGTCAAAGAGTGCACCACAGTGGAACAATTAACCAACCTTTATAACTCAGTGGTATAGAAATTTAGATATTTCAGCACAATTCTAATTACTGCCATCTAATACAAAAAAAATATAACCTCTTATATTATGATAAACTTTATTGGATTATTGTTTAAATTTCGCTGAAAATCTTCCTATCGTATCTATTTAAGCCCACTACTTGTATAACAGTGGCGTGGGTATATATTTTTTTTAACATATTCTGCTTTTCCCTACCCCAAATCTCTGTGCACGCCAGTGTATAATTCGCAAATATTTTTATAATAAATATTATATGTATAGACAATGTTTTGTTACAGCAAGTGGTCGGAGTCACATGCCTCGGAGCATCTCACGCATTGCTATCGAAGAATACATTCGACTTTTGTATTGTAGATGAAGCGACACAGGTGAATAAGATTTCATTACAATATATGTATTCTAAGGGTTCAATAGAAAATTTGGAATAACTGAAAGATAATTTTAAGTACAAATTAACGAAATATACTTTCCGTAATATGAACGTTATTAAATATATAACTTATTATTATTTCTAGGTACTACAATGTACAGTCCTTCGTCCACTGTTTGCTGCGAATAAATTCGTGTTAGTTGGAGACCCAGAGCAACTACCGCCAGTCGTCAAAAGTAGAGATGCTAAGTAAACAATTATTATATTATGAGATTTAATATAAGGATATAATGTAAACTAAAAGATTTCTATTTACTATTTTCATTTTTAATCTGGTATGAAGATTCTCATACAAAGATATATCCCACTTTCATAAGCAATATTTCGTTATTATAATAACTATATAAGAAATTTCTATGCTTTAAGAGTAATTAATATAAACTTACCTTGGTTTTCAGGCTGCTAGGAATGGAGGAGAGCTTATTTCATAGCTTAATGAAGGATAGAACAACATGCACTCTAAGTCTCCAATACAGAATGAACCAACCCTTAGCAGATCTTGCCAATTCAATTGCGTACAGTAATAGACTTAAATGTGCAAATGAAATTGTGGCAAAAGCAGCGCTTAGTATAAATAACTTGGTAAGAAAAATAATAATTAAGTCATCCTAGTAAAGGAATACCTATATGTATAATTAATAAAAAGTTATTTGAGTAGCTTTATATATTTTGTATATGTTTTAGAAACTGTCAGAGAAATCTCTGGATGAATGGCTTATGAGTGTATGTAGCCCAAAAGCCAAAGATGCAGCCATTTTCCTTAATACAATTTTGGAATTATCTGATGACGCTTCTAAGACGTTGAACAATAAAGACGAAGCCGTGGTAGTGCTCGCTGTGATTAAAACTTTAAAAGAGGTATTTATACGCTTCTTATATTTTTTTCAATATGTAAAATAGTTTAGGTATATATTTTTTACTGTTAGTGTTAGGATAGTTAACAAAATTATAATGTAATACTTTTTAAACAAGTTGGTAACTTGTATATAATTTTTTATCTCAATATTCATTTCTGTGCCTTTCCTGGAAATATGCATTGAAATAATGATTGTTTGTCATAAAATCAGAAACAACCTATTTAAGAGCCTACAATTAATCTGAACTCCAATAAGCAGTGATGTTTAATGAAAATAAACAAATATGTAATGTTTTTTGTAACTTAAAATATCCCTCGTAATGAGATCTAACACTTTCGCGAGTGTTCATTAAAATTAAAGGCAATATTTTTGGATTAATACGCGTATTATTTTATTACTAAAAACTACATACTTTGTAGCAACTGTGATCACAGGCGAACGAGATGTGATTAAACAATAAAATAAATGTAATAATTCGTAAATATTGGTTTCATTTATCCATTCTATTTATTTTTCAGGTGGGCATATCAGCATCGGATATAGGGGTTATAGCTCCGTACCGTGATCAAGTCGCTTTGCTGAAACGAGTCCTAGACGGTACACAAGTGGAAGCCAGTACTGTTGATCAGTTCCAAGGCAGAGATAAAAGTGTCATAATATACTCTTGTACAAGAAAAGATGATAATTTAAGAAAAGTTAAGGTACATACAATTTCTCAAAACAGTAGCCATTCCTACTTATCATTACTATCATTACAAACACATTTATATTAGTCAAAAGCAATATTTATCAACTTATATTTTGTAAATTCAAGGATATTTCTATATTTAAAGAGGTATTTTTATTTTACATATGAATAACTCAGTCAAATATAAAATAATTATGGAACAGGTGATCATAAATAATATTTAAAATGTCTCAATTAATATAGCCTTATTAATTTTTTTGATTCCAGGAAAACGAAGTTCTGAACGACAAACGTCGCCTGGCTGTTAGCGTGACGCGTGCGAAACACAAGTTTATTGTGATCGGTAACATTCGAGCATTAAAACGATACACATCGATAATGAAACTAGAAGAGGCTTGTAAGACTGTTGATTTGGATCAAGAGATCATTACAAAACTGAATAAGAAATAACGGATCTGAACACATTGTTATAAGAATTTTAAGAAATAGCAAAATTATTTTGTGTTATGTAAAATCTGATATCATGTTTGTATGAAGTTAATCAAAAATTTTATCATGTAATTGTATGATTATTATATTTTTTTACTATTTTTAGGAGACGCGGTATATATTATTTTAAATGTTTTTAGCTCAAATGTTAATGATAAATAGTTCCTACATAAACATTGAATTCTTTCTTTCCCGTCGTTAAGTACAAATATTTTAGAATATAATTTAATCGTGGATGAGGTATACAGTATGTGGATTTCAATGCAAAAAAAATAAAGTTTAATATTAAAACTGTATGTACATAAATCTATGAATTATAATATCTCACAGTCCTGTAAACTAATCATATTTTTTTACAATGATAATATAAGCAATTTTTTATTAAAGTTATCTTGTTTTTTTTTTAAATAATCTATTATATTTTCTGCGTACATTTAAATATTGACAACCTTTCCGCACCTCATAAGAATAATATTTAAAACAAAATTTTAAAGTGTAATAAAACAAAATGTGAAACATACAATTCATTTTCTGTTGAGAATTATTAACAAATTACATTTATAAAGATGGTCGTTGGAATATATAATTACATTTTTCGTATATCGTATAAAACATTTTAAAAGTAATCATCAAAAGGTACGAAAAAGATTTAATAGGTAATCACATTACCTGAGGTCTAAAAATATATACGCTATTTAAAAATATCTTTAAACAATTGTAAATTTTTGATTTCTCTTTTAAAAAACTATTATCAAAAATTTGTAAATTATTTCTATGAATATAGAGATTATTAAACACACAGGTTATACAAATGCAAGTATATAGTCGTCAAGCGTCCCCAGACTTCAATCAGGCAGTCGCTTGCTGTGAGCTGTCACAGTATATTGTCTATTGTAGTGTAGGTAGTGAAAACATGATTTCGTCCGACCCCCAATCATAAAACTCGCGAATCGATTGTATTATAACACATACAATTTATTTATATCTTAGTTACTTCTATAATTATTAGAACGTGTTTGTACACTAGTGTGTAGCGACTGATTAGGCAAGCAGTGCCAAAGTATTTAATAGTTCTATTTTTGTTAATAATTTTACCTTCTCATTTGTGCTATAATCAGTATTTGCTCTATATATAATCTTATATAAGCTTGTCTTTAATACATTTGATAACCCTGAAGAATATTGACCTACAATTTTTATCAGTGCGTCAATATAAAAATAATTTCTTATTTGTATGTTGCAATATTTCCAGTGAACATATTTTTTAAAAATATTCTGTAAGTGAAAATTATAAAAATGGTGAAAGCAGTAGCAATAATCACAGTAAGTGATAGTTGTTTTAAGGATAATTCAAAAGATACATCAGGACCTGCTTTGCTTAAATTTATAGAACAAAATTTCCCTGAAGCAAACATTCATACGATAATTGTCCCTGATGAAAGAGAGATTATTGAGCGGGAATTAAAATATTTTTGCGATTCCCATATCGACCTTGTTCTTACAACTGGTGGTACAGGATTAAGTCCTCGAGATGTAACACCTGAAGCCACGAAGGCAGTACTTCACAAGGAAGTACCAGCTATTGCTGTCGCAATGACAATAGCCAGTCTTAAGAAGACGCCAATGGCTATGCTCTCTAGAGCTGTAGCGGGAATAAGGGATAGAACACTTATCATAAACTTTCCGGGCAGTAAGAAAGCAGTCACTGAATGTATAGAAGTTGTTAAACCTATACTTGGTCATGGCATATCTCTGATAACAAATAATTTGACTAATGTGAGAATTGTTCATGATAAATTACAATCCGACCATGTTTGTTCCCATATGAGGAACAGTAATGTAGATATATCAAAGGTGGCTCTAAGACCTCGTCAGTCACCCTTTCCTATGTTGGAAATGGTTGAGGCTTTTAACATTGTTGACGCCGTGATGATGCAATGGGAAGAGCGTACAGAAATTGTACCAATAGAAGAAAGTGCTGGCCGTGTTGTGGCTGAAGACATAATAGCTAAGGAACCTATGCCACCTTTTCCAGCATCAGTTAAAGATGGTTAGTTGTGGATACAATCACATCATCATCATCATGATACAATAATACATTAAAAATTGAATTATTTGGATATTATTATTATTCATCAAAAGAATGTTAGTTAATGAAAGTTCTATATATTTGTTATTCCATGTTAAATATTATTCTTTGTTTGACATAAAATAAGAAAATTGTAATGATAGCCCCAACACTTAAGAAAATATAATTAGCTTATAACTTTTAGTAAAGGTAGATTGGCATAACAAATCCATAGTAATCTTCACAAAATAGCAATGTATTAATAGTCAATCCTAATAGATTGTTATTGATGTCCCTCTCACAGATTAGACAAATATTAGATTTACTTTGGTATTTATTTAATAAACAATGTTTTGTGGTTGCAAGTAGAAAAATTTTGAGAAAATATATAAGATAAATGTTTCATATACATATTAATAGTATTTATGCTAATTGACTGATAATTATCTATCAATATCAGGTTATGCATGCATCAGTCTGGATGGTGCTGGTAAACGTAGAGTGCAGGCTGTGGTTGCAGCGGGAGACACTCCTCTCACTCCACTAACACGCGGGGAGTGTGCTCGTGTTAACACAGGGGCTCCACTACCACTTGGTGCTGATTGTGTTGTGCAGGTATATTGTAACTTCTTATTACCATGCAATTTGATGATACAAAAGGTGATATACTTTTCAATCCTCATTCTAGCATTTCCTGGCCAGAGTAAATATTTAATTTGAATAAGAGAACATACGAATATTTTCTATAGTTATGTATATATTTCTTTAAATGTTTTCTGATGTTTTAATGTTATCAAATAACTTGTCCTTGACTACCCATGGTCATGGCAATGTTGTTCATAAAATATGTTGAGAATCAGAGTGCAAAGGCATAATGAAAACACAGACATATTTTTTAAGTGGTTGTTATATTTCCCATCATGAATACTTAACCAATGCGTCATTACCTACAAGTGCAGGTTGTGAATTTCACACGCAGCAGTGTTAGCGGACGCCGGCCGAGCGTCACTCACGCAGTCAATACAAAGAAATTGTAATCAGTAATAAAATGTTCCACAGATGATTGAGCTACTGTGAAAGTTAGCTTTTAAAAATTTCTATTTTTTATATTCTCATGATACTTACTTTACTCTTTCGGAAACAAGTGGATTTGTGTACTACTTTTTGTTTTTCTCCAAAAAAATAAATAAAATACCTGTAATTTGATTCGTAATACTTGTAAATACTGAAGGGTTATATTCTTAATGGGCTTTTGTTGTAGTACAATTAGTTACAAAAATCTTCAGAATCTTTTATGATGAGGAACTTATACATTTCCCTGTTCTACCGTGTTTACGCTAGTATAATGTTAGCGTTAGTTTCAATTCTTGAACAATAACCCAACTATTAGCGATGGAGATGGGATCATAATTTGAAAAGTAAATCTGACGTATTTGTTTCGTACAAACGGGGGTTCTGCATATTATTTATGTACAACCCCCTTGTCAAACTTATATCGGAACATTTTATTTTACAAAGCATATTATGTGTGATGAGTTTCTTACTTCGGTTTCCGTTAGTGCTACAACATGGGATTTTTCCCCCTTCGTTTCTTCTAAGTCACTAAAGCCGCCATCTCATTTTTATATTTAACAACTGTAAATAAAATGGATTAATTCGTATTTAATGAGTTGATGCAATCCCGAATCCACATTCTGATCTGTGTTTTTTATATACAGTGCTAGGATACATTACAAATATCATAAATATTTCTAAAGTGCAGGAAGGAATAAAGTATAAAAACCAAATGAAATATGAATATATATTTGCATTACATTCCATTGGTGTTACTCAGGTGGAAGATACAAAACTTATTCAGGCGTCAGTGGATAATCAGACGGAGTTAGAGGTGGAGATTCTTGTGGCGCCGAAACCACACCAGGATGTGAGACCCATAGGATACGATATACCCATGGGGTCTCTGCTCGTTGAAAAAGGTTAATAGAATATAGCATACACATATATGTATATATTTTTAATCGTATGTATATATTTTAGCGTCCCAAACAAACCCTCCTTTCATCTTAAATGCATTAAATATTCCTAAATTTATACCATAGCTTTTCTGGTATAACGTTGTAAAAGCCACTCAATTTTACATGTGTGTATATTATATAATACCAATTCAATAGTGGGTCTTATTGCGATACCAAATAATACCTATTGACGTGAAATACAAAAGTATCATACTCCATGGCTACTTATGCATACATAAATTTTTTGCTTGTCATGCAAAACATGTAATTTAAATTATTAATTAGTATTCATGTATATCTAGGCAGCAACGGAATTTATTGTGTAATATTTTTTTCTTATCACCTGAATAAATACGGCTTTCTGGTAATTGTTTTATTTTATCGCAGGTGACGTGATCGACGCCGCTCAAATTGGTATTTTGGCGGGGGCCGGTTATCAGCGTATCAAAGTAGTCGAACATCCTAAGGTGAAATTTTTACAAATGATATACATACGATGTAAAAAAACTGAATAGATTCATACAAATAATCTTTTGGCAAAATTTAAAAAAAAAACTGTACCATCTACATAACAATGTATATTTTTTTGCGCAATCACCTTGGGCAAAAATTTCGATTGCATGGAAATAAAATACTTTTTATTTACTATCTTTTAAAAATCCACGAATTTTCAAACGTTCCAGGTAGGAATTATGTCTACCGGAAACGAGTTGCAGGAGCCGTCGGATGCTCTCCTTCGCCCCTCACATATAAGGGATTCGAACAGAATTATGATTAAATCATTGCTCAAGTAAGACAATTCATATACAACATTATATTCCTTATAAACCTTTTAATTGTTATTTGTTTTCAATCATAAAATTGCTTGAAATTTATAAAAACCTGAACGTAGTATTGCTGTAAAGTGTAGGTTATTAATTTTATGTAATATTTTTATATTGTCACGTAATCCTTTATGTATATACCTATAATGTTAACATTATATTTAACTAGTATGAATAACCCGGTGGCTGTATTAGTTCGTGATGGTGGCAACATTAGTTGCTTATAGTTTGTTTGGCGCGAAATATTCTGTCACTTAAAATGTTGGGTGTAAGTGAAATGTTTGCAAATGTGTGATAAATTTGTCGTGTACAGGGAGCACGGATTTGAAAGCATTGACTGTGGCATCGCCCGCGATCATCCTGGCGAACTTTCGCATGCGCTCGAGAACGCACTCGCTGTTTGCGACGTGCTCGTCTGTACGGGGGGAGTTTCTATGGGAGACAGGGACTTGCTCAAACCCGTACTCATTAAAGTAAGTTTATATTGACTGTAATTTTGCTATATATAATAAATACTTTGATTCATCTATCGCAAGAGTGGTTCACATTTATTTATCATTGATACATTATTGTAGGACTTCAACGCGACCGTGCATTTCGGACGTGTCCGCATGAAGCCTGGTAAACCGAGCACGTTCGCGACATGCAAGTATGAAGGGAAGACCAAATTCATATTCGCACTGCCCGGTAAGCAAGTCATTCAAATATAATGTTTATACCAAAGATATATGTATTTCCATAAACACGTTCGCAAAGTATAAGCGTGGTACTGAACATGATCTATGGTACATTGTATGACTCCAAGTCAAGTTGGGAGCAAATTGCTTATACCATTTGTATATCAATACGTATGAGAGTAAATCTTCGCAGGTAACCCTGTATCAGCGTACGTGTGCTGTCTCCTGTTTGTGGTGCGTGCTCTACGTCAGTGTACGCGTTACAGCGGCGAGTGGGCACGTCTTGGAGTGAAACTCGCTCGTGACGTCACACTGGACCCTCGCCCGGAGTACGCTCGTGCTCAGCTCAGCTTCCCGGACATACAGGATCTACCAGTTGCTACACTACTCGGAAATCAGGTTGGATTATTTAACATACACATATACTGAGGAGATAGAAATAGATCAAGACTTCTGGCTTCTGAAGGAAAGTCACCCGATTAGGAACAAATGAGACATTACATAGAACTTCAAGGTAGATGATGTATAAATTTGTTACTTTATTTCTTTATACATTTTCTTACATATTAAAATTAACTCGATTTTTTACATTATCATTAAATGGAAGATACTTTATGTATATATGAGTACTTTAAAAAACATTAATGTATGCCAATTTGATTACTTAAATTTTGACATATCAAATTACATGTGGCGATAGTAATGAGGGCATTTGAAATCTTACATTTTAAGTTTCGCACGATAATTTCACAGTTGCCATATTTAGTAAATAGTTATAAACTCACAATAGGCACATGGTCGTTTTGTATTCATACCATTCTATTGTAGTGGTAAATCATACTTCAATTATCTATAACTCGACAACATGTGTGCAGTTACTTTTAGAAGCAATCTATAAAGGTCGAATTAAACAATCATGATTATAGATTTTAATATTTAGTTCTAACAATTGAGGAATTTTTTTTTGTAGTTAAATAGAAAAAAATGTAGGTGGCCAGTAATGAGAATTCTTTTTTTTTGTCATATAGTGTAGCAGTCGTTTGCTGAGTGCCTGTGGAGCCAGTGTTCTATTGGAGTTGCCGGGAGCCACCCCTGAATGCCCCATGTTACCTGCTGGTTCCATAGTGCCAGCCCTACTCACGGGTCGGATCGATCTCCCTAGACTCTAAGTCGTCGTCTATTATTGTCTTTTATACTTCATAATCATTAATCATGTATGTCTAACATATTTATTCATAGATCTGAGTAGTTTTAGATTTTGCACAAGATAATCACAAATTCAATGTTTTTGTAACTTCATATTAGTGTTAGTATTAAAATGAAATCAATCAATTATATATCTGATTGATTTCATTAAACTATGATTTTAGGAGAATATTACACATTCCAAAAAAAAAAACATTGTAATCGGTATATAATATTCCTAATATAATTAGTGAGTAAAAAACATTAATGGGGTAAATTTTAATGGCAACGACTTATTTGACTTATTATCATGAGGAATCCAAATTTTGTACTTATTAGATGTTGTCTTACTTCCAAAATAATAATATATGAAATCTTATTTATAAACTTTATTTTAATCTACAAAATTTACACAGCAAAATTATTATTTTTGATGAAAATATGTTACATTGCATAGAAAGACGAATTTTATATCCAATGTGTAATTTATGTTCGTAAATAAACAGATCTTATAGCAATCCACTAAAGGCTTTTATTGTAAAATTTTTGTTATCAGTGATGGTGACACAAAAGATTCTTAATAAATAATATTTAGCATCCACATCAAAATACACGACACTGAAGAGTTTGTTACCTCAGTTCACAATATAAAATATTTATTAAAAACCAATGACGATATTCGTCATTAGACAACCCTTTGAACTTCAAAGAACCTCTTGAGGTAGTAGACTTGTCCGAGGGTCATCACAAGTAACACTGAAGCCTCGAAAATAGACCACATGACCACACGGGAGTTTGTGCTCTCATTGATTTCTCTGTGGATGCGATCACGAACCTATAAAGGATCCGAATATAAATAAATAGGTAAATATAAATAGCATTGCAAAATCTGAAAAAAAATGGTTCCAGCTGTGCGAAATAGAATGCACTAAGAATATCTTTTCTAACAAAAGCTTTCTCATCAATTTAAAAAATTTAAATATCACTATCACCATTATTAGAAGAAATAAATAATTTTGTAATTAATGATGACGTCACAAAAAAGATTACAGAATCTTTATTTAAATGCTGTTCAGAAATAGATTACCTGCATATATTCCTGTTCATGTTTGACAGTCTTCAAGGTTGTGCTGAGCTCTTTAATCATATCCTCTAACTTATTGTGGTTAGCTTCTTCCTCTTTTTCCCCAGTATTTTTATTTGGTGCATCGCCTACCTCCAGGTTAAACATAACAACCTGCAACATAACAATTATTACAAATTTTATCTTTCTTCTTATATTTACAATTGTTTTAACAACTATGAATTTATAATACGCATACAGTACAATTTTCAATATATTTTCTGAATGATATGTAACATCTGTGTAAACTATTCTTGTTTTTGTAAGGTTATGGGTGTTGAAACACTTAATATATATTGTTAATAGTATGAACAATCCCAATGCCACAAAAACATAGAGTATGAGACCAGAAAATGCTACTTTGGATATTAATTAGCATTTTGTTCCTGCTAATAAAATAGTAAATGTATTCAAATATTATGGAAGAAAATACAAATCTAGTTAGTAAAAAAAAAGTATCCAGTTATTAATACAGATTTATAAATAATACAATTTAAAGTGTCCTTTTAGTCTGTGAGTATATATTTTTTAACAATATAATATATTAGTAAATTTTTGTAAATCTCAAATAATAAACATGGATGAATTTGACATCTATGGTTTTATCAAAAATCTCTGCAGCAAACAAGACTATACTCCCACAAATATGCAATTAAAATTGCTGCTACCTTAAAGATTGGTTTCCTATCAACATCTTTAAGAGTTGAATAGGATTGATAAGTAAAAAATTGTGATATAATTTTTTGTTATATGTATCTTTTTTGGTTCTGGTTAAGACTTTTACAAAGTTTCTTTAATATGAATTGAAACCAAGAAATTTACTATGGTTTTTGAGAATTTAAAGAATTGTTATTTTCATAGAAAGCAGTAAATAAAATTATCATCAAATTCTATGTGGACCAGAAATAAATAATTTATAAAATAAGAATAGCAACAACATGTACACATTTCACAAAGCAATATTTTTTTAAGACATTTAAATCAAGGCAAATATTGTTTAATGTTATTTCTTTCTAACAAAAATTAACTAATTCTGGACTTTTCGACACCGAAAGCAATGTTTTTACTTTATTAAATGAAAAGAATCATTCTCACAAACACTTTGTGTTTTGTCTTCTCATACAACATCTAACAGAACCTTTAGCTTAGATGATATAAGTGATGGCTGTTTCTGTCTCTTCTATTATAATTCACAATGTTATAAAATCTGTTTCAATCATACAAGGATGCAAGCCACATTAAATTTAGGATGATTTTGATAGTAATATGATAGATTTAGAAATGAGCAACCCAAATATGTGATCTTTTCTAAGAGACTATTTCCCTTACATATAATCCTTTAATCCCTTTAGCATTTGTAAATCAAAGCAAAGATTTCAAGTTATCATTTACTATTTTCAAGTTGTAAAATAGTTCAATCGCCAAAGCCAAAATTTTAATCTGCTATCATTGAAATTTGCTACACGGTAAAAGAGGACTAATTGTAAGGTTTACTAATTATTAAGTTTGACACACAAATTATATAAATATTCTTCATTAAGCAGCTCTTTGCCAGTAAAATGATGTAGGTAGTTAGTAAGAGATGTTTTTAAATATGATGATTTTCTAAGTAGATAATTAATATGATTTTTTCAACAATTTCATAATGTGGAAAGTTCGATTGCTATATTATGTGAATCATCAATCAATCAAACGTGATGATCAGTTTGTAAATTTTAGTTAGGTGTTAGATGCGCACAGCTAATATACCGAACACAAAATATTCACCGAGCCTCCTGATCAAATAGTCTAATATAAGTCAAAAGTAATTAGACAAATTTTACACCAAAACAGATGTGGTTGTTGTTTGATGCAGCACTTATTTAGGGCATCTTTTTTAATTTAGGATGGTTAAAGAGAAAAAAAGAAAGTAATCTGCTTCCTACAAATGCAGAAAAATAGAAGATGATTATTTACCTGTTTCTAGTACCAATGACTATGTCAAATGATTAAAAAATAAATATTGGGTATTAACCAAATATAATAAAGTAAATACTGAAGCAGCGGAAAAGGCCTTATAACAAAAAGTAAGCAAATATTCATTGCAAATCTACTTTAAGGGACTGTGTGTTCATTGCTTTTTAAGAATAAAGATTTAGTTTAAATATAGTTAACCTTTGGAGTCATTGTAGACATTTGGTTGCTGAAACAGTAAGTATATCTGCCTGAAGTGGTCGCTGAGAATGTGTACATGCCAGAAGTCTCTCGGTCCCCGCGGTATATCACCTCTCCATTTGGTCCTGTGATCTTTACGTCTATATCTAGGAAACCACCTTCAGCGATTTCGAATGTTAATCCTAAAAATTAAATTTTTAATTTAAATCCGCTCTCAAGGTACAGAAGGTACAATTACAGAAAATACAATTACAAGAATCGGTAAATCATATACTACTACTGTTCCTTTTACTTAAAAATACGAAAACTACATTAAAAGCCGACATATTGAATGCGTTTGGAGAAATGTACTATCATAAAACATACAAAGGTTTGATTTGAAATGAATTAAATGTATTTAATACTCCTCTAGACATGATAGTAAGTAGTAAAACTTACCGATTTTAGTATCAGCCTCAACATTTTCGAAAAAGCATTCTTCGGCGTGTGCATCCACCGTAATCGTATAGCAATTTGTTAGGGATAATAATGTGGAAAGATATAATGAAACGATCCACAGTAATTTACCAGAATAATACATTTTGTTTAAGGATGTATAACTTAACAATTTCTTAAAGTAACGTTAAATATATTGTGTTATTTATATAACAGCGGCTTATTTTCGTTTCTATTGGATTTATTCTGAACCTTGGCTAGGCCACGTAATGACACATGAACAAATCTGACAGTTTGACACTTTACAACAATTTAAGACGCGTTCATTTTGCCGCGGATGACGTGAGGATTTTATTTTTAATAAACACCTAAGAAGTGTAACATATAGATTTCGAGTTTTAATTCTCGAAATAAGAATTGCACTTTTTAATTGTTACGTCGCTGGTCGAAGGCAATTTGTTTACCCCGGCATATACAGAGTGACTGGTGAATTACTATCGATACTTGAGGACGTGATATTTGACGATCATATATGACAAAATAAAAATTAATATAATGTAAATATTAATAAACTTCTAAGTAAAGTTAACCAAAAGTTATGTAATTAATTACGCATCGTGTGAACACCCTACAGATTAGGTGTTGTATCAGCACGCCGCCGTACGCGTCCACACTTGGAACACTTGGAACGTGTCCACACTTTATTTATTTATACGGAAATTTGGTAAAAAATTAGGTACCTATTTTTTTTTACATAATTCGAATGAGAATCATGTACCGAGTATTCTCCTTAAATATTGATAGTACCTAATTCACCAGTCACCCTGTAGAATTGTCTATGTAGTTCAGAAACCTGCTACCACCATAAAGAAAAAAAACCTTTTTTAATTTTTGGCATAAAAATTGTTAACACAATTAGTTCAGTGGCGGTAATGACTATCATGCATTAATTATCTGGTTCTATCACTCTGACAAAAACAAACAAAAATTATGAATAATAATCTAATCTAATAATATGTTCTTTATTTTTAATGCTACGGCTTCAATTTCACTCGAAGAAATTAATTCACTCAGATCTTTCGCATTAGATAATTAATTCCATTGTCCGAGTACGTTGCGGTAGTAAGAAGGTTTCTTATACTTTTTTTCTTTCACCAGAAAACATGGTTATTTCTTTCTGGTTTTAATCTTGTCTTTTGTATAAACTGATATTGTTTTTTTTTAGGTAAATGTGATATTTAAAATTGTCATAGGTACTAATTGTTTATTCAATATTTAAAGCTTTATTAATGCCTAAAAGCATTCAATGCATTGTGTTTGTCAGTACAAAGGTAGATATACAATACCCATTTATACTATTTCTTGTCTTCACTACCAACCCACCTTCAAAACTATTTTATAAACCTTGTTGTTCCTTTAAAAAAAATAGAAAAACGTACTATACTCCTAGGTAAATATAAAGACAATTAAATATAATTATATAATGGTCTGGTTAATAAAACCTTGTTTTTACATTATTGCGGTTTTTACTATACAGTAAAAGCTCCTTATTCGCGGGGTATATGTTCCGTAAATATACCGCGAATACAGAAACCGTGAATACGGAATGGTTATTTATATGGGATTATAGGGGATACGTTCCTAGGTTACCAAAAAAAAACAACAAATTTATATAAAAAAATATTTAATTGAAGTATTTGATCATTATAATTAATTATCTTAAGGCTTAGGCAATGGTATGAAGAATTTTGTAATTTTTTCTTTCTTGGCAGTTTTTAAAAGCTCCTTCAATTCAGACTGATACACAGCAGTCGCATTAGCAATTTGCCTCTTAAAAATAAGACTTCGTTCCATAAACGGATCAATGTTCATAAAGAAATCGCAAAGTAATTAGGTAAAGTTGAAATAAGATCTATATTACTTTTTAATTAGTCCATTTGACAAGGATATTGTGTTGGATACCTATTTGGAATAATTTTATTATTATGTATGTACTTATTAGATCCGCGAATAAAGAAATTTTTAGTCGCGAATATAGGAATTGGTAGCATTTTTTTAATCCGCGAATAGTGAAAACGCGAATAAAGGAAGCGCGAATAAGGAGCTTTTACTGTATTGTCACTTTAAAATTATACTCTAGAATATTTTGTGTACTTCAAACTTATGAGTGTATAGTTGCCCTCAAGTCACAAATGAAAAGATATAATTTTATTATATAACTACCACGATATCTTTAGTATGAGTCATGATAAAAATGAGAGGATAGTGAAATTACAAAAATATAAATAAGATTTTTTGCCGAGAAACAACAGTTTTAAACTCTTAAATACATTAAATAGTCACTTTAAATAATAATTATCAAATTAATTTTAAACACCTAAACTTAAATAAGCTTCTTTAAGACGTTTAAATATTTTTTTATCTACGTGTTAATAGAGGCGACAAGAAACCCTAGACCAGTGATTCCCAAAGTGGTCCAGGTGGACCCCCAGGGGTCCACGGGAGACTTGCTGGGGGTCTACGTAGGCGTGAACAAAAAATGGGGGTCCACGAAAATTTATCTGCTTTTGATAGTAAAGAGCAAAAATGTAAGCATAGTTTTTATAAGGGCCTACCTACATTTTTTTAAGTACCTAACTAAGCAGATAATATTTTAATAAGGCAAGCGACTGTTACTTGTCAAAACTTGCGTATTCGATATTACGTACAATTTCGTGTACAGACTTGCAAAGCGCTATCCGCCCGACAATGCTTAATGCTTGTTCAGACATGAACTTGATCACCACTATAAATACTTGATGCCAAAGGCAAACTCATTCATTTGTTTCCAAAATTTCTAAAATTTTATTTTACCTATCGGAATATAGAGACAGAACTCAGAAGTGACACAATTTTTATTTTTTGGCGAATTTAAGAATGTGGTAGAAATGTAGCAGCAGGGGGTCCACCGAAACCAGTAAAATTTTGAAAGTGGTCCACGAGAAAAATAAGTTTGGGGACTACTGCCCTAGACGAACTCCCATTTTTTTTAAATCAATGAATCGTTTATATTTTTTATAGTTGTCACTGTGGGTAATTATTAATGAAATTTTAAATCTACCTAAAATCATTTCCAAACCTAAGACGCGTAAATACTTAAGTTTTGAGTGATGATTGATGAAAACTGCGTCTAAATCAATCGGTGCGTTTGAAAGCTAAAGTGCTATAGGCCGTTACACATAAATAGAGAAAAAGACCTGGCTATAACTTAAAACCTTATTGCTTTGGGGTTTGAAAATAAGATTAATTCTAAAAGTAACTGGAACGCCACTTTGTGTAAATTATTTTAATTTTTTGTTCTTTCTTTAAATTTAAATTCTAAAATATTTCTTTCTTTTATAAATGGTGCTTTATTACGTAAGGGACCACAGATTTCTTTAATCCTTTAGCAGCATTCATAACGACTTCTTTTAAGACTTGTTCTGTTTCGTTAATATGATACACCTAACATTTTAGATGCTTTATAAAAAAACCGGCTCTTATATAACCTTGAACTTGGGTAGTGGTCATTGATATTTTTATAAAGTTTATGTATAATCTGATATATAGGTTCTATAGTTTATATTAATCTTGAACACGATAAAAATATTGACAAATTTATATATTATAGAATGTATTATTATCGGTTTTTATTATTTTATTATTCATTATTGATGATTTTAAATTAATACTGTAATAAAACCATACCCATCTTATTGTAAATTTGCGGATTTATTTTATACCTTTACAAATTGCTGTCTTTAAGAACAGGTCATTGGTATATTTATTATCCGTCTAATAATGTATTAAAAACGTTTTAATGGAAGTTATGACTGTATTCGGAAATTGGAATAAAATAAAATGCAAAGTACTATACTTAAAAATTTAATCACAATAAAATCAATCACGTAATATCAACAGACACAGATTATATGTAATGTTCTATAAATTTATTAGAATAACTATAAGTAAATTTATTAACTAATGTGGGTTTTAGTTCGAAACATCATTCTGGTACAAAGAACATTTTAAAGTAATTTATAATGTAAATAAAATCTATTATTTTTGTGTTCATTTATTTTTAACCTTGACATTAAATAATTTCATAAGGCACTTCGTTATTTCTCTAAGAAATGCCATTCTGTTTACCCGGAAACTGGTATATTATATTCTTATTAACAAATCTTGCTTATTGCCAAGGACCTTTCTGGCCCATGTTGATTTATTTATACAATAAGTCCTATCCTAATTTAAAGTACTAAAGTAGTGTAGTAGTTCCCTTAAGTAAAATATCCGTAAAAAGAAAGTTGCTGTATTTCTTAATATCAGTTATTACTCTTAGACTTATTGAAATATTCTTAAAAAAATATTATAACTATAAATTTATTTGATATTCTTATTTTCTGATGCTATATTACAATTCTAATCAATGTCCAGTTTTCTGAACGATCCCACGGCGCCGTAGATGTCGTTGTCGTATAGCGTGTCCGGTGTGACGTCACACAGCTCGCTCAGGTCTCTAAGATAGTCGCGCATTTCATCGACGCGACGCCGCCATTTCTTCGTTAACACCTCAATAGATTCCTCTTCGCCACCCCATTCAACCGGCAATACTCTCGCTGGTATGTGCTCCAGAAGCTCCTCTGTCTTGTCGTGTAGATAATACTGCGCATATTAAATGGAAAGTTTGTTTATAAACGCTTTTGTTTTTATATAAAAAAAAGTATATTATGAACGAAAAATAACGTCTAAATGTCAAGGAAAAGGTTTAGACTTTAGAGTAATCAGCCAAGCATGTAAACAATTTGAAATACTGGTATTTTCCACTGATTCCATTTTCGAGTTGTTGACATTATCAATGTTTTTAAATTAATGTATGTATATATTTTTTTAAAAAACGAATCAACAACATCGTTTGTTTATTTTCTGCAATAATATCTAATGAGTCGGGTTCTTATTTGTGTTTTTAATGTGTCTGCTGCGACGTATTTATATATAATCAGTTGTATATCTTTATTTATTTATTAAAAGCGTCTTAAAGATACGAATGTTTTCGTGTTGCCTCACAAAAATGATAAATATGAAATTGAAAAGGAATAGAAACACTATTTATTCTCAGGTTAAGTGAAAATATTCCGACTTCGTAGTTACGTACATAGACTATGTACCAGGAATATGACGGGATCGAGACAAAGGTTTTGATAGACAGATTGTATGGTGTTGAAGTAGCAGGATGTTGGATGATGATGAGCAATAAGAATCATTTGAGAGCACTCAAAGGCTGATGATATTTTTAAAATTACCAACGTTAACCAACGTAGGCCTGAATAAAATAGATTTTGTTCATTTTATTTTTAACATCCATAAACATTACATGCATTTGTTGGGCTTTAACTTTTGCCGTGGCGAGGAATAATGTACCTACCTGTTATATTTTAATAACCCAAAATGTACAAACAAGAGTTAAAGATTGAATGAAAGCCTAAATATCTGTCTTTAGATTATGTAAAACGCAGTATGTTGCCCATAATAAGCAACACTAGGAACTCACCCTTTTCCTAACTTTCTCGTTGACACATGCTCTCATGAGGTTGAGTGAGGAGGCTACTAGAGCGGGCGCGCCGACGACGTGAATGCGGCGCATTCTCTGCGGGTACGCGGCCTGCGCTAGCTGTATACTGCGACGGACCGCTCCTGCCGCGGCGGCGACGCGGGCGGCAATAGACGCGCGCACGTGGGTAGCCTATAATAAACTTTTTTAGATTTCTTTGGCAACTTTTAAAAATGGAATTTCATATTCAACCTTTTTCCTATATCAGTATTAAGTACATCCGCCTTGGATGACATTTCATATAATGGTTTGTTTTAAATATTTTAAGTTTAATTCCGTACAACTTGACTAAAATAATTTAATATTATAAAACACAAAAACTGTCATTAATTTAATTTGCATAAAACCTCATTTGAAATGTCAATAATATGTTACTTTCTCTATGGTTTTTTGACGTATAAAAAGACAATAATATTTGGTACCTCCCAAATGAAGACGTCTCCCGCTATGAGCGTCTCGTCTCTTAATCTCACATCACATATGAGCAACACGGCTCTAACAGCAGCCAGTATATCAGAAGAACTTTCAGGGTAGTTTGGACGAACCCTGAAGATTGTCACTCTTAGACCCTCGTCCGTAAGTTTTGGAAGAGGCACTATATCTCTGTTACAAAAGAATAACATGTTAATGCATGTATTATTTTGTATTACATATAAAAAAAATATGAAATACACTTTGCATAATGAATAACTGAAATAAACATAACGTTCTAGTTGTAGACCAAATTACGTTTATGTTTTTTTTTTGTAAAATAATTTTTCTGTGGACGTAATAAGGTGAATTTTTTTTGGTCCTTCAAGAATTAGTGGACTTAGATGATTCATCGCACTTGGATAGTTCCCAAGGAAAATCTATTTTCCTTTATTACTAGGGATTTGTCGTGTATGTATGAAACCCTAGTTTATGAAAGGGAGCGTTCAAGTATTACGTAACGCAATTTTCGAAGATTTTTGACCCCCCCTTCCCCCCTCGTAACGCACAGTAACGTTTTTCTGTAGCCCCCCCCCCTTCTCAAAACGTTACGTAACACTCAAGTGATCAATTTCATCAAAAGACTTACAAAGCAATCTTTTTATTCCCCGTAAAATATCAATTAAGAGGTTTGCAAACTTGGAATAACAAATAAAAATATCGACCAGACTAATACAATCTGGTCAACATACTGTGATGTATATGAAAAGAGTTGCCAGTTTGGGGGTTTTTATTAATATATTTTTTTAGAAACAATGCTACGTAACGTTTTGTAAGAGACACTCTTTACGTTTACGTTTCTTTACTCCTGTAACGTTTTACGAGACCCCCCCCCCAAAATTGCGTTACGTAACACTTGAACGCTCCCAAACCCTAATAACCCATTTCTTAACAATTTTGATAATCTAAAGATCCATTTCCATTCTTATTTAATACTCACGTAACTAAATCAATACAAAGAAAGTTATAATTTCCTTGACCTGCATCTCAAGGAAAATAATGAGTTTAGTCAGCCGTTTCGCGTAAATATTAATGTTTTGCTTATTGCACAATAATGTTTACAATAACAATATGGTATCAATGTCTAATATTCTTTGAGAAAACGAATAGCGAAGTATCAAAGTAAATTTTTCTATTATTTGAACTTTAGTTTGAGGTAATATAGCATTTTATAAACTTAAGGTTGTTTTCGAACCTGTTTCCTTTAAACTATTAGATGAATATTAAGTATAATAATAAATAGATTTAAATGAACACACAATAGAACGAGTTTAAGAAACAGCGACAAAAAATGCGTTCCGTGTAAATGTGTTGAAACGTTTTGTAAGTTATTTATGTAGTACAATTTAAATGAAAAATATAATATGTCAGACAAATAATACTTACAAGAATTTGCAAACGTCGTTCAATGGTGGTTCATTCAGTGAACGATGCTCGTAAAGGTCTCTGTATCTTGAGCGCGAGTAGCAAAAAGTTTCTAACTTCTTTCGCGCTCTTTCAAAGTCCATGCGACAGCCACGTAGGAATGTCTTCAATAGATTCGTGTCTATGAAATAAAAAAACGACAGTAAAGAAACATTGAATGTTCTACATTTGAATTATAAAACAATATTTTAATATGACAAATGAAATGACTATTAAAATATATGTCAATATTTTACAAGACAAAGCGAGGCTATATACATATATAAAGTTTATTTAACATTTATATGTATAAATAAAATAAATAGTGTGCAACTGCCCAGAACATTGTTTCTGCTAACTAATATAACTTATACATATTTTGACCCCAACGTATCGATGCCCCAATTAGTAATATTAATTGGTATTGTTTTCATAATAAGAATTCACGGGAAAATTATACAAATTTCTAATTTTCTTTAGCTATAAAGCAAACATTTTTGATAAAAATCAGTCGAAACTATGTTAAAAATAAATTATTATGAAAATTGAAAACTACCGACTTAAATAACATGAAAGTTTGAATAAATACTTTGATTATTTAATTTGACCAGTAAGTTTCAAAGTTTTATTTTATACAAATTTGTCAACAGTTTCATCAAATCATCAAATCAAGAAGTCAAACATTCTTTAAATAAAAGACAAAAGGAAAAGAACATGATAAAAATACTTTTACGTATTTATATATGACACTGAAAAAAAAATGTAGTATCAAATGTGTGACAATTTTGAAACCCTAAAGCATATGGGAGTTTGTTTTTAAAATAAAAAAAAACTGCAAGTATTAAAATATTTTAACTATAACACTTTTAGACATCATACATTATTTTTAAATCCGTTCTTATTTGTTATAAAGAAATTATTTTACCAGATAAATATACTCAATTGTGTATTCAATGGCTGAATACTTACTAATACTTGCTTAAGTACCACGTTAAATATTCAGTTTCAAGCGACACGAGATACACATTATAAATAGAGCCTGACAAATATTTCGTCAGTGGTGCGGTGTCATAGGTACCTATATTAAATCGGATTTAGATTGATTCTGTAATAATATGTTTGCTTATTTATAACTTAGGTTACTAGTTGCAAGCTATATGTGCTTTATCTACACGTCTCTTAAAATAAAGTAATTCTATTTATTATTGTATAATATAATCTATATTTATTATATACCCAGCACTTTCCTTTTTTAATACATAATACTGAACTACTAACGTCATACAATATCGGCTCACTGTTTTATTAAAAATGTTTGTAAGAATTCAACGTTTTGCAAATCACAATGATATTTGGCGCCTATGGAGAGCTAAATAAATGGATAGACGTAAATAGAAGAAGCATTAGAATAGAAAAATTCTTGGTATTTGGAATGTAACCATATCTAGATTTCATAATAAGATAAATACAAATAAAGAGTTATTTAAATTTTCAAGTACAAATCGCTGATGAAAGAAATAATACTTGTCTTCCTTACAAAGGTAATTTAATCTTACCTAAGTCATAGTTAATTCAGTACAAATTTTTAAACATGTATTAATAGCTAAATATATCGTGTCATTCCTTTGTGTGTGCATAGAGATTTTGGTAACCCTTTAACCTTTTTTCTCACCTGCCCACCTCCTATTTATTAGATTCAAAATATGTCTTTCTGTACACGACATTTTCTTCTAAAAAGAATTAACAGTTATATCTTTAAATAGGTATATATAAATCATAACATAAGTGGTTATAGTTGTTAAATGTGATGTATATATATGTATGTATATTTTGCTTCAATAAAAAGACGTAAACCTTTTTATTGGAATACTCTCGAGTTCTTTTAAAATAAATATATATTAGGAAATTCAAGCGTACACAACATTGAACTAATTTACAAAGCGAATCTTTCTCGCATACTAATCTTTTGCCTTAGTGGAAATCCTGAGTTCAATAGTATTTCGTAATAAAGGATGCGGTGAATATTGGATGAACGAATTAATATTTTAGATGTATAGCGAGTGACTTACGAGTAGTTACGACCATCATTATTATAAATAAAAAGACAGTAAATGTTGCACTTGTAACGTAGGCAAATAAAAGTTTTAATAACGAAAAGTATTATGCTTAGTACACAATTTTAAACATTTATATTAGGTAATCAATGTGAAAATTATCAATTATCGAATTTAACATTGTTTACAAATTTCAAATAGATGTTTTTTAGCATTTAAAAAAAACTGAAAATACGCTCTTACCTATATAATATGAATTAAAAAAAATTATTATAATTTTGAAAAATATAATGATATGTTCTTGTCTTCATTAAGGAACATTTAAATTCGATTATAATACAGCAATATCTATAAAATGCCAAATTTTAAATTAGTTTATTTTATAAATACTGCCGGGTAGATTATCATAAAATTCACAGCAAAAAATATGCAGGAGACTCTTTCAAGTATGTCAGAGGTAAAATAATGTAAAAGAAAAAAATATAAACTGGAATGCATATATTACAGCCATTAGAATATTCTCGTCTCAGAATGAATATGCAAAATTAAAAAATTATAGAAAAATATTACGTACACGCTCCTTTAAGATCAAGGACGTTAGTTTAAAATGTGGGACTATTAAAAAATACGTATATATTATACATTTAAGTTACGTAATAAATATAAAAAAAAAGAAAAAAGTACGTCCTCGTATATTCGTTCCCCGAATTGAGTTCGCTCAATTTTAGGTTAGCTGGGAGGGTTTTGAATAAAAATCTTTATAATATGGATGTACGGCAACCCGGAGATAAATATTGTTGAACTTTATGCTCTTAAACAGAAAGAATTAATATCGAAGACTCAAATAAAATCTAGTTTGGACTAAAACGCAATTAATTTAAAGGCAAAATTATTTTTTTTATTAATATGGTCCAAAACCGCGATAGGAGCGTTAAACCTGTTCGGTTTTGAATAATTTACAACAGAGTTATCAATTTTATGATTTTTAATAGATTATTATTGATGAGAAACTTCAAAACTTGTCTTTCCTCTTCTCAATCATTGTAATGTTCTTATAAGAAGTTAAAAATTTACATCAAATATGTAAAACATAACGTCAGCGCTTAATACAATATAAAGAAATTGTTGAAATGTCATTGTCATAAGAATTAAATCTAGCTCTAATTTTATTGTGGAAACGAATGAACGCACTGAAAAAACTTCTAAGCTTAGACACATTGATCAAAATTAGTGGTGACGATATTTAACCCTGTATAAATAAACTTGGAAACTATTGATACATCAATAAAACAATAAGCACTTAGGATAATAGTTATTACATCTACAGATAATACGCAAAAATACCTTACAATCTGTGTACTATGTTGTTTCTATCGCCATTAATACGAAAAATATCTTTAATATGAGTAAACGTTTCTAACTTAACACTGGCAGTTTAAACGTGTAACATTAATTAGAGTCTTACATATAATTTATCTGACGATAAATCTGGAAACTCTCGATGCTGAGATAGACAATGAAAAGTCGTACTAAGAGTACAGTATTAATTCCAAGTACGTAACCTCTACTAGTGAATCATGTACACTATAGCGAGATATAAACAAACAATAAATAAACAAACATAATGCATTTAGTAACGTAAAAGGAACACATGTATGCAAAATGCATGCCAGCCATATTATTTCCTCCATGTATCGATGACTAGGTTAGAAAAATTTTAAATATGTCAGTATGTACTAACGTAAAATATATTGCATAATGTGAGAAATAAATAATAAATATATTTTTATAAAACAGAACCGTTTGTAATTAAGAGAAAAAAAATTTAATTAAGATCCTTTATTTTGGTAAGTCGCATCTTTTTAGTGATGTAAAAAAAAGAAAAAATCTCTTTAAGATTTATAAATCTTATCTAATGAATAATTAAATTTTAAATTTTTCTTCGCAATAAACATATAAGTACGAACTCTTTTGTCATTTAAAAAAAGTTTGTTTATTTTATTTTATATTTCGTGGTATTATATTATGATATTTTACTCTATAAAATAAATCACAACCATGTGCCAGTTCAGTCAGACACGCACAGATACAACCTCGCAGTGGTAGAAGGCCGCTGACTAAGTACCATTTAAATTGGAAGAAATCATAGTCATTAAAGCATACTATGGAATTAAATACTTATACAAATCATTATATTAATAAACAACTAGAAAATTGTATGACGTTATACGTATTTGCTGTCGATGCTGAGTATATTTAGAACTAAAAATATTATGATATTTTTCATTGAAATAATTGTGAATTTAAGAAAAAGAAATATCTATATACATTGTAAGTGGCATTGCAGTACAGTTGCAGATTACAAGCGAAGGCGACCGATATATACATACGTACATACATACATACATACATACATACATACATATAAAACATAATAATCATTTTAAATAATTACCTTAAATATATTCCATCAAACAGATCAGTATTTTTAGGTAATATATTATAAAAATTTATCTCACACTCTTTCAAAATAAAAATAGGTATGACATTTTTTATTTAAATAAAAATACCTAAGGCTTCAGGTTGTGGCAGATAGGGGTTGGCTGCGCACATGCTGTGTAAGTCCCTCAAACCTCTTTCTAAATCCCCGGGACCTTCACCGAGTTCCTGTTTGATAAATTCCTCCTGCTTCGGAGAAGGACCTTCGAGAAACGCCATTGCTTTTCCACCACAAAAAAAAAACTTGAAACAATTTATACTTTTGTAAATAATTTATCGCTGCGAACTCTAGGAGACTAAGTTCAAAACTGCTAACGTATTGTATTCAACCTCTTTTATAAACACAGCCGCAGCCTGTACACTTACCAAGAAACGTGTTTATTATATTTTTGTCTCATATATTTAAATCGGGTATATAGTATTAATGAGATAACTGTTTATTAAGATTTATATCTCTTGTTATATTATACATACCAATGGATTCGGTAACATTTATAAAATTAATATTTCACTGCCTTTTGTTGCTAAGAAAACGAACTAGTTTTTCGCCACATTTAATGCAATTTTAGTTTTGGAATAAATGTATTTTATTAAAACACGTCATTTGTACTGAATATAAATAATAAAACTTTGTGGTTCGATGTTTGAGTAACATAAAAAAAATAGACTTAAACTCTAAACTCGGTTTCAGAACTACTGAAAAGTATTTAAAATAAAATGGTTTTTAATAAATGTCGTTAACGGTATGTTTTTGAATAAACGGACACATTTTAGTGCGTAAAAATGCAACATAATAATTAAGCTTGCTGTCACTTTTTGCCATTCTCGAAAAAAGGCGAATAGACTAGAGGCAGACCAAGAAAAGATGTGATTGCACAGTTAAGTAAACTTTTCCCTTACACATAATTACTATGTAAAGAATAATAACTTAGAAAACACTAATGTCGTATTACCTACATGTAATATGTTCCTCGACTACAGACAAATAGATAAACCATATAAAATATGCAAGCGTAGAATGTTTTAATAATTTTGCTGATTTAAGTCAATACATAACCTAGTTTTAAATGGCAACCCTTGACGGATCTGTTATAACGTTTGTAGAACTATTTCACTTATATAATAATTGCAACATAATATACATGTTGTTCAATAATAGTAATAGCATATTGATTGATAATAATAGTTGTGCGATTTTTCCATAGAAAATTTTATTCCCGTCACGGTCATAGATACAGTGAAAGTGATTTTGTTTATATTGAATATGCGTGGTGGAAGATTTTCATTCATTTCGTTGGTTTTTGGAAGTTTAGACGGTTTATAAAACTCATCACCTAGCTAATATTTCACTGTTAGGAGTTATATAACTAGGGGTATATTAAATAAAGTTGAATTATCTATATGACTGTATTAATCAAGCTATTTATTCAACTTGCATTTTTAGTTTAGTGTAATTGTTAAAATTCTTGTTTGTTTTCATAGTAACGCACATTAATTACAGTATATTCTTCGCATTTCGTTGTTAAGACTATCGAAATTTTGAATTAATAAAAAAAAATGAACCTATTTCGCCTTGAAAAGTATAGGTTTTTTTTTATTTATTGGGTGTAGTAGGGTTTGTAGGAAAGATATTTCCAAATAATTTTTATATACATATAACTTTGGAATATACCAGTACGAGACAATATACGAGTAGACGATGAAATATATTGTTAATGGATGACAAAGAAAAAAATCTGCCAAAAGATAAGCTCCTAATTACCAAAATATATTTAAATCTTAATGAAGGCAACATCATATTATCATAAATTTTATTAATACACACTTAAACAGATCTTTTTATAATAATTTGAAGTTTTTAATATATTTTGTGAATAAAGAAAATAAAACATTTTCTCGTAACTTAAATTATATAAGTTGCTATAAATAAAATATTTTATTACATCACGGGACATTACAACCTAATAAATATAAATGAAGTTTAGCTTTTTTTTCATACTGGGCTACAAACTATAAATCATACCTTTTTGTGGTTTCACAAAACCTTTTTCAATAAAATTTACTTTTTGTATGGTATTTCAGGAAAAACTACAGAACACCAAAATGACCACATTTTTTCATTTACTTTTAAAAGCATGAATATGGAGTTTAATACTCTAGGATCAATAAAAGAAATGGTTTGAACGGGTTATTGCCTAACAGATACTGCTAGGCATTTTTAAAAAATGATTTTTTTTTTAAAGAATGATACGACAAACATATTTATTAAGAAATATTGTACTGTTGACGACTTTTTCATGTATTGTACACTAAAATCGTAATTGGTAGTTAAGGAAACGAAAAAAACTTGTGGGATAGGAAAAACTTTCTTCGATTTTTTCTTCCCATACTTGAGAATTGAGTTAAGCCAAAAGCAGACTATGAATACCAAATTGAGGTGCTCAGTGGTAAAAACTTGATTGCATTTCGGTAGTCAATGGGGAACACACTGTTAATTTATTTCACGAAGTATTACCTTCTGACAAGAGATGTGTTATTTACAAATCACAGATACTTTAATTAAGCAGTTAGAGATGCGGTAGCCAGCTAAACTGCCAATACTAAATCAATACATATAAGAGACAAATCTTATTTTGATTGTAATTAACTGAAACTCCTTGTAGTTTTACGTCTTTTAAAAAATCATGAAAAATTATTATTTTTTTGGTTATGTTCGTTCCGTTCAGAACAGGCAAAGAGAACAAAGCCCATACAGCCATGTCTTTTGTATTTTGTATCTTTAATTATTTTTAAAAGTCTTAATATCTTTTTTATTCTAGACTCAAGTTTTTATATCAGGCCTAAGCCATGTCTTCTTTTAATTTTTCTTCTTAAATCCTTTTTTTAATTATAAGGCCGAAACCATGTCTTTATTTAAAATATTTTTTTTGTAAAATTCTTGTTTTTTTTTACATTCCGTCTTTTTCAATGTCAAGTTCTTGTAATGTAATTTTTAGTACAATAATTAATTTGTCAATATCGATATAACAGTCAAATTCTGAAAATATCTGAAATAGCTGAAAGCAAATGTCTAAAACAATATGTACAAATAACAATTCGATTTCAATTATAGTAGAAACAATAAAGCCATAAACTGGCAAGAAGCATTCTTGAATGCTTAGTATTTGCTGAAGGGAGCGCGGGATATCTTAGGCAGTTTTAAAAATACTTAAAAGTTGGTCTACAAGGACCATCCTTTGAATACTAAACTGTGGACCATCAAAAAATATATGTTCGAGGGTTTCATCAGCACTATTGCAATATCTACAAGTTGAAGAGTCAAACTAACCAAAGAAATGCATTTATGTTTCAGTTTAATAACAATTACTACATTTTGTAATGAATCATCATAAAAAGTATCTACTTTAGAGAAATGTATACCATTTTTAATTAATATTGCTACGCCATTATGATCATTACCGAAGTCATTCCTAATAATGGTATAACCACGTAAAATAAATTGAATGTTAGGCTTGAGCCAAGTTTCTGAAATAAGAACTACATGTATATTATTTTGGTATAGAAAATTTTGAAACTCAAGTCTGTTACTTAACAGACTTTGAGCGTTCCACTGTACAATATGTATTTCAGATTTGGTGGTTGAATGTGACGATTTGCTATTTTTATCCTGGATGGTTTCTTTAATAGCTGAGCTAATAAATTGTGAACTAATACTTATATTTTGAGTTTTATTTAGAGTAATAACTTTTACTACAGATTCTGTTAATAGGGTCATTGCTTCAGAATTTGATAGTATTGCTTGGATTACTTCTTGGGTATTAAATTTTTTATTAAGGGAGAGAAAATTTAATGAATTGTTTTGATGTATCAGCATATGACTTGGGTTTACTGTTGGCGATTTTCTTTTGCCTTATAGGGCACTGGTTAGAGATGGCAATGTGATTGCCATTACAATTAATGCACTTAGCTTTTTCAATGTTAACCTTGCATTCTTTGAAAGAATGCCCCTCTGTGCATATGGATGCTCCATGGATGATCTATCTCCGAAACTACTGGTTCGAACTGAATAATTCTTATTGTGTTGGATAGTCCAGTTATCGAGGAAGGCTGTGGGCTATATAACATCACGCTACGACCAATACGAGCAAAGATATAGTGGTTAATGTGTAAATAACGGGAGAAATTATTTCATCTTTGAAGCTTTCCGTTGCGTGCGCCGTGAAAACGGTTCAAGATACACAAAAATATGTATTAAAGAATAATAGCTCTTTTAATGATCTAAAAAACAGTCCGCAACAGTATATGTCTATCTTTAAAGATTAACTCACAAAAACCGTTTTTATGGTACTTAATTTGGTCGAAATAATTTGTTTAAGTTGTATCAACATAATAATATTAATATTTATTCAAATAAACAAATAAATATGTTGTTGGTTAAGAGTACTTCATTGTGAATAAAAAAAACATAGGTTTTATCCTGAAAATTCTACGGGAACTCGACCATTCCGAAAACCCCGCAAGAACGGGAACTATGTAGGAAGAACCAAAAATCTGCCGGAAGTCACTATTCCACGCGGACGAAGTCGCGGCAAAGCTAGTTATAGTATAAAACTATTTAAAATAATTAAAATTTTCAAAAAGCCCGCGTCAATGTTTCAATTCCCGCGCTCTTTTTCGAGGTCAATCTCTCAAAATCATATTAAAAATATTTATTTTTTTAACTTGTAAAAACCATGGATGTATTTTTTTGTAAATGTTTTTACGGCTCTGGATACGTGTCTTTTTGGGCCTAATCGTTACATAAACCATGGATGTTATTGAAAAAATTACCATTATAAAAAATCTTGATAAAAAAACATATGTTAAAGAAAAAAACCGTAAGTAAATATTCAATTGGTTATAATGTCTTTATTTTTTTTAAATAATATACAGGGTGACTGGTGAATTACTATCGATAATTGAGGACGTGCTATTTGACGATCATATATGACAAAATAAAAATTAATATAACATAAATATTAATAAACTTCTAAGTAAAGTTAACCAAAAGTTATGTAATTAATTAAGCATCGTGTGGACACCCTACAGATTAGGTATACACTCACACACACATACGCGTGCGGCGGCGTAGTGTTGTATCAGCACGCCGCCGCACGCGTCCACACTTGGAACACTTGGAACGTGTCAACACTTTATTTATTTATACGGAAATTTTGTCAAAAATTAAGTGCCTATTTTTTTACATAATTCGAATGAGAATCATGTACCGAGTATTCTCCTTAAATATTGATAGTAATTCACCAGTCACCCTGTATATATATTTTAATGACCACTATCGGAATTATTAATGGAGCTATCATTTTATTTAAAACATGAATACCTAATTTCTATTAGTACAATTAGCAATCCACAATTAAAATATCATTATCAAATTTTAGGTATATGTATGGCTTAAAAAACTGGAATCCAAAATATTCACACGATTTATCAAAAGTCATGGTAGTTGGTAACACAGCTTTCAAATTCTGTTTTCAAATATGTAACGGAAGAAATACACGGTTGTTAGCTGTTGATCCGAGTGTTGTATCTCAAAATAAAACATAATACAAAACAAAAGGAATATGATTCGTGTTTAAATAAATAGTGGAAACATATATCAAAATGGAGCCTTCTAAGGAAGCAATTGCTGTTCGTATTACAAGATTAAACCGACAAATAATAGGGAAAGTGACCAACGGAACTAATAAGCTTGGCAAAAAAATTGATAGGGAATCTTTGTTAGATGCCTTAACTGTTTTGTATGATGAGTGTAACGAGGACCCTGTTAAAAAATGTGACGCACTTGTACGAACATTCGTTGACAAATGTAAGTTGCACATGCAGAAGTATATTTATTAAGACAATCATGATTGTAACTCATACATTACTACTTTGTTATAGATCGCAGTGCTCTGGCCGAATTGCGGAGGGCCCGGGTTTGCATTTCTGACTTTGAAATTCTTCAACTTATAGGTCGCGGGCATTATGGTGAAGTACATGTAAGTGGTTTGATCATCTGTTTGACGACAAGATCACGACAGACAATACAGACAATAACCCCAACAACACACCAGACACCACAAACACACACCGCTTTCGCCGACGGAGGCGTGGTCCCATTTCATAAACGTCACTCCGGCGTTCTGCCGTCAGGGGCGTCATGCAATCCTTCATCCGACCAATGCCTCCACTACGACGACGTCCTAAGCCGAGCTCCGGCCTCTTGGAGGCATCCTTGGGACGGGTGTACCTCTGGTTAATTAAATCGGCTTGGTCCCATCAGGGCCACCCACCCACCCCTCTCGGTGACGGCGTAAAAGACATTAGGGCTAACAGCTTTAGTCAAATCGAAGCAAAAAGGTTTGATCATCAAATAATCATTTGTTACAAATCAAATCCCTTTTTGTTAAAGATTACATGCTGGCTGATAGATTGAACGGTTTTATTATTTTGTTTATTCTTGTTGCTGCCATATGACTAACACAATATACATAAGCAAAAACAGTCTCAATTCTTTATAAATCATAAGATTATAAGTTTACAGAAAACCGTTGAAACTGAAATTATTACAAATAAGCTTTTGCACGCCACACCTCAAAAGTGTAAATTAACAGTTGGGTCCAATTCCTCTGCAACATCCCTTCACTTGCTCATGAAATTTCATAATTGAACTTGGTTCATACTGACAGTTATTTTTGTTTTCATTAATATTAAACCAGATAAACATATACAATAACTTATCTTTCATTATTAATTGTTTCATATTATAAGTGGAAACTGCCAATTCTGGACTCGGTGATAGAGTGCATGTTTATTCGTTACACAATAAAAGCATTCAAGTATGATTCATGTGGCCAAGTTTTGTCAATATTAGCTACACATCCATTTATTTTGTAGACATTCAAATAATTACTATTCTAGTTGAAGAATACTTACACTTCTTAAATTTTATATTGCATTTATATAGGCTTTATTGCTCTGATGTTGTAGTATTCAACAATCTGAATATCTAGACTGTTTTGTTATAAACTGTGTCAGTTATTCTCTCCATACCCTTATTGGATGTTAAGTGATTTCTCGTAAACATACCTTAGGTGTCTGAAAGTCAGGTACAGTACAGGTTTCTTTATAAATAAGGTCTTCAACACGTTTGTTACACTCATGTTAAAAATGTTTGTGGTGGATAATTAACTTATTGTAAAATGGATCATATGCTTGTTTGCCATCTTTATGAAACAAAATATAAGATTTTTATACTGCAGCCACAATTGCTTCTAGAGTCTTACAATTTATCAGTTAATGTTTTTTAATTTTAACCAAAATTGAAGAATAGTATGGTTAAGCTCATAATCAAGTTAGTATATGACACGGTCAAACAAGCACAACACAAAATCTTTATTATTTTTTTTAACTTCACTTGTATTTCTTAAGATACTTTATTTTAAATATAAAATTAAATTGTTTATTTTATGTCTCTACACTATTCTGCACAAAAATCAATTTAACTAACTAACATTATTAAATAATTCTAAGCGATTTCAAACCAGGAAAAGTATCCTCAATCTGAATCAGACGTTCATCTTGCTTCCCGACCATGATTTTCTCCTTTATTTATACTCGTAATCTTTACTTATATTTCCAACTTAAATATGATTTTTCTTTACATTTATTTGGACATTAAGCTTCCGAGTGGGTAATTATATTTGTTTTTTTAGAATAAACTTGATGTTTTATCTATTTTAAGTATTTGGTGTTTCTGATGGAGTCTTATAGAAAAGGTTAAGTTTAAGACATCTTGTTGTGGTTTCATTCTTCAGTTAGTACATTTTTTATGAGACACTTTAAGTCAAAACACTGGTGCAAATGATTCAATTTCACAATATGCAGAGTCTTAATTGCTAACTTTAGTACTTTATTTCATCATAGTATGATTTGACCCTGTAGTATTTCAGTTTATCTTTGATGGTGGTTGTTAAGGAATAAGTTGTTATCTTAATATTTTACAAACAAAATTTCAATACACAAATGGTTTAATCCACAATGTTTTCCCTTTTTCTTTATATTTCTGTATGCAGTATTAACATTGCGCTACTGCTACAGAATTGGTATTGTAACATCATTCCTCTAAGGTTTAGAAAAAGGCTTAGGTTTATTTTATGATATTGTTATAGTGTATATTGTATAACATTAGTCACTTATATACTAACCAAATACAAATTGAAATAAATCAATAATAGGTTCTAGAATTTACACATTGCTACAACACTGTCTTACGTTTTGCAGATGGTAAGGGAAAAACAGACAGCGGATGTATATGCATTAAAAAGTGTCCGTAAAGAAGAAGCGAGGAAGAGAGTTGTTGGTGCTGAGGATGAAAGAGATATTCTTGCAACTGCATCTGGCAATTGGATACCAAAACTACAGTATGCTTTTCAGGTAAGTCTTGTGTTCTTGACGAAATAAAACCTAAATTAATTTGTTGTTTTTTTATTATATTTATGTTAAATCTGATAATAATTTGGCAATCAGGACAGTAACAACTTATATCTGGTAATGGAATTATGTAATGGAGGCGACTTGGCTGGTCTGCTTTCACGTCAAAACCATCCCCTGTCAGAACGTGATGCAGCATTTTATATAGCAGAAGTTGCTCATGCACTAAAAGCTCTTCATGGTATGGGATATGTTCACAGAGACGTCAAGCCACAGAATATCTTTTTAGACAGGTATGTTTTGATATTGCAAATTTATTTTATTTTTTACATATATTTTAATATAAACTAAATGATATGTTTTTTAGAAAATAATGTAACAAGTTTTATTTAAGGTGAATATATATAACTATAAAGATTTTTATTATATTAAAGTCCCTTTTAACCCAATGTTTTAATAAATATTCATTATGTTAAAACATCAGATTCTTCTGATTTTGAGTCGTGAGAACTTTGATTAAATAAAAATACTCATATCTGAGAGTTTAAAATACTCATATCTAAGCTTTAAAATGAGGCATCTTTCGTCTTCCTAGAACCTCTATATCGGTAGCAGTTACCGAATCAGTGTGGGCACTTAAGTTTCCATGATAAAAAAACAAAATGGCTGCCATTTTGTTATGGGGGGAGTAAAAAGAAAATTGGTTAGCAATTTGCCGATAAATAACGTTATATTTTATCCCATTTAAATCTCCGACACTGGTGACTGGACACATTGTATATGTTGTTTAATATGTTTCCATTTGTTCAGATGTGGTCACGTGAAACTCGGCGATTTCGGTTCGTGTGCTCGTCTTTCGGAGGGCGGGTGTGTAGTCGGCGGCACAGCCGACTATGTGGCTCCGGAGTTATTGTCCAGTGACTGCACAACCGCTCACACTGTGTGTCTCGAATACTGCCGTCGGGTTAACACTGCCATTGTGGGTTCGCACGTCGCTAACGCTTTCTGCTTTATGTAGTATTGTAATACAGGGTGGACCAAAAGTCCGGTAACATTTGGAATGGTTATAAAAAATACAAAAGAGATATGAGAGAAAATATGTTTATTTATTATAAAAGTACAAAAATTAGGGTTTTATTTTTTAAAAATTACGTCGTCCAAATGTGTCCCTAGTTTAGTGTGGCCCTCCTGTAATCTAGAGCTTAAATTTCTAATCACCCCCTGACAAGTGTTGGGGGAAATGTTCTGAATTTCCTCGCGTTTATTTTCTTTTAATTCTTTAATAGACTGAGGGATGTTATTAAAAAAAATACTTTTTAGGTATCCTCAAAGGAAAAAGTCCATTGGTGACAAATTCGGGCTGCGGGGTGGCCAGTTAATGTCACCTCTTTTGGATATGACTTTTTGCATTTCGTTGGCAAACTGCAGTCTCTGAGTGTAGTCATTTGGCCTTAATTGCTGTACAATTTGAATTTTATACGGGTGTAAATATAAATCCTTGTGAAGAATACGATTTAAAGATGTCCTAGATACATTTAAAATTCACTAGACCGCTTTCGAGTAGAGAGGCCAAGTTGTTCTCTAACAGATGCTCCTACGCGCTCTATGTTTGCGGGCTCTCTCGACGTCTTAGGTCTGCCGAATCGTTGTTGATTTAATGTTGAACCCGTCTTCTCAAACCTCTGTACCCAATTTTTAATTGCACAAGTTGATGGAGCTTGATATATATTTAAATTCAGAACATTTTTCCAAACACTTGTCGGGGGGTGATCGAAAATTTACGCTCTAGGTTACAGGAGGGCCAAACTAAACAAGGGACACATTTGGACGACGTTATTTTTAAAAAATAAAACCCTGATTTTTGTACTTTTATAATAAATAAACATATTTTCTCTCGTATCTCTTTTGTTTTTTTATAACCATTCCAAATGTTACTGGACTTTTGGTCCACCCTGTATAATGTGCATTACACCTTAGTATTCAGAATTTAGATTAACAGCTGTAGATGTATGACATACTAACTGTTTGATTTCAATACGTTTTAATAATTGTAATAAATTCAGACTGTCTTGTTCACTAAATAGTTAGAATTATAGCACAGTGGGGATGTGAAATGTATGTAATTTTAATTCCAATACTTGTTATACTGAGTATTTACATTTTGCAAATCTATTCTATTAAATGAATATAAAAAAATAACTATAGATTTTTCCTGAGAAAAAGAAAGACTTCAATACATTTAGGAGTGCCCCCAAGTCAATTTATAACTCTTTATATTTTCAGTCAGCTTGTGATTACTGGTCACTGGGTGTAGTCGCTTTCGAACTGGTGACTCTCAAAAGACCATTCTCGAACAGCGACAATGATTCAATGGCTCAGATACTTAGTAACATACAGAAGTAAGTTAAATTTGTATACATTTTACTAATATAAACTTAACCGCACGGTGATTCCATAGAAAGCTGAGAGGTTTTCTCTCTGAAAGTTTTTTTACGGGAAAGTTAATTTGATATAAATATCGAAATTTACTTAGTTTAAATATGTAGGGTATAAAAGAGAAGTTAAATAGAAAAAATACTGCAACAGGCAAGAAATGATATAGGCATTCATAGATATTATTATTTTTTTAAATATTTTTATGAATAATAGATATGAGAGAGCTCCAAATTCCGAGCCTCCTTTCGAGCCGCCGCCTCACAGCCCTTCATCATCATGGCGGTCACTAGTGGCGGGACTATTACGTGTTCAGCCCGCTCGTAGGTTCAATTACCTGGACACACTGCAACACTCAGCACTCTCACACCTTGCTCTACACGCTATAAGAGATCAGGTATCGTATTAAGAAAATTTCAATACTGTTTCGACTTTAAATGTTGTATCAAAGTAATATATTATTAATCCAGGCTCCACCTTGGGTTCCACATCTTCGTGGCGCAGAGGACACTACATATCTACCGGCGCCTGAACGTGTTCCATCACCTCCTTCAACAGCGCCCTTCAGAACCCGCCCGCCTTTCGCTGGACAGCTACCTTTCGTTGGTAAGTGATTTATTCAAATGTTCTCAATCTGAAGTAAGAAGTTCTAAAAAATACTATAGGAGTTATCATCGTTTAAACGAGTTAACCATAAAATAGTGACCCAAATAAAGACAACAATACTTATTATTTGTAATGTACCACAGGTTATTCATATATGGCACCAGAGGAGGAAGACAGTCATTCTGGTGGATTCAGTACATCGCATGATCTCACGGCAATAGATCTCGCAACTTACAAGTAAGTACATTAATCTTATCTTAATACTATCATAAATACGGTAGTAGGAAACGTTCGTGGATTGATGTTTATTACAGAATAATTCCAGAGAAGACTCTCTGGCTTGGCCAGTATTTGTACAATATACTGGTAGTATCATAAAATATAAATAACTTAACACCAAGACTGTAGCAGTATAAAATTTCATCATAATTTTTTTACTAAATTATAAACTTATAATATACAACCATATATGAATCCAGTTAATATATACATATTTTAAATGCGTCTGTATTTTTTTAGATGTCATTTCGTTGGATTTATAATAAGTTGTGTGTGAATATATCCCAATGACTCCCTTTAACTCCTGTATAAGATCTAAGTGGTCCTTATAAATATACTTTGTTCAGATCGGCAGAGAAGTTAGCGTCGTTGCGAGGTCGTGAAATAGCCTCGTTGCAGAATAAGCTAGTGGCTGCAGAGGCAGCAGCAGAGGCAGCGGCCAGTGAGGCGGCCGAGCGAGCAAGGAGACTCGCTGATGAAGACCACGAGAGACTCCGGGCGGCGCTACAAGCTGATATAACATCGCTTACGTTACATAACAAGTAAGTAACTTATATCATCATCATCATCCTAGCGTCTATCCCGGTTGTTCGTCCCAGGGTCAGGTAAGTAACTTATATATATGTATAGTTATTATTTTTAAAGTTTTTAAGTTGCTATATTAAAACAGTGCTTTTTTTAAATAGTAAAATTTAAGATTCATTTTTCCTATTTTCTGTTTGTTAAATGACTATGTTGATCTAAAATTATAGTAACAAATAAGACATTAGACGTAATGAGACGTAAGACATTTCTTTTACGTCAAAGAATTTCCTGTTATGAAATCTATCATTTTTAATTTCTGTGAATTAATTACCTATATACTTAAATTTAAATTCTATGGAATGGATCTAATTTATCATAATAATGACACATATTTATGCTATTCAACAGACGTTTAGAACGTCAGATAGAAGTTGAGAAAGAAGAACGGAGGGCTCTCCAGAGGACCAATCAAGAATTAACTGATACAATCAATCAAAGAAGTAAATCAGAGCTTAAGGCTGTACAGGCACAGGCCTCAGAGCTTCAATCAGAAAGGGATTCTCTGAAGGAAGATCTCGCTAGGTTAGAAGCTCGTGTGAGAGAACTACAAATAGAATGTAACAATGCCTTAGCTGAGGCGGACAGCGCTCGAGCGCAACATAAACATTACAAGGTGGGTAGCGTCTTCAATGCTATATAAGTTCTAGTTAGTTTATCTAACATTCCAGTTTCATCTCGAAGTTACTTATCAATAGTTTATCACTGATAACTGATTATAATCTGTGACATACATTTGTTGTGTTTGCCTTATATCGGTTACCCGATCTAATAAAGTTATATTCGTGTTCTAGTTTTATATGTTTAGTGAAGCATCGTTTTATAACAGGATATTGTTCATCACGTGCATGAACTACGGCACAGATGGCTCACTGAAATTAATGTGAAGCCTATCGTAAGTGCAGTACATTAATTGTAATTACAGTGTAAACTCCATATAACGACACTCGATTTAACGACAAACTCTCTAAAGCGTCGAAATCATTTGACTTTGGTTGGTTTAGCTTGTCTACCATACAGTCATACACTCTATATAGCGTCACAGACACTCTCAATAACGACAAAATTAAGTAATAAAAAGTACCCTTTAAGTTGCTAAAATTAGTAAAAAATGCGCAGTTGTGTACGTTTTTTTGTCGCTTTGTTATCCTAGCCCGCAATAAACTCCACTGTCGTAATCATGCATACCAAACTTTCTAAGAAATTCGTTCTTCACCAATATGCCTCAATATCGCAAGATATGAATAAAATACGTAAAAAATACAATAACATTACTGGTGCAGCAAAACACGTCAAACAAAAACAACAGACTTTATAACATTCTTTTTTATGTACATAAGTACTAACAGTAGTCGGAAACAAACTTTGTCTTTTTCTAATTCTGATTTTTCTTCCCTCTATTTAACGGCAACTCTCTATAACGCACTAAAATGCACGGTCCCTTCAGTGTCGTTATATAGAGTTTACACTGTATTTTTAACTGTCGACTAGGATATTCATTTCTAGCAATATTATTATTATTTAGTATATACGTATTTAGAACTAGTTATTGTATATTTTTAAAATTTTTAACAATAAAATTAGCAGTAGTAATATTTAAAATAAGTAAGTATTGTGTAATAGTAGTTAGTTATATACACAATAGTATATACATATTTGTGTAATGTATGTATGATTTAACAGGATACCATAGCTCAGGAGCGTGCTTTGCGTCGTCAAACTGTATGTGGTAGCGAGGCAGCGGCGGAGGGCGCGGCGAGGGAGGCTCGTGCTAGAAAACACGCCGAGGAACAACTGGCCAAGACCGAGGAACAACTACAGCGGCTCCGAAACGACTTAGAATCGGCTAATGAACAGGCTGATAAAGCACAGGTATTTTATAGATTAACTTATTGATAATTCTTGTAAATTATTTGAAATAGTCTTAGAAACAAAATATTACAGATTAAAGTGATACATTTTTTTTTGTAGGAGTTACTACGTGATAAAGAACGCATAATCACCACTGCTAATGATCAGATTACTGACTTACAGACACAGCTCGCTCAAGAGCGTGTGCGAACCGCTACGCTCGCCGCTCAAGTACAGGTATGTAAAAGGAATAATGTTTTAAAAACATCGATAGTTTAATACATGGACATTATATTGAAACAAAGTGTAATAATATAGTAGTGTATTTTGTTCTTCTAAATTGTATTTTGTTCTGATAGGCAGCGGAGCGTAGTGTTAGCGAGGCTGTAGCTCGTGAGGCAGCTCTTGAGGAGCAGAGTGAACGTACACAAGCAAGACTCCAGCAACGACTGGAGGCAGCTGACAGCCGTCTCGCCGCCGCACTACACGACCACGGCAGACACGCTGAGAAGGTACATTCACTAGTATAGTGTATTCTATAATATAGCATATGTCTCGGTATTCCATACCTACTAATTGTTTTTTCTAATAAACACTTATCATACGTAAAGGTCAAACTTCCTATTGAGTTTAAGTTTCTTATACAAATAAGAAGTATGTTCTATAGATAACATTCAATAATAAGGTTCAAAGTTACTGTAACCTACACCCAAACCTGGCGGTTTTAGGTCACTACATTGGAGCAGCTAGTAAGGCAATTGGAACGCGAAGTAACTGCCTTAGAGAACCGCTCGTGTCCGCGGTGCGCGGAAAACGAAGCTAAGAAAGTACAAGTGACCAGTGGAACAAATACCGAAGAAAGTGAGGACGCGCTGGAAAATAGAGATAATAGGAGTGAAACTGAGAGCTATGGGGAAGCAACTGCGCAAGCTCAGGTGTCGCTTCTAAAGGAACAACTAGAACGTGCCGAGGCTCAACTACTGGTATATATACTTACTACTATCTTACACTAGTATATTATGATCTAATTTAGTAAAGTTTTTATTTTCTATAGGCTCGCGGTGAGGAAATTGCGACTTTGCGCCAAGAAGCTAGGACTGCCAATTTAGCTAGATGGAGGAAGGTATAAAAAAATATTTTGACTACTTAAATGGGCATATAATAGTCCAAGAGCCAGGGCCAGCCAGGCCTTCGTTAATTTATAGAAGCTGAAAGTTTTTCTATAGATGTATCCAATACAGGTAGTCACGATCCCCACCTATGAAACTTCTGTCGCGGTGGCTTTGTCAGGTAACAGGTTCTAAAGGTGTATAAAATTGTCTTTCACTTTCCTCATAGTATAAAATTCAGTTTTGATATATTTTCATAGTAAATATATTAGAAATCACGCTGTCCATTGCCAGGCACCCCTAAATTGTAAGCGCGAGCGCGAGGAACATACATATATCTAAACGAGTGCGAGTGAGATAGTGCGCTGGGTCTATTGCGAGCTTCTACTGCGCATCAGCTGTCATTTAGCAATGCACTCTGTGTAAACTATTTTTTAAATTTAATAAAAAAAAATCGTTACATAAAATTATTGAAGAAAGAAATATTAATTTTAGACAAATTATGCAGAAAAATATTCTTTTCAATAAGTTATTTTATCAATAATAATCTAACAATTTAACCAAAACTGGTTTAAAAAATTCTAAATTTCATTTCAATTTTAAAACAAATTATATTTAGAACCATCTTTTCGCTCCATGATTGATCTATATAACACATTCAAAAAGTATTGTTCAGAAACCGAAGAGCCTACCGTCTGTATGTTTACATTTGAAAAAACATTTAACGAGAAAAATTTATCCTAAGTAACTAAATGCCTATACAATGTAAACATGAACATATCCATTCGTAACTTATAAAAACGTAATGTATTAGAAACTATTTTACTATCAAGGTTGATCAAAATAAATAAAATCTTTTTTTTAAACAGTATTTTTCTTCTGGTGTAAAATTTGATTCTCGACGGTTAGGGGTACTGGTACTTCATCGATGATATGTCCCTCGCGCTCGCGCTTACGGAAGATTTTCAGTGTGTCTGGTCAGGTAAAAGAACCATCGAAACTGCCTGACTACTGAGCAAATATAATTTAATACTTTCCTCCTCCTAACATATATAAAAATGAGCTTATAAATGTACTATAACGAAAGTACAAATAAAATTACGTATAATTTAAGGGTTGCCACCCGACTAAGTGCCTGACAATGGACAGTGGGATTTCTAAGATTATTACGATGAAAATATATCAAAACAGAATTTTATACTATGAGGAAAGTGAAAGACAATTTTATACACCTTTAGAACCTGTTACCTGCCAAAGCCACCGCGACAGAAGTTTCATAGGTGGGGATCGTGACGACCTGCATTGGATACATCTATAGAAAAACTTTCAGCTTCTATAAATTAACGAAGGCCTGGCGAGCCCTGGCTCTTGCTCTATAAGCATCAGAATTGTTTCTTTTTTTTATCGTTGCGAAAGAGTAACGTTTATTTTCTATCAACGCAACATCCTTAATGTTTAACTTATATTTTTCGATATTTTCTTAGGAGAAGGAATTTAACGATTTATCGATTGATGCCAAAGTGACAGCGAGAGATTTAAAACGAAGCGAAGAGCGTTTACAGTCTGCACTAGAAGCTCGAAAGTCTGCTGAAGATAAGGCCGCGCTGGTTCATAAAGAAATTACTAGCCTAAAACCTCAACTGGAACTGATGAAGAAAGAAGTCGACCGATACAAAGAACTGTCGGAGAAATTACAAAAGAGCAATGAAGTATTGCAGGTGGAAGTTGACAGGTAATGTTATGATATCAAAACCTATTAGTTTTAATATTTAAACATAATATTACAAATATACTCGTATATCAATTACGTTTACCATAGAAGAGACGGTTGTCAAAAATCAGATGTTTTATTGATACCGTTTTTTATGTAAATGTCATTTATCATAATTAAATAACTTCCAATGTACCAGATCTCGAAACGATATCCGCAAATTGAAGAGCGAGCTACAGTACAGTGAGCAGCGTAGATTACACGCGGAGCATCACGAGCAGGAGGCGACGCGTGAGAGAGACAGACTGAGGTCGGAGCGGGCGCCCCTCATGGAAGAAAGAGACGGACTGATGCAGGTACAACTAACATTGACTCACAGCTTAAAAGAGACCACTGCTATTTAAAATTGCACCGGATTTGAAGAGTTTGCGTGGTTAACTTATATTAAGATGACTTTGACTTTTAATTGATCTTTAAAATAACATATATTTTTATCAAAAGGTAAAGATTCGTTTCGTAAGGGTTTATTTTAATTAGTCTTTTTGGAGGTGGTAGAGCCTAGCTGTGGTTAAGTTACTACAGCTCGAACATGGGCTGGCTCGACCGGGGAAGTACCACCCTCTCACAGAAGATCGGCGTGAAGTAGTCAGTAATGACTGCGTTTCGTCCGATGAGTGAGAGAGCCGGTTGCCCTTTCCCTTTTCCCAACCTTTCCTTATATTTCCTTATTCCCACCCCTCCCTTTTCCTCCACAAGTAAGGTTGGCAACGCATCCGCAACAAAGGTGTTGCGGATGTCCATGGGCGACGGTAACCACCTTCCATCAAGTGGGCCGTCTGCTCGTTTGCCACTTTTAACATAAAAAAAAAAAGTCTTACAAACTCGTTAAACTCTCCCAGGCATTCCACATCCAGATACTATTAAATGCTCACAAAAAATCTACTTACCTTCACTTAAACGAAGTCTCCGCTACACGTTTTTGCTCTATTGGTTTTGTGAACATCTAGAGACATAATCAAGTAATTGTTCTTCACCATGCTAATTCGAAATACGATTCATGAGATAAACTGATTATAAAACGCTGCACGCTGTGGTTCTTGTATTTATGGACCAACCAAGTTTTGACTTTATAAGTTTAAGACTGTTAGGACACATCTAAAAATGCACAAGTACATAAGGTGTTATGAGAATTACGACTAAACATATTTTTTAATATCTTCCTGTTAGAAGCTATGATGACCGAGCCGGATTACTTAAACAAGATAAACATTTTTAAATGGTGTACAAGGAATGACGATTATAAGAATGAGTTAATTGTCGGAAGATGGTATTTCAAAATCTACTAAATCATATTTCAAAAGGTTTAAATTGATATTAGGTTACAAGACTTGAACTAAAGCAATACAATTTCTTTTATGTGCAATATTTGTGTTTCGATAAGTGTTTCATTGATACATATACCATCATCACTTGAAATTAAATATAGTATAGGTCCTTAATAAAACTAAATTTTTAGTTAGATCCAATACAGTTCCTGGTAAAACTTGAGAGAAGCTTGCCTCTACCATTATTTTAGTATTTTGTGAAAATTTGTTAAGAAAAAATCTAAATAGTTTTATTCGAACTATTTTCGATCTTCTTTCTCAAGTTATACAACAGTTTTCATCATTTCCAATGAATATAACGCATAATGTACCGTCAAATTTAAATCTGCATCATTGTTGATGTTAGTGTTATGTTATTGTCACATGTTATCGTATACCGTCACAACTATTGTTTGAATACGAAAATATTATTGTTTGTTATGAAGCACAAACATCACCGGTTGTATATAGATTGCTGACATTGATGTCACGTCTTGTTCAAAGTGGAAGTTTATGAGACTATGGCTCTAATATGAAATAAGACCGAACATATGAAAGTGCCACGAACATCGATCAAATTAAGGTCTAGAAGGAATATGGCTGCGCCGTACCGTCGTGTTGGCAAATGTAACGATAAGCCACATATTTGGCCTAAACCCGATCATTTACCTATAACATCGGCTTGGGGTCAACGTATGCGTTTGGCTCTAGCGAGTGATTTACTCCGCGGACGTTGTAGAGGTGTTGACGCCGCCTTGTTTTCCTTGCACGCACATTTGGCTGCGGTAAATGGACTGATTTCATTAATATACATAGTGTTTTAAATATGTATATTTATAAAAAATGGCAAAATGTTTCACTGTTTTTTTTTGTTTAGGACCATAAGGTGTTAATTGTCCAATGAATTCGCAAAATGGTTTTTGTATCATTTGGAAAAATAAAGTTAAATCTAAATGCCCATGTAATGTTGACGTATTACTTTACAGAACAATAAAGCATTACAAGAGGCCTGCACATTATTGGAAGGACAGCTCCCTGATCTCGAAAAACTGGCGGATCTACGTGAACTCAAAAATAAGGAGCTTGAGGTATCAATAACTTTCAGTTTGCTTTTGTTACATACTTTATATCATCTTTTAGTCTATTACAATTCTCAGCTCTCAATAGATTTCATAACATAACGTCTATCCATACATTAAACCGTCAATCTTATATAAATGTTTATTAAGGTTCTGATGGAACAACCTGTTATAAAATGTAACAGGGCATAAAATGCTATCAGTCTGCAAGGATGGCTCTCGAAAAGCGTTGGCATAAGATTTTCCTATTAATAAAATTGTTGATTATAAAATTATTTTGTCGTAATATAATAAATAAACAAAGCTTTAATTTGTTCGTCAAAGATGGAACTGTCTCGTGTACGGAGCGATTTGGAGAGTACACGGACTCGTGTTGTGGAGGCCGAGCGGACCGCTGCTGAACAAACGGCCATCGCTCAGAAGGAGAGGAGTGACGGAGAACAAGCCAGGGAACAACTGAGACTGGCCAACGACCAGCTTAATATACTACGGGTTTGAATATATTAATATATACTATAGAAATATAGTCTCACTTGATAGAAATTCGGTTCAAGCGAATGCTTAGAAATTAGAAGTATATTTAGATTAAATATAAAGGAAAACTAAGTGTTGCTAAAATATGTATGATTGTTTTTTCTTACTACATTTTTTAAGCTATAATGCTAGCTAACATGATTGATGTTGAAATCAATCATGTGTAATTTAATCGATTTGTTAAATTTGGTCTTCTATTAAAATGTCTACAAATAACTGTGATAGAATAATATCGTGTATGATTTGGTTAGTTTTCTAATTAATATAAGAAGAATAACTCTTCATCTCTGTATAGGAGCGTATCGAAAACCGTGAGGACTTAATATCAGAGTTGGAAGCCAGAGTGAGTAAGTTGGAGGGTGAGGCTGCGGCGAGGGATGCGGCGATGGGTGGAGCTGCGAGGAGGATGCGAGCCTTACAAGAGGAGGCCGCCGCATTGAGGACCAAAGCACACGCCCACCACGCAGCAGCCGTCAAACTACAAGCGGAACTAGCAGCCGCTCAGGTGAGACATACGTGATTACATATTAAATAAAAAATATATTTTTTTTATTTTATTTTATTTTAGGGAACAAACAATAAGATAAACTTATGGGATATGAATATACATAATAACACATATCAGCTAAGTTTCCACTGGCAATTAGACACATATTATTAAAATTAAAAATTTACTAACATACATAAAATCAAACATTAAAAACACCGACATAGCGGCCGATGGCTTTCGCAGTGGTTTCAGTGAGTAGGGGCCTGCCCAGGCCGAGTCTCACACATCGCTTCCGGCCTCATCAAAGCCGGTTGGACGGCTGGTAAAAAGAGTTTCCCTGCGACATCAAAAAAAATTATTAAAAACGTATATTTACGAATTTCATCGGCAGTTATGAATAAAATCTAACATAAATATAACTAAACGAAACAAAAATTTTAAAAAAAGAAGTAACAAAACACATTAAACAAAATTGAAGGCATTAATGGCTACATTGGTTAGTTAATTTACAGGCAAAAGATTTATACACGTCAAAACAAACTATGAATTGATACATAAATTAATCTTATTAACTTTATTTTTAAAAGAATACATTTTTTCGAATAATATATCAATATCTGAATAAACTTTATTATAATTTTGGCAGCTACGATATAAGAAGATATTATTAGTACTTTTCGTTTTACAAATCGGCACATTAAATAATGGTTTATATCTAGAATTTATTCGTGGACAATTAAATTCAATATTAGACAATAGGAAAGGTGAATCTACGAAACTGTTAATTATTTTATTTATGAAAAGTTGGTCTCTAGCTTGTCTACGTAAAGTAAGAGGAGACAAGAGTTGTACATATTTTAGCAGAAGATACAGCTCTATAACACATGTGTTTGTAGAATTTTCTTTGAATGGAGTCTAATTCATTTATATAAGTTTTATACTGAGGATTCCATACGGTAGAGGCATATTCAAAGGTAGACCGAACATATGAGTTATAGAGCAGAACAAAAGTTGAGCACTGTCTGAAGTCCCTACCAACTCTTAAAATAAATCCAAGCATTCGATAAGCTTTTGATGTTATGTAACAAATGTGAGAAGCATAAATAAGCTTAGAGTCTAAAACTATGCCGAGGTCTTTAACCTCAAACACCCTATTTAAAGAAATGTTATTTAAATTATACACATACATTTGTGGAATTCTTTTCCGGGTAAATGACATAGTGTTGCACTTTATTTATTTAACAATTTTAAACATGCCAGAAACATTTAGAACAAAACTATGACACAAAAAAATTAAGTTTAAAAGGTATACTTATCCCTAGAAGAGATTTCTTCCAGTATGCCCAGGAAAGAAGAAGTGTAGACAGAGAACTTAAAAGGTAGACAGGCAAAATCGAACACAAGGAGAAAAGATACAACAAAAAAATACATAAACTTATACTAAACAAAAAAAAAAAAAAAAAACTAAAATTAATTTTACTTAAAAATACATATACATATATTAAAAAATAATTAATATATAAATAACTATGTTTATGCCATTTTACCACGAATTAATATTTGGATAGGAAGTACTCTTTCAATTTCTTTTTGAAAATGTGGACGGACTTACTAGTGCGAATTGTAAACGGCAGCGAATTCCACAATCTCGTTGCATTAACAGTGAAAGCGTTTAAGTAAAAATTGGAAGTATGGGATGGGATACGGAGTAAGGCCTCGGCCTCGAATTTTGCGGGCAGCGGAGCGGCAGCGGGAGCGGCAGGATCTCACGCGTATAATCAAATGGACCGACCCTCGAATACAGCGGTGCCTGCTGCCCGCTAGTTTGGAGAATAGTATGCGTTTCCGTGCCGCCGCCGCCGCCGCTCCGCTGCCCGCAAAATTCGAGGCCGAGGCCTAATAGCTGGACATTGGGGCGACATGGGGAACCAGTGGGATGCAAGAATACAAAACGCTCACGAAGGTAAGTGGGGTACAGGGGATTAAATAGGACGTTGTAAAGAAGACATAAAACGTGAGTATCCCTGCTAAGTCTTATGGGAAGCCACTTGAGTTCAGCTCGATATTTGGAGATACGGTCAAATTTGCTGAGTCCGAAAATATACCGAATACAAAGGTTTTGTAGCCTCTCAAGTTTATTAAGAAGTTCTTCAGTAGTGTCAAGGTAGCAGATAGGTAGGAGTAGAGACTTTATAACATTTAAAATAAAAAAATTCTTATCACAATAGTTACATAGATTGTTTGATGACTCGTCCAGCATGTTTAATGAAATTATCGTAGCATTCAATTTGAACAGACTTTTGGCGCTCTCTTAACAAGCTAAAAGTTTCACAGTCACTTGATCTTTCATAGACTTTCCATTTTCGATGATACTTAAGCTTTTCATTTATAATTTTTATTAAAGCCTTTGAGTACCAAGGGGGGGGGGGGTGGTAACAAGTGCTATAAGATTTTTTAAAAGGAACGTATTTAATAATAACAATATTTATTATTTCACAAAATTTTCTAACAGCAATTTCTATATCATCAGAATCTAAGGTATCGGTCCAATCAATTTGCGCAAGTTCAAGGTTAATTGAATCATAATCAGCAGCTTTAAATATTGGTATAGTAAAGGGACGTAGTAAACTAAAACTTGGAGTAAGGTAAGGTATGAATCAACAAAGCGGGGTGGTAACCATCTTCCTTAATAAGAAGATTAGCACAATGGCAGACTGTACACTGAGTTCCACTCATCACCAAGTCCAATTGTCTGTCGTTTACGTTCGATGTCAAATTAAACTGAGTGAAATTAGTAAAACTAAGAGAGCAATACAAATATCTGATTAAGAGGTCATTACTGCCATTATTAATAAGGTTAATATTTCCAGAGAGATTAGGTAAGCTCCATTTTGCATTGCTAATATTGAAGTCACCAATAATCACCAAATGTATCGCAAGGTTTATTCGTATATGTATCCGATATCATTTCAAAAAATTCAAGCAACGCATCTGATTGGAGGCAAGAATGCGGAAAATAGCAGCAGTATATACGCAAATTGGAGCTAGGTTGGTTATTTAAATTAATAATCACTTCCAGTACTTCAGCTGCTGCACCAGATAACATAATAGACTTATATGAAGAGACAGAAAATTCACGTTTTACAGCTATGAGTACTCCACCGCCCATTTTATCACCTCTCGAGTCATAATCTCGATCGCACCGATATACATATAAGTCAAATAACTCAGCATCATAAACACCAGAGTTTAACCAAGTCTCAGACAAACGTATTACATCAAAATCAGACATCATCACATTTCTGAAAAAGTCGTTGGTTTTCGTTCTAAGCCCACGAACATTTTGATAATAGATAGAAATATTATTTGCATCCATTGAAAAATAAGGAATCAATACACTTAATAAAAGCTCTCGTAAGGATTTTTTTGATTTTTATGCCAAAATACAACATAATAGTAATAAAATACATTTTTATTAATAATAAGAAAACATTCGTTTGTTATTAAATATAAATATTTGAAGAATGAAAAAAAAACTATTACAAAGCAGTAGCTGTATAAAAAACTATATGGTAAAGTCATGACAATTTTTATTGGAAAAAAACTGTAGCCACTTATATAATTATTGTAAAACAAAATTAAAGATATAAACAAATAACAAAAGCCTAATACCATATCAAAGATAGACTGTTTAAAGTTTGCAATTTCGTCCTTTAATGCTTTGAGTTGCGCAGAAATTATATCGGTTATAGTATTTTCCAATTTAAGCCACAATTTGTCGAACTCTTTGGATACAATATCTTGAACTTCCTCACTAGAGACTGGTATTACATTTGAATCCACTTTGGATGAAGCAATGTGTGCTCGTACACCTCTACGATGTTTAATATTATCATCTATGATCTTTTTACATATTAATTATGTGTAATCTCAAAATGAGGAAAAAAAATAAAATAAAATCAAGCTTTCTCACAGGCGATGCCCGGAATCAAACTCTCGCTTCACGCGTATAACGATGTGTTAACACCTTTCGGCCAGTTTGTTTCTGGAGTTATTTGTGAAAAAGACTATTTAGTTAAAACAGCTGGGTTTTATCATTTGGTTCTTGACCAAGCAGGAGTAAGGACGCAATCCTCTTGAGCGTTTGAATAAAAATACTGGTTTTTACCTTACAAATTTAAAAAAACACTTAATCACCTTCTAAAAGTTAATGCACTGAATGTTTTAAGCACTATTGAGAGCAATAAAACTATCAAACACTTATTATTCTACAGTTTAAACAGAAAATACTATTCCGATATGCACTATTAGGTTAATATTATGAAGATAAAAAATACACCATAGCTTTAAAAAAATACTAAAAGATCATCTTTTAAATAAGACTACCTAATAAAAGAAAACGTATTCTCTAAACGAACAAATAAATATACAAATAAAAATAACTAAATAATAAATAAATAAAGTAACTATCTAAGAAAATTAAAACAAGAATTAAAATGTTGAAAAGTTTTTGTTTTAGTAATGTCACATCTAGTTGTAATTTGTCTGTGAACATTTAGTCGTGATGAATGTTGATATACAAAACTACCCACTTATTGATTTATGTTTTGTTGTATTACTTGTTAAATGTCTTTTTTATTTTGTATAATAAGTTTTAAGAACCTAGTTTCGTACGCTCAAAAATGTAAACATTTATGTAAATAATTTTGTGAATTAGTTTTAAGTTTCATTTAAGTGAATATGTAATATTCTTTATGAAACAATAAATATCTTAAACCTCAAGATAACAATTTGACGTCAAACACCAAAAATCACCAAGTTAACCCCCTACAAACGGTAATCGCGAATAATTGTACAATAATTTAACCGATAATCACTTCATAGTGACAAGAAAACAATTAATATTTACATTTTTATTGATTTTAATGTACGGATCCAATGTTTACGCTACCGGTAGTGACACCTAACTTCATATTGAGTGTATTTAAATGTATATGTAACTAATTGAAACATAGTAAATCTCTCCGCGTACCAATAGAGAAATGATTAAGTCGTTTAGATCTGGTAAAGCATTAAGAAAAGTATTAATCACCAAAAGGGCTTAAAAGTGTTCTTAAGTTGAAAATTTCAAGTGTTGCTGTAAAAATGTTTCTATAGTGTTGTATTATTATGTGTACGTCTAGGAAGAGACGAGTGCAGCCCACGAGGCGCACGCGGCGGCCGCTGCCTGGTGGAGGACCCGGGAGACGAAGGCGGACGCCACTATGAGACAACAGGCCAAACTCATTGACTTCTTACAGGTACGTAATCATTAATAATCATCACTTTCATCACCATCTATGTAAGGTATATCTATGTAGTTTACTATATGCTATTACATATAATATCCATAAATGAAAATGTTATAGAGTTAAACAACAATACTTTTTGGTATCGATGAGTCACACCGTATATGTTTATTGAAATTTGTTTATATGTAAACACTTAATTAAACACTTAACGTAAACAAATTAGGCTAAAGTGGAGGAAGCGGGCAGAAAGAAATGTTCGTTGGGTAACAAGCTGTTCGGACGTTCTGGTCGACGAACTGCAGCCTCGCCGCCTCTCCTACGAGTTAACAGGTATGTTAATACTTAATTATATATAAATAGTATTAATATCTAGGGTAATACGTGTACAGATAATCATTCATAAGAATACCAATAATGTCAAATTTGTATCTCCTAAAAGATTGTTCATAGGTAATATCTGTTTTCTTCGTTTTACATTATTGAAATTATAATTATTTGTCATAAAATTAGAAATTACGTGAACTTTTATATCAAAACTAGTTTACACGTACTTAAATGGAAAATAACAAGCATTTTGGTATCAAGTTTATTAATACACGAAAATACGAGGCAGGGTAAAAAACATCTGTGAGCGGTTTTTTAGTTCATAAATATATTAAAATATATTTCTAGAGAGCTGCGTGAAGAAGTTGAACGATTGAGAGCCAAGCTAGCAGCAGCAACGTCTACTGATGCCCAGTAAGTCGATGGAGTTGATTAACAAATAAAGGAATTATATATATATACATATATACATTTCTGAATAGTAGTAATTTTTATTTATAAAATAAAATACTACAATACATAACACAGTTCTGGTTTTACAGTTTTCCTCCGACCCCAAGAAGAGATAAGAAAGTCGATAAACCAAAGAAAATTGCAAATGGGTATGATTTTAACACAATCTCTAATTTTATTTGTAAAAATACAGTTTTGTTAAACGTTATAATATTTTTCAGATACCTCGACAACGACGCACCGGATCCAGATTCTGTACTAGTCATTTGGTGGGTTATATCTCTTAAATTGTATACTTCACGTGTTAAAACAAATAATTAATCAATTAAATTTCCAGGGCTGACGGTAATAGAGAACATATGAACGCTCGATGCGAGGCTTCACTTCTAGTTTTGAAGAGAAACGATCAGACATTAAGGGCTCGACTGTGTCCCGACCGCTCTCTTATACACCTACCGCATAATGAAGCCAATCGAGCTTTTGGAGTGAGATATTTATATGAATTACGCTATAAAACATACTCAATACTTACACTTAGTTCATGGAAGTGATATTTAATTCAATGAACAATAATTTTGATACATAAAATTTCTGTTTATTTAGATAAAGCTAGAACAAGCAGACGGTGGCACGGAGGCCATAGTTGTTTGTCCGAGCATAACAAGTAAATGTGACTGGGTTTCGCGACTGACGCCCGTCGTACAGGGAGGATTCCAACCATTGACGCTTCTACAAACCAAAACAAACCCAACCACCGCCTTATACTTCGCACCCGTCGCTTTAGCTATAGGTATACAAATAAAATTTGACTATTAATTATTCCCATAAATAGAAAACTAATACATACAATGTTATGTATATATAGGTTCCAGTGAGGGTCTTCATTCTCTGCGTGGCTCTGTGCGTGTGGAGTGGGAGGAGTCATCCCCACCCCGCGGTGTTCACTCAGTTGAACATCTATCAGTGGCCAGTACACGTGTGTTGATGGTCAGTGGAGGACGTCTGGTCCACGCGGGCCGACTCGCTCTGGGCTCGGCCCTGCGACGCGCTGGATCACTACAACCAAGCGTAGTATTCGCTAGAGTTCAACTCAACGACAACACGCCACCCCATCTTGTTAAGGTGCGATAATACATTTCAATAAATCAATTTAGTAAACAACAATTATTAAGTTTTGCTCACTATGTTCGCTACCACTAGAGTAGACTAGTTTTTCTTGGTTGACTGAAAGATATAATGAATAATTTTTGTTACTATATAGTATATAATATCAGTGAGACTTACAGCAATTTGGAAATAAAACTTGGTAATAAAACTTTCAGGGTATCGCAGATGCCACGGAGGGTCCTTGTGCAGCGGTGGCTTGCGGTCGTAGAGTCTATTTACTCAAGTTCGACGCTACCAACACGCAGTTTAAAACATCACGCTCCTTAACTGTCGATCGACCGCCTTCCTCTCTACTCATTGCAAATAATGTTCTATACATCGCTGGAGAGAAACCATTAAAAATTAATCTACCCTCAGGAGCATTGGAGTCGTTTGCCATGGACGAACCGATAATATCTGCCGCTTTCAAAAAACACTCGGCACCCAAAGCTATCTTACAAATAAGTAGTAAACCTGTGGAACTTCTTTTGTGTTATCCTGAGTGCGGTGTCTTTGTAGATGAAAATGGTAAGAGAACACGCAGTGAGGACCCCAAGTGGAGCTATGCTGTACATGGATGGGAATATGTAAACCCGTTCCTGTACTGTGTCGGCGAAGACAAAGTTACCATAATTTATATTAACGAAGATACATACAAAGCGCCTCCATGTACGTGCGATGCCACCTCGCTCGCGTCCTCCACCTCGGCTTCAGAATACTACCAGCCAGATATATTTAATTATAAAGTAAGACAGCCTGCTATATTGGGAACAGCACCAAACGGTATCATTATGAGGTATAAAAATGATGATGACTATAACATTATTATCTTAGAAGGTAAATTAGCGTTTAGAAGTATTGGTGCTTCATTGGATTCTCTAAACACAGCGTCAGATGTAAGAGGATCTTGTTTAGACTTGGCGCAGTCTCTCACCGACCTGTCGCCTCAGGACGAATCTCAGGAGAGTATAGAAGTGACAACAGGATTTCTTGCCGATATTAGGAATAGGGCTCGACAGTTGAGGGAAAAGAACCGTCATCAAAAATCACCCGATGACGTCATCAAAGAAATATTAACCACCGAAGTTGGTTTGAAGAGAACCACGAATGGTAGGAAATCTCCAGCGTTGACGTCTGAGTTCGATTCAGATTCAGAGACTGAGAGTGAAGATCAAAGAACCGGCTCGACTCAATGTACGGCCGATGTATGCGCCGAGATGTTCACGAGACAGGTCCGCTTCCAATAAAATAACGTTCATTTTAATATAGAAACCTTGACCAAAATATTTTGATATTGTACCCGTTGTACTTAATCTTTTTATCTATAATAATAATAATAATAATTTTATTTCTTAAGTACTGTGTAGTTAAACAATTGTTTATATATAAAATTGGTATTGAATTCTTAAATAACCGATTGCGATAATTTATTCGAAGTGAGTATAGTTTGTATGTCTTTTAATTTTGTTATTGTGTATAAATTATTTATTTTACTAACTAATTTTATTAAAACGTATAATTATATACTTTTAGGTGTATTTATAAATCCTTAAGATGGTTTTAATAAGCAATTTTTTTTAAATTTCATCCTTTTTTAAGTTATTAGTGATTGATATTTCGCTTTACGGATTTAAACATAATTTAATTCCTGCTTGCCGTTATTCTAGTTAACTGTTAATATGGCATTTTCCAGTGTTAAATCTTTTTATTTTAACTTGTGTATTAATCAGCTTTTAGTTTTAAACCATGTTTTCAATTATTGTTATTTAGAGCACTGCTTTTCTTTATATATAACATATTTTTTAAACATTGATACAATAAATATTACCATTTCTGCGTATTTGCTTTTTTATCTCTTAGAGAGATTGATAATTCACTTGTTCTTAGTGTGGAAGATACATGAAGAATAAAGACATCCAAACAAATTATATAAGTATTTTATTTTTTTCATTACTAATAATTTTAGTACACAAAATTCAACTAACACCACCATGAATAAATACCTTAATTACACGCTTAATAGTCTTACACGCTGTTTATTAAATAAATTGGATCAAATTTTGCCTTCTACACCACTAAACAAAAAAACCAAACTATTATTACTAAACATAGTGTTAAACCAAATATGGAAAATAAAATATAATACATCTGAGAATGCTATTGTAATAATGTATATGATAAAACAACAAATGATACTAGGTAACAATAATTAATTGTAAATAAACTTTTTCCTCCGTTATAATATAATTTTACCATAGTTTTTGAATTTATTTACATATTGAAAATATAATTAGTCACAAATTTATCACAACCATTAGCAATGAAATCAGCACTTTTGTTATGCCCATTCTGTAGAAACATTTTTTTGAAATCGTACAATTCCAGAAAGGTCCTAAAATAATGTTGAACATTTCCTTGTCATCTTAATTGATAAATAATAGTGGTTTAGTGTAAAATAGTTATTTTATGAATTTTAAATTGAAAGGGAAATGAATAAAAATAAAAAATTGAAAGGGAAATGAATAAAAATAAAATACAATTGTCGGAATTTCTTTATTTACAATCTTATATTTTACATTACATAATCAGAAGTGCAATTGGAAGGATTAATAATTCAATTGAAATCAGCTTCACCCCATTATTTAAAGGGTTTGAATGTTTATTGAAACAAATGACAGAACTTCTTCAATTAGATTAAATAACAAAGTAGGAAATGTACTTGAAAACTGTACTACAAAATCTGACAAACGGCAGAGATGGTTATTCACAAAATAATGTACAACGAAAATTATACGGTATGTAAGTTCAAGACATCTATGCCCTAATTATCTCGAGTATCAGTCAAAATATGATATATAATACAAGACACGGTTTTATATTTCCGTTACATACAATGTTTTTCTTTTCTTTATTGAATACAAGAAAAAATAACAAATCAGAACCACACGCCACAAGCACACAGATTACTAATATTATTTTTATACATTACTTTATATTAATGTTGTGAGGCAGTTCTGCAAAAGATTGTCACATGGTATTCATTAGGCCTTTAGGCGTTTTCTCTTAATCATTAAAGTAATGTAACATTATTATGGACGTCATCCACGTACAAAGAAATGCTCCCATAAGAATTATATACATCTAGTCACAGACCAAGATTCAGACAATTTCCCAGCACGTGGCTCTGCACATTGAGATTTCATAATATACACGTACTATGACAAACAAAAGCGCAGATTTTATCGACGGCTATATATATTATTTCAGTCGACATTTCGGTGCACATACAATGACTGACTGGGCACTCTTAATTATTCCATTACATTAAATCAAAAATGGATTATATTATTAAGTTTTTGCAAGCCCTTTGGCAACTAGGTTCGCAAATTGTTTGTAATCAATAACATTTTCAAAATTATCACCGATCTTAAATTCAAACGTTAATCTAAGTTGAACTTGACGTTCTCATCTATAACTGTCACTATCAACAGTCATGTCGTTTAAAACCAAGAACTATATAATAGCCAATGAAAACGTTATATAAAACTGTCACATATATCGTGACTCCTTGCACATACAAACTAGTAAAAAGTTGTTTATTGTTTCTATAATAATAATCTACACATCTATAGGTCTAGTTAAGGAAGCCACGACATTGCGGCGCCCCACATAGGCAAGGTATCTTCTCGTCTTCGAGAGGGAACTTGTAGTCGTATGTTATCTCCTCGTCGACTCCTATGGGCTGTTTCGAGTATATGACGATTTTCTTCTGTGATTCTATTGTTATTATTTTTGCGTAACAGTTTGGCTGAAAAGAAATTTTTCATAAGATTTTTTTTTATGTACAAAATGTTATGGTTGAATTATTTATACTAAATAGTAGATATATATGTCTTACATTGCAGCTATGGTTGATGAAACGCGCCAGGTTTCCGCACTTGGTTGCATCAATAATAGTGTCCAAGTCTATACGGAACAGGTATGAAGACCCGATGCCGGTGGCCTCGTAGTGAGCCTCGCGGACATCCGCTACTATCGGACGGACCATTTGACCGACGTATTCGATAACCATTTCATCCGCCGCTATCGCCTCCTGTTAGTACATACGACATTAATAAAGTATTAATTCAAAATTATCAATTTTACTATTAGTACATTTACTAAAAAATAGCCCAATAGCTTTGTTGTTTGCAATAAAGATATAATTTTTCAAGACAGAACTTTCTCTTACTGTTAAATGCAATATTAATTACGTTACCTGAGCAAAGAGACCCCAGTCGTGTATACCAGATTTGGCGAACTTGAGCTGCTTTTTCCTGAATTTGAGCTGATTGAACTTGAGGAGATCTGAGTCAGTGTCGGTTCCTAGAAATATATAATATTAGTATACAGAAAAACTTAAACTATTAATTAACTTAAGCAATATTATATTTCTATCATAATCATCAATAATTTAACTATCATATTATATTATAATGTATCGCATATAGATCAAACGTTATGAATAAACCAACAAAAGTCTAAATAATAAGAAAAAAATACATTTAAAACTATCACTACTTGTTTATGTACAGTGACATTAAGTTGGATTCAGTATATATGATCACAGATGATCTGACGCAATATATCTGAACATTTCCAAGGACAGATAGTATCCGAAATATCATGAGAGTGTTGGGTGTTGGGACAGCTTTGAAGGAAATATGATAATGATAATAACCGAATGCCGTGAGCAGTCTCCTCTGGTTGGAGCGCGCCTCTCTCGACAGCAGCTGCATCTTGCTAGCCTTCTTATCATCGGGCGGAGGGACGGCGGCCGCTCGTCCGTGATGATACTTGTACTTCGCCTTCAACTTGGCGTCCATCTTATAATAACCTTCCGTACGTGCTGAACCGCTCGAATGACCCTGACACAAATTAAAAAAATACCTTATAGATCGCTTTTGACAATTATCACAGACTAAGAAAATTAAAAAAAAAGAACGTAATTTTGTTATATACATATAGGGAATGTTAGTATATTTCGTTTCATCATATGTACTTTCAAAGTATTTAGACATCACTGATTTATTATTCACAACATGTAAGGCAGACCCTGGCTATAGCTGGGAAATTGCCAGGTAGAAGAAGAGGAATGTCAGTATATTTCGTTGGCTATATCTACTATATAGAGTAATATTTTTCTGCGACTAACTTGCAAGTCCTCGTATATGTTATTGTATCGTTTGGATTTCTTCTTGGGCGGTGAGTAGGTAAGGTCAGTGGGTGGATGTTCGACCCAGTGTGTGTCATTCAGCCAGTATCCTTGAGCGTCCTCTGCTAACAGAGCCTCGTACGCCCGCCTCAGGTATTCTATATCCTCTCTGTCTATCCCTCGAGTGAGGAACTCATACGTAACTTGCACTTCCGCCATTATATCGCGCTGCTTGAAAGTCACCGATGAGTACTTGTTGTTATAATCGTCGCGACCGTCGTATAATCTATAAGAGAATTATAAATATATAAATTGTTTAATTAATAGTTATAAGTATAATGTGGTAGAGGAATGACATGGAACGATATTTTAAGAGTCAACTAGACACTAGCGTTTGTTATAGACACTTACTTATTTTGAATTTCAGTTAACTTCTTAGTCTGATGTTTTCTCTTATACGGTCTTTCTGTCTTCTCTCGTCTCTTTTCGTCGGTGACGACTGGTGGAGATTCCGCTTCCGGTTCTGGTTCAGCCATCCAAGTGTAACCTTTAAATTGATGTTCAATTATCACATATTCAATAAAATGCATTGAATCCTTGATTGTAAACACTATTTAACGTGATCGATACCAAACTTATCCTTAATTTGGAAGTATAATAAGTATATATATTATAAGCAATCAGCTTACCACCGTCATTACTTATAAAAGAACTACCCACACGATTGTTTATAAAAGAAGCATTCAAACCGCCGCGCGTCTCTTGGCTCTTGGCGTTCGTAGTGCAAACACCGGTCGTGTAGTTTTGTTAAAGCGTTTAATAATTATTAAGTAGGATTTCGTTCTTTCTATTTAATTAATTTTGTTATTACTTTTCGAGACTAAATAACTAGGTCAAGTGTTAAAATTGTTTCTTTTTTAATATATCTGCTTCTGATTTCTAAAAATATTATTATGTTGTTCGTCTCTGCCTATGCTACTAATATCATAATTGCGAAAGTTTGTGAGTGTGTGTGTTTATGTTTGTTACTTCTTGACGCTCAAACGGCTGAACCGATTTTGATAAAATTTTGTATACAGCAAGCTGACGTCCAGGAATAACACATTGGCTACTTTACATCCCGGAAATCCGCGGGTAACACCGCGGGACGCAGCTAGTATGTAAATATTTCCAAAATCTCACTCAACGACTATGAGAAATCCATTTCTTTAGCCATACATTATTATATAATAACTAATAAGTATAGTATAGTACCGTGATCGTGTTGTAGATGTGTTGTCGTAGGTCGTTCAGCGGGCGGCGGGCGGCAGTATGAGTGGTCCAAGGCCACTTGGGAGGCTTGTGACGCCTGGGAAGCCTGCGACTGAGGCGAAGACGTCTCTGACACAGCACCGCTAGCCTGCAAATATATTAATATTAATTTAAATTATATATTGCATTTACAGAAAACCTTTACTAGTTACTTTCTGAAAGTCTCTAAAATTTTAAAGCCCAACATCTTAACATAAACCGCTTCATAACGGTATTGATATGATTTATTATTACATCGGTATTATAATATATGAATGCTGCTTCTGAATTATTGACAACATGTTTATACTATTTGAATACTATTGAGAACGTAATCATTAAAAACCATATTTTTTCTATTTTTTGTTGATATAGATTAAATAAAATAGTACAATAATTATAATAGGTAATACAGGTAATCTAACCTCTTTAACGCCATTAACGCTAATCGCAGACTCAGTGAAGCTGTTATCACTAACGGACGTAACTCTCCTTCTCTTGTCAATCTTCTTCTTCTGTTTCTTCTCCTTCTTTCTTCTCACTTCTAGAGCTTCTTCTTCTGAACTTAATTCACCCTCCTCAACATCACCCTCAGCCGCCATTTTATTCTTCTCAGGTGATTTCAGATAGTTCTTGCTTGGACTACTTCTACTCTTCTCTTGTTTGGGTTCCGTTATACTGAAATGAAATATTTTGAACACAAAGTAAACATTAAAGTCCGTAGAAGATTTTCTGAGGAGACATAAATTATTGGAGTCTATATATCAAAATACTCGTCCGGTTATAAAGTTTAATACATAAACCTTTGTGAAGGTTATATAGTTAATGTTATTTACATTTGAGACAAATCTAGCATAAGACATATAGTAAAAATGTATAAAGTAGTATACTTATAAAAATTTATACTTTATACTTCTATAAATATGTATACTTATTTATATACCTATCGTTTTGTTGCTGTGCGTCCGTGTCAGAGGTCTGCTGACCTCGACGTTGTTCCTCAAGGAACTCTCGCTCGATCTGTTCCATATACTCAGTGTTGCGACGACGACGCTCCTGGTAATAAAAGGTTTATATTATTATACAAGAATAAAAACATATTTGTACTATTCAATTGTGAGATACTTTAATTCTCGTATACATAGGACTTAGAATTTTGAAAACACGTTAAACTTTACATCCTGCTTACATAGGACTTCGAACTTAGGACTCTGTATCGGGAGAGCATTTATTTGAAATTCATTCATAATTTACTAACATAGTCTTTAATGAAGATAATGTTGGTCCAAAAGTCATATATAAAGACCATTGTATGTACATATTATGAGTGGTGCGATTATGGTGTTGGTACAAATTATGAGTATACCTGGTATTCCCTCTCTTCCTCAGAGTCCGAGTATACACGATCGAGTATTGTATCTCTGGGTTCCTCTTCCGGTGATAGGATAGGTGAACCGAGACGGTCGTCTGATGCTTCCACTTCCGGTATAGGAGTTTTTTCTAGAAGGTGTATTGTTTAAAATTAATCATCGTTCATTTTTCTTTCATAACCTTTGACCTAAAATCACTCACCTCTTCTTCTCATTTCTTCCTCACTGTCCGATGACGATGAATACACTCGCCTGAGTCTCTCCTTGTTGGACACCAACTTGATTTGCTAAAAAATATATATTTACTTTAATAACTAGACTGTACATGTTTGAGCTGAGATAGAAAATTGCAATACAAATATTCTAAATTTGATTCAACTCTAGAGAGAGAACAATATATAAATATATGTTATATAATTATTAGATTATTATTTACCTGTACTTCAGCATCTTCGAGGTCTGATTCGTCTGTGTCGGAGTATATTCTGGGAGCGACCTTCCTTACAGAGCGTCCTGAACGCTCCGAGCCCGACCAAGATGATCTCGAAGACGACGAAGATGAAGACCTGATTATTAACAATATATATATAGAACATATTTATTATAAACATCATGACATATATATTGAAAAACCTGTATAGTATTTGTCATATAAATTAAATGATGGGCAATTCGGATAGTTGTTGAAAATGTATAAAATATATGACATAAATTTAGTTACAAGAAGAATTTGTCAAAAAAATTAAATATCCAAATAAAAATCTAATACATGAATATAGTTATAGTTACTGATATATATTAATTAAATGTAATGCAATGTTAAATCATCTGATACTGTTATAAAAGTCAAATACCTCGATGAACTGCTCGACTGTCTTCTTCTGCCTGTAGACAGATATGAACCGGTTGTCCTATTCCGAGGACTGGTCGGTACTTCCTTCTCTTCGTCAGAGTTTTGGACGATTTCCTCCTACATAAGATAGTATTAATAACCATTCTCGATATTGCAACTATTATTTATATTATTACTATATATTACCTGATCACTAAGTCTCTTACTGGAGTCCTCATCCATAACGACAGGTGAAGGTATTTTTCTCTTCTTCCTGAAACTGGGCATTTTTGGTATGGTCGCCCTTAGACCAAGACCGATACCAACACTGTAACCGCCTAGATCTAGACCGAGATCTCTAGACTCCATTATAGATTTTATTGAATCCACCGATTCCTCCTTCTTATTTGATACATCCTGCGAATCAAACAACTTAGATCTTAATCTAAACCAAGTTTTTTTTTTTGATAGGAATAATAACTGTAGCAGTAAAAATAGACATTCAATATCCCTACTAATATTATAAATGCGAAAGTAACTCTGTCTGTCTGTTACGCTTTCTCGTCTAAACTACTAAACTGATTTTAATGAAATTTGGTACAGACAGAGTTGACCTTGAGAAAGAACAGGATAGTTTTTATCCCAGACTTTTGAAAGGTTCTCTTGGAAACGCGATATAACCGAACTCTACGCGGGCGAAGCTGCGGGCGGAAAGCTAGTTATATAATATATCTATATATTTGTTCCTACTTGTAATGGTTGTCCTATATCTTCTTTAGTTTGTTTCACCGTCTGTCTCGTCTTCCTACTCTGCTCGTCCCACCACACCTCGAAGTTCTTGAAGGCGGTGCTCTCAATCATTTTCTTGTTGAAATCCTTCTTAAGTATTTGTTTAAGCTCGGTCGTTACGCGCTCTATAACACTATTGATTGTTGGATAGTAAGGGTTGTCGAGCTCCTGAAACATTTATATTAGTTATAGCCATATAGTTATATAAAAATATATCTGGAAATTTATTTAATTATAGAGTTTTAATATGTAAGTTGGTGTATATACCTCGTGAGTAACGGTGCGTGGTGGAGGGAAGTTATGTATCACGGGGGGAGCGAAACCACCAGCATATATTGTCATGTCGCCGGCGGCTGGGTATGCAGCGCCCACGGGGCCCACTGCGCCCACCGCACCCACGGGTCCCATAGCGGCAACCGACCCCATAGCGCCCACGGCACCCGGAGGATAGGCTGTGAGCAAAACATTATACAGATAAATCATTACGTTTATTATGTTTGTCATATTATTATAGGAATATAGTGTTACAAGAAGACCCGGCGAACTTCGTATCGCCCTATAATCAAGAAATATCTGTTACGTTTTTTTTTATTTATATTTTTGGAGTTTACCTATTAAAGCCATAAATCTCCGTGTATTGAAGTGCGACAAAATGATTGACATATTAGTTAGTTGTCAAATCTAATGTCAAGAAAAAAACGTTTGTATCAACAAGTACTAATAAATTAAAAATTAATTAAAAAAACATTGTCCAGCGGACAAGATTGTGAATCTAAAAAATTTCATCAAAATCGGTCCAGTTGTTTGAGAGAAGTTCAGTGACATACACACTCACAGAAGAATTATATATATAAAGATGTATGTATATGTACCAGTTGTTGGCCACATCGCCTGATAGTAATGCGGGTGTGCGGGCGGGTAGTAATACGCCTCAGCGGGGACCTGCTCCTCGATTTTGGCCTCCGTTGATGACAGAGATGATAAAGACATCTGTATGATAAAAACTATTAGTTTTGTTGGACATAAAGAAGATTATATACAATTAAGTAACATTACATTACTGTCAAGTGTAAATTTCATACTGCTATAAAACAAGAAAAAATAACTAACACTGAAAAAAAGAAAAAACCAATATTATTGTACTCCTCTCATAGTACTTATCTATAGATTAGTTTTTTAAAGACTTCGTAATATTGTATATCGTGTCTCACTGGCAATGCAATTGATAATATTAATGTCAGTGAGGGATCATGTTATGTTGTATAGTGAACTATAATCTATACATTACCTGATCATCGTCCAAATTATCTTGATCTCTGTCTGGTGGGTTAACAGGTGAACGTCGCGGTTCCTCGCCAGTGAGTAGTTCGTCTTCAGAAGACGATATATCTGAACCTATTTTGTCTATTTGCGGGAACTTTTTGCGTTCTTCTTCTTTCGCTTTCTGTATGATAAAAATTCACAATGTATTTTTTATTCAGACTGTTTAAACTTAATTTCTATTATAATATTATATGGAGCATTATTAAAGAATATTTTATTTACCCTCTCGACCGTCGCTTGAAGACATTCAAGATAGAAATCTCTTGATAGGTATGGTGAAGGAGTATTTGACAAGGGTTCCGGATTAACTTCTTTATTCTGGTTCAATGATATTATACTCTCTCTATCTTCACTTACAGAACCTATGAAAAAAAGTATAAAAACTTAATATAATGAACAATTAAAAAAAAACTCGAAATTGGACAAAGGTTTAGCGAGTGGTGGCATAACAATTTTTTTTATGTTTCCACGAATAATTCTCTGAATTATAAAAAATCTTTATATTATATAATAAAACAATATATAATATATTGAATCGAAAAATTCATTACGGAGCATTTCCATCTATTCAATCAGAAATCTCATCAGATAGAGTGTGGTGAATGTTAATACAAAAACTAAATAAGATTGATACAGAGGCTAAGATCTTACCTAACTACTAATTAAGCATAAAAATATGAAATGAAATGTTACAAATACTTCCAATCCATAACGATTCTCATCTTATAGAATCTGATGTTATCATAGTTTTCATATACAATATTTATATACAAAAAAAGGTTCTATCCTACTAATATTATAATTGCGAAAGTTTGTGAGTGTGTGTGTATGTTTGTTACTTCCTCACGCTCAAACGGCTGAACCGATTTTGATAAAATTTTGTATACAGGAAGTTGACGTCCAGGAATAACACATAGGCTACTTTACATCCCGTAAGTCTCGGAAATCCGCGGGTAACACCGCGGGGCGCAGCTAGTATTAGCATATATATCACCTTCATCATCTGAGGGCGGGTTGTGTGTGTCCAAGTCCGGTATGTTCCTCGGCTTCCTGTCTTCGTCTTCCTCTTCAGAGGACATTCCCAGGGAAAGGAAGGGAGGAGCCAGACCCCCGCCGCCGCTGGCTCCTTTTAGCAACAAAGCTATCCTGTAATCAGTATATTTATTAATACATATCCATATAAGTCTAGTTAGTGAATTGTATAAATCAATATATACTTATAATCTAATATACACAATTTCCATATCACAATGTTAGTTACCGTACACCTCCGAAAAGCCTTTGCCGATTTTTACCAAATTTTATATACGTATTCAGTAAATCTAAGAATCTGTTAATAGCAATTTTTCATACCCCTAAGTGATATGTGTTGTTGACCCTTAAATTTTATGTTTTAATTTTTGGACGAAATATTTTGTATCGTTTTGTTTTTAAAATGTGGCATTAAAAATACATACAACCCAAAATTTTTATATGGCAACAACAACGTTTGTCCTGTCAGCTAGTGTATATGTATATATGATGAAGATGTATATATATATATCACCTTGTGTCAAGGTCCACGTTCTTGGGTTCATCGCTGGGCGGAGGCGGTTTTGGTTCAGGGTCGCCAACGACAGACGTACTCGGAGGAAGAGGCTCCTCGGGCTTACACTTCACCTCCTAGAAACAGCTACAGATATAACAAACTAGTTTGTTATTATAAAAAAATACCAAAACAAACACATACATACATATCTAAATACACAAAAAAATACTACAGTGCTGAAATAAACATAAATGTTCATGCTGCTGTTATGATATGTAAGATAATATAAATAATTATAGACAATTATGAAGTGAAATCTATTTTTGTAAAACATTTCAATATAATAAAGTGATTTTAGTGATATGTGTTATAAGTATAAATGTACATGTTGACTCTACGAGATTTTTGATTTACTGAATATAAGGAAAAAATATACATGAACAATTTAAACGATGCATAAAAATGCAACAGCATGAAATATCAGTGAATAGTGCTAGCGCAAAATATACCACTATTGTTCGAATTAAATTAAATCACATTATGAGATTTAAAATTTTCGCGAGTACTCATTTAAATGAAACTAATATTTTCACGTAGTAAATCCCAAAATATTAATTTCATTTAAATCACATTTATTACATTAAATAATGCCAAATACAAATAATACGGAAGCGGGAGACGGTAATATACTACAACAACAACATTACAAGCAACAGCTAATATATCGCTATTGTTCTAATATAATAATGTATCTACTGAAAAACTGTGACGTGTGACAAACTAGTGACGTCACGGCGCTATCGCTGTTGTTCTAATAGTTCCAATATATATATCTACTGACAAACTGTGACGTGTGCTAAACTAGTGACGTCACAGCGCTAAGACTACACTCTACAACGCGATAGATGTCACGTCCAACCTTATCCGGGAGAGGAGTGGGGGGCGCGGGCGTGTGCGGTGTTTGAGGAGCCGCGAGGGGCGTGTGCCGCGGGGAGGGGGTCGGCTCGCCCGCGCCCGTCCACGTGCTGCTGCTGCTCTGCTCCGACTTGAGGAACATCTTATATTGTATATCAGATGATTGATTCACACAATATCTGTACTATATACTAGTATAACCTACATGTGTGTTAGTTTATAGTTATGTAAGGTGTATGTTTACTTACATGTGTGTGATGGTGAGATGTGTGAGGTTGTCTCCAGTCGCCCCACCACACGGCGCCGGCGCTAGTCCCGTAGCCGTATCCATAGGTACTGTATGTATTGTCATTACATTCAATAATATATAAGAGTGAACTATATTTTATTTATTATATATAATTCTTTCCAGTTTGAATTATGTTGGAATTACTTATAAAAATAGCATAAGAAATTAAGAAGATAACATTACATTTTGTTCAGGAACACATTACAAACGAATTAATTTATGGATCATAATGTTGATTCTACTCGAACTCAATAAATAGCTCAGTAGTTATTATGTTAAAATATGCATATTTTTTAATAGTTATTGTTAGTTTTTTATTAAATATTACTCACGGTGTCTGGTAGTATGCATCGTATGCTACTGGCGTTGGAGCGTACGGTATTTCAACATGCGCGCTGGCGTAAGACTCACTCTGTTCACTGGTACGGGCGTAGCGATCTCTGTGTCTGAAAAAAAATACAATCATTTCTATTACTATCAATACTATTTATTTAAAAAGTTGTACTATCTAAATTCACATATAAACACAAGAAAATAAAATATCTACATGTCTATGTATAATGTGATAAAGATCTATCCATGAGAGTTAATAAATGTAACATACCTTCGCTTACACTTCCTTTTACAACGTCGGCTTGTAAAAAAAACTTCAAATTGAACACAGTGTATATGAATTGCATTTAATCAAAGCCAATACATGAGTTACACAATTTAGGTGTCATAAAATTTTATATACTATGATAATGTTACATATTAAGACTGCTATTACCTTTCTCTTTCTCTGGTGCCGTCTCTATCTCTGTCGATATCTCTGTCTCTCTCACTCCTACTGCGGATGCGATGTTTGTAATCTCTGTCTCTTTCATCGTCTGACCATCTTGTGTTGCTGTCATTGTGTTCGAGATCTTTGCGAAGGTATGGGTCCTAAACATTACAATTAGTAAGTTATAAAAAAGCTGCATATCTGTTTAAATTTATTATCAATATTGTTACAATATTATTGTTATTTATACTGGTATTACTAGATGTTTATAAAGACCTTATCGACTATTTTGCTGTCCTCTAATCTCTTGCTGAGAGCTGGGTCTAGTTTGGCCACTCGAGCATCTTCAGGGGGCTTGATTGGAACTGGCTGGGGTTTTTTCTCCACAGTTTTATCTTCAAACATCTCTTGACACTTCTTACCGAATGAATCATGGAACACTTCAAGTACCTGCATAACATATAACATATTTGTATTCATACTTTGTGATTAAACTCATAATAAAAATACGTTTTATAATATAGCACATTAATATTTAAAAATTGTAATTCATCTATGACTATAATTATGTGCATTTGATTGAAAAAATGTTTCTTTAGATTTGAAACTAATAAATATTTAACAACTTTAAATCATTAACATAGAAAATAATTTAACATTACATCAGATAATGATTGATAACAATTTTAAGATAAATTTAATACAGCTAAATATTGTCACACTGTAAAAATTTTTTTTCTATATGAGGTTCATGCTGTGAACATTATGCCGTTAAAAATTATTTCTTTAAAATATCTCCGACCAAAGTTAAGAAACACTGAAAAGGCGAACTATGGTAATGATAAAACAGCCTAATCTGAATATGTAATATGTGGCCTGAATTTAAAATTAACACTTCTCAACAAAAAGACCTCACAATATAATTTCTTTTTGAAATAACTGTATTAAAGTGATGGATTTTATTTCTACTATTTTTTCAAATTACTGTTCTCTTAAGATATTGCAATTTGGAATTATTGTACATATATACAAAAAACACATTCTAATACATTACCTGGCCCATGACAGATTTTCCATTATATTTTTCAATACATATTTTGGAATATTTGACATCCTGGAATACAATTCTGGCAAATCCTAAATGCCTATTTGTCATCGGATGATAAAATATGGTCAGTTCTTCATAAGGTCCAACTTTATTCATCATGTCGGACAAGAAAGCTTTATCGATGTTATCATTTAAATTTACAATAGTTATTTCTAACTGTGGCGGAACACCAACATAATTCTTATCAATTCTAAACCTGTAACAAAACATAATCTCTTAAATATCTGCTCTTAATGAGCCGTCAAATCATTAGGCTCTACTGAATAACAACAGCTATCATGCACCTAGTACATTTAGCTTTATATACAAAATTTTTGTATGGTGCAAAGTAACTTTAAATTAATCAGATGAAAATAATACAATACACCTCTATTTATTCAATTTTAAAGTAACGAGACACGGTTCTAATAGTAACTTAACCGAGAACAATAATCATAAATTCATTTTATTAAAAACATAACCAAACATAGTAAATAGGTTATTATTTACCATTGTATAATAATAAGAACATACTGGCTATAATATTCATAACAATTATGAGACAGTATTATGCATAAATATTGTATGTTATTCTTCAAATAGTAATAAAAATATAATACCTAGGTATCGGTAAATCTGCTGGTTCTAGTTTATTCCATATCCTGGACGGTTGAGGTCGCGGGTCTCGGCATTGTATTGAAGGATACGAGGTACCAGGGACAGTACCATCATATCTATACACTTTCGTCGCTCCCTTTACTAGGAATGGATCTATCAGAAGCTTATAGTTCTTAGGTCCCTTGTGAAGAACCGCATTGTGGCCTGGTGTTTTATGCTCCATTCCTCCATTCATTCTTAAAAATAAAATAACAAATTGTTTTAATGCACATAACCTCAAACAATAGATACAATTAATCGGACAGAAAGTGAAGTAATTGTAAGAAATGATTATTTCCTTACAAATACTATCTAAAAGAACGATGTTCGGACATAAAACAAACCTGTAATTTTTTTAAAACAATAAGCAAAAGTCTAAGATTTCCCGTTTTTAGGGAAGCCTAGTCAGACAATGGAGTAGTATCATAGTTAGGAAAAAAATACAAAACCAAAGAATATTCTATTAGACATTTTATAAACGCTTCAGAACTAAGTTAACACAATATCGAATTATAAAATATTTTTTTACAGCAAGCACTCTCCATGGTGACGATCTTTCTACTAAATGACGAAATTGGACTCATTTATTGTATAAATTATGAAAATGAATTCTATGTTTAAAACATTATATTTAATACAGAATAAATGTTAATCGAAGAAATACAAATTTTAATAGTATATTGTTAAAATAAATACAGCTAATAGGACGCTGATTTGACTATATAGATAACACACACACCATAAAGAATTTTTTCTTATTGCTCTATTTTGATCACAGTTTATAAAGTTCTCTACAGATAAAACTAAATATTGAAATTTTATAATGTTACCCTTTAAATAAGGGGAGTAAATGATTACTCTGCCGAAATTGAAAACAAATAGTTTGTTAAAAGTTACACGTCAGTTTATGAATGTGTTCATTTATTTAATTACTTTTTCTCCTCTTTTCTAGATTCGAAAATTTCATGTTGTGTTTATTATATTTATTTAACTAACTATCGTGATTGTTTCATCTTTGTAACCTTTATTTAAAAAAATGTGTGTGTTTATTATGTGGTCACACAGTTCACATCGAGAACCGAGACTGGTATCTGTAAAGTTACAACTCAATCAATAACTCAATAAGCAGAGAACATATTGCAATTTTCTTTAAGTCTGGCAACATTTCAATTGATTCTCTTGGTCTGAAGGGCTGTTGCATCATCGATTTCGGTAATTTTTATTAATGAAATAGAATATTATCATTATTTTGAAGTATAATTTTACCTCAGAAGTGACTAAGTTCTTATTCATTAATTAAATTTCAGGTAAAATGGCTGAAAAAATTATTCCTGTGGTGAAGGCTGATGAAGAAGAAGAGGAGGAATTAGTGGACCCTCAGCAGGCGTTAAGGGTATGTATCATATTTTTTGGATTATGTAACATTAATACTCATATTTTCGACTCTTGTTCCCTTTGAATAAAGTTATAATTTAAATTAATAGTTTTATATAATATCTCCAAAGATAATATTGATCTTAAGGTTAGGAAATGTTTGTTTAAGTTATATATTTATTTAAAAGCAATTTTTTAATGTACATTTAAAACTTTCTATTACAGCAACAATGCAAAAGAAATGAAGTAATAGGTTTATCTTTTTATTATCACTTTTAGTTTTACCTGTAATCTATTACATTTAGGAAACTCTATTTAAAAATCCCTGTTTTTGATTGATTTGAAAATATTGATTGTTGTTATACTTAATATTTGTTTTCAATGTATTCTCACCTTTTTTAGATATTTCGTTTCTTAGAAGTTATATTAATTAGTGTTAATGTAGCTTATGAAGTTAGTTTGTCAATATTAAAGTAATTAACAAATAGATACAAATATTCAAGTATGGTAATTAGAAGTTTTGTGTTTAAGTGAACATATCACTAATATATCTGTTTATTATAGGATGAATGTAGCCAAAAGCAGGAGGCTCAAAGCTACTGGGCGAAATACCAAGAATGCAATAATCGTGTGAATTCACGATCAAACACCGCCGAAACTTGTGAAGAGGAACTCATAGATTATGTTCATGTCCTTGACAAGTGTGTCAACAAAGACCTCTTCAAGCGGCTTAAGTAGATATAATTTTCCTACCATTTTGTCAACCCGATGTGTAGATCAATAGTAAATTATTAAATAAATGCTATTCAGTGTGTTTGAGTTTAATGTAAATAAATAATCATTTTGTTCCACTTACAATCTTTTATTTATAAAAAGGATACATTTATGCTTAGGAATTAAAAGAAAAAAAAAATATCAATAGAATCTACAACATAATATATTAAAATTTAGAATTTGACAACAAATATACGAATAGAAATGGCACTAGAAATAATTTGGAATGTTCCAACAAACTAAAAATTATATCTTTGCTTATAGGCCAAGGTTGATGGATGAGAACAGTTTCATAATATAATAGATTTAAAAGTAAATTTATTTATACCATCTTTATGGTGATAAAATTAATGTGAATATAAAATAATCATACAATATCTTACTAACAAGTAATTTTAATCAAAACTATGTTATGCAGTAACTAAATTTATCGACTTAAATGTTACACGTGATGACAAAACAAATAAAATTACCATAAGTAAAGATTTGTCAAAAAATAAAAGCACTATGACTTTGGCATAGTATTATACGTATATGATTAAACATAGATAAAAAAAAAATTAAACATTCAAGTAAAGCTTGTTACAAAATGGACGTGAATTATAAATATAGTTCTATTAAGAAAATCAGTACATACAGTAATTGAATAATTTGAATGTGACTCAGAATAATGTGTTAAAATTTCACACTTAACAGCAATAAAAATTGTGACATTATTTAACTACAATTGCTATTCTATATCGAAATACATACTTTTAAAATGTTTCCATTCGATAACATCTATAATAATTAAAACAATAAAAAGCCGTATCTGGTTATAATATAGATTATCACATGTTTTAAAAAGCTAACTAGCGCCGACTTGTAGAACATTGAAGCATATTTCGCAGACCCTTTGAGGTTTGTTCATACCAAACTTGAGTATCGGTATATCTTGACTGGAACATTTGTTACACAGCATTCGACCGCAATGGCGGCTAGAAATAAAAAAAATAACATAAATAGTTCTAAAATTTTCGTCAATAAAGAAGAAAAAAATTTGTATTTAGGCAATTAATTTTATAAGGGGAGGGTTTATAGTCAAAGTATGATTAAAACCAAGCAAATTATGTTACCAATGATGTTTGCGCATGGTGAGTGTGAACTTTGTGCCACACTCCTGACAGAGGTCGCTGTCAGCCCAAGGAGCCTCGCTTGGCAGAGCGTCCAGAAGACGATGCAACAGCTGTTTTGTTGCCACCTATATATTAATATATAAAGAAGACAGCATTAGGATTAAATATAAAATGTAATCGTTCTGACACTCTGATTATGAAAACTCCAAAATAGTGCTTTCAGGACTGTAAATCTTAAGTATATTTCTCCTTTCTAATTACTAAATAACATTCACAAATTATTAAGTATTGTTTGATCAAATTTAAAATGATAAGAGAAAATTAAAAATAATAAAGGGTCATCAGTTTTTACCTTAAAATATTTTACTCAGTCAGATTCATTCAATATAATATTTAATTATTTGTAGTCAAAAATATTCACATGAGAATTTATGTAAGATTCAGTCTACTGTATAAAATTTTAATTGCCCATTTACCATACCTGATAATTAAATATAGAGATGCCTTCTTTATTCTCCATTGCTAGACACGCTCCAGCTCTAACCAACACTCTACAGACCGCACCCTGGCCGTTCATATAAGCCAGTAGTAGTGGCGTGTTACCCTGGGACAAGTTATATGAATACATATATATATAACTTTCATCATATACTAGGTTTTCCTGCGACTTCGTCTGCGTTTCTTTCAGGGTTAGAAATGTAACGATAAATATAGAAAATAAGATTTTGGATTTTATTTTTTCTGTCTCGATTGGATGAAAGGTACCATAGATGCCATTAAAAAGATGATACTACCCTCGGAAAAACTTAAAAATTGGCTCAGGAAAATGTTAACTTAATAGTTATTTACAAATAAAATTAATTTTATGACATACTGTTTTGATATAATTTTGATTTCACTTCCAAGTACATAACGAAATTATTTTTTAGTTTTAAATTTGAGTTCAGAATTTTATAGTTTAAATCACCAAAAAACTAAAAATAGTAATAAAAATGTGGTAATTAAAATATTTGTTTCAATCGTTACACTAGAAATGCTAATCCATTTATTTGTTTTGTAAATTCGAAATTCCCTTTGAAAAGAAGATCTTCCGAGAATTTTCATATAATTTTATTATTTTAATACCTAACTCCAACTTAAAAGAGAAATTTGTTTGTAAAAAAAGCAGTTTGTTTCTCTATTGATTTCTGGTGTATTGTTTTGAAAAGAGCCATCAGCACAAAGTTTTGAAAAGGCTTGTTTTACTAAATGGCCTGCAGCAATCTTTTTTACAAAGTGAGTTTATGTTTTTCTATAAATATGTGAGAAGTACACCAATTGCCACGTTAGTGTGACGCTTTTTGGAATCTTTAGTTTTTTCTGGTTGATTATTCTTTGGTTTCAAAATAAAAATAATTTGCCTTACTTCTTGTAACTTTACAGATAAACAGTTAAAAATGTCCAAAAATTATTTTATCTTTTCTATTAGTACTCTCGAAACACTGAACATAATAATAACTTTTTTCTTGGATAAATCTAATCTAAGTTTTTCTTTGTCCGCTGATTATCGGACCGTTGCGGTCTCATCTACATAATATTTGATCACACTCCGATCTGATAAGATAACATTTATGATACATCTTAACAACAGACAAACTTAATTAAGCCAATGTTCTTGACGTCAAAAAATATTTGAACATATCTTCCATAAAATAATTTAAGCTCTAGACTTGTATACGTACCAAAATAACGGTTATAATGACTAACGAGAAAATGAGATTATTGATTAAATATTAGTATGGAAATTCCTTCTAAACTATGAAGCATCGTTTGATTGTTTATTACCTGTAAATCAGTCCTGTTGATCGGGTAGTCTGGCATAAATTCCAAAAATATCTCGCATATGGCCGCTGCGTTGTCCTTCTTGCACCAACATAGTTCGTGTAGTGGATTACGGCCTAAGAAAAAAAAAAACTTTTTTATATTACAGTGTAAAATTTCATATAACTTTACTTGATTTAACAAATTCTCTGAATCATTCGGCTTTGATCGGATTGGCTATCGTCTATACAATCTGTATTACGTACCGCCTACTCTCAGAAGCGACAAGAATTAAATAATAAAAAGTAAATTTTTAGCTACCAAAATTACTAAAATCTGGTCAGATGAGCAGCTCTTTTGTGGCTTTATTATCCTAGCTTGTAAAAATTATGAATTTATTATGTATGAGAATTATGTATTGACAAAAATATATACTGATACGCTAAATAGCATAAGCACACCAAAATGTCTTAAAAGCAGACGGATATGAATACAGAAATAAAAAATATTGGAGCAAAAAACTTTAAACATACACAAAAGGGTTCAAATAAATATTGTTTCTTTTCAAGTTACTAACGCTAGTCTAAAATGGACTTGGTTTTTCTGTAACAGATATTTTTTCTCTCCAATTAATGACAGCTATCTATATCAGCAAAATAAATACATACAGTCTCTCGAGTAAAAAAATACACAGTTTACATTGTAATTATAATTAATGCGTAAGATATATTCTTAATAATAGCTGATTAAAGAATCAATGTGTCATCAGTAGATCTTGACCAGACATACTTAAATTTTCCTTTATTTTAATTCTTCATATTGTGATATTATTAAAATCATGCGCCACACATTAAAAAATATAAGTCTATTGACCCCATAAAATTACACCAAGACCCCAGAAGAATTGAAAACATGATCTTCATACATACATATGAACATATCGTGAAAATATACAAATATTATTTTAATAGCTTTTCAAGACTCATTAAACTCAAAATATAATTAAATTCAATAAAAAATAAACACTAACCAAAACTAAGGAGCAATCTAAATTTTAAATATGGAACAGATACTAAAAATGGAATTCCTTAATTCCTTATGTTTAAAAAATCGAACAAATCTTAAAACAATTTAATGGGAATTTGTATTATAAAAGAGGTCTAAGCTTAAAGGATAACTAAACGATATGTAACATTACCTTTGAGGTTGGTAGCGGCCGCGTCTATGTCTGTGTCAGCGAGGAGGGCGCGAGCAGCAGCCGCATGTCCCTCCCTCGCGGCAACATGCAGGGCGTTGTCTCCTGCTGCGTCTGGAGCCCCGCACTCCGCACCACCACTCGCCAACGCTGATACGATCCCCGCTTGACCGGACGCTGCGGCCACGTGGAGAGCTGTACGTCTGTAATACAAGGAACGCTTTTGTAATATGCAGAATCCAATCTATGACATGTAGAACGAATATCGTTTTTAATTATGTGAGCCTTCGATACGTAGCTTCGTTGTTTGAACATTGTTTTGTGTTATAGAATAATTCCTCATTATTTTCAGACTCATGTTAAAACTTGGTGATAAAATACATTTTATTCAAAATATATTTTATTAGATAAAAACTATTTAAAATAGTAATTTTTGTATTTCGTTCCGCTAAATAACGAGTTATAAGCTTTACAGCTTATTTATTATTGCATGGTTAACAACGCAAGACGATAGATGCTTTTAATAATAAAGTATCATGGCATAAGTAATAAAGTATCATGGCCAGTGGCGGCTGTACCTTAAGTGCACTCGTGCGCTGAACCACCAATTCAAAAGATTTAAAAATTACAAAATATTACTTCATCTTTATTTTTAAATTACCATTTTAATATTTATTTTTAAACATATAAAAACGTATAAAAAAATAAATTTCCTAATTATGGTCAAAAAGTTTGAGCGCTTTACTAAACTCATATCTCGTGCGCTTCGGCGAGTGCACGAGGACTCCTAATACATCTTGTATGAGATTCGCATTAATACGCCTGGCGCGTGAAACAAAAGATAGTTCATAGAAATGTACCGAGTAATGAGTCGGTTCTCGAGCGCCGCACGAGCGGCCGAACATTACCGAGAGCACCCGATGTATGACGAATTGAGCCATCATTGACATCTCGTTATGTTTTGTTGCATTTTGTAATTTTAATATTTTAGTAAAGTGCACCACCGGTTCGATTGCCCACCGGCCGCCACTGATCATGGCATATTGAATTTTATATAAATTTATTGAATTGTCCCTGTAAATTTTATATGTATATCCCCTCATCATGAAACAAATCGTCCCAAGTTTCAGAACAGTATGTAACGAATCTCTTATGACTTACTTATGAGCGTCTCTATCGTTGGGTCTCGCTCCCGCCAGCAGGAGACTCCTCAGAAGCACCTCGTTGCCGACGGCCGCCGCCAGGTGTAATGGCGGCGCTAGTGTCGAGTCCTGGACCCTAGAGTTAACATCCACTTCTACTGACAACAGGAACATGACACTCTCCATATCACACTTCTGGATAGCCACGTGGAGGAAGTTACGACCTTTTTTGTCCACCTGATGAAAAAAATTAAACATTGTATGGACAACTTGTTCAAATTATTATCAATCAGTGATTATTTATATAGCACATTACGCTAATTTTTCACCCTGAATTCCATAATCACAAATCAATCGACCGAAGTTGTAATTCGGAATTCGTCAAATATTCAACTGATAGTAAGGTACAGAGACCGGAATAAAATTATCAAGAATATGAGTATTTTAATATGTTTTGTACCTGTTCAGCAGCCGAAGGATTCTTCTCTAGGATGGCTTGAGCCGCTTTATTGTTTCTAGCAGTGAGTGCAGCTGCGAAGGGTGTCACCCCTTTATTATCCCTTACAGACAAGTCAATCCCTGGCTGAGAGAGTAATAATGATATGATAGCCGCGTGTTGATTCTCTATAGCGATGTGGAGCGGAGTCTTGCCTTCAGCGTCTTTGGAGTTAATATTTGCACCGTGTTCCAACAATGTCTGAAGAAGAAATTGTAACATTACTCGTCTGTTTATTCATCTGATACTATTATCAACAGTAGATATTTAAGCTGTATTTTTGAATTTTTAATTTGTAATAAGTTTATGCCCCAGAATATTATTGCGTCTTATTTAATAAAAATCTCATAAACACAATATTTTTATACAATGTAAAAAGTTTTATTATTATTATTCTATAATAAACTCTATACATAATATTTTAATTTATTTCATAGATAACTGGATTATGTTGTTGTTTGGACAACGAAAATTACTTATTTTATCAATATCAAATTCATTATCTTTATAACAATCATTATAAATATTGTTTTTGGTATCTATTACATCCTGAGTCTTTAAATTACAGGATTCCCTGTAATTTCATGTATAAAAACATTTAGCATCTGTTAGGTATTATTGTGTACTAGTAATCTATTTATATTACTTGTATGACATCTGTGAGGCCCCATGTGCAGCAGAGATGTAACGGGGCCTGTTTGTCAGCGGCTAGGTCTCCGCCTTCCCCACCAGCGCCCGGCCGGCGAGAACTCTCCACATCACAACCCGACCGAATTAGGAATGTCGCTAGGGACTCCTTGTTCTCGTCTATTGCCCTGGAAAATAAAGAATTTTATATTTAAGAGGCTTATACTCATTTGGACAATACGTATATGTAAAGTATGGATGACTATTTTTTAAAAGTTTTTGTTCAGTTTAATTATGACATTGTAAAAATTCCTAAGAATATACTCGTATTCAATATTGTACAACTCCTGTAGTATTTGAGCCTTTTGAGTGAAATTGATATACACGAGATATTTCAGTTCAATTGAATCTCCGGTTAAGTTACACTATGTTTTAATCTTATTGCTGATGGTAGATTGGTTTTATATATTTTACTTGCTTTAGCATGATAAACACAAATTTGAAAGAATATAGTTATAATCTTATATCTTTAAATGAGCAATTCTTGTATATATATATAATTAGAATCTCCGAATCGGCTCCAATTATTTTCATGTAATTTAGCATATATGGGGTTTCGGGGGCGGTAAATCGATCTAGCTAGGAATCATTTTTAGAAAATGTAATTTTATGCAAAAAAAAAAAAAAAAAAATACAAAAAGGAGGCGTTTAAAATATGACTTTTCCTGGCATCTATTTGTGATTAGTAATACTACTTTTTGCTAATTTCTTTAATGACACAACAGCAGATGGCGTAGTTAGGTAACAGAAAGTCATTGAGTGTTTGTTTTGAGGTTAGACTAAGAAATTAATTGTTGATTTATATTATTTTGTGCCTTCTTAACGTGTTCACTTAAATTGACTAAACGAAAACAAAATATATACTAACAATTCCTAAATACCGAGCAAAGCTCGGTGGTTACCGTTATCTGGTTAGATATTAACTATATATTTCCGCAAAGATGTGAAGAATTATTTGATGATTTCTTTAAATTTAAATTGCAACTGTATTCCTACATTACTATTTAAGATAGAAATACAAATAGTTTTAGATACAAATATTTCTATGAAAAGAACGTGTTCAAAATATGTTTTCTGAGTAACATATCATACATATAGTATTAAATATAGTATTAAATTATTATAAATTATTAAATTTAGTATTAAATTATTATATCATACATATAGTATTAAATTATTTTAATACTAGTCTAAACTAGTCTATCTAAATAGATCTGAGATCATCTTTCATGTTGGGCGGTATAAGCAATCCACCAAAAGAAAACCAGTCATTCATCGGGTGCAGAAGTGAGTAAACAGGTTAATAAATAAAATTATTTTGTATTTAAGGATTTAAACAAAGAGATTTAAAATATGTTGTGTTTCTATAAAAGAAATGTTCCGTTTCATTTTATCGCTTTTTCGTCACATATAAAACTGTGTACATTGTGAAAAACATGTTACATTTATTTTTTTCTTTATGTCCAAAAAGGGAAAACGCGCATACGGCCTAACCGATGGAGGATAGTTATCTATCTAGCCCATGAACATCTGCAACATAAGCCATGCAGCAGATTCATTACCGACCTTGGTTGTGGAAGATGAAGAGGAAATGATGGGAAAAGGAAAAGGGCAACAGGCTCTTTTTCTCATCAGACAAAACCCAGCTATTGGACTACTTCAAGTCGCTTTTATTTGAGAGGGTGGTACATCCCCGGTCAAACTAGTTCATGTACGAGCTGTAGTAAGTAATTTGAGCACAGCAAGGCCCTTCCAGCTTTGTTATGTCTTGTGCATTACGTACAAATTTATTCAAACAATTGAACATTATAGAATTATATTGACCAGTGTTTACCTCGTTCGTCCCAACCAATACTCACATACTTCAGGAAGGAACTAGCACTATGACTAAATCATATAAAGCCCATTATAACAAATTCTACAACACTACATCTAATTTTCGAAAGCCGAAATTAAGTTAATCCGTTTAGTAACTAATAATATTTAATACGAAAACTCGTACTGGTTCTAAAGATAATGAACAAAGATATTTTTGAAGAGAACAATGATTTAATTAATAAATTATTAAATTTAAATGAATATCACTACATATTTGTTGGTTTTCTTTTCTGTTAATTTGAAATTTTATTGCATATCTTTTAACCGTAAAGGAGTCTGCCCACTACACTGTATCACACCATGACCGTAATAGGAACGTGTCAGGCAAAAAAATATTCTTTGTATAGAAAAGCATGATACTATGCCCACTAGACCATTCCGTCACAGACTCGTACCGACGCGTGCCATGCACGGAGCGTTGATTATTGTCAGCGAGAATATTTTGTCAGTGCCGATACGCTCCGCGTTTTTAACCTATTATATTAATTTACTTAAACAACTATTTTACCTTTACCTTTAAAAATTTTAACATTAAGTGCTGAGGCCGCCGGTGCTTATCAGATCGCAGACCAGTCAACTATGAGCACCGACGGTTGACGCCACCAAATCACTGTATTTAGATTTAAAAAAAAAACATACGGGTTGCATACGGAGTACGGAGACCATACCGGCATCATACGGGCATTAAACGCCGTCGACTCGTTTCCGTGCTTGATACGTCCATAGCACAGTCATGGTATGATACGGTGTAGCAGGCAGATTCCTTTAGTTTTAGATAATTATGAACATTACGAGTAAATGCGTTAATAATTTGTTAAACCATTTCGTAAAAGATGACTCAATGTTTCGCATATAATGTGAACATATAAACATTATTTAAACAATTAAATTGCGAAGATATTAATACTTTTTAGTTAAAAGTTTACTTTTAGAAAAACGTTTAATTTTTTTTTTAAAAAACGTGAATTATGAATTATATTTTTCTTGCCCAGTTTAAAAAAACACTATTAATAAACAATATGAAATTGTCTTATTGATGTATCCAGTGGCGGCTGGTGGGTAATCGAACTGGTGGTGCACTTTACTAAAATATTAAAATTAGAAAATGCAACAATGCAATAACGAAATGTCAAAAACGGCCGGCTCGTTTCGTCATACATCGGGTGCTCTCGGCAATCTTCGGCCGCTCGTGCGGCGCTCGAGAACCGACTCATTACTCGGTACATTTCTATGAACTATCTTTTGTTTCACGCGCCAGGCGTATTAGTTCGTATCTCATACAAGATGTATTAGGAGTCCTCGTGCGCTCGCCGTAGCGCACGATATTAGTTTAGTAAAGCGCTCAAACTTTTTGACCATAATTAGGAAATTTAATTTTTTATACGTTTTTATATGGCTAAAAAATAAATATTAAAATGGTAATTTAAAAATAAAGATGAAATAATATTTTGTAATTTTTAAATCTTTTGAATTGGTGGTTCAGCGCACGAGTGCACTTAAGGTACAGCCGCCACTGGATGTATCTGACAATTTATTAGTGATGTATGAAATTCTAGTTTTTAGGTTTATTGTGTTGGTGCAGGCCAAGGCCAACCACATAGAACTATTGTAACTTAAACGTTATGTATGTATTGTTTTGAAACTGAACTAAAGTAACAACGTAAGTTACAAGCATATTAAAGTAACAACAACTTAAACTTAAAATTGTTAAGGATTTCATTCGTGTCATAATATTTTATAATATTGACGATCCCTTCGGTTCCCATGGCGTAGTAATAGTGCCTCGGAGTCAGCAACGTTAATTGTTGTACGATATTTTATCCAAATAATATAGATAACCCACATGGTTTGTGTCTTTGTTTATTTTAGGAAGGATTATAAAATAACATGTATAAATTTCATAACCTATTTATATAACTTAAGTGTATATAACAACTAGTAAGTATAATATTTTACTAAAAGTTTGTGAAAAAATGGAAGCTAGAGATAGAAAGTGGTATAGGAGTAGTCGATGGATTTTACAAAGGAAATTGTAGTGGGTGGGACTACAAGACTTTATAACAAGACTAAGTTCAGGTAAAAATAATAATTAATTATTATGCAAAGACATCATCAGTCATCCTACGTTAAATATTACATATATTTCTTCTTTTACTCCTTCTTTTATGCTTGGGAAAATCATAATCCCTATACAATTTTGGGAGGATACAATCGCAGTAATTATTCATCGTTACCTAAGCACCGATAAAGGCACATGCCAATGTTTTAGACGCACCAAATATTCATCACTTTTGCTATTGAATTGGTTACTAAGAGACCGAGATTCAAGATGCTTTAAAACGATATAGCGTTGCATTTACCATTTTTTACTTTAGTGCGTCATTAGAGCTAGCAGTAATCATACAGTGTTTTGTAAGCAAAACTATTTAAAATACTGATGTTTCTTTCGATGATAAAGCTAAAAAGAAGTGAACCTTATATTTAAAAAAATTAAAGATTGTTTTTCGATATTATCCTTACTTGTGTAACAATGTTTGTAGACATCCATCAGGACCGGGCCCCCAGCAGTCAGCATCCGCGCCATTACGAACTAGAATCTATTAATATTTATAATTATTATTATCTATTGCTATATTATTCATATCTATTCAATGCTAAACGCTAGATGGTAAAAATCACTTCAGATGTAAATATAAAGCTAAGCTTATACAAAGGTCTATATATGTAATCGCTCAGCATTAATTGTAAGAATTCTTAATATATTTTGGCATTGTAGAATTATTTCAATACCACATGTATTATTATATAATTGATATACCTATTTGTTATCAAAAATATTAAATGTTTTCCAGATTTAATCATTATTCTGTAATTTTTGTACATATTATTCGAGATTCATAAAAAAATATTATTTTATTTATAAGAGCAGACTAAAAATATAGCGGCAAGCAAGTTACGAAACATATCTAGTATGAAATTGTGTGCACACGAAAACAGATATAAGACGGAACGTTATTATCTTCGCGGACTAAAAGGATTGGAAGGGGGTGATTAAGCTCTTTACGATCGTAACATTATCATCTTATAATCAATTTTGAAGCTAACGTCAAGCGAGCGACATGACCGGGATTGGAAAGTGTAATATGGAATATCGTGCCATTATAAAGTTCCTTATGAAACACAAAATAACTCATCGATTTACGGCGACTTTTTTCTAGAAAAAATATAGTGTAAAGAGGCATAGTAAATTTAAACAAGGTAATCACCTATTAACGCCCCAAAGCCTAGTGGAAGTATTTAGGTGAATTTAGGTGGTTAAAATCCTACGTGATAATCTTGCCATGACTAAGGTCATTTCTAATGGCATTCCGAGAATTCATTCCACGCAAAAATAACAGCGCGTAGTGTTTACGTGCATATTTGTACGTCTGCATCGAAGACAAGGATAGTATATTGAAACGAATTATTAATAGATACGAAACTTAGGTTCATCGTTATGAATTTGAGTCGCAACGTCAACAAGTCTTCAATGGCATAAAAGGGCCTTGCGCACCCGAGAAGAAAATATTGTCACATTCAGCACGGAAACTCATAATAACAGTTTTTTGGACTCTGAAGGAATATTAATCAATTATAAACGTGTAGGTGTCATTATAACGGAGGAATAATAGGTTTCAATATTCTTCTACCGGGCAATTTTCTGGCTATAGCCAGGGTCTGCCTTACATATTGTGAATAGTTTTTGGCTAATTATTTTTTACGACCGTCCGCCTGCCTCACATCAACCCCCTTTTGGGTATCAGCATTTATAAATATTATAGCCATTAAAAGATGAAATTAAAAAGAAGAAACGGTAGAAATTGAGAAAAGTATGTTGCTTATTCACAATAACGTTTTCGTCCATAAGAGCAGTGTATTTTTTTAAGTTTTGACTTGACTGTTAGCCCTAATGGCTTTGACATTGTCACCGTGAGGGAAGAGTATAAATTAGGCGTCGATATTTTAAATCACTTAATCTACAGCCAACCTGGTCCCAATAGCTAACAACCTATTTCCAAAAATGAAAATAGATCAGCGGGATAAGCAATTTACACCGATGATGAAGTCGAGGATGCATTTCCAAAGTTTTTTGAAGACAAATACGAAACATTTTTTATTGAGAGTATTTATTAATTGAAAGATCAGAAAAATAACTTTTTACATTTTCCCCTTTCTGTCATATTCCGCGAATTTCAAGTTCAATAAATATGACATTTCTTAGGCTTCTTAACTGTTAATTTATAAATTGCGATTGCAAAGAACATTTGTCAATAAGTTTTCAAATTCGCTTTTACACTAGGAATACCACTAAATTTTGCTTAAAATTTCAGATAAAACACGCATCTATCAATAATATTAACAATGCATATTCGCGTTTTCATTAATGTTAAAATTACCAAATAATAGCAAATTAAACTTGCTTAAACGATTTTGATGATTTTTTTTATTTTATCTAAATTTAATCATACACTGAAAATGTACGCATATAAAATAGCAAAATATCTTAAAAGAATGACGACTCATATTTTTTTAAATAGAAAACAAATTGATTTATTAGTATCCTAATAGAGAATTCGCATTAATAAGCGCAGCATTATGAAATCGTTTACTATGAAAAATACTGAACCAATTTTGATAAAACTTGATAATTTTAGCTATATTTTTTAAAAGAATCCAAGGAAAAACGAGTAATATAATTAAGCCACAACTTATTAAATATTGATAAAATAATAAAACAATCATCATTAAACATTCGCATTTAAAATAAAATGTTTTACTTGTAATATGAGATTAAGTGTATAAAAAAATAGCATTTTTAGGACAGCTTGCGATAAGAAAATCATACCTTAAATTAATTATTACTAGCACAAGTATATTATAAAGGATAAATACTCGTTTTTTGAAAAAATGTTTCGATTTTAATGAAATTTTCTAACAAACTAAAGCGTTAATATAATATATAGCTCTCTAAAATAATACTACTAGCCAAGTATGAAACAAAATAATTCATTTGCGAGCGCTGCAAAATATGAATAATAATAAAAAATTCTACATTACTTATAGAACTCATTAAATTACAGTAATAAGTGAAATTTAAAAGAACTAAATCTATGCAATAAGCATTTAAATAACAGATAATAATTAAGTATTTTTTTACTTTTATTCAAACCAAACCGTAAAATGTTTGTCTGTCAACACTTACGTCTTTGTAAATGATAATGCTACTTTTATTGTGAAAGTCGAGGCCATTGGATTGATATGAAACTAATGAACCGATTTCGATGAAACTTGATCCGAATTACCCGGAACAGTGAAAATTAAACAAATGTAGCTTAGAAGCATAGTGAGTCGTATAAATATTGCCAAAAAACATACAAGCTCTTAATGTAGAACAAGCAACGTTTAACATTCGCTTTTATAATATTGGTTTAACTTAATATTAATTCGCTTGCAATTTTTATACGACATTTCTCCATGATTGAATTTCGCATCGACTATGAAAAGTCTATAATTTCATAGATAAAATATGCGTTTAATCAAATATCTTAAGTCATAACAATTAATATTAAAATTTCGCGAAATTGTTGTGTTTAATAAATTCTAATAGGGTCACTTAAAATGACTGGACCGATATTGACGAAATTTGCACTTTAATACGGAGATGTCACTTTTAACCCGATATTCATAAAATTCTTAGCCTATAAATAAACAAATACATTCGCATTCATAAATTCAGAAGATTAATTCAATCGCTTGCAATTTAAATTACTGAATCGATTTCGATAGAAATTGCTGCTTATTTTCTTTTAATAGATTAACAATCCTAAAATTGGTACTAAATAGTAAATATTTTTAAAATTGTAATATTCACACCTTCGCCATTCGCATTCAAAATAATTGAAGATTAATTAAATCGCATGTTATTTCAGATACAGAATTTAGAAGTTTATGGTTGCCTGAATCAATGATTTTGAACTTTATACTATCAACTTGTTAATTAATAGTAAAATATATGTTATTAATTACGACTAAATGAGCATATATATGTACATAAATATTTGACATTCGCATATGTTACATAGCTTGCATTATTAAATTGTTCATTTTACTATTTGAAATTCAATCGATTATCGCGTCGCTTCAATTATTATTATCTTGAGCGTGTTTACTGAAAATGTGCAATACAAAAAAATCTTCGCAACAAAAATCTAAGCATAGCATAAGCAGCTCAATTAAATTATAATCTGATTATAAAAACTCAACATTTGCTTCGCCAATGCCAAAATCTCTTAAAATTAACATAACATTTATTCTTCTTATCTGTTACATAAAATATATTGCCAGCATAAAAAAAATATAAATAGGCGAAATCAATACTATGGGCATAAGCTATATAAACTTAAAGCCAAGAGTCAAATTGAATACCTTTTTTTTGATAATAAAAAAATGTAACTAACACTGGCCACTTCCATTGAATACTTTTTTTTTAATAATAAAAAAAATGTAACTAACACTGGCCACTTCCTCCTGCCCGGAGTCGAGGGCTGCCCATAGCGGCGGTACACCGTGAGCGTCAAGACGGCTCATGTCCACACCACGAACACATAACGCCTCTACGACCAAACCAAGGCGACAATGGATAGCTAGCTGGAGGGGAGTCTCGCCTGCATCGGTTCTGTGAAAAATACATTTAGAACTCATAATAACATTTTATGAATACGATATAATTGAATTAAGTGAAATGTAATGGTAGAGGAACTAAGGAAGTAGAATGAGAGTAACTTAATGTATGTCTTTAATGGATAATAATGTATACAGGATTTTATATGGTTAATAGTTTTTACCAGCGACTTTTTATGCATTGTTTTCATGATTAGAAATGTATAGCTGACCAGGCGAACTCTATTCCTCCTTAAAGACATCTGATAAGAAGATTATGGATTTGAACAACTTATTTTTTTTCTCAATCAGATGAAAAGCATGACATGTTCTTTGCCATCTTTTAATCAATCTTTCCACCAATTTTCAGCCGTTCTTTAGTTACAAATAGTGTAACTGACACAACTTTCTTTGTATATAAAGATGTACTTACAAAGCATTCATATCAGCTCCGTGGTCCAACAAGTAGATGGAAGTCCTAGAATCCTCCTCGACTATGGCCTGATGAAGTAACGTAAAACCTTTTCCGTTACGTATATTGGGATCCGCTCCGCCCTCAATCAACGGTGCTACCAGATGTTTATGACCTGTAAAACAAGGGTGAATTCATCATATTTGGTTCAAAACATAACTTGGACTTATGTAAACTGAATACACTACTCCGTTATTTTAGAAAACACATGTATATAAAGTGTATATTATTAAACTATTTTGAAGATACATGATAAAATACAGAAAAATATATAACGACAATGTTACTTGAAATTTTTTTGGCTTCCACATATAATTTATTTCTGAGGTGCCATGTAAGGTGCGAGTGAAATTTTGAATGGGAATCATTACCTTCAGACAGTGCTAGACTGACGGCGGTGTCCCCTTCAGAGTTCTTCATGTTTAAGTTCGGTATCAGACTCACGTTGGACCTATCATTGGCTGGCAGTTCACCTCTCTCTACAAGCTTCTTATGTTCTATTATCGCCAGTACACATCCCTCGTGATTATTCAACACGGCCAGATGGAGTGCAGCTTGCCTGGAATACACGTTACGACCATTTTAAAAAATATATACAACTAGCTACGCCCCGCGGTGTTACCCGCGGATTTCCGGGATGTAAAGTAGCCTATGTGCTATTCCTGGACGTCAGCTTCATGTATACAAAATTTTATCAAAATCGGTTCTGCCGTTTGAGCGTGAAGAAGTAACAAACATACACACATTCACGAACTTTCACAATTATAATATTAGTGGGATACGATATCATTTTTAATTTTTGACATTATTCCTTTGAAATTTATATCAATGGTAAAGCTATAGTGATGCAATCATAAACGTACGACGTGGCTGGTATAGTAACAACTTTTCTATCAGATCCAAATGACTTTAAATACCTATATACATATATATAATAAAAAAATACCGTCCCATTCTATGTACATATATTTCTGTTAGTAGTATGTTTTTTATCTAGACCTGTACACTGTGTCATCATGTTCACCGTACGCCGTCTGTAAGTTCGGTCTGGCTCCGTTTTCTAGTAAGGCGGATGTCAGTCTCGTGAGACCGTTAGAACACGCTGAGTGTAGAGCTGTGAAACCCGCTTCGTTGCTGTGGTTCAAATCGCCGTTTAAATGAGATGTTAGGAATACAGCTGAATCCTGTAATAGAATATTTTTTTGTTGTTAATATTGAATAACTTCCATAACAAAATATTCGTATAAAATTATGTATATTTAACGAATATTACCTCGAACCATCCTTGGGCCAGAATATGTAAGAGACTATCACCGTTGCTCGAATACAATGGATTTGGTTGACATCCTTTCTCAAGGAGTTTAGCAGCGAAGAATCTCTCAACGACTTGATCAGATTTCCCCTCGATTGGATCTTCTGTAAACGCGTCTTTATTCGTGACGGGCGTATCGAACGGGTTAGACCCATTCATTACTAAGGTCTCGCTAGATGATATCGACGCTCGCCTATCATCGACTAACGCGTAATACAACGGCGGGTGCTCATCGGATATTGTACGTAAATTAGTATCCAAATTAGGCTGCTGCAATAGCAGATCGAATATCCTTTGGTTTCTAGCGATCACCGCTTGATGGAGAGGCGTGCTGAAGAAAAAAAATATATAAATAAACATCGGTATATAAAAAAATACACAGATGGCATTATTAACGACAGTTGTTATATTTAGTAATATTTATATAACTTATTTTTTAATGAGTAGTTTGTCCTTAAAATTATACTAATTGCATCATTTTGCGATTTAAGTCAAATATATTTTCTTATCAATGATGTTTATATAAGTGTACGTTATGAGACTTTGTTCATTTATAATCGCGTGTTAGTCGTATGCGTGTAACTCTACATGAATTTCGTTTAAAATTAATTAAAGTGTTTTATGATAATGGTATTTAGGTCTGTGTTTATTTACAGTACCAAGCCTGTGTCTGTCTTTACATATTTTATGATAGCTAGACTATTTCGTTTTTAAGCATTAATAAAATATATTAGGATAAAACAAATGATGATATGTAATAGTTAATATTTATGTTAATTAATTCAATTAAACTAGTATCTAGTAATTTAATATATAACAATTTGCAACACCTTAAAATGCACAACACATGTCGATGCACAACATATAAACGGACGTGTCATATGTAATGTTTGACATGTTGGGTACGTTGCGCAACTAATGCATTGGCATTCAACACAACGCTGCGTTAGCTTATTTCGTTTATTTTATTCACAATCTCACTCGATCTATTTATAACAATACTTTGTTATTATTATAAATGTTTTTTTTTTTTATATGGAATAGTTGTAATAGTTTTAAGTACGTGTGTTTGGAATGTATCAATACTTACTATCCCTTTCTGTTTTGTCTGTTAATATCTGCTCCCTTCTGTACAGCTATTCCCGCTATTTCAATCATTTGATCCATTGTTTCTTGATCGCACGAGCTATTAGTTAGTGACGCTATGAGATGCAACACAGTATCCCCTTCCTCCCTATAAATTATTAAAATAAATCATACATTAAATGCAAACTCACAAGGCTGAATTTAATATTCCATTTTTTATCGATTACGTCAATAAAATACATAAAAATTCAAATGAGTTACCATTTCCTTAACTATAATTATGCAAAACAAAATCCGTAACCTCTAAACTTATTGTGCGTTATATTAACAAGTTATATCGAGTCAAAATAATATTATTATGTACATATAAAATGAGGCGAATTATCAAAAATTTGTATTCAAACAAACAGGAAACTAAATAGGATAATCTTTCCGTATACTAATTAGTGAATTCGGATTTTCAGCTTGATGAAACCTAATGAATACATAAGGTGTCAATTTCTTATGGGGGCCGGGACTTCAGGAGTCTTTATAATCTTGTTTCACAGATATTCGAGCCGTGAACATAAAATAATAGATCTATCTAGTAATTTACTTCATAAGCAAATGAGAATCGTTCTCATGTCAGCACGATGTCTCTGGCGCCAATAATATACATATGTATAAATCCAGTTAATAGAACAGTTCTAACTTAATTTGTAGGTGCATCTAATATCAGTCAGAGTGAATTATTATCAATGCGATGACCTATCAAAGAGGTCCTATGAGTCATGAGCTCTTATTAAGAAGGTCCACAAAGATCAGTTTCATTATTCACACAACGTCTATAGAGGCTCGATATTTAATGTAGAAGGTACATTGAAATCCATTCTATACAATAATATTATTATTTAAGCATCTATAACGCCTCTGTCACTAGTTGGTCTGTGTTATTGTACTTCATTTGTTTTGAGCTAAGTATATAACTTACTTAGTAGTAAGACTGGGATCAGCTCCATTATCAATTAGGAACTTGGCGGAGAATGAGTCTCTGGCGTCAACTGCTCTGTGTAAGAGCGTCCTGCCGCGAGGACCGCGGGCATCCGCATCCGCACAATGTTGTAACAGCGTTGTGGCTATGGAAGCACTTCGGCCACGAAGTGCCAGTTCCAATGGCAGCTCACCACGAGAGGACATCGCGTTCACAATGTCTGTTAACTGTAATAACAAATAATACATTCCTTAAACTACCGGTTATGTAAAAGCTTCACTTACATTATTATATACTGTCAAGCGTCGCGCTTACTTGCACATATGAGTAGGTACATGATAAAGGATCTATGTGCAATATTAATGTAATCTATCTCATATCATAATCTCTTAAAACAGGTATTATAAAAATTTGTATATAAATTCTCTTAGTTTTTTGCTGGTATCTAGAAACATACACTTCACGGTTGCCCGGCAGTTACTTAATCATGACGGAAACAATGAGGTAACGGAAGTGGAACAGTTCATCATTAGTTATTACAGATGCGTATTCACCAGAAGTACGCAATTAGTTAACAATGCATCAACAGCTGTATCAATGGCTTCTGAAGCGGTCTTGCTATGGACGCGACCACCACGTACGGTGGTCGTGATGAATTACAAACGAATACTTTCACGATTACACAACCACATATATGTGACAATTTTATGCTTTATATATAAATATCATTAGTCATTTGTATCTGGAATAAGCATAATTGTTGATAGATCACTATTTTTATTAGGATGCTAGTCAATTGACAAATCGTTGCTCGCTTGTTATAAGAGGGCTGTGTTCATTTTAACAAAGTTCAACGCTTTTTGAATTGATCCACAGGATTTGTCATGCGACAAATATTTTGTATTATTTTTAATAAATTATTATAAAAAGGATTATAGAAAACGAAATTGTCATCGAATTATGTACTACTTATAACAAAACTAAAATATTACGGCGAAATCAACATAAGTCTGTGAGATTTAAATATCATATTTTTCTGCATTACGATATGGAAGCAAGTTATTTATCCGATTATAAAATTCTACTGTAAGAGGTATAATTTATTAGATTGTAAAGTATAAAATCTGTATTTCCACTGTATGCATCGTTACTAGAAACGATATCTTCCTGTTATTATCTTAATACGCTTCCACTTACGTATAGTCATTAGTTTTATTGAACAACATAACTATCTTAAATACAGACAAGATTTTTATCAAAGGTCATTAGCGGAGGAGACATGTCTCTCAGTATCAGAAATAAACCGCCTTAAGGCTCGCATTTCACTATATCAAGGTATCCAACAAAGGTTGTTATACTTTCATTTCCGAAGGTCATATAAAAAGTTATCAATACAGAAGGATACACAACCTGTTTTTATTAAAAAAAATAACTGGTTTGTCCCACACCGTCGCCATTTTTGGGGTCTCGGACGAATTTTAGTTAGATGTATTTGTATAATTCGCGCAACGTTCAAGTATGTAATTTGTTCTTGGTACGGTCAAGTACACCGGCGTTACGTATAGTGACGTTTAGACAGCGAGTTGCAATCTTGGCCAGCATTCAGTAATGTCTTTGCTATTGGACGTGCCTCGCGCCTGTCTCGTACAACGTTAGAATCACATCGATAAAAACACATGTTAAAATGTTTTAAGAGACATCCAATAGTCACGGTAAGGATTCATTGTTGAGAATTTATATATTATTTTATTTGACTGTGATCGTATTTACCTGTGTATAATATATGTATTTTATTTGAATTGTTTGGATATATCAGGGTTTCATTTATAAGTGGAGGTAGGTACTGAGTGTACTATAATAAAAAAAATATATTTTAATTTAAATCATATAATTGTCGGTGTTTGTCGCGATCATAAAATATTATGTTTATTATGACGTCATTTATATGATTATACGTGTGTGGGTGATGTGTTGATGTTAAATACGATAAGAATATGTTCGGAATAATATAAACGTATAAGAAAAATTGTTAAGCAGACATATAAAAAATATCTTGGCGAAATTACCCTCTGCCTTTACGAGTTATATATACTGAGCCCTTGTATTTATTTTGTATATATGTAATTAAAACTATACTCATCTAGCTCGCGCGATTAAATGACACTTGATATTTATTTCTGTGTTTATTTTGCGTTAATATCATAAAAATAATTTGATTATTTATTATTTTAACATGTACAAAACAACAAATATTTACAAATAAGATTTTTTATGGAGAGTTTAACGAAAATGTCGAGATATTTCAAAAGATAGTAAACTAGAGAATATGCCATCTTCCTCTCTATTCAACATTAACGGCTATTAGTACATAGATCATGTCCCTCATAAACCGAGTTTATAATGTACATATTAGTTAATTTATAACTATCGAAATACGTGTCGTTTCACATGGTTATATAAGTTTTTTGTTAGAATTTCTTTAAATTCATATTAGAACAAGCGATTTTGTAACTATAAAATGACATCATATACTTTTAATACGTCACGAACTTGCCTAGGTCAAAAGATATGGTGTTTATCATGTGACTTGATCACTATTTAAAGGAAGCAAATAATTTAGCAATAAACTACATAGTTTTTTATAAATTCCGCAATCCAATTAGTTAAATGTTTTGTGAACTGAAATCCCCGAGGGTCAACGACAAACTCGTGTTTACAATGACCTTTTGTAATATTTTATATTATTCAAATAATAATTTGGGAAAAATATGTTCCATATATTAAAATGTGAATAACAAAATTGTTACATACATTAGTTTCACTTCAAAATAATTTTACCAAAGCCTTCGCAAGCGTAAATCATTCGTTATTTGTAATCTACACACATATTGTTTTTCAATGCTGCTCTAATTGTTTTATGACTAAGTGTGCGAGAATGAAAATGGTTAATTATTACAAATTTATACCGGACGTATACCCATTAGTTATGTGAAGATAATTCTACTAAAATAATTATGCTAATAAGTATTTATTATACATCAAGGTCCGATATGTCATTCCACAAATACATATTATATAAGTCACACACTATCTAGGAGTAATGAGTAACTCTTAATTAATCTAAGCGTGTAAAAAACAATTGGAATTATGATGTTAAAATTTATTTATTGAAATCGTCTTTAGGCTGAAAAGACGTAGCCAGTTAGATATTTGCATGTTCTATTTAATTTACCATCGAGAAGTAAATTTTGTTTAAAAGCTTTCTAAAATATAATTCATTTGAACATAACAATATATGTTTCCAGTTAATTAATAATAATTACAAGTAAACGTAAAACAACAACATAAAAATAATTCAAAAGCAAATAAAGAACTTGCGCAAAATTTTAGATCTCTGTCTTGGAGAGATTTCGTAATCGTTTTAGCCTACTTTCTGTTAATTTGTCAAACGTCCCGACGTTAAAACCTTATTACAAAAGAAAGACGACGTTTTAGTTTCGATTGTACCTTTAGATATCGTAGCGTATTAGTAACCGTCAAACACATAATAAAGTTGATGTTATTTCAATTGTCGTGGGTAAAAATCTTTGATAGTAGAAGTTACCAAATAGAATAGAAGGCTACAAATAAATGGTCTTAAGGCATTGGACATAAAAACGATTTGAAGGATTTGAAAACTTAGTGTATAAGGTTACTACTATAGAGAACAAGATGTACATCGCTATACATACATGGTTTCAGTTTTACAATGCCATTTATTTAAACCCGTTCTGTCCGCAACTGACCTCCGATAATTCACAAATTTAAAACCTCTAATTGAAGACATGTTTTATATTGCAGTGTAACATTGTATAAGAATTAACAGTACTGAAATATATTATCGGAATCACTTGTTTAAATCCGATCAGTGTTAAATTGATGATATGAGTCTAAGAGTCAAAAACATTGAAGATTATAGATAACTATGTGAAAATATAAATACTTTAAAAGTATGAACATTACCGTCATTATGTTATGAGTTTAGTATGTATGTGGTTATATATAATTAATAAGTACAATTTTCTATGTCTGTCTGAAGTCTTATACATAGAAGTAAAAAGCAGCCTAGTGGTCGCGTACGGTGTCGCAACTGTGTCGAAACCTTGAAAACTCGCTCAACGTTAACTGTTTGTGTTAAAATTGTATTTGTATTCATATTTGTTAAGTCAACATTAGCCATAAATAATATAAGAATAGGTTTATTCGATTTTTTTAATATTAACACTGCAAATATATATATATTAAGTGATAAATAAATAATAAATAAATTGTACTTAAGAAATAAAACATAAATGTTTCGTCGTTTGCACGCGATCTGAGTAATTATAATTTTTTGATATAGAAGCTAGGTTTACGAGGAAGTTTATAGACTATAAAGTACTCAAAGAATCATAAAATTAAATGTTGATGTATTTAAAGTGAATGGGAATAAAATATATTAAGAAATTTAACATATACTTTGTAGTAAAGTAGAAAATCTAGTAATGTTCGTTTTCTTGTTTAAAATTATTTTGTAACAACCGTGAGTTAAGATATAGTAATACGAGAAAAATATTATAACTAAAGGCTTTTTGTGAATTCCAATAAAAACCGAATTAACAATAATCTATACTTTATTCACAGTCTGTTGTAAATGAGATCTTCAAAATACTAGTCAATGGACAAGGAAAGCAGTTGATTCAATGGTAAACTCTTACGCAAAAATAAATTGGGCCGAACATAAAATCAGCAGCAGCTATGGAGCAATATTTGTTGGCCGTAGCAACTATCACATCGTTCATATCTACAGGTATAATATATTTAATTATTATTATTATTAAATTAAGAATATTCAAAATTCATGAAAAGCAAAGGAACCTTTCGTTATAGAAAACTTACTTACGATGAAAAATTTGCAAATTTCAATTTATTCCTCATTATAAAACCAATTATTCGACCGTAAACGATCGTGTGAAAAATATAACAATACTATGTTTCCCGCTTCATTATACATAGCCACTCGTAATTGAAATCCTTTTACTTAATGTAAGAAGTTATTAGGCAATCAATTTTGAATATGGCCTGCAACATGTTACATACTAAGTAGGAAGTTATGTTACGAGCACATATTTATTTTGAAATGAATTAAAACAAAAGAATAAAAATTCTGGTTTTTTTTTTATGAATCATCAGTGATATGAACTGTAATCTATTTTTAAATTATAATTTCAAATACTTTTGAATTATAATATAGTATTCAACTTCGAGGCATGTGGCATGCTATGACTCATTGTTGCTTGGATCTGGTTATATTTATTTATTCTACAAAATACTGGCGTCAGCACGCTCAATTTATTAACAACTTAGAGTTACATCAAATAAAGTATATAAAAGATATTATATACGGTAAAAATCTTATGTTTTCTTCTATATATGTATATAAACTTTAGTTTCGTATTAATTCACTTGGAGTATTTAAACTATAGTTCAATAATTTGTTTGTCTGACAACACCGCTAAATAAATCGTATAATATCAACGAGAAAAGGGTGATGGGAGCCGCCACAGCGATCAGTCTGTAACCAGGTGTAGGGTCCTTGAAATCATAGCAGAGACTGTTGTAAGTGGCTCCTGTTTCTGTACACTTGGATCCTGGTTCACCTGCTTCGTACACAGATTCACCTGTATCACATTTAGATTCACTGTTATCGATGAACACAAATTTGGCTACCAAACGGGCGATCATACTTTTCGTTCCATTCTGTTTCTTATTGACATTCTTCCTCACCCAGCCCTCTTCGTATATTTTGGTCAAACTGTCCACCCCCCATGTTGGTTTGTGATTTTTAGATATTTGCTTACTGTCCAATTTTAATGTATCCGGGGGAAATATTTTTGGAAGTTTGATAATACGGTTCCATTTAATTCCCAGTGTCGACAAAAAATTTAGATCCGTTAGGTTTTCATTACCTCGGAATTGTGATAAGTCATTATGCGCTATAATACCACAGTATAGTTGTGTGTCTAATATAAACGGAGCGCCTGGAGAAAAATTACAAACAATTCTCACGTCGCCATTAGATCTTATGCCATAGGCACACCCTAGTTTCGCAGTTTTAGCCCAAAGCAATTGAACAGTGTTAAAATTTAATACTGTTGTATGACCACAACTGACATCTACTGGAGTTAAATTCTTTCCGGCACTAGAAAACCAAATGTGAAGACAGCCAATGACAGGATCTATAAAACATTCATGACGCGGTGTGCTGTTAAAAGATAAATATTTATGATTATTTAAAATAACATGAATTAATTGAAACAAATGTGCTTCTTACCATTTTACGGCTGTTTTGAAGTATTTTAAACAGCAGAATTTAGAGTATTTCGTACATTCGAGTTGCGTAACCGATTTTCCATCTAAGGCTGAACACGGAGCTGCTCCTGGCAAGCATTGTCGCAGCCATGCTTCAGAAATCTTTTGAAGATCATAATCATATATTATTTGTTTCATGTTAGCAGCGGTGGGAAGATGTGCATATTTTATACTTAGTCCGTTGGCAATACGATTACGCATGGTATTTATGGTATTGATAATGTTACTTTGGTCCAGAATATTTGGCGTTTTTACTGTATATCCTTTATCACAAACATTTGATATATCTTTATTTGGGAATAGACAAAGTGTATGGTCACCAAAACATGGTTGTACTCCGCACCATTTATTTACGAAATGAGAGATCGGTGCATCCGTTACTTTGAACTTTGGTCGCGCCTCAATCCAAGGATCGTATACATTTATTAGTTTTCCGTTGTATGTCAGAAACACCTTAGACTTATCTTTTCTTTCTCCTAATTCACCATAAACGAGGGGTAATTCCCAACATGGCAGATCCTGAGGAACGTACCATATATTGGTAAAATTCCTTTTATTTTGTCCTTTAAGAAGATCTTTGTCGGCTGCTGGTTCTAGATTATAAAATATTCCATAAGATAAAGCATCTGTTTTCATACTATCTTTCATTTTACTCATATTGTGAACCCATTTGTCTGGATTATCTTCGTTACGCAAAATAGGAGGTTCATTTACTTTGTGGTCAGCGTAGTCGTCATGAGATAATAAATCCAACTTCAGAATAATTTTATGGTCTGGTGTTTGGGTGTCTACAATAGGAGCACAAGTGGAATTATCTGGTGCGAAACTTAAAGTTGGTATTGAGGTATTTGTTGGTCGTGGCCTTTTGTCTATTTGAAAAGAAATTATAATCTTTTCATCAACGTCGTCGTCACAATCTTCTGAACAGTCAGATATATCCGCGGTTATGTTAGTAGCATTCATCATTGTTCGTCTTGAATCAGATCTGTTGTACGCTATATCATGTGGTTTCTCATTCTTCGAATCATCACTACCATAATAATCAACAGATATTGCATATGTTTCAAATTTTAAAAAACATAGCAGTATAATATACATATTACTAAGCATCATTGTGATTATTAATGATGTCATGGCCGTAAGGATTTAAATGAAATAACAATTTGATAACTTAGGTAACGCATTTTGAACATCAAAGATAAAATATGATCTTAATGACATAGAATTAACGTATTTTAATTGGAATAGAGATTTATACAATTCAAAGATCATTAGAGAGACAATTCTCGGAGAGCGTTCGAACACAGACGAATGCGTAATATAAATTAGTGTGGGCGTATGAAATGTATGACTCACTATGGACAAACAATGAACGTTGTCATTGACGTTCAATTCATTTTTTAAAATGTCAAGGAATATTATCCGATTAGTTTTATATATTTAAGGTGGTAGATGGACAAATTAACTTCTTTTATGTATGTCCGACTTAGAAAACTATAAGGCGGCTCCCAAATCATAAATTGCAGACTTTTTTGGTGACATACAGTGGCTTATGTTAACATCAAAAGTGTTATATAAACATATAGTTATATATATTTACAGTGTCATCGCTGCAGTGCTACCAATGTCTAATCAACCCTCCACCAGGACAATACTATAACACGACCAAACGGTTGTGCAGTCACTTTGACCATTCAGATACATTTGTCGTGGAATGTCCCTTTTCTACTATGTGTATGAAGCAGGAATTCTATTTGGACATTCAAAATGGAGGTAATATCAGATATAAAGCAGCGTCTTAATAATATATGAACACATATCACAAGAAACTAAATTCACTAGAGAATTTTTTGATGACAAGTAGAAAATCTTCCATTTCAAAAATTTCATAAAAAAGTTATTTTTTGAGTGAGACGTAAGCATACAATATTAGTAACATTAATTTGTAATAATTAAACTCTTTGTATTATTCAATAGTATTCTTTGACATGACAACAAACATGATCTTCAATCATCAATAAAGTGTTACCGTACTCCATAACGTTTTATCAGTTTCAAATTTAATCACATTTTGTTTTTCATTTAACCAAATTTAAAGTTATCAATAGAAGATTATTACAAAAAGTATAGGATCTAACATTTCAGTTTTTCCCAAAAACACGTAATCATTATAAAATGTATTTTTTCAGTTCGAATATCAGCGGTCCTGCGTGATTGTGCACCTCAAAAGCACGCGTATCACGACATCGAGAACGGCAGGTGGTTCCCAAAGACTGAGGTTCTGGAACCTTACAGCGAAGGATGCACAGATATCGACAATGACAAAGGAGAGAGAACAACTCCCACGAGGTATAATATCAAGACTTATTAGTGTAGGGATCTAGACATAGCAAAAACATCGCTAGGAATATGGGAAATTTGTAAAAATGGGAATTAATGTTAATATTTTTAAATTTAATACATTCAAAGAAACGCAATCATAAATTTCGATATATTCAAATGTAATACCGCCTAGCAAAAGAACTTATGTAATATGAAAAAATATACACACTATAGCCTCGTCAATGTTGCTTTGAACTAACCTTCACACGGCAATAGGTTTAATCAAGGTCGTTCGATTGTAAAACAAGAATTACCATTTATCATACGTAAAAAGTTTTCTAATCGAACTATACGTAATGGATACTATTATTGCGCTTGTAATTTGATAATCATTCATTATGACAACATCTCATTTAATATTATATACATTTGAAATATATTTAAAGAAAAAAACAAAAATCTACTTTAGATAACACAGTCTTTAAAACTGATTCACAAATTTTATAAATAACGTATTTAACACCAAAGAGTGACAAACTTGAATTATTTCATACATCCACTCCTTTTAAATATTATAATGTGAATTGTGATTGTTTTTATATTGTAATGCTTTATAATATTTATAATTTATTCAAAATATTTAACAAGATCTACTTTTTCAGTTTCTGCTACTGCAGACAGAATCTGTGCAACACATCACCTAATACCAGCCACGAAGGCTACACGGACATTATGGGTGTCATAATGGTGTTCAATTTGATGAAATTCATAAACAGTCTTAGATAGTGAACAGTGACGTGTGGCAAATGAAAATATATGGACTATAGATATCAAACGTCTATGAATGTGTGCTGAAAATATTAAACGTACATGAGAAATTAGTACGGAGAAAACTTTAGTCAAGTAGTAATATACATGGGTGTATTTTAAAGTGTGTAATACATTTCGAAAATAAAAACTCCAACTTCTATTAAAATAAACCACATGATTTTTTATACTAGTAAATTCTAGTAACAATATCTTAAATTGTGTGTAAAGTGCATTAATATCGTTGGGAGTTAATTTCAATATTAATAAACATCAATATATTAATCATTATATAACTCTTTTTATACTTTTAAAATGCAGAATATAAATATTTCTATCAGAAAGCAGACGTCTTCTCTGCTTTTTTAGAAGAAGAGTTAGTTTTAAAAAAATCTAAATAAAGTATCCTGTCTTTCCACTACTTCTGTATTATTGCCCAATATAAATAAGTATTGATCAAATAACGCGTATATTAAAAAAAAAAGGTATAAATATATATGACAGAAGACTAATTTCTTTTTATAAATATACACACATTTTAAGTGTCTGGTGTCTATGTGATATTTATGTTACCATATAGCTTATCAAATTTCTAATATAAGGAAACAAAGTCAATGATTTGAATTATACATATAATTTATTGTTTTTAAACTTGTACACAATTATTTAAGGTATGTACACGCTTTCTAGTGATTGTAAATAAATGTTATTGATATATGCTGTTTAATTTTTTTTTAACTAATTCTTTGGATGAAAACTTTATCTAATAAGACATTGAATAATTCGTTGTATATTACCAAGTAGGTTGAAGCATAAATATAATTATGAACTATGAATATTTTCTCCTTTTTTTAATTAAGAGTGGATTGAACATAAAATAAATTTGTATCTTTTATGTGTATTATTTTGTAAACTTCTAGTCGACTTTAGTAGTTAAGTAGTATAATGATATCAAAGATTTACGATAGTCCACATTTATATTAAACTGAGAAAAATTGCTGTAAAGTAATCGAAAGTGCGGGTAAAGTGTAATAGCTTCGAAAACCATACTTTTATTTAAAACTTAAGTAGCAGTTCAAATAACTGTAGAAGGTATTTTGTATGCATACGAAGATTTGTTTAGTTATAAATATTTTACGACCATGCATTGGTAAACAAAGTTTTTACGACGCTACTTCAGTCGTAAGGTGCAATTATCTTTAAACTAAGTAATAACTGACTCTTGTTATTGAGCAATTTTCCATATTGCCACTTTGAGTGTATTTATTTCATAAGAGACCTAATGGAATGTTTTCAGGCTTGAATATTACAACATACTTTATTTTATTAAACAACTTTAAATAAATATCTTAGTCACTTTTAATAAAATCAAGGATTTTTTAAAAAAATTCAAGTTATGAGTATTGAAAGACATTTATTTGCTTTAAATAGTAAAAAAAATCAGACTGTCCTATATAAGGTCGTATATAAATGGGGTTTAGCTATCAAAGACAGGGTTTTACATTTTTGGGATTATCAAGGGAATGTCAAGGTATTACAATATTTTTTTTCTGTATCATATGATTCAAAGGTAGATCGATTAAGTCAATTTTATCATTATACAAATAAAATAACGCTTAAAAATATCACTTCATTTTAAAAGCATTTTCTGTAATCTAGATTTCAATGTGTCTGGCGCAGCTGATTTTAAAAATTCATTTTTTTTACAGCTAAAGAGCGTTGACCTGAAGTACGTGTTTATAAAATACTCTTCAACCACACCATCACGCACACAGTAAATCTATTTGTTTATAGCAAAAATAATTTATTTGTAAACTAATATATAAAAAACTATTTTACATACGTATTGTATAAGATATTTAATTTCCTACTTAAGCATTCCGACATGGCAACAAAAAATATGAATATTATTATAATTAATATTTTTTATATAAATGAACGAACATTTGAAATTATTGTCGGCCTTTGTAATATTCGAGGGCCGTTTTTAATATATGTTATGTATAGAAAATATGACTAATAATTCAGAATAAGAAGTGATTAAAATGTTTAAGAAGAATATAAAATTTTTGTATGGAACGTATTTAAATTATGTATGTTCTGAATCACTCTTTTTGAAGTCCTCCACAAATTTATATACTGATAGTATATCATTAATAAAACACCGTATGCAGAGCGCGAATATAACGTCCAATTTATTTTACGGTGATAAATATGAAAATGTTGAATATTAAAAACTAATAGATCATATGTAGGCAAATTTTATCTATAGGAGTAAAGGATGTGGGCGGTAATGATAGCGGGGAATGTTTTATAAAGAGAAGCTGAAACCAAACAAACAAACAACCATTCAACTAACAACCTCAAACGTTTCCCACTTAAACTTTTTATATCACGGTTAATTTAGACATGAGTAAGAACATCAAGAGGGTCGAATATTCGATAAATAGCCCCACTCAAAGCAGTTCATTGCATACAAAATAAAATTTCGCAGAAATATATAAATAGATCATAAACAAAATGTATTGATGAATTCAATACTGTAAGCAGACGAATACGACGTCCTCTTATAGTATTATACTTAACATCATAGGAAAAATGAGAACAGGGGGAAATAAATCATACAAAATGTTGAGCATTAATCACGTTTCACGGAATGCATTCCGGAAAAGAACACATTGGTTTCAATTATCATATTATTAGCATACAAATGTAACAAAGGCTGTCGAATTATTGAACGCGAGTATTGTCCGACAAACGATATGAACACTCGTACCATACGATGTTCCAAATGAGCGGCTTTATCAATCGCATGACGTACGAATTTTGATTACAAAATAATACAAATAAAAAACGAGCAAAACAATCGAAAGGTCGCCGACGCGGCTAAAATACGAGTGGAGATACGCGTAAGTCAAAAGCTTGGCAGCAGGCACTTGGGTAGCGTCGCGACAGTGCTACATCGATCGGACGAGTCAGCGCCACTGTTCGCTTTGTATAAGCCATTTGGTTATTTGGACATGTCCCGTTTTAATACTGGGCTTCCTTCCTGTGAATCACGGCCTCGTAGAGATGGTCTGTAAAGCACATGGAGCCAGAAGCGCTCCGAACACGGACGTGTGAACTGCTGCTGCGCTCAACACATTTAATTTCGTAACGTACCGGTGTTTGGAATTTTTAAAACGTTGCCAATGTATTTTAAGTGTTATTTATATTTCGCATAATGGAGTTCGCGTTGTTATTTGTTGCATTAGCGCTGTTTTGGAAACGTAAGTAATTTATCTAAAACACAATACACATAAATAATTTTGTTTATTTTTTTGAAATTAAAACATAATGACAGACGATTTGTGTATGGCATTGCTTTATCGGTATATGGGACAGTGAAATTGTGTCAAAATTAAATACCATTAATATTCAAATGGCATCTGCGGTCCGGAAAAGGAAACAGAACAATAAAAATATGTTACAAATGTACTTCCTATATAAGAAAAAAACAAATGAATTTTATAACTGTTACACGCAAAGTTGCGACAAGGACAAAGAATTGATAAATTATTAACAATGAAATATTTTAATATAATATAAAAAAAATAAATGACATGGTCAAATATTTTATAAATATATAGTTAAACTACGCGTGGGTACAACCTGTATATAAACTATCAACTACATATATTAACATATAATTATTATGTCAACAAATTGATTGTCATATTATCTAGTAATGTAAATATTTTTCATTGTACGATATCGTCAATTGAATGTTAACAAAACAGGGTCCTATTTACTTAAACGCATTACTTCAGATTCATATAAAATTTAATTATGTTTTATCAACAGGATAATTTTGTTTTAATTAATTAATGCTAATTAAACATCATTATTATAGATATATACTATTCGCCTTGACTGAATCTAGAATAGCTATATAAACAAGTCCACTAACTCATGAAATTAGCAGCGTTAATTTGCTTAATTAAGTTGATAGATGTTAATAATAATAAAAATTTATAGCCTATATATATCACGTCGTGTTAGCGGTCATTGAACTTGGACGACTTATTGGATGAAAATTCACTAATCAATATACTCATATGTTAATATCCTACTAATACTTTATTGCGTATTAAACAAGTTATAATGAGTATTATTCAGGCTGAGACCTTAACCTTTTGAGTTAAGACAGCAATTTAAATCCCTTATTCGTATATATGAAATTAAAAGTAACCTACAAGAAACAAAATCTTAAAAAGCAGGAACATGCATTTAAATATATTGATACATTTATGATATATACATTTTGTCTCAAACTAAAGTGACCTTTGGTAATACGAAAATCTCTTCCACTTATTCAAGTAATTTTCTTGTTTAACAAATAACGGTCTTGTAATTTTAAATCATTTATCACTTAAGATATTTGGCGAAGACTGTAATAAAATAATCTTACTCAATATAAAATTAATAATGGGCCCTTCGTTGAACAAGACAACACTACCTTCGATGATATCATTTGTACGTCTAGCCCGTATTATTAATCGTTTTCAGTCACGATACTGTTAATTTCAACAACAAAAACTACTTACAAATTAAATATATTGTAATCAAAAAATATACTATAAATTCTGTATAATAAAAAAGATTCAATGATAATCTATAATTGAAACGTGTTTTAAAGGTTACAAAGAAACTACTTAAATAATGAGATTTAAGATTTTTGCGAGTATTCATTTAAATGAAACTAATATTTTTTATTACTACAATTTTTTAGTACTACGCGATTTTTATTTTTGATTATAAACTTCATACTGTCGACGTTTCGGTTACTTTACAGCAACCGTGATCTTAAATAGTTTTTAAAACATATGCAGGTCGGACTAAAGATACGCGGGTGGGAAACTAAACATGTTAATATAACTAATGTTTGGAAGAAAATTACATTTCATAAGTACAGCGATCGTGAAATGAAAAAAAATAATGCCGCCACTAACTCAATAGAAAGTTATATAAGATTACTAGTCCTAAAAATTCCCGATGAAAAGTATAGAGTGATTAAAATCAACTTATATTTATACATAAAATTAGCTACTCATGTGCGTATTATTGTATAATTGGAAATTGAACCAATGTGTCTTTATACACGTCGGCCATACATATATTTACATTGGTATATAATAAATTTCTCGTATGGAATACGAAGAAATGAAACCCGACGGCTTACAAGTTCAGTCACGACAACGGATATAAAGGGATACAGTGTAAGTTAATAACTTTATAAAGGAAGTATCAAAGCTACATATAAAGTTTTCTTATTCGGAATTGTTTTTGAAGTCAACGAAGTCGGTAGTACATTCATGCAATATCCCGCTATAGTACGTGTTATAAGTAATTAAAATTAAAACATATTTATTTATTCTCATATAATTACTATCAAGACATCAATTGTCATGGTACCTAATCAAAAATCCACTAATTTTAAGAAATTTATAAGAAACCAATATTCAATGTCTCTTTAGTAATTAAATACAATTTAAGATTTTTAATTTTACGATGAACATTTTGTAAATAGTAAAACGTTCGCATAATATGATAAACACATACCTATTGTTATCTGAAGTCACGTGGTTTATCACATACATACAGAGATATTAAGAATTATCAAAAAACGTGTAGGTTATAGCGATAAATGATCAGTAGAATAAAAAAAGGGAGAAAAAAAATCAACTCATTATGTGAAGTATACAGTTACATGGATTTTTTTTATTGTTTGTAAATAATTCGTTATAGAATGGACGCCCAAATATAGGATTCAAATAATAGTAAAAATATAATAAAGCACCATTTAAATATTTTTTTAAGATATTTAATAACGGAAATAAACCGATACTAAGAAAAAGCTTAACAAGAGACATACTAGTGAAAATTATAAATGAAAAAAGAAAAAACAAATTAAAATTGAAAGACTATTTATTTCGAATATTGAAGTTTTAAAAATAATTTTACCCTTTTATGAAATTATTTTAAGCAAAGCAGCCTTTATTTATACGCAGTAACCGCAGAGTCAAAGTTCAAAAAACAAAAATTATCCGCTTACGTGATTTCATGTCAAAACTATGATATATCCCGTCAACTTTACAAGCACTAGGCCAAAGTTAGTAAGCATTAAGCCAAAATAATGTAAGCTTTATGTCGATTAAAATAACTCATGTCAAAATTCTTTGTCCAATGTCATTTTAATAAAGTATTAAGATTTTTTTTAAACAGTTCCTAGACTTTGACCAATAAGATAAACCTAAAAACAATGAGAGATTTAAATTCTTAATTTGATTTTAAATAAACAATGTAAAATAACTATCAAATGATTTAAATGCGAGAAATACTGAGATAGTTATAATTTATAAGAATTTTTTATTGAAAATTCCAGCTTCTTCGGGACTTCATTGTTTCAAATGCGCTCCCGAGGAGACCTACTCCGGTGATCAACAGTGCAGCCATTTCGACGGTAGCGACAAATTCCTTGTACTATGTGAACATTCAACCATGTGTTTCAAGAGACAGACCACCTTAAGACTGGCTAATGGTAGTAAGTACAACATTATAAATATAATTTTTTAATAAAACTTAAATACGGCAATAAAAAATAGACTGGGTGCGAGACGTACAGAAAAAGGATTTACTATATAGAAATAGAAAATATATCATAAAAAAACTCTTAAATGATTGCACAGAGAGAACGTGCAGTTAATTATGCATATAAAATATATTTAATACATGTTTTTCATTTAATAATCTCATAGGTCGAACTTACTTTTAAAAATGCACTTATAAAACGAGAAATGTCTTGTTTGCACTAGAAGACAAACTCTAGAGAAAATTATAGATGTACCTATAAAATATGAAAGTATAAAGTCATATAAATAAAAGAAATAAGGACGTTGTTCTCTGAATAATGTGTTCTTAGTCATCAAACGCATCCCGTAGTCCGAACAATGCTTTCACTCGTTTTATTGCGCAGCTGATATTAATTTATATTTTAATAAAAATTCATTACGTTAAGAGACGGGTGTGGGAAGTTGTAGGATAGATTACAATACAATAAAATCATATTCATAGTATTCAAACACGACATATAAATTTACATATATAATTAATACCATTTGAACATTAAACAGAAAATATTCAATACTTTTACTTATTTAATGGATATATGTACGAGAGTCTACTAAATATAACATACATTTACACAGTCAATAACTTAGTTTCCATTACAGACTGCCATAAAAACGATAACGAACCGCTCCTACAACGGCTGTGTCCCCATTACGACATTTGCGAATTCTAAACTGCTATTTATGTCACGCGAATTTTTAAAGTTCGTGTCCTTTATATGGCATCCGCGTGCCGCCGTCGCCAAAGATGGCTTATACGAATAAGATTATAATTCTTAGGGAGCCGATAAACGAGCGACAACATGCGAACGACGTACAGCCTCAATCAGACCAGAACGGCTGTCCTCGACCAATATAATTAGCTGTACTTTATAAATTGTCGCTAGTCTGTTAGCATCCTTACGAATAATTAAACCAAATCCGTTGAAATGGGCGCCACTTTTATGAGCGGTATAAGAGATTAGTTAGATACAAAAGAACTTCTTATTCTTTAAGTTTATTTAACTCTAAAAAAATGTTATTGGCCTGAATGTAGATAGGCAATTGTTAATTAAGAAAATAAATTAATCAAGACGGGCGCCATGTCAACGTCTGATCAAGTATGTCGTTAAAATATTAGCCATATGGTTCGGCTTTTTTATTGTTACATTGAAACTGATGCATCACTTTATAAAAATACAAAAATAGATACGGTGCAATATAATATTTGTATGAATTGTATCGATATGTACGTTATTGAGAAAACATATAGACCCAAAAATGCAAATATTGCGCAATGCATAAATAAAGACTAAATAAAAAGCATTTAATTACATAGGCCGTTTAGTCGTTATACCATATTTACCATATACGAAACATTACAACGCACTTGTTACATAAAACCTTTATGAATTCATTATACCAGAGCACATGTTAACGTGTTAGTCGAGAACGTATCAGGTCACCAAGAAACTGGAGCAAGAGCTTAGAGGCCGATGATTGATTCAATATAAATCATGCGTTCACATTAATAGCTGTACTTCAATGGGATTATTATGTTTGTTAAAATCATTAAATTATACTAAAAAGTGTTTTTGTATATCTAAAAATAGATGACGTAACTATTCAGAAAAACCCAAATTTTATAACATATCGATTTATATGTAATGCATGTCAAGTTATTAATAAATTTTATATTGTTTTAAAGTGAGTTCGATGAGTGTGGAGAGGGGATGCGCTTCTCAACGTTTGTCGGGGGACCAAGCAAGAATAAATGGTAGGTGGCAATTAGTGGATACGATATACGAAGTGTACGAGGAGGCTTGCAAGGAAGCACCCACGGACTCCGACGGACCTACGCAAACATTGCACTGTTTCTGCCGTGGCAATCTATGTAATAACTCCAGATATAATATAGCCAGTTATACTTTAATCGTTATCGCCCTGTTCGTGTATTATCTTAGATAGTATAAGCAATTTTAAATCTTACTGTAATTATTCCTTTTTTTATATGATTCAATATCGTTTAAAATGATTTAATTATTGTAATTTTATTGTAAGACACATTTGGAAAAATCCAGATTTTTTGTGTTAAACATGTTGTATCATTCCAAAGGATTTCTTTTATTAATTATGTTTTCTTTATAAATATAAATACTAGTCGTAGATTAAGTGAACATTTTTTTTGTGATTTTAAAATCACTGCTACATTTTAGTGTTATTAATTTAATCTTATTTTTAAAATATATTGTACGACAGTCTCACTGCCATAAGCTTAATACAAGTAACAAATTTATAAGGAAAAATATGATAATTGGCAATATGTATTTATATTTGCGATAAAGTAACGCTTATATGTTTGAATGAATGTATATTTGATATGATAGATTTTCAGAATAAATTTTCTTTATTTCAAGTTCAAATATGTTATATTAAATTATATTTGTGACAGAGCGCTAACTGCTTTTATTTATTCACCTGACGATAAACACAATGTTGAATATTACATATTATGTAAATATGTTTATAAATAATGGGAATACACGCAGGTTGACTGATATTGTTAATTTATTCTATAAAATAAGCCATTCAACCATGACTTCAACTAAACTCATTTAAAGTCTTCGGAACAGACGGAAAAATCCAAAAAACTATTGAAAGGCTTGACAGATATGTCGGACGATTTGTAGGAACGACATACCAATGCTTGGAATGCAAGCTTTAGTTCATTGGAGATGTAATTATTTAACGTTTTGATAACGAAAACTATTTATAAGTGTTTCTTTAAAAAACAAGATTAAGGTTATAAAATGTTGTGATTTTTTTGTATAAGTTATATAATATGCCACTTTGAACTTTGCTTTAATCTTTCGAAATTAAAAGCATAAAAAATCAGTGAAATGTCGCAAATTCATAAAGAGAAACCGTACCAGATCGATAACAATTTAATACTAAAGTAGTCAAAAAGTATGATATATAAAACTTGTTCTGAAGAGCAGAATAAAATATACGTATGGCATTAATTAAATCTTCATACTCAAATAATTCTGAGATAAACTAAAGATTTCCATATGTTTAAAGATACAAATAGAAGTCCATTTAAAAAGTCAATACAAAACCGTAATATAAGTTACATATATAGGAAATATTCTCATAATCATAACGGTAATGGGAAAATGTCTCGGATCTTTGTAAAAGTAATATTAATATAATGACAGCATTCATGCATATAATATAACAGATTATTTCGCTATGCATTTCTTAAAGATCTTATGCACACAGAATATACAAATATGATGATGAAACATCTTATGTATTTCTGAACAAAATCTTTGTAATTGAAAATGAGACAAAATAATTACTTAAATAAATCCATTGTTCTAATCTTCCTACCCGATTTTATTATACTACATTAAAACAATTTATCGAATATATTCACGCAAGCAACGCCGTATGCAAAAGGTGTTTAAAAAGCGTAGAAACGTTATATTTAGGTACTTACATTCGCGTGGTTTTCCACTAGACAGAGGAACACGACGTCTTCTCTCAAAAGCCTGACTGCTCCATGTAATGGTTGCTGAGTCTTACTCTTCAACATCCGATAAAGCAGAGCCGAGGACATGTGGGCGAAGTCCTCGCCTGAAACAATACAATCATCTATAACATCTAGGATTGATGCCTTTAAACATACTCTTAATTAGTACAAAATTTAAAGTACCAATCGGATAAAGGTTTATTATGGTGAAAGTACGTAGCAATAACTGATACCTCAAAATTGTTACTATTTTTAAAATTTAATATTGTTACTTCATAGTAAATAAATGTTTAATGACAATTTGTTACATTAATTTAAGAAAATATAAATCATATAAAGAGACAAAATCATTTCATGTTGCTTCTGTAATTAGTGGCTTAATTTTTTTCCCTAGATAACAATATATATCATATTTTTGCATGTTACAGTCCACTCATTAAATGTATAAACTTTGTAAAATATCAAACGGATGTAAATTCTAAAAATACAAAGAGATAAAAAAATGTGAACGAACTTTTGGACAGTCATTACATTTTAATCAACAATTAATGTGAATTACTCTGTCTCGGTAACACCACAGTTATTATAGCCATTAACTGAATAAATATTAAATCTTCTAAATAAAAAACTTCTTACATAATGCCGAGCAATAGCTACAATAGTATAACTTAGACAACAGTATTATTTAAGACCAATTATCAAGCTAATCTTGCCATATGTGGTGACCTATGGATTACAATTGTGGTGACAATTGGAAGCCTTAGAAAATTCTAACCCCAGACATGAAACAAAACCATGTAATTTGAACCATGTAAAGTTATACTCAACACATTTAACAGGGAATTGTTGTTACTGTACATTAAAATAGAAAATGAAACACTATTGTAAAAAAAATATCCTATAAAAAATTGATGATAACATTGGCATGTTTAATTATAATTGTATAAAATTTTCATAATGTAATGTTTTAAGTATCATTTGTATCAAATATTTGATAGTTAACAAAACAGAATAGTTAAGGTTTGAGTATTTTATAGTGTGTAATACTTCTCCTAAAACTTTATCTATATGTTATATAATTGTGCCTTTATCATAACATAATATATTCCACGTGTACATAGTTGAAGTCAAAACATATATTTTTATATATAGATTATTATCCTTAATTCATACGGGTTTATATATTTTCATACTTTGTGTATATTTTTATTTATAATATAATATGTACAGTGTAATATTTAAATAGCTACCTGTCAAATCATCCCAATGTGCAGATATCAAGCCCGAACAATGTTCCTTTAATGCTGTTGCATTTATTTCATCAGCGGCTGAATAAAACTTGACACATGTCCTGAAAATAAAAAAATATGATTCCTTCCTTCTATCATATTGTGTAGTAAGAAAAAAGAATAGTCATAAATTAGGAATATGAAATTAAATTCCAAAAAAATTGTGATAAATACTTCAACACAATGAAGAAACTTATTTCTTTAAAATATTATATAAACTACTTCATTTCTATATTATCTCATAGAATCAATTTTTTATGATTCAATTGTACAAATGCATGTAATGACTTTCATCTATTATACAGCCACGGGCAAAAGTATTAGGCACCCTACAGTAAGACAAGTTTTAGGGTGTTTTAGCATAGCGAGTGTAAATAAAACTGCATTTATGATTACAATGGTTTATTTTAAGAAAATAATTAATATTTTGTAGGTCCACCTTTTGACTTAATAACCGCAGCCACTCTTTTTGGCATTGACTCTACCAGCCTAAAACATTCTTCTCTTGATATATTTTTCCATTCCTGCTGTAACGCGGCCAATAGAGCTTGTTTATTGCTAATCGAGTGCCTGCGGATATTTTTCTTTAAAATGGACCAAATATGCTCAATCGGGTTGAGGTCTGGTGATTGTGGTGGCCAGTCCAAAAGATCAATATGATTTTCAGCAAACCACTTCATGGTATGCGCGGACTTGTTTCAAGTGGCGTTGTCTTGCTGAAATTTCAGGCCATCGGTGTTTGTATCACCGAAAATTTGCGTTATCGACGTTGCTAGTGCTGTTTCCAGAACTTCAGTGTATTTAACACTATTCATTCGTCCCTCACACAATACCATTTCGCCCACTCCGTCGGCCGCCATGCAGCCCCAGATCATTATTGAGCCTCCACCATGCTTAACAGTGGGAACCACACATTCTGGGTTGTATTCTTCGCCAACCCTTCGCCTAACATAAGTCACACCGGGTGTTCCAAACACCTATGCCAAACGAAAAAAACACATTTATTTTCAAAGTTATTATTTTTCTTGCAGTACGTTATTTTAAAAACATTTATGTGTTTTAATATTGTACATAAAATAAATAACAATACCTCAAAGTTAGATTCGTCTGACCACAGTATGTTGGACCAATCTTCCACTGACCAATCTCTACGTTTGAGTGCCCACTCCAACCGATTTTTCTTATTGTGTTCTGACAGCCACGGCTTCTTCCTTGCTTTACATCCTTTTAATCCAGCTTTAAGAAGTCTTCTTCTCACAGTATAAACACTCACTGAGCTGCCTTTTGCCTCAGATAATGCTGCAGCGAGCTCTAAAGCAGTTTTTTTCCTGTTTTGTAGAGACTGCCTAATCAACAATCGATCTTCCCGTTCAGTAGTAACTTTTCTTCTGCCTGTTCTTGGTCTATTTTCATGGGTGCCAGTCTCTTTGAAGCGATTTATAGCATATTGAACTGCACATCGCGAGCACTTCACTTCTTGGGCTATTTTAACCTGAGACATGCCTTGTTCATATAAAATCTTAATTCTTAGACGCTGTTCAGCACTAAGTTCAGATTTTTTCGGCATGATTAACACGTTAAATGTTAGTCTTTAGAATTGTGATAGGAATAGTTGCGTAGAAGACGTGTATGTTCACTGCAAGCACTGATAACACACTATAACCCGAAACACAAAAAAAGCAAATTCGAAGAAACACCGCTTAGGAGCACACCTGGATGTCATAAATATTTTCTTTTATCTTAATTTGGTTAAAAATTGCCGCTAATACAATAGCTAAACCATAAAACACACACTTGATCGCAATATAATGAGATAGTGACTAACAAATAGGGGTGCCTAATACTTTTGCACGCAGCTGTATATTTATAGACACTCAAAGGAAAATGAATCAAGTTTATAATTAGAGATAAACACCTTTTTTTCCAATTGACCCAATAAATTTAGTCCAATTCTGGTCTGGACTCTTGCAATGAAGGATTTTAATAAATTTTTTTTCACAAAATATTTTCAGGTAAATGAAATTAAAGCAAAAATTGAAATTTTTACAAAATAAGACACTATAGTTTTTCAGTAGTGTTTTAGTCTGACATGCTGTGAATTGCATTTATGATGTAAATTCAGATGTTTCTCTCCACACAAAGCAAGTGGTAGCTTAAGATTTAAGAACAGTTTCTATGTCACCTTTGGTTGATTCTTATTCAACTTAAGCTCTGCTTACCACCTGATTTGGTATCAAAGTCATTCAATACATTTTAAAACATATTAATATAGCCATAAATCAATTTAAGAAAAAAAGGCACCTTAATGCCATCAACCTCAAGAACACATTTCAATGTTCAACAAAACTAAAAAGTTTATAAGTAACATAAGAAAGTACATTTTGTTTAAAAAAGTTACAAGTTACTTATAAACTAAAAAGTTTATAAGTAACATAAGAAAGTACATTTTGTTTAAAAAAACAAAATGTACTTTCACTTTGTCAATTTACTTGTTACAATACAAGTTAACATTATTTCTCCCCACTTACATGTTGAAAACAAAGTTAAAATGATTTTGTTATATGTTGAATTAATCAGGATGCCTCGCTGAGGAGAGTATGTGATATTATGGATTTTATGAATGTAAAGTGGGTATAATCAAACTTATTTACCTAACACCAACAGTTGCAATTAAAGCTTGTTCACACTTCCCAACCAAACCATACAATTTGAAGCCAGCAGCTGATTTCATGAGTTGCAAGGCAAAAGCATCACCTCTTGAAAGGTCAACCACATCTGTGTAGAGCCATTTAAGAAGGGCAGAACCAACATCATCAGGGAGTGTAGACCAATCTTAAAATAAAATTTTCTTTGTTGTATTATTGTAATGTTAGTAATGCATTATAGGTGATTGCAACTTAGTAATGAAAAATAGAAAACTGATTGCACAATACCTATTTCTGAACAATTTTTTAGAGCCTCTTCATTCCAATCATCAGAACGAGCATTTAAAACAAATTTATGTCCAGGCACGGATTTATTCTGTAGTTTTATTACTATATCTGAATATGTTTCCCTGCCATAGAGTGTAGATACAGTCATAAGAAGTCGAGCTACAAAGCTAGTTTCGCTCAGGTCGCCAGCTGAGGCTGCTGCAAGTGTATATTTTCTTTCCACCTCCGCGCAGTGGCTTTGTAACTTTCCATATTCCTCTTTTAATAATGTTAAATGCAGTTGAAGCTTTGTGACTTCATTCGACGCTGAACAAAAAGACATAATTTCACACATCTAGAACTCACTGACAACACCGCCCACTTACAATAATTAAAGCACACAAAAACAACGGCCATGGAATGGACAACTTACCCATGACGCGATTCTACTTTTTACAATAGAGGCGACGATGATTTAGAGCTAATTTTTTTATTTAATAAAGAAAAAAATATATCCTCAATAAGTAAACGAACAAGTTTGACATAAAGTTTTTTTCATGTTTCATCAACAATGTCTGCCCTGGATACCGATTGTTTGGCTAAAAAATTAATATTCACATAAGCATATTCCTTAGGACATGTATAAAAATATAGTTATTTTTTTAGTGTTTAAATGTATCACAATTACTTAAATTGATCAAACTACTTTGTCTTTTCTTTTTGTCCCAAACCTCTTAAATATACACTCCGGGTTATATATTGATTTTACTTGTGGTTAAATTTTATTATCAATGTTTCAGGTCATAGTCAACAGATGTCTCATTTTCATCGAATTCTATTTTTGAGATAACCTTCAAGTGATTTAGTCAAATGAATTGATAACAAGCAAGTGCCAGTTCCATCAACTACTTTGCTGTGTATTCTTTATTGAAAGAATATATTCATATCAGTGAATATGAATTCCTTAAACAAGATTTTAGTTTTGAGTTCTGCAGCACCAAAAAATGCAAGGTACTAAGAGTTAGTCTTACAATAATCTTAATATTTTTATTAAAATGTTATGATAAAAATGTAATCGGTGTTTGATTTGTAGATTGATCTCCACTACAAAAACAAGACTAAATGCTGACGATGGATGGCTTTCAAAATTGTTGGTTCGCAAAATAGAACCGACGAAGGAATCTCACAGCCGAATGCTTAGCGACAAGGAGATTGTGTATGCACTGCATACTCACAACATTCGGCCGGATTCCGTGGATAAATACTTACAAAATTAGTATGTATATCACATCGATTGGCTAATCTTAGAGGAGTCGTGCTAAAAGTTGTCAGTTATGCAACATTCTTTAAATAGATGACAACTATAAATATAGAAAACAAATGACAATGCATGTAATATACAAAAATATGCCATCATTATTAAACCTTGACCCTGTGCGCCGACTTGTTGCTCTAATAAAAACAATCCTACTAATTTATAGTATTATATAAATATTAAAATATTGCCATAGATAAGGTCAGTATCAGTAACATCATATCAGAGCTTCATAGCAAAAAAAATGTTTTCTTGTAATTCCTTTTTTAAAATTAAGAATCACAATTGGACAATAATTGAAAAGAGTTAAATTGAATACTTAAACAAGTTTTAGTTTAACTTTTTTTAATAATCACTGGTTAACAAATATTTTTGCATAATTAAAAGTTTTAATTTCTTCAAGTAAAATATTGATCAATATTTATTTAGGAACTTATAAGATTATGCATCCTACCTGTTGCTGAAAGTTACATGTTAAAAATTTTCATTATTAATATGATGTAAATGCTACCAATAAATTTCCAGTTCTTAAAGAGATTCCTAAATTCAATGTGTTGTAATAAAATAAACCCACAAGAATAATATTGCTATAATTAATGTTCTACCTAATGTAACTAGTAATTGTTTATCACTAAGCTAATTGCTTACTATTAAACCAATATGAATTCTAAACATAATATTTTGACTTAAGATAATGACAATTTTAATACAGCTAATATTACAATACATCAATGAGTATTATGAAGAGAAAAAATGTTTTAGACCAAGTAATTATCATCTAAATTGATTCCAGTAAACAATCAGTGGAATTTGTTGAATCCCGGAAATCTGAGCTGGGATGTGAACTGGTTGGATCATGGACCGTGTCAGTGGGGGATATGGACCAGGCATTGCATTTGTGGCGTTATGTTGGAGGATTTGAAAAAATTGACAAGGCCAAGATATTGTTCAGGGAGAATAATGTTAGTCAATCATAATTTTTCCATACATTAATTTCAATAAATCTGACTATACATGCTTGCATTCAACAAATAACAATGTTTTCAATTACCTTTATTTATATACAACTATGTTTTTTTTTATATAATCCATATTAATCATCTGAGGTCGTACTAATAAATGTCTGACAAAATTTTGATTTTCAGGACTACCGTTCCTTGGAGAAAGAGAGAGGAAACTTTGTGAGATCACGTCACTTGCAATATCTTCTAGCGTTCAGCTTCTGGCCAAATGGTGATCCTCGTCCTGGAAAAAATATTTACGAGATCCGTTCTTATAGGTATTACTAATCTTTTATCTGAATTTAGTTTTTAGGAAATACTTACTATTATAATGGATTGTTTTTAAATACTTATGCAATTGTATTCTTATATATATGATTATTTTTGACTAGTCTAAAGCCGGGCACCATGATCGAATGGGGCAACAACTGGGCTCGCGGCCTCACTTACCGCCGCGGTAGAAATGAGGCATTCGCTGGATATTTTTCCCAGATAGGAAGACTCTATAATGTTCATCACATCTGGTGTAAGTTTGAACATCAAATGTCTCTTTAAATATTTGATCTTTTTCGATCTAGCCATTAGTACAAGAGGCGCTCTCCGTGCATTCTAATTATAATATAATCCTTAGAATTGTTTTTATGACTGATTATAATTAATTATAATACTGAACCATTGTTATTTTGTAATGGCAACATTTAACTGTCAAAGTGTATATGAAAAACTATAAATACTGGCTTTAGCCATATTGTAAGACATTACTGGAAATAACAAATCTGAAACTGTATCTCGAATATGATATAACGTAGAAGAGAATATAATTATTTAAATTGCCATTGTCAATTTTTGCATATATCCAAGTAACTTGCGACTGAAATCAGTCTTAATTGTTATACCAACTTAAGGCAATTCAATTATCCTACTAATATTATAATTGCGAAAGTTTGTGAGTGTATGTGTATGTTTGTTACTTCTTCACGCTCAAACGGCTGAACCGATTTTGATAAAATTTTGAATACAGGAAGCTGACGTCCAGGAATAACATATAGGCTACTTTACCGCGGGGAGCAGCTAGTATTATATATTATTTATTTATCACCCTCCAGGCTACAAGGATCTACAGGCACGTCGTGAGACTCGTGAGAGTACTTGGCGTAACCCCGGCTGGGATGAGTGCGTCGCGTACACCGTACCTCTCATCAGGGAGATGCACTGCCGTATCCTCGAGCCGACCGAGTTCTCTCCCACTCAATAAATCACTCATCACTCAACCGTCACTCGATCACTCATACATGTGTCAACGGTACTATATACTTCAGCATTATGTGTAACTATACTAGCGTGTATCTCGGAGACTTAATCGATGTAAATATAACCATATTTATCGACATCTTGTAATAGATGGCAGCATGGCATTTTATTTCAAGTAGCTTTATGAAATCATAATACAGAATTATGTGAACCTGTCAACGGTCTTTTATTTTTATAAACCCCTTATTAAATACGTTGCATTTTTAATAAAAATCGCATGAAATTAATTAAATAATCGTGTAACCCTCTGAACTTGTAGTTAATGTTCATACGACGTATAAAAATAAATTTTCAAAATATTAGTTATGTTCAGCATTTTTGCTCTTTTTTTTATGCAAAAGAATTTTATATAAAATGGATACGTGGCAATCACGATCGATACGAGAGAATCTTATCATAAAAATAAATACACATCAATATTTCCTTTCTATTATTTATTTGCAGTTTGATTTTTTCATTAATAAGATTATATTACAATATAATAATTAATGATAATAATTATTAAAACTACAAGTCGATTGTGTTATTTAAATATATAACAAAATAATAATAATTATTATTATTTAAAAAAAAAAGAAAACAACATTGCCTCGCCGGCGGATGGCCCGCCGTCCGAACATTGTCGCACCTCGCGTTATTGCTAACTCTCAGTGATAGATGACTATACAATGGTAAAATATAATAAAAAATAGTTACAATGTACATAATACGTGATCGCTAACTACGTTTGGTACTTCTATAGTATTAATATGTCACTGAGACAACATTGATGACCTTAGAATAATAACTAAAGCATATAATTAGCGCTAACAATACAATATACATACAAACACATGTAAAATATTCTTTCATTTTGAATTAAGAACACTTATTAATGTCCTTTTCTTGCACTAGACGTTGGGTTGCAAAATGCATCGTATCGATATCGATGAAAGAATTTATACATAATGTTTGTAATAAAAATCACATTTTTTATCATTCGTAAAAATATATATAAAAATATATACTATTACAAATGTTAAGATGATCCCGACATACATTATATCTTTTAGATTTCTTGAGATGCTTTGGGGAACTTCATTTATTGAAGGTCTCTTAGCATTCAAATGGATAAATTTAAATAACATTACGATAGCTTTAAATGACCCATCGATAACATTTATCACAACACTATCGTTATCTCAAAGATCAAATACGATTAGATTTTGGCGTATTTTAAAACATCGCAATAGTTACACAGCGAAAAATCTGCAGCACTTATTTAACATATTTTACAATTACAAGTCTTAAGACGACTCGAATGAAAAATAAATAGCTTGATACATTATATGAACTTTCCTCAAATCTCTGACAGACTATCTTTTACACTTCTATATACGAAAAGCACAAAATAGTCAAAAGTTTCGGAAGGCAATTATTTTAACAATTCTATGACTCAATTCAAAGTAACATTTATTCCTGGACTGAGTTTACATGACAATGAATCAATCAGTCGCTGGAAGCTTGCTTTGAATGATGTGAATACAATTTGATTATAATATATATAGTCGAGATTTGAAACAGAACTTAAACAATATTATATAAGACTTAGAACTAATTGTATGCTTTAGTTATTGTACTGAGATGATAACAATTCTTAGTCTAACTAGCAAGTGGTGGGAGGTTGGCAGGGGGAAAACTACGCGTAACGCTTGTACCCCACGTCGGTGCTATTATTTGTACGGTAATTGTGAAAAATATTCTTATTTTATAAAGCATTAATTTGTGTTCTGACAATCATCCCGGCCCAACTCTACTACACCGCACCATTGGATGCACTACAACAGCGAAAGCTAAGCGCCTAACTATATGTACGACCATCTAATGTCACTCAAGCTAAAATACAGCTTACAAATCAATTCCATAGTGCTTCCATTCCAGATATTGCTACCACCTTAGCGGTTTACGTCAGTGGTCATTGACAATTACAATTTGGAATACGGAATCGTTATTTTTATATAAAAATATAACTACGGCCAATCAAAGTGATTTTATACTTTAAAAATTTAAATCCTGTTAGTTGATGTAACGTGTAGATATAAATGAATGGGTATGTCTGTTTGTTTTAATTAATGGGCACCGCTGCATTCATTACCGTGGCCCTCTCAGTGTTTAAACAATTTGACGAAGTATAGTTAGGCTGTCTAGATTATTGTCATGTTTTTGGTCTTAATGGGGGAGGACAAAATCAATGTGTTATACATTCCGTGTACATAATCTACGGGGGATCTCTATAACAACGAAAGAAAAAAATAAAGCTTGACAATTAATTATATAATTAAATAAATCATTAAAAAAAAAATCGACGCCTAAATAAAAGATCGTTTATCAGCGTTATTGTCGAAACATTAAAATACTCGTCCAACATACATATTATGTATATATTGGACTATATATATATATATTAATGCCGAATGTCTCAATGTTTTAAAACACCTAAACAAAACCACCAACAGTGTCGGATAACACGAACGATCACGTAGTGTGATGATGGTCTTAGACAATGTGATATAGAAAGGTACAATATAATTAACTAAATTTGGATATTTATGACTAAAATCGGAGTTAAATTAAATTATATGTATTCATCTATACATATATGACTGGTAAGCTTAGTAGACAATACAATTATGTATTAGAACACTAAATAAAGAAAAAAATATATATAATATAGTACTTAGCGGTCGCTAGCTTCGGGCGCGGTCGACGCTGCAATGTACAAACACACACTCTCACCTTACAAAAGTAACAAACTATGTATAATAGTTAATTATATATATATTATTGTTCTTTATATACAAAACGCCGAGCCGCACCCGTCCCGACACCGTAAGGCAAATTGTGTGCTCTTTATGATACATATATACTTAATAATATTTACAAAACATAATCGGCAGTCGATCAGACAACATACAATACACAGCACCTGCGATTTATTTTATTACTTTTTTTTTGATTCAATAAAGCGTGTTATATAATCATTAAAATCTAAAAAATCTTCTAACACAAGCATAAATACATTTTGAAACGGTAAAAAAAATATCCAACACCTGTTATATATAGATAAAATAAATTTTCTAGGCCAAAGACAAAACACCTTCCAGTCGCTTTTTTTTAAAAGCCTTTTAAAAATACAAATATATGCAAAAAATGGCGTCTAAATTAAAAACTAATGATATGAATATATAAATTTTGACTATCTAATATTATAAATAAATTATATACTCTGTCCGTCAGTGACAAGCGTGTGTGCGGGCGGGCGCGGCGCACTATTTAATGCCTTCGTCATATATCTAAAGTGTACGCTTTGCTGATCGTACAAACGTAGCTCAAGACAAAGATTACCTTAGAAATATAGATGACGCTCTAAAATGGTCTCACATACGAAATTGTTCAATCTTGAACTTATTTATATGGAATCAAGATGAAAAATTCTCTAAAACCACTATGCAAAACTTACGTTATACTACATAATATACAAGATTACTTCGATATTACTACATGTATTTAATTTTATCATCTACCACACTTCGCTCCGTTGACTTATCGCCTGGTGCACTCTCGAATGGACGGTCCGTTTAACATTGGTACTAAATAATCCATCCTTATATATATTTTGTTGAAATTAATTCAAATTTATAATATATATATGTATATAATATAAATCGTTGTAATGTTATAATTCAAATGTCCGTCACAGTTAAATCAGCGGAGCTCAGTGTATATTAATATTAAATTTCTATATAAAAAAAGCGTCTCATGCATCACTGTTACACCATTTAAACATCACTCAGTAAATCGCAAATAACTTTATCAAGATACAAATATATGATCCGTGAGAGGATCACGAACACTTATGAACAACTCGCTATTCAAACATCGCTCATTGTACGTCAATTGTGATAATCAGAAAGAAATAATAATAATAATAGAGTTAAATAATATTAATAATAGTAATAATAATTAAAATAATTGCTGGAAAACACACTAATAATAACGGCGTGCTACAAACTTAATATTGTAAAGTATAGGAAACGCCCTCCCGGACCCTATTAATTCGCTAAAACAAATACTGACGTATTTTTGGAAGACTTAAAGAAATAAAATAACATAAAAATAAATTTTAAGAATAAAGAGAATATATATATGTATAGATGTATCCCAAACTAGAATACATTAAAGTCGTTAACATCTATAATGATCGCAAAAATTCAAGTTATACATATTATATTGTGATTGTGAGAGTACAGATGATTTTAATATATGTAATGAAAAAATTGCGACTCTTAATGGAATGAAATACATTGGGAGGGCTGCAGTCTCAGTAAGATATGGTATTATAATGACACGAGCTAAAATGGTTTACATTACTGGCGCAGAATACCATGGATGTACATGGACAATATTAATTATTTCAATGTCACATTCATAATAATCAAATAATATATTAAAAAAATTATAATGTCAGAGCTATAATTTAATTTAATCTATCAGCATGATTTATAAACGCCATACAACATAAAATGCTTGACTTAGTCAGCGTATGAATATCACAACGCCATCTCGATAACAACGAACGAAATTTAAAATCATGATATTAATGATATAGTCCGTTTTAAACTTCACGCGTGTTATGATACGTGTGTGTGTGTATGTGTGTGTGTGTGTGTGTGTGTGTGTGTGTGTGTGTGTGTGTGTATGTGTATGTGTGTGTGTATGTGTGTGTGTGTGTGTGTGTGTGTATGATGTTAGAGGGAGCCGGCCGGGAAGCTGGCTGACGAATTGCTGTGTGCGAGGGATAGCATTGACCCAGACAGAGACTGTTCCTCTTCTCCGTAACCCTCTCGACTACCTTCGGCAATCGCCATTGCACTGCGGTCATATATAAAACAGGAAAATAATTAATATGACATCACCATAGATTAAAATCTCAATAAAATCTAACGAAGACAATGTTACAAATATAAATTTCCATAATGACTTATCATACAAGTTTGAGACCCATATAAACTACTATATAAAATTATAAATTCTTGTGTTTAATGTCTTAAAATGTAATACCAACCGTAAACCCAACTAAATATATCAAGAAATTACAATACTAATGCCTAAACGTAATTTTCAAATTCAATCGCCACGCTATAATAGAATACGTAGTATTCTATTATAGTATAGGTACATATTGTGATATAAATAGTATATAATGATAATATTGACCTGAATCCAAGCCTCGCGCTCTCGTTGTCGAAGTGATCCAGGTCTCTCTCATGCCGCTCGTGCAACATGCGAGTCCTCTCAGCGCGTTCAGCTACAAACTGACCACACTCGCACTCCATCTAGCAATAGATAACCAGTATTATAATTAAGTAATAATCTTCTTCTACCTGGCAATTTCCCGGCTAGAGCCAGGGTCTGCCTTACTTGTTGTCAATAGTTTTGGCTAATTGCTTTTAACGACCGGCCGCTTGCCTGACATCAACCCTCTTTTGGGAATCAGCATTAAAAAAAGTCAGTGGTGGCCTAATGGTTAGAGGGCCCGCCTCTCGTTGCGGAGAGTGCGAGTTCGATCCTGGCCCGAGTAAGTACCAATGTGATTTTTCCGAGTCATATGTACTTTCTATGAATATAATTAAGTAATAATGATAGTATTAAATCAAATTTCCTATAAGAATAAGAATAGTCGATGCAGTTATATATGTATATACTAGAAGACTCGGCAAACTTCGTATCGCCCTATAATCACGAAATATCTGTTACGTTTTTTTATTTATATTTTTGGAGTTTACCTATTAAAGCCATAAATCTCCGTGTTTTGAAGTTCGGCAGAATGATTGACATATTAGTTAGTTGTCAAATCTAATGTCAAAAAAAAAACAGTTTGTATCAACAACTATTAATAAATTAAAAATTAATTAAAAAAAACATTGTCCAGCGGACAAAATTGTGAATATAAACACACACAAAAAAATTCATCAATACGGTCCAGTCGTTTGAGAGAAGTTCAGTGACATACACACTCACAGAAGAATTATATATATATATATATACAGTAGGACCTCGATTATCCGGACTAATTGTTGTCGGTAGGCATCCGGATAATTGAAAGTCCGGATAATCCAATCTATGAAGAAAAACGGGCTTTTTGCATATGTACATATGTAGTCTGTACCATACATATGTAATGTTAGGTGTTTATTTAAAACAACAAATACATATGAGCGAAAATCAACGTTTATTAAGAAATTGTACATAATGTACGTATAAGTGTTATAAGTGGCGTGGCGTTATGCAAGTTCTGATATGTTAATCTATCTATATATATAAAAATGAATTGCTGTTCCTTGGTCTCACTAAAACTCGAGAACGACTGAACGGATTTATCTTATCATAGTCTAAAAATGTTCGTGGATGTTCAGGGAAAGTTTAAAAGCTGAAAAAAAATTATTAATTTCCGGGAAAACCCTAAAAACAACTTTTTTTATTTCCCATACAAACGGTTTTTTTACAATAGATTTGACAACTAACTAATATGTCAATCATTTTGTCGCACTTCAGAACACGGGGATTTATGGCTTAAAGGTAAACACCAAAAAAATAAATAGGACATAATTTATTTCTTGATTGAGGCAGTAAGAAGTCTGCCGGGTCAGATAGTGTTAGAATAAACTTGTTGCCATTGGCAGTCCGGATAATCGCGAATTCGGATAACCGAGGTCCGGATAATCGGGGTCCTACTGTATATATATATATATATATATATATATATATATATATATATATATATATATATATATATATATAATATAGTAAGTATAATGAACCTTTTGTTCTAACAGCGCCCTCCTGACAGCGACTCTCTCCTCTAACTCCCGTCGTTCTCTGTTCCTCTGCGCCTCTGCCTGCATCTTACTCTTGCTCTGGTAGGCCGTCAGCATATCTAGCTCGTGTTCCAACTGCATCTTCAATTGCTGGCACTCCATCTGGATGATAATTATACGTGAAGGTTTGGAATATATATACAATGTATACTTTATTAGATAAAACGCTGTTTTTGATGATATTTTGAGTACTTTTCAATAGTCGTGATCACTTGCAGACGACTTTTAAGTCGATAAAATGATGTAAAAATTTTTTTTAATGTATACCCTAAAGACTGACATATATTCAATTCTCTTTATATTCAAGCCGTATAAGATCAATGATCATTATGATACGGAGTAAATCATGATCAAATCATTAATTTATTTTTAATTGCTATAACAATTATAAATTTTCCTTCCACTCACCATTTGACTCTCATCAAGACGGACGGTCTGTTTCTGCAACATCTCGCTAATACTCTGATCATACTGTTCACCTAACAACACGAGCTTGCGACGCTTCTCATCCTTCAGAGATTTGATGACTTCCTTTTGTTGCTCCTGGACAGCAAAAAAATTTCATAACACCCATGATACTTATTATTTTTGTGACAAAGATAGCTATAAGAATTTAAATATTTATAAAAATGTATAATAATAATAATTAATTATTCAATCTTTATTACTCAATTCTTTTTATGATCTGACTAAATGGAGATATTGACTATAAAGTGTGTATGTTACCTTAGGTGTCATTTGCAAGATTTGTGCTTTGAGTGCTTTGTACTGGCGCGTTTGTATCTTGCAAGTCTCACGGAACTGTTTGCGGATCAGCATTTCTTTTTGCTGTAAATGTACATAATGTTAATAACGTTTAAACAGCAAAATAAAAAACATATAATATTACAACTATTTGTCTCAGGATGTACATATATGGAAAAGGATAAAAATAGTATATTTTTTTATATAACACTTTATTTCGATCTTTAAATTAGTCATTTATTCATTTATTGGTAATTATTTACATACCTTAAGACTCTTAGGCTGTTGTTTGAGTTGCAGCGCGTGTTTCTTCCTAAGTTCATGTTCAGCTCTTTGCATGTAATCCCTCTGGTTGGCCAGTTCTGTAGCGTGCTGGTTAGACAACTGTTCCTCTCTGCCACAGATATGTAGTGACATATATACTTATTCATTTACATATATATCTATTGAATCTAATATGTAATGTTCATTCAGTTTAGTCTATAATAACATCTTAATATTTTTATTAGTAGTCGAATAAATATTGCCATATGACAATAATTATAAGACAATTATTGTCATATGGAAAAAACATAATAAACATAACAAAATTTATAATTAAAGAAATTTTGAGGTCTTTTTTCTCTGTATATTTGTTATCAATTTTCTTTATAGGTATATTACCTGAGAGCATGTACGCCCTTCTGTTGTCTGTACTCCAACTCCTGGGTCTTCTCGTGGTGACGTAGGAGCATCGCATGCGCCTGCTCCAGCTGAGTCTGACGCTTATTTAACTCCTGTTTACAAACCTCATTGTTATATATTGTAGTGTAGCCAAGTATATGCTTATTACTGAATATCTTTTATTCTTTATTAGAATCTGAATTTTCATATAAAGATCATGTGAATTGTTTGTTGTAATGTCATCACCTCTCTGAGTAGTTCCTGTTCCTTATGATGCAGGGCCAGCATCCGTCTCCTCCTGAATCTTCTCAGTTCTAGCTCGAGGTATTCTCGCTGAGACCGCACCAAACGAGCCTCCTCCGCCGCCTCCGCCTGCTTCAGATTGTCCTTGTGGGACCTTGAGGAAAAAAGCGTTACATTTATTAATAATAAGAAATAAAATTCAAATAAAGTATACATACTAATGAATAATATTAAAAATAAGTCAACCCTATTACTTTTAACATAAATGGATAGCCGTAAAAAAGTTTATATGGAAGGTTAGAATCAACGACTTAGTGCTTATGAAAGCATACAATGCAAGTACTAAAATTCCATAATCAATACAGATAATGGTTTACGTTATTCACGACGACTTTTTTAAACCGTATAATAATGACAATTTTTACCGTATCATAACATACATTGTCAATGAGGCGCACATACATATATGAGTTATTAATGAATATCAACTCACTGTAATGTAGCATCCCTCTGCCGTTTAGGCGTGGCGTCGTCCATACTCAATTCCTTTTTCCACCTCTCCTTATTCGCCTTGTACTCTCTCTTGCGCTGTGTCTCGAAAGCCTTCCTCTCTTGTTCCTGGCGTGATGTTATATCCTTTATCAACTTCTTCTCGGCTGTCGAATTCTGTTTCTGTTTCCGTTCCAGCTCTTGAGCGTGTTTAGTCTGTGTGTTTATAATTTGTTATTACTACATTTCTTACAAGATAATATCGAGTTAATATAGCAAGCTGATGATATGTTATATACAGATAGTGCATCACTTGAATTTTTATATGAGGAATTTTTATATGAGTAACAGGGTTACGAGTTATAACCTGCAAGTCTATTTAGTAATTAGTGTATTTATTTAGTAATTAGTAATAAGCCCACCTGCAGCCTTTCCAGGTCTCTAGATAGTTGTTGCAGCAGCGAGTCATATTCGCGATCCAGTTGCGACTTATGAGCCTCTACGTCCGCCTTACAGCGCTCCTCCAATTTGAGAAGTGCGGCCTGATGTTCGCGACGCATGCGTTTGTAACCGGACATTTGTTCGTGCATTTCCTGCAATAAAACAATTAATATATAATACATGTAGAGCTCATTCGTATTTGTAATTTAGATGGAAAATATTCAATAAATAGAATAAAGTAAATTTCCAAAGAAAATACCTGACAAAATAATTTAAAACTCAATGTCTTCACCTTTTTAAACGTGAATAGATACTAAGTGGGTTATTAGAAGATGCGTTAAAATGGCGTTAAGACGGTGTCATCTACATCGTCTAATAACAAGTACAATAGAATCTGGCTCAATACCAAAACTAAAAATACATGTTTCATTATGCAATTTGGCCTGTCTAGTATACACATGTGTATGTATCTAGGATTACCTTAAGAGCTTTTGTGTTTATATAAAATAGCATATAAAAAAAAATATTGACGACAACTGTCTATTTTTAAGGTAAAATAATATAGTTACCTGATTATGCTCCTTCTGTTGTTTTGTGACGATGCTAGTAGTCCGTATGGTAGCAAAGTTATTCGCGCCGTGTTCGGAGACGAGAGATATAGCGGCACAAACGTTGTTGCTTACACCTAAAAGTAGAATAATAATGTACTAATTGTATGAATATGAAGGAATTTCTTTGGTTGTATATTATTTAAGTAATGAACGTGGCTCACGTCTTCTCTGCGTGTTCCTATTGTCGTCGCCGCTATCTTGTTGCCACGTGGAGGGCGCGTTAACGTACTCCCTGTACTCTAGAGCCTGGCGTTCCCTTTCCCTCTCCCTCTGAGCCTCCCGTATCGCCTCCCTATTCGCGTAATCATCGCCGTAATCGTCACACAGGGAATCCCTGTTCGCGTAATCACGTAGAACTTCCCTGTTCACGTAGTCGTCGTGGGAGCCTGGTATGGGGCTCTCGTCTCTGCGTACGAAACAGCTACATAAGTAAAGGCAACGCTTGCGAACTCTGAAATTAAGGGTGCTATCTGATGCGTGTACTATATTCGTGATGGTGAAGCTGTGTGAAATAGTATGTTATGCGATGTATTAGTGATGATACAGATATGGATTAGTGCTGTTGTAGTTTTAATACATATTAGATACAATATTTATGTTGTAATTTATTATATTCAAAGCAGAATGATTTAGTTCTTAGGATATTTATAAAAAAACTTGTCAGTACCTGGTGGGGTGGGCTGGTTGGTGGTTGTATTGCTGGTATGGCTGCTGTTGCTGATTGTGATTAGCGTTCAGCTGTAAACAAGTGTAAGGTCATGATATTGTATCGAGTGATATGTTGCTTACTTAACAAACAACTTAAATATTAGTAGGTGTGTATCATTTTATTTTTTTCTTATGTATGATAAAAATAAATACATTAAGACATTATTAAAATTGAACAACATTATATGAATTTATATTTCAAAATCTATATTAATAAGAGACAATATATTACACGACTTGTTTATGAAACGCACCAATTTGAATAGCATAATTTTTGTATAGAACTTTTCACAATAACAATATAAGATTACAGATTCAATTCAATCATAACTATGACTGTTTTATAAGTGTTTGTGATTATCGATAGTTCTGTATATGTACATACCGCGATAGGCCTGCGCCGTAGACTGCCAGACGAGGAACTCTGGCTAGAAGCTCCGGCCGCGCTGTGTTCGGATGTAGCAGAATTAGACTTGGAGCTATCACCGCCTGAACGCTCCTCAGCCGTCTCTTCATTATCACCTGATGATTACAAACATTATAAAATCCTTAATCATGATATTATCGTACTAATATTATACATAATTGCGAAAGTTTGTGAGTGTGTGTGTATGTTTGTTACTTCTTCACGCTCAAACGGCTGAACTGATTTTGATAAAATTTTGTATACAGGAAGCTGACGTCCAGGAATAACACATAGGCTAATTTACATTTACAAGGTTATACAAAGTGTTTATAACTTACCCATAGCGCTCTCATTATCGGCGTCCACCATGAGTATTTTCTTCATCTTCCTGTAATTCAAATTGTCTAGATCTCTCACGGCCGCCTTTGTTCTCTGTATGAGGTCGACCAGAACGTTCGGTGATCTCGGCCGAGTGATGTAAGGATGAGACAGGAGTTTGGTAGACGACGGACGATCCTGTGGATTCTTCTGTAGGCACGCCTCCACGAAGTAACGGAATGTATCGGTCCATTCAGGTGCCTAAAGTATAGAGCGGAATATACATATTACTTATACAATTTATAGTTATTTTTGCTAGAAAAACTCTATCTAATGACATATCCAAATCAAATATTGAGCTTTTGACTCATAAATACTAAACCTATTAAATCTAACCGATGGTAAATATATGATGACGACATCAACTAACTTGCAATGTAGGTGAATCGTTCTGCGCGATATGGTACAAAGCGGACATGGCGTTCATGTTGAAATACGGAGGCTTCCTCTCTGCCAGTTCAATGCACGTTATACCGAGCGACCACACATCAACCTGACACAAAGAAAATGTATTATGTATCACAAATATAGGGTGTTAAATAAAAATGGTCAAGTAACTTTTATATTAACCTTTCCATCATACTGGCCCTCATCCATGGCGAGAATAACTTCTGGCGCCATCCAGTAAGGAGTTCCAACGAAACTGTTCGCTGGGCACTTGATGCTGGCGCTACCGAAGTCAGCTAGCTTCACAGTCCCGTTCTCCGTCAGTAGGATATTACCAGCTTTGATATCACGATGGATCCGCCCCAAGGAATGCAAGTAAGACAGACCGCACACGACGCCCTCGCATATAGCAGCTATCTCCTCCTCACGCAAAGGACGCTTGTGAACCTGGTGGATTCATTCATACATGATTAATTAAATAAATTGTTTTGTCAACTGGACGTTGCTTAAGTCGTTACCATCTCGGAAAATACATGAAGAATTCAATTTATATTAATCATACTCATATTATTACAAAATTCTTCGGTATGTGTCTGTGTGTGTCATTTTGGGTATTAATTCCTATGCACGTAGCCGTAGTGAACGATAACTATTAAATAGGTAAGTTTTTGTCCCCAGAATTCCGAGGAACAAGGACCAAAGCCCGAATAAAAACTGGTTGCATGAATGTTGTTGGGGAGAAGGAGATAGCAGCAGACCTGTTTAGTCACACAGACTACCTTCATTTTGCTGTCTAATTATGTTATAAATAGCATTATTGGTCTTAATAAAACCATACGAAAATCTATATCTTTTTTTGTCATAAATAAATATACGTATTATATCAAATAGAAACTTTGTAGAAATTATAAAGCATCAAGTGTCAGGTAAATTTGATTTATTTATTAATTAAATTGTAACAATAGCTTTAATAATAACAACAGCCATCTATCCAGTGATATATTGAAGCGTATAGTTTATTGTTTCAAGAGCTTCTTGGAGTTCTATTAATGGTTCATTTAGAGTAAGTGTCTTGACATTATAAGTAGCTGTGTTGAGCTTATTTTTTATTGGTTGTAAATGTCTTTAAATGCTTTTCTGTTAAAGACAAAACGGTTCTAAAAAAATAGTATTATTCAGTATAAGTATTAGATGTTGAAATTGTTCATTAATTTTAGGATTATTGGTGTTTTATTTCATTACTTCCATTTTATTATAACGAAAATGTTATAGGAGCAATTACGCCTGAACCACTGATTACTTTTTGATGAATGTCATTTGAACATTTATTGGTCTGGTCAAAAAGTATTGAGAGAACCTTACTTCTTTTATTATATGATACGTGCGTTTATGGTTCGTAATATTATTAAATACTTTACATTCTACGCAAACTCTTTTTTATTTTTCTTGCTAAGAAACTTTTGTTGTTTCTGGGTTAAGCACCGTTCTTTTAACTTTAAAAACATTTATCATTAACTTTATTCTTAATTTTTTCTCAAAACAGCCTTCCACAGTTATTTATTTTAGATATATTTGCTGTTTTTTTATTTATTTTAGTTCATTGAGAACTAAGTAAATTTATAAACAATTAATAAACCTGACTTCTAATAGAAATGGTAATTTGGGATAATAGTAAAAATTACTATAGCTATAGTATATATATATACTATAGTCAGTGGTGGCTACGTGGTTAAAGGGCCCGCCTCTCGGCCTCTCGTCGCCGAGGGCGCGGGTTCGATCCTGGCCCGGGCAAGTACCAATGTGATTTTTCGGAATCATATGTACTTTCTAAGAGTATTTAGATATCACTGATTAATGTTGATTCCCAAAAGAGGGCTGATGTCAGGCAGGCGGCCGGTCGTAAAAACAAATAGCCAAAAACTATTCATAACATATAAGGCAGACCCTGGCTATAGCTGGGAAATTGCCAGGTAGAAGAAGAAGAAGAAGTAAAAATTACTATAGCATGTGTGTCGTTGCCTTGAAAGTAATAAACCTTTAATCATAATATTCCTTCTAACATGTTTATGAATGAATACATCCAATATTTTATTTCATCTTTGTATTCACTTAGTCTTCATTAAAGTTACATATTTTTTTCATATATAAATTTAAATATTAAAATTCAACTTACTAGTCATGAAACTTAAAACTTCAATGAAACGTTGTATAATTTATAATATACCTAATTTTTAATGAATAATATATCTAACAAAATTATTACACGTATTTAATCTTTATTGAGATCTTATCAATTGTAAATATATATATACAGAGCAAACGTACTACTAATATTAGGGTAACACGCATTCGTTGATATAAATTCATTATAAAAATCAAAGAAAGAAAGCCCGCGTACGTCGAAAGCTGTCTTTTGTTCCGGTGTAAAGTAAACAGGAAGTTCTCCAACATTACAATATTAATAATTACGTCATTAGCATGGTACGCGTGCGATCTGTGAATAAATTACTCATGGACAGATAGCAGAAGCATTTCTTGCCACTTGACATGAATTTTATATAAACACACACAATGAGATGACTTATTAATCAATTGACATATAATATAAATACAGAGTCCCCTAACTTGAGAACGGAGAGGTTGCGATATTAAGACAGAACTGTCATATTGATAAAAAAATTCATTGTGATGCGCATAGCAGTCCTACAAGATTTTCTTTTCTATAGTTTTATCATGTATAATGTTAAAAGGTTAAAGTGTAAGAATCCGGGATTACTTATTTATTAATTGAAGTATAATTTATAATTTTAACGATCTCTTTTTATATATTAAGGAACGACGACTGGCTTTAAAAAATAGAATGCATTTTATTATAACATTTGAAATGACAAGTGGTACTACGAAGCTCATATTTACTTTACTACAAGAATTTTAATATAAAAAAAAATACTTGAAATGTATGTATCAATTCCACGATCTGTTATCAGTGTTTAGTCAAGTTTTCTATAAACGTTAAACACCCCGGATATTGATAAAACCGTAAATGATATAATATTACAGCAGTGATTGTGAGATGACTCAAAAGCTCGCCACACAACTGTCAAATCACGAATCCTTCTCAGAAACAAATGACCTCATTTGTATCAAATTAATACATTTCATGTTATGTTAAAATCAATACATTTTTACAAATATAAATCATTTGAGCTTTTAACACATCAATTTCAAAGTTTAATTTTCATTTTTGTTGTATGTAATATTAATTTAACAGTTGTAAATCATCATAAACAGGATGGGCTCATTTATGCTTTCAATATTCCCAGACTGACTTCATTAAGACAATATTTAAAAATTCCTTTTTTTATAAAACATATATCATACAACCGTACAATAAATTACATGTACACTCAGCTTAGTCATAAAAATTGACTGTTCCCTAAACAAGAATCATGAAGTTTGCATGGAACATTGGAAAAAAGAATTTCAACTGTAATATGTAGAGTACTAAACACAAAGAATTGTAATAATTATAATTATCCCAACATTATTTCCCTAATAAAAACATTAAAAAAAAAATAATAATAATGTTTGTGTTTTTAACTTAAAGCCAAAAACTGACAAAGCCAAATTAAACGATATTCAATGTATGGGTCAACATTTGTCTAATGAATACTAAAAACTCATCATTTAATTACAACATAATAGCTTAAAATTATTGTAAACAATATGTTGTATTCAGTATTGTTTATTGTTATTATGTTTCTTGTTGCGCTGTCAATATAACAAAAATTTTTACCTCAATAATATCAGAAGCCGAGCCGACACAGTACTCCATTACCAGCCAGGCTGTATGCTCCCGTTTGTAACAGCCCTTGTACTCTATAGTGTTGGGGTGATCCAATTGTTTGAGAAACCTGTGTAACAATTATAATTTAGTTAATAGTCACCAAAATATCTTTGTCTCTTTTACTCCTTGTAGTCAACCTATGTACAGGTTGTAACTAATTTTACCTATTTGCTTTTTTATATCAAGTAACTATCTATATATATCCATCTTCAGAATTATTATTTACACCGCATAGTCACATAGTAACACCACACTCCTATATATTTATTGGAATATGGTGACACTGGTATATTTACATTTAATTAATAACTGAAACATTAAATTGGATTTCAATATACTACTTACTCATAAAGTACTCCCAGCCTAAATAGAAAGGAAGGTAAAATTAGACTGGTACTATAATGATCCGGAGATAGAAATAATTTATATGAACAAATACTTTCTGATCTCTAGTATTGTTGTGATGTAACATTTTATATCTGAAGGAATAAAACACACATCAGACATTTTAAACCTAATACAACTTATATAATGGTAATAATAGCATTGACTACATGAACTTTAGAAAATTATTTAGATAATCATCTAATGGTTTGAAATCACATTTACTTAGTCGCATGATGCATTTTTAATGTATAATAAAGTCTCTTTAAAAAAATAGCTTACTTTATCTCTTTCAAGATGTCCTGCCATTTCTCTTCACTCTGCTTCCCGAGGTAGGACATCTTCTTGATAGCAACTATCTCTTTGGTGAGATTGCAACGAGCATAGTACACAGCTCCGAATGAGCCATGACCAATCTCACGGAGATCTTCAAAAATCTTCTCTGGATCATGTTTGCTGAATAACTCCGCAATGTCCGGATCCTTCAGACTTCCCGGACGTGGCATCTTCCTCTGTGAATATTACTTAGTTATATTGAATAAGAAATACAAAGATTTTTAATCTGGTACTCCTTTAAGACAATTAAGTTGATATATAAACAAAATACTTATTGTTACTAACATCAATTTTGAACATGTAGCCTTTAAACTTGTAACATTTAGAAAACAATATTAGAAACCTAAAAATTTGTTTATTTCGTAGCATAGAACATTTTATTATGCTTTTAGGAAAAGTTAAATATATTTCATAAATATTGTTTTGCATGATAATAAATAACAGTGTATTGGTTTTATTGACTTTTACAAATGTTTGAATATGATCTATTTGACTAATTAAAAGTATTTTTAACTGTATCTAGAAGAAAAAGAATCATTAAAATTGTTTTAAGAGGATCCAATGTCTGTAGATCAATTCAAATCACTTAAGTTTTAATAATATTTAAATTACTGAGTGACGTGTTGATAAGAAGGCTTTTTAATGTTAATATAACAACAATTTTGTTAAATTATATCATCAATATTCTAGCTCATTATATAATCTTTTGAAAATGAATAAATATTTCATCAATGTATGTTAATTGATCAGATATGATGCATATAAATAGCTGTTACTCTCAATTACAGCAGATCAAATGTGATAATATAATGTTTTCTAAACAAATAGAGCAAAAACTCAAAGTAGAGTTAGGAATTAGAAATTTATTTAAGAATAATAAAAATAATTAACTCATATGTAAATATTGATACTGCTTAAATTGGGAACAAAACAATTTTGATCTGAAGTTAAAAAGGAATTTTATAATACTACGGTAATGGGTTTTGGTACTTGAAAAATAATTGAGGTATTTTAATTAATAACACTGAATGCTTTTGAGTTTCTTACCAGAATTTAATTTATGTATTCTATTACATTAACCTATTCTTTATTGATAAATCACTCAGAATATCTTATGTCATTTTAAGTAATTGTATCAAATAAAATCTTATAAGACCCATATGAATAAAACTATATGCTTTTTGTTTGTAACAGTAAATCAATTTATTTGGGTCTTAACTTTGGAATTCTACAAAGAGATTACAAGTATTCACTATGACATTGACTTGTTATATACATAATATGTACAATTAATAATATAAAAGGAAAAACATACTGCTTGTGCCAGCTGCAAGCCAGCTATGTCCGTCAGTTAATTAAAACGAATCTACTGCCTCGGGCCATCCTCCGCACCCGCTATCTGCAACAGTCGGAAACGACACCGATAACAGGCCACGCCAAAACTCAACTCATTAATTTAACTAAAAAAAAGATATATCCATAACAAATCTACCATTCATTTGTAAATTAATAAACATAGTTTATAAGCAAAAGCCTCGAAATTAATCTAATTAAACATTAACTCCTGACAATTCACAACCAACCTACCTCTAGGTATCCACAATCCCAACCCAACACTAATGCACTCCCGGAAAAATCGAAGCTGTCGCAGTCGTCTCTCACATTTATTAATATAAATATTACCCTTTTTAGCCCCTTACGAGGATTAAAAAAGAAAATATTGCGAAATACTTGGCACTTACAATACAAAATTTCGCCTCAAAATGGCGTTGGGGTAAAGTATGCGATGATAGCTTTTTGTTTTATAAGGCACACACTTTATAGTTGTCTATCACTTGCTCCACTCACATAAAGTTAATAAATAATCACTTATAATTTATAATACGCATTTGATATAAATGTTTAGTCGAAATTTTATTGAAAACTATTTACAACTTTCTCGTACTGGAAAATAATCTCACTCTGTGACTGTAGCCACAAGCGCCCTCTTTTATCGCACAATGAAAATTTGACATTTATATTTTTTCCTTAATGTAATTGTCTGCGCCAATAAGTTAATTTAGGTGGAGTGTGTCATAAAAAAGTGTTAAGTTAATTAATTTTAGTGATCCTACAGTATAAATGCTAAATTCAGAATAATGAGACCATTATATTATTAAGAATTGGACACACTATGATATATTTCATTACATAATTGCTATAACAAAAGAAGTACATATTTTTTTACTGCTATTTTTTAATTTTACATTATTAAAAGCCATATAGTTACAAAAAAAATGCATTTTTTAAAAAAAAAGATCAGTCAAGAAAGTATAAGTTAGTAACTAAGTCTTATTTTAAAAATGTGGATTTTTTAAACAACGAAAACTATGACTTTTATATGTTTGTAATAAAATTTAACAATTTACATTGTTATGATTAGCACTATTTCTTTGAATGTTGGGTAGGTAGTTTTATAAAAAGAGAAGTTAAACTAATTATTGAATTTAGTATGTACAATACTTGATTATCGTAAGGTCAAAACTAATTTTGTTTTATTTTAAGTGATAAGTAATAATTATAAATGACAATATAAGCAATTTAGTGGCCAATTGTTGAAATATTTGTATTTTAAAACAAACACAATTGTTTAAATATCACATTACATTATAAGACTGCGTAAGAGTTTTGATTTAAAAATGGACATTGACAAATATACCAACGTTTTATATTTATTCTATTTTAATAATTATGTAAAATATATTTAAAGAATTTTATATTTCAAACAAAATTTTATTTAACCGATATATTTTCTAGTGTTACGAGCATTTATGCCAGATTTGACTGTTGTGATTTGTAGCTTGTCACATTTATAGCGTGGTAACGTGTTGCAAGCCGTTGTTGTTTGTTACCGGGTGTATGTTAATTTCAGTTTGAGGCGATTGTGACATAAACGTAGGTATATTTATATATATTTAACTATACTATGTAGCTAATATAGATACATACATAATTTTATATGTTAAGAATACTTTTATTTTCTTACAGACTTGAAATTTATCTTCTTAACTTGATGCAATCAAAATGGCGGTATTAACTTAGGCCGTTAGCATTTTCATATTTATGATTATCCCTGGTTACAGGTTGTTTATTTCTATAACAATTAAAAGTCTTTTATTCTTGTTGTAACGGAGTTCAATTGTATGCGTGTGGTGTACAGTTTGACGCAATAAACGATTTCTTGTCAAGTTTACCACCGGTGTGCTGAGCGTGCAGTTTCTTTAGAATTAATTTGAATATTCTCTTTATCTTCTAGATGGCTGATAAGAAGAAAGACCCTGAACCGGAGGCTGAAGAAGAATTTTCCGTAGAAAAAGTTTTAGACCGACGCGTTAGGAATGGAAGGGTTATATGAATTATTCATGATTTCTAAAGCGCATCATGGTGTTTTCTTTTTTTTTTTAAATAATTATTTGTACCAGGTCGAGTATTTTTTGAAATGGAAAGGCTACAGTGACGAAGACAATACTTGGGAGCCTGAAGAGAATCTTGACTGTCCTGATCTCATACAGGCGTTCGAGGAGGCGCGAAAGAAGAAGGACACGGGTAATTGACATTTTAAATTAAAATCATCATCTTCAAACTTGAATATTACTTTTTGATGAAGAATAAATTTTGTATTTATTCAGTGTTGGACAAATCATTGCATTTAAAGAAATTGCATTATTATCAAATAACTACGCTCATTTACTACTTTCATCTACATATGCATTTTTTAATCGACACTACAATATATTTTATTGATGTTTTCAATATGGCTTCGTCAAGATGTTGTGGGTTAATTCGAACTCTTTTTGCTATATTTGTGGTGAATACGTATTTGCAAACCATAAAAAACCTATTTCACACTTGTGAAAAATGTGTATCAACAAAATACTTTACATCAAAATACTTTAAAATAAAATTGTTTAATCAGAACTAGCTGTGGATTCCTCATATTGTATGCCAAATATGTGTTGTATGGCTACTATTGTGGTCCAATGGAAACAGAGATGCAGTAATATTCGAAACACCCATGATTAGGTTCATGACGACTGCTACTTCTGCGTTGTGAAAATAAAAGGAATTAATCCTGGCAATCGAAATAAGTGGCCATGTCCTAACTTATCTTCTGCTCAAGAATTTCAATTAAAACCATGAGAGGTACAACCGGGTAAATTTAAATCTTCTGATGATCAAATCCCTGTGAACCCAAACGAAAAATCAAGGTAAGATTAATGATTCCGTCTACAAATCTAGCCAAGAGCCTCAACCACAGATCAGGCAACTCATAAAAGGTTCTGATTTTTTCAAATTAATGAGTAAAGGGGAATCATAAGCTTAGAATTCATTATTTTTGGTTATAAGAAATTTCTGTGTTAAAATTAAATCTGAGGACTATGTGGAACTTGTTGAAGCCTGCTATCGAATTTGAAAGAACTAGGGTGCAACATGAGCATAAAAATCCGATTTCCACAAAATCTGGATGATTACAGTCTTTATTGTAGCAGGGTGAAAGATTCCTCCAGGATCCAGGACAATGGAAAAGTGTTATCAGGGGCGGTGAGACTCACATATGATGACAGACTACGGCTGGAGTTTGCAACAAAATCTACCAGAAGTCAATCAATCAAGAAATTCCTATAAAACATCATTTCATTGTATTTTATAAAAAAAATTGTATAATTTTTCTGTATTTTTGGTCAAAATAATAAAATTTTATGTTTCAAATAGTAAAGCTGTTAGCAATCTTCTAGTATTTTTTTCATATTCAGGGACATAGAAATAACTAATAACAGAGAAAAAAATAAAGGAAACAAAACATGTGTTGACCAGTGTAATATTAGTAGGATTACATACATCAAAAGTAACTCCTTTACGGAGTTTCATTTAGAATTTATTTTAATTTTCACTTGATAGTGCAAATCTTTATATACCTATATAATTCTTCTGTGTGTATGTCACTGAACTTCTCTCAAACGACTGGACCGATTTTGATGAAAGTTTTTGTGTGTGTTCAAGGGGATCTGGGAATGGTTTAGATTCACATTTTTGTATGCTGGACAATGTTTTTTTAAGTAATTTTTAATTTAGTAGTAGTTGTTGATACAAACGTTTTTTTTTGACATTAAATTTGACAATTAACTAATATGTCAATCATTCTGTCGCACTTCAAAACACGGAGATTTATGGCTTTAATAGGTAAACTCCAAAAGCATAAATAAAAAAAACGTTACAGATATTTCTTGATTATAGGGCGATACGAAGTTCGCCGAGTCTTCTAGTTAATTATAAGGATAAAATATCAATGAGAAACATTCAACCTTCATATGAAGAAACTTTTATATTTGTTAGATTAGGTTTTAATATCAAAATTCATATGATGTTTATTTTAATTTTCTCTTTTGAATGTTTTAATGAATTTTAATGTTTGTACAAAAATTTAAAACTTTCTAATGAAATTTTAAGGCAATCAAAATAATAAATACTTTTATTTATTGATATCAACAATTAACTTTATCTCCGAATTAAAAGATTTTAATCCAAAACAATCATTATAATTTAGGCATATGAAATTGTGATAAGCAGGTTTTTCAATAGGCACTGTCAAGTTTTTTGTTTTATCCTCCCAACAAATTTGTGTACATTTAATTTGTATAGTCTAATCAATGACTTATCTCAGACGGCAAGGGAACCAGAAACGAAAAGGAGAAGAAAAGAAAATCAACAGCAGCTACACCCGACTTGAAAGGTGCCAAGAAAGGAAAAGTGGATGACAAAAAGACATCTGGCTTTGAACGTGGATTGGAACCAGAGAAAATTATTGGTATAACACTTGTTTATTAATTTATGTCTTTATTAGCTGTGGCTGAAAATTACATTTACAATTACTTGGATTCCTCATATTGTATGCCAAATATGTGTTGTATGGCTACTATTGTGGTCCAATGGAAACAGAGATGCAGTAATATTCGAAACACCCATGATTAGGTTCATGACGACTGCTACTTCTGCGTTGTGAAAATAAAAGGAATTAATTCTGGCAATCGAAATAAGTGGCCATGACCTAACTTATCTTCTGCTCAAGAACCTCAATTAAAACCATGAGAGGTACAACCGGGTAAATTTAAATCTTCTGATGATCAAATCCCTGTGAACTAAAACGAAATTAATCAAGGTAAGATTAATGATTCCGTCTACAAATCTGGCCAAGAACCTCAACCACAGATCAGGCAACTCATAAAAGGTTCTGATTTTTTCAAATTAATGACTAAAGGGGCATCGTAAGCTTAGAATTCATTTTTTTTGGTTATAAGAAATTTCTGTGTTAAAATTAAATCTGAGGACTATGTGGAACTTGTTGAAGCCTGCTATCGAATTTGAAAGAACTAGGGTGCAACATGAGCATAAAAATCCGATTTCCACAAAATCTGGATGATTACAGTCTTTATTGTAGCAGGGTGAAAGATTCCTCCAGGATCCAGGACAATGGAAAAGTGTTATCAGGGGCGGTGAGACTCACATATGATGACAGACTACGGCTGGAGTTTGCAACAAAATCTACCAGAAGACCAATTAATCAAGAAATTCCTATAAAACATCATTTCATGTGTTTTATAAAAAAAATTGTATAATTTTTCTGTATTTTTGGTCAAAATAATAAAATTTTATGTTTCAAATAGTAAAGCTGTTAGCAATCTTCTAGTATTTTTTTCATATTCAGGGACATAGAAATCACTAATAACAGAGAAAAAAATAAAGGAAACAAAACATGTGTTGACCAGTGTAATATTAGTAGGATTACATACATCAAAAGTAACTCCTTTACGGAGTTTCATTTAGAATTTATTTTAATTTTCACTTGATAGTGCAAATCTTTATATACCTATATAATTCTTGTGTGTATGTCACTGAACTTCTCTCAAACGACTGGACCGATTTTGATGAAAGTTTTTGTGTGTGTTCAAGGGGATCTGGGAATGGTTTAGATTCACATTTTTGTATGCTGGACAATGTTTTTTTAAGTAATTTTTAATTTATTAGTAGTTGTTGATACAAACGTTTTTTTTTGACATTAAATTTGACAATTAACTAATATGTCAATCATTCTGTCGCACTTCAAAACACGGAGATTTATGGCTTTAATAGGTAAACTCCAAAAGCATAAATAAAAAAACGTAACAGATATTTCTTGATTATAGGGCGATACGAAGTTCGCCGAGTCTTCTAGTTAATTATAAGGATAAAATATCAATGAGAAACATTCAACCTTCATATGAAGAAACTTTTATATTTGTTAGATTAGGTTTTAATATCAAAATTCATATGATGTTTATTTTAATTTTCTCTTTTGAATGTTTTAATGAATTTTAATGTTTGTACAAAAATTTAAAACTTTCTAATGAAATTTTAAGGCAATCAAAATAATAAATACTTTTATTTATTGATATCAACAATTAACTTTATCTCCGAATTAAAAGATTTTAATCCAAAACAATCATTATAATTTAGGCATATGAAATTGTGATAAGCAGGTTTTTCAATAGGCACTGTCAAGTTTTTTGTTTTATCCTCCCAACAAATTTGTGTACATTTAATTTGTATAGTCTAATCAATGACTTATCTCAGAAGGCAAGGGAACCAGAAACGAAAAGGAGAAGAAAAGAAAATCAACAGCAGCTACACCCGACTTGAAAGGTGCCAAGAAAGGAAAAGTGGATGACAAAAAGACATCTGGCTTTGAACGTGGATTGGAACCAGAGAAAATTATTGGTATAACACTTGTCTATTAATTTATGTCTTTATTAGCTGTGGCTGAAAATTAATTTTACAATTACTTTCTTTGTATTTCATTGCAAAAACGATTATTAGATATAATTTACTTGTCTGCTGTCATAGTAATTTGTTTTATTGTATATGTAAAAGTGACATAACAAATTTACATGTGTAATTCGTTAATTTTGGCCTTCCAGGAGCGACGGATAGCAGTGGAGAGTTAATGTTCCTTATGAAATGGCAAGGCACAGATGAAGCTGATCTAGTGCCGGCCAAGCAAGCTAATGTCAAGTGTCCACAGGTTGTGATACAGTTCTACGAGGAACGACTAACATGGCACACACCATCTGCTGACGAGTCAACTACTGATGATTAGGTTAATATAGTAAGATTTGATTGTTCTGTTATTTCATTACCTATAAATGGTATAAATTGATTTGATAAAGAAAATATAGTCTTGTTATAGTATATATATCATTCCATAGAGACATTTCTAAATTAAATGTTACTGTCCATTTGTTATTGGAAGCAATCCTCAATTGTTTTCAATATTGTAAAATGTTTATTGCAGCATAATAAGAGATGTTATTATAAAAATCAGTGATAATTTTTAGGTGTAACATATGTGTCAATAGTCTTTCCTTTTTCTGGACTTTCTTGAAAATAAAAACAGCTATTGTATTTTCAGTAAATACATGAGAAGCTATGTTATTCGAAAGAATAGTTATATTTTTCTCATAAGTTTACAATTCATTAATAGTATTTGCATGTCTAATTTAAGTGTTCAAGGCAATAAAGCGAATTTTGCCATATTATTGTGTATTTATATGCTTCCTTCTTCCCTCATAACGAGCTACAAAAGCATACAAAATAAAAGCTATACAATAGTTACGGAAAAAAGTATATTGAAGTTATCAATACCAAAACGTCTAAATGTAAGCATTTCTTCAAGTAGTAGTTTTTGGATACCATTTATATGAGTGGCAAATAGTGCCCTAGGATATATTTTTGATGAACTTGCTATTGTAGTGCATTTTGATTTCTGCCGATGAATTATCAAAGATGATTTGACGTAGTTTCTTGGCGCGTTCCTCAAAACAATCATTAATGTATTCTGGATAGAGTTTTATAGCAGCTAGGTAACCTTCAATAAAATCTTTTTCATCAACTAGAGCGTTGTAAATATCCCAAGAAATATTTTGAATCTTTATATCATCTATTATATTATTAAGACAGTTGGAATATAAGATATAGATTCGAGAAAAATATTTTTTGCAATGTTCTTTTAAATGACTGCGACACAATCCAGCAAATATTTGAGACACTTTTTCAGATGTTTCATCCCAGTCATCAATTTGATTTCCACATAAGGTACTCGTGAAGGCTACTGTTAATTTCCATTGTGTGATCATATAATAGTTTTCAGATATATCGAAATGATCTTCCAAATCACGTTGTATTAACTCAAACATTTTGATAGGAACAATCATTTGTTTGTCCACTATAAAACTCTTCATATCCTCTCGCAGCTTCTTCAATAGCAGATCTAAATTATTTCTAATAAAATATTCTTTCTTCTTAAATAAATCTGAACAATATGTTATTAGCGGTTGTAAAATAACATTGTATTTCTGTATTTGTGTGCTTTCATCTGTAGCACACAATAAATATGCAGATATAACTTCAATCTTTAGACAAAAATTATAATAATGTTCTTTAACTTTTTTAAAATCACTCTCTATAATATCCAACACGATTTCTGAAACTATTTGTGATGGCAGTAACTCTATTATTTCTTTAACATACAAAATTAGATTGTATTCCACTTTATCACTCAAAGTTTTGTATTTTTCATCAGATTCTATTAATTTTTTCATGAAATAATAGCTTTTGCAAAAATAATCAGGTCTAACAGTAATGTGTACTGGTTTAACTTGTAATAGCAAATCATAAATAGTTGAATTTTCATTGTAATTCAAACCGTCTATAAAAGATTCTAATAAATTCCACAACTGTTTTAATTTTATGTTATCATTTTCTTTGCATAGAAGATCGTATACGGATTTAAATAGAACATTTCTGAGAGTAGGATGTTGGTTCATTTGCCATATGTTGGTAAAGAGAGCCGCTAAGTCTTTGGTGTTTAATTTTAGAAATGCAAGCCGTATTATGTGTTTTTGCAACGAAACCTGCGTATCAATGAGTTTCAAAATTTGTTTGTTGCCTTCATCGAAACTTAGATTATGGAAGATTGATAACAGAGCTGGTAGAACATATTGAAGGTAATCTCCTTGGGCGTATAACAGAACCGTTTGTAGCGGCGGCTGTGGTCTAGCGTAGTGCAACGTCTTAGCAAAACTTTTTTGCATGTTGAATTTTAGTTCATCGAAGTTGTTGTAATCAATTTTGGGTGCGTTTGGAGCATATTCATCTAGAAGATTCTGAAGTTGCATTCTAGGAAGCAGAACACAAACACCAAGAGCCGATGCTTTCTGTCTATTCAGCTTGTCAAAACTTGTTAAATAAGATTTCTTCCAATCTTCAGCTATACTCGTAGGCCAATAAATTTTTATTTTTTTTAGGAAACGAGTTAAATTTTTCTTTTCATCGAATTTGAAATCACTGATTTCTTGCTGATATTTTTCCATCATCTCCGGATCGTGTTTCATATAATTAATAAGTACGCTCTCGCTGGGGGACAGGTCAAAAGAAATAGGAAAAAGATATCTCTTCCAAGATCTATTCTTATTGTATATACTGGACATATCCTTGGACCATCGGTATTTATTTCTGATGTCGACGAGATTTCTTATTGTATCTATCAAAAATGAATAATTGATGAGATTTTCATCACAATCGTTTAGCATAGATAAGCACATTTCTAAAGTTTTAACAGCTTTCTCAAATTGTTCGATTTTTGTTATTGAATTGGTATCATTTAATTGGGTAGAAAAGTAATTATATAAGAATTCAACAATCTTTTTCTTTTCGATTTCATTCAGTTGCTTCTTAAAGTTTTTTAAAGTACAATAGTTTATATCCTTATAAATTGATTGCGGCACTTCGTGGCCGTTAATAATTTTGTATATTAATATAACTTCAGAAAACTTGTTGCAATCTTTATTTGTATCACTCATGAGTTTTTCTACAATAATCCATGTTCTTTCATCAAGTCTATGAAATTTTGTTTGCTTAGTTAATTCGCTTATGAAATAATCTCTTATTTCTGGACTAGCATCTTTATTATATTGAGAGAAGTATTGTATTAGCATATTAAGATTTTCTTGATTTTCATTTGCTCTTGTGATGATTGTAGATAGTGTTTTCTTTACATCTCTCGGTCTGGATTCAGACTGCAAGTACTCCTTCATATAATCAAAACAAGTGTTGAAAGGTAAGTGGGACCATAAGAATCGAAATGCATTTGGTCCATGTTCAGCGCAATCAGAAATGTATGTCATTGCTCGTTTGTCACTATCGGAGAGTAAATTGTCTTCCTTGTGGACTTTATCAATGAAAAGTTGTTTTATGAAATTCAAACGTTCATCCTTTGGCATATTTCTTATAAATATGTTTAAGCTATTACTGTTGAAAATAAAAGGACGCACATTCTCCCGTTTTGCAGCTTGGTCGTATAAAAAGTTTTTGATATTATTAGTACCTAAACATTTTATGAACGTTTCCAAATGAATGCAATCGTAGTACAATTCATATTTATCTATTATTCTCTGCGAGGCTTTGTTCATTATGAAAGCTGTTGCCCTTTTGCCGAATGCAGGCTTATTGTGGGCAACTTCTTCCACGATATCTAAGTATTTATTTAATTCTTTGTTTATTAAGAACATTGTCGATTCCAAAACAGTTTTCGTTGAATATTTATAACCTTTGTACTCTTTGATAAATATTTCCAGCACTGTTATAGTTTTTTCTGAAAGTCGTCTCAATAATGATATATTCAGATGTTCGAGGTGCGTCTTTATTTTTTCTATTATAAAATTTGTTGAACAGTTTGGTAACCATTTAACTGCTTCACTAGGATCGTTCTCACTTTCGTAAAACGCTGCTACACGAGATGTGTCTTTTAAATGTGATTTGAGACATCTTTTGAATTTATTTACTGCTTTTGTATTCATTTGTTTAAAAAGTACTGTGTTTAAATAGTTGGCATTAATTATGTTATCGTAGCCCTGTTCTGTAAAGAGCCAAATACATTTTTTTAGTGCTCTCGAAACATATAGTATGTCATCACAAACTAGAACTTTTAGAATATATTCCAGGTTTCTTGTTTCACTCGCTAAGTCAATTTTAATTAAATTGCTTATATCATCTTCATCAACATTAAAATCGTCTAATTTGTTATCAACATCTTTTATGTTAGATTTTACTGTTTTGTTATAATTTCTATGTTTTTCACCGAGGTTCTTGCCTTCTAACTCCATTGCAACCATGTTTGTCCTGAAAAATAAAAATTACGCATATATATTTACGATTTCTATAATAAAAAATATTTATATTTTTTGATATTACAAATCGAAATAAATTTATTATTATCAAATGTTATTAAATTATTATTTTAGGAAAAAAAAAAATTTCAAAATGTTCGTTCTCTTTATTCTTCAAAGGATTTCATGAAACTTTTTACTCAACTCTTTTTTTAAATTCAATTCGGAATATTATGGTTAAATATGTAAATTACATATTTTCTTTTTTTTTTCTTAAAATTGTAAATGAGAATATTTAATATCTAAACAAGTTTTTATGTAATTCTATATAGATAGTTGTAATGGGACGATCTTAAATCTAAATCGAAGTTTTTTTAATATAGAAGATACAAATAAAAACCAATTTCAACCTAAAAATGTATTAAAATACGCAATTCGTATTTGTTATTTTGATGCAGTAATAAATTATTCAAGTATACGTATGTAGTATCTAAAAATATTATTAAATCAAAGTAAATTGATTGCTCTCTTATATTTCGGAAGCGGATTCAGACGCATGCGTATATACATAGGTCAGATATATTTTCTAAGCTATTAATACTGGCTTGAAAAAGCATTTTTACGAAGGTATGTGTTGTTCATAAACGTCGTATAGTTAACTCTTTTCTACATACACCTGTTCCTTTCGTACTTATGTTTTGTTTACACGTATGTCAAATTATAACCTTAAAGTCCTAGATAAATATGAAAACTATTAATTTACCTTAGAAAATCGGCTTCCTTGATCAAATGATGTTTCGGATTCAATTCATGGAAAGATACTAACATGCAATGGCTGTTTTTAGATATCTACAGTGCACTGGCGACCAATGAGTTTGACGGAACAAAAATAAAAATGATCTAATGATACTACTTTGTGTACGGACGTGTTATGGGAAATTAAACCTTATTTTAGGGTATTAGGAAATATGTCATTCTATTGTAATTGTCATTTATATTTTTCGATACTTAAAATGACTTTTATTCGCCGTCTAACTTTGAAATTATTATCAGTACAATAAATATTAAAATAATGTTCATAAATATTTATATTATCAGTTACGCAGACAGCTTGGGTCACTTTTTAATTCATAGACTAAGGAGACAAGTGACACAATGACGTTTATAATACCATAGTGCAAACTATTTTGCTTGCAATAACCTTAAATTAGTGTTTATTAAATTTTAATCTATAGGCTATTCGTTACCTTTTCAATCAATTTTTATTTAAAATATGGTTTTACTCAGTGGTTAAAATTGACATTTCAAATTGATTGATAAAGGTAATGAAGTGCTATATAATAATTTACGACTTGGGTCGTTCTAAATATTTTTAGGTTTATATATATTGCGTATATATACAATGAACAAATTAATAATTATTCTACTTCTGGTTATATTAGTAAATTTTTTTATTAAAATATAATATGGTTTTCATCTTGCTGTAGGAGAGACGGAATTTTTAGTTTATGTAGGTAAATATTTAAACATATAAGAAATTGGTTTACCGGTAGAGATTACTGGATTTTGTACATTGTGTTCGGTCATTACCTAATCGTAATTTGAACATATAAAGAAAAATGCCACCACTCAATTTATTTCCAACTTCCTTTGTTTTCCCCTGACGATAATTCTGTTCATTGTACGAGAGCTCACGACCAAAACCATGTCTCATCGTTTTACGGCCAAAACTGTATAATACCGTTAGAGTAGATGAATCTGAACCCAGCTAAGTCGGCAGTACCGGCTAGAAACGTCGCAGTTTTATAGACGGGCATTTCTGCTACGTTAAAAAAATAGGCAAACTGTTTTATCACAATATGTCTGATAATAAAAATGTACATAAGTTTCGTCATTTCATTACGAAAAAAATTATTTTCAGACATTTTGCGCGTCACATGTGGCCTAAGCGCATTTTCAAAAATGTCAAAAAATTTACCAGACCTGTCTCATACCAGCTTATTTTTTTTTAAATCTTTTGTGCGGCTGCTAGACTTTGATAAAATCGTTTTCAGACCTTTGAAATGTCACCAAAAACTGGTAAAACAAAAAGAACGTTTCGGAACCGTTGCTACGGTTCTCACTGTAGCAACGGTTTAAACAACGCTCATTTTATTATATTGAAACGTGCTGCACGGTCTAGTTGAAAAAATGGCTAGCCTTACCTACGATACGATAAAACGACGCTATTTTTCCAATAAACAGTATTTTTTAAACGTTATTCCAATTTCCTTTTGTCCAATTTATTAAAAATGTCCTTCAATTTAAGTTCGATGATTTCGAGTAAGCTCTTTATCGATCATATTCTAAGAATTTGCGAGTTGCAGCTTATTCATTTGCTTAACAAACGTAAATACGGAACAATACGATTTTTTTTATTTTTTTATTATTCTTTATTGCACACAAAAAAAAAAAATATGTACAAAGGGCGGACTTAACGCTATGTCAGCATTATCTACCAGCCAATCCAGAATGATGTAGGAGAGTAGTGAGTAGGACGTGCACAGAAGTAAAGAAAAATTTAAAATATATACATAGTAAAGAATACATAAATATACATAATATACATATACATAATATACATAAATATTCACAAACAAATACACACAAGTACATAAATATTTAACATATATATACAATTATATAAATATATTTACATATGAATCCATTTATGATAAGAGTATAGAAGAAAAGACATCACATAGAGTTGACAGACGACAGATAAAATTCTTTCACTTGGCGCTTGAAAGAATCGCGCGAAGGGGCTCTACGAATGGAGTCGGGCAAAGTGTTCCAAAGCCGGGCTGCGACTAAAGAGAAAGAGTTGGAAACAAAGCCAGATTTATGGGGAGGTATGAAAAGGGTAAGGGATTGAGAGGATCGTAGGGGCTTATTGTGAGTAGAGGAGAGAAGAGAAAATTTAGAGGATAAGTAAGTGGGAGCATTAGGGTCGGTAAGAATAGAGTAGAGAAGACATAGAATCCGAGTGTACCTACGTTCCCGTATAGGAAGCCAGTGTAACTGCTTCCTAAAACGAGAAACGTGGTCGAACTTGCGTAAACTAAAGATGAAGCGAATGCCGCTGTTTAGAAGACGATTAAGTTTTTGGAGGTGTTCTTCCGACAGGTCTAAGTAACAGGAGTCACCGTAGTCAATAATTGGAACCAAGAGGGTAGAAGCAAGCTGTATTTTAGTTTCCATGGGCAAAAAATTTTTTAGACGCATCATGGAATGCATAGTGGCGTAAAACCTACGAGAAACTTCTTTAATATGCTCCCCCCAACTGAGTTTACTATCAATGATAATGCCGAGGTCCCTAACACTACTGCTGAACTCTATTGGTGTATTATTATATTGTAGGCTGGGCAGAGTCGGAACATCTAGCTTGGCTAGCTGTCTCCTGCTGCCTATAATGATGGCTTGACACTTGGATGGATTGACAGTGATACCATATTTAGCAGACCAAAGAGAAATGCGGTGGAGATTATCATTCAGGGAGTTAATGGCCGCGGCAAAATCATTGACAGCAGAGTGTTCGTAGAGCTGCAAGTCGTCGGCATACAGATGGTAGTGCGAAGTTAAAATTTTAGTGATGGAGTTTATAAAAACAGAAAATAACAGAGGAGATAATATGCCGCCTTGAGGAACGCCGGCACTCGCGTCGCACCAATCAGATTGTAGCTGACCGATGCGTGTGGATTGCCGACGCCCTCGGAGATAAGATTTTTTAATAATGTCTGACTAGAAAAGTTGTCTGATTAATGAAGTACGAAACTAAATTTGTCTGAAATAATTTTTTTCTACATCCAGGCAACTTTTTTCATGATGTAGAACAGTTTTCAGACACAATGCTATCAGAAATATCGGTAAAATTTTTCAACACGTTCAAAATGGCTTCAACACATAAGATGCTCACACTTTCTTCTGAAAAATGATTAATTCGCATCAACTGACCAGTGTTCACTTGAAAACGATGTTTCCAGACGGTATTTTTGACATTTTTAAAAATGCGGTCAGGTCAGACGTGACTCAAAAAACTTCTGAAATTAGTCTTTTTGCAATCAGAATCACCATATCTATCGATTTTATTCAGTTTTGATTGTAAAACGATAAGGCAAAAATTTTGGTCGTGGGCTCTCGTACTATCAGTGTTGTTTCTGTTTTGTAAATTTGCTTATAATTAAAAGAGTAATATTATATTTTATTATCTATGACTTCTTACCAAATTCTTTTAAGAATTATATTTCGTATATGATTTTGTAATTGAACTTAAAAATATAACTTATTCTATTTTGTAACGGTCAGAATTGGAAGAAAATTCGAAAGAATTATTGAAGAGTCCATTTTCTATTCGTTTTTTTAAGTTGCAAAAAATGCATGCTGGTAAAAAGGTTAGTTAGTTTGGATGGTTTCAGTAATTTTATGATCTGGTTTTAGTAAAAAATGGATATTAGAACTTCCTCTATGGATACGTTTTTAAACAAAATTCCGTCGTTGGGTCGTTTAGAGTTAGCTAGGAACAATTAGGAATATGTTATCCTACAATTGATATTACCTTCAGATTTCTATTTTACTGCCATAAGTACAATGTCAATTAAACAAATACTATTATACTCTATAATTTCATAAATTTCAATAAATGACATAGATTTAAATGTCGAAAACGTAAAATTTTGAACTATTATTTTTAATAACAATATAATACGTAAGATCTAGAAACAAGGAATTCTGTTTTTTACACCAAGATTTCTTTTGCGTTTGTAATATTTGTTTAACAAACACCAACCAATATGAAAAAAAGATTGCAGATTGTATTGATTTTAGTACTTAATGTATGATATATTAAGATTTATTATTCTTTACAATTTGAACCTGGTAACGTAACGCCTTACATATACAATCAAAGTGAAATTTAATTGATAACATTGGTTTCATGGTTGACCAAAACCTCCCATGGTTAAGTTTCA